ACCCAGTGTCGCCCACGCCCGTCCCACGTCCGTCCCACGCCCGTCACACGCCCTCACCACCGCCCGTGACGCTGCTGCGAACGCAGGGGCGCCTGCTCAGCCCTGCCTCAGCCCGCCAGAGGGAATGCCGCCTGGTCAGGCGCTCGTGAGACGCTTGGAATGCTGCCGCCAAACGCGCCCCAGGCCTACGCCGCACCCCATCTCCAGCCGCGCGAGCTTATCTCGAGCCCTTCTGGATGGAGCATAGACGGCGAGCGGGCGCCGGGAGCCATGCTCAAGCGCCCGCGTGTGTCGCTCTGCTGCTGCTCCGCCGTCACGCTAGCCCGCTTCGAATGCTGCACCCACCCGAACGGGGATCGAGAGAGGTGTTTGGCGCCCTGGCCTTCCACGTCGAAGAGCTCGCTGGATCGTGCCGCAGTGCCAGCACCCGCTGCGAACCGTCGCCATGCTCCCGCGAAGAACAGTGCCCAAGGCAGCCGCTCAACCGCCGCCGCCGCCGCCGCCGCCGCCGCCCTCCTGCCACACCTGGACGCCGCAAGCCCAGCGTCTCCGCCGTGCGATAGGTCTTTTTGTCGGCCAAATCTACGCCGGATCGGCAGCGTCCAGTGGCAGAGGTGGTGGGCATGTGCAGCAATTTCGGGACATGCAGCACACCCAGTGCAGAACAGGCCCAGGCACGTCCTGGCGCCAGCCTCTCAGGTTGACGCGCAGCTGGTGTATTGGATCATCAGCCAACAAGGTGCGGGCGTCGCGCTGGGATGGCACAGGCTCTATCCGCCTGTCGAAACCCCCCCACGCTAGACCCCCATGAGGCACCGGAATGGTGGATCGCTGCAGTCCTCCACGCGCTCCATCATAATGAGCCTTTCGTGAGCCGTGCACTTATCGCCTTCAGCATTCCTGAGGTTGACTTCTTCAGCTTAGTGGCGTTGCCCTGCTTGTTGCCCGGTGTCCTTGCATGTTGGGGAGGGGGGCAGGTGATGCCTCACGCGGCAGGCAAATCAACGCTCAGAACAACCCCGGCTGGCCTCTCACACAGTGGCTGAGCGGCCTGGGTCTGCCTTGTCGTGCCCCACGCCCGCGGCAGTTGGCGAGCGGCGAAACAAGGACTGGCGTGATTGCCCGGTCTCTGGAGCTTGAAGAAATTGCAGCGATCGGCGCCAGGCGCTCCTTGATCCAGAGTGCCAGAGCAGCCCGTGAGGCTTGCCCGTGTGGCTTCGTCGTGCGGCACCGTTGTTGCGGCAGCATCCATGGCTGTTGTCGTTGCTGTCGCAAGATCATGCAGGCCGGCAGCAGTGGAGGCGGCCTCCCAGGGGCGACGCACGGCAGAACAGGCTGGGCATAGCGGATGTTTCGATAGCAGAGCGCTTGCTGGGTATATGAGGAGGCCGGCAGATCTCCATAATTTGATATACTTTTGCTCAGATCTCCTAGCGCCACACGACAGCAGGTCGAAAGCTAGCGACGGAGCATACCCGAGGCGTGGCTTGGACGCCAAGTGCGCGTGCTCTGGAGCAGCCAGAATGCAGCGTGCTTGGAACAAAACGACCGTCGCGATGTGCTTTATCTCGCTTCTCTCTCCGGCCGGACGACATGCTTCCTGTGTGACCCGAAGCACGTCCCATGTTGGCACGGCCACGGCGCCGTCGACAGTTGCCGTGCCGTGACGCAGAGCGGCGGCGGCCGCGAACAAGCGCAGCAGAGAAATGGCACAGTCGTTGCTGTCAATGGCGCAACGCGGATGGCCCACAGCAGCGCGAGGCCGGGGCGTGCAGCGCAGTCGGCCGGCTTCTTGGCCTTTCCATGAAATGCAAACAGCATGCGAAACGCCCCTCTGCGGTGCGACGCGGCCAAAGCATGCTGTTCGAACGCAGCGAGCGCGTGCGTCAGTGGTGGCACAGGGATGCACGGCTTCTCCACACTTTCTCCCACCTAGCCGCGCCTATCCGGCTGCCCCAGCCGGCACGATGCGGAGAAGCCCTGGGTAGGTTCGTCGACGCTGCCATTGACTCGCGCGCGGGCGTCCCTGCAGCAGCACCGCACCCGACCCCTTTTTTCTCCCGGACGATTGTGATGCGCATCGCGGCCGTCGTCGAGGCCGCTGACGCCGGAGCCCATCATCGTCATCGTCATCACCGATGGCGCGCATGCAGGCGCGCTCGCTTGCATCTGCAGCATGGAGCCACAGCCCCCCCCTGTGCAACGGGCCTTGCCCGGTCCGTTCACGCCCTCCGCGCGCTGCTGCCACACTGCTGCTGCTGCTACGGGCGCGGTGGCAGGGGGCGCCGAGGATCGTGCTGACGGCACGAAAATATGGGGTGCATGTCGAACCAGCCTCTGGCGAGCCGCCGCCGAGCGCTCCCCTCCGATCATTCCACCGGTCGGAAGACAGCAGCACGCAGCACAGCTGGGGCCCAGCCGCCGGGCTCCGTCCGACGCCAGGCTCAACGAAACGGGTCGGGCGAGCGTCCGTCGGTCGTCGGCGCAAGCAGCCTGCTCCGCGTGCAGTTGCAGGAGTCAGACCACGCTTGCTCGAGCGCTCCACCCGCCGAGCGCTGGGCCAATCCCCAGGCCGATCAACGGGGCGAATGTTGGGGGAACTGCGTGCTGGGAGAGGGGCAAAATGTGGAGCAGGCCGCCAGGTCCTTGCAGTCGATCGCATGGAAGGGGGCGCTGGGCCTATCCACGGTAGAAGCAGCCACCACTAGGTATACTGCTGCCAGCCTGCGCTGCTGCTGCGCCCGCTCGCCGCCGCTTCGCCCCGCGCCGACTCGTCCCTTCTTGCAGTTTTTTTTTTATAGTCTTTTTCTTGGCTTTCTCTGTCCTGCTGCTCGTTCCTGCCCCGGGCTTCCCGCAACCGTTCCCGCACGCCACCGCCTCAACGACTCTGTCCCTGACACACCCTCTCGGCGCAGCTTACGCAGTCGGGCTTGCGCGCGCGCGCCAAACCGAGATCGTGGCGGAGCCAGTCGAGAGGCTTTTCAACACCAACAGGGACGCCAGCCACTGCAGTCCCCATTCGTCGGCAGCCGGGGGTGGCAGTTGCCGGGAGTGGCTCCGGAGAACGGGAACCGCATGTATGTATGGTCCTTGGCTGGCGTTGCATCTCGAACACGACAAGCAACATCGCCCAGCCGGCCACCCTGGCCAATTCGTGGCCTGCAGGACGACGGACGACGGGTGCGTCAACTTTTTGCCGCCGGCGTGGGTGGGCTCGGCCGCTGGCGCTGTTGTATGTATGTACAGGAGCTTTTCAAGCCTATCGGCAGCTTGAAGAATATGACAGGGTGAAAATTTTTCTGCGGAGAGACGCGGCCGTGGTTGTGTCGTGCGGCCCGGCACGGGCGACATTGATGTGCCGGGAGCGCCCAAAAAGAGGAGAGCCGTTGCGGCCTCTTGTGGCTGCTGTGTTCTGGACCATTGGGGGCCCACGGCAACAGACGTCAGGCCCCCGTGTTTGCCTTCCACTACCACCCGCCCCCACGGCGGCGTGGATCCAGCCTGTCCCACGATCGAGAATCGGACGGATTTCCCTCCTCCTTCCCGATAGCTCAACCTTCCCTTCCTGGTCGTCGTTCTGTTGATGTATGATGCAGCTTCGCGTACCATGCGGATCTTCGTCGGCGGAGTGATATGTCGGCGTTACTTGCTCATGGCAGCAGCAGTGATTCCTGAGGCACGCGGATCTGATCCACGCCACTGGCTTACCCGCATGATTGCCCTCGTCGTCGATGACGATCCGATGCCGGGCCCCGTCTGCCTTGTAGCTCGGCCTGTGTCCGACTCCACTTCTCTGAAACTGGCACAACCGCACGTCCTTGTGTTAGGCCGGGACACTCGGCGGCATGGCCGCTTCCAAAACCCCAACCACGTGGACGAATGGTGTCTGGATGGTGATCTATCGCATTGCTCGAGCTGTACGGACGGGGCACCGGAAAACAATGAGAGGGCGGGTTCTCGTCTCTCCACGCCGAGGAAACAGCCAGAGCACCAATGGGAAGAGCATGCAGAAAAACTCTTCCTTGCCGTCTCGTCTCCTGTTGGCCGGGTGAGATTTCCACGCTCGCACAAACGGCTAACAGGGCGGACGTCAACATGCAGCTGGTGGGCTGAAGATCCGCTCCTGCTCGTGCAACCAGGAGCTTCGTTTCCGGGGAAGATGGACACCATGATGTTCGACGGACTGTCTATCATCAGGCCTAACTCGCATCATCGTGCAGCCTTTGTAGGACGGGACGCCTTCGAATGCAGCCATCGGACGGTGGCGAGGCGAGGGAGCCAAAGTTTGCGCGTCCTGGAAGGGTAGAGGAAAAAGCCCTCAGCTCATACGTCGGTCTGACTGTGCTAAAGGGCAGGCACTGTAGTTTGCGCAGAGGAACGGAAAGGCCCAGAAGTTCACACTATTGCGTGAACGCCGATCTCAAAGGCCCGACTGCATCACGGCACCGGGAGGGCCAGTTGTGACTTAACCGTCATTGATGGCGTGTCGCATTCATGAGGCAGGACTTTCCGCAACAGCGAATCACGCGTTGCTCAGAGTCTTGAGGACAGCCCGGAGGCGGAGCATGCTACTGCATGTATGCCCATTCTCATCGATCAACAAGAGCTATTTCTGAAAAGACCTATCAACAAAGAGCCGGTGGACAGTACGTGGGTCGCCGGTAGGGCCCCCTGACCAGGAAAGACTGAAGTGCGCGGCCTGATGCAGGAGTGGAACGAGCAGTGTGCTCATCACGCCGGGGCGAATTCCCGGGGCTCCAGTGTTTGTGTTACGTTACCACTTCAGCGCTCGACGGCAGAGCTTGTAAGAAGGCAGAGATGTAGTTGCCGGCTTCGTTGTTACTGCAAGGTCCACATTGACCCTGACGTCGATGAATCCACGTAGCGGCACCAGCACGAACAAGGTTTCAGCACGGGCATGGGCTGCTACAGTTAGTCAAGGAGCGCTATAGCACAGAATAAAAGCCAGAGCGATGTATTTGGGCCCACGAAAGCGTCCTTCATTGGCTCTGTGGACTTGGTAATGTCTTGCCCAGCCAATCCGCAACAATGTTGACGTGTGCATCGTTCTTGCCGCTAATTTCCTGGAGCAACGGCCTCCAGTCGCCAATTTCGTGGAGCTTGAGCCCGTGGAGGACGCTTTGCGCAGCAGTGGATGCACGTGACGTGAGGCCCAGGGTCACGGATGCTTCGTGGATGGCCCCACCGTGGACGCTCAGGATCACGTTGGTCTAGAACATGGGTTAGCGCTCATGACACTTCATCCGCTGGGATGAAAACTGTGACAGCAAAAAAAAAAAAAAGCGGGCTCAGAACGGAACGGCTCCGTCACTGCGAATGGGGAGACGTACCGACGGGGGAAGCCCAGCAGGGCGTGCGCTCGGGGCCGCATCTGGAACTTGGTCTTGAGCAGGCACAGAGAAGGTGAATTTCGGCGTTTGGAGATATGTCCAGTCAAGAGTCTGGCCGGGCGTTAGCACAGGACAAGCATAAGTGGAGTCTGAAACGCACCTTCATTTCGTCGCAGCCTTGCCGCAGCTCCGGGAGTTGAAGCTGCTCGTCCCCAAGCTCAATGGCCGCCGGGCCGACGGAAGGAACGCCGTACATGGCGCTGAACTCGTCGTGGACCGCGCTGACAAAGGGTTCGTGTGCAATGCCGATGTTGCTGACGGGTGAGCTGACACTCTCGACGCCGAAGCCCTTGATGTAGGGCTTTGCCGGCGAACGCAGGTACTGGGGGATGATTGCCAGGTTGGGCGACGAGAGCAAGCATGTGCCGTGGTGCAGCGCCCTTCCGCGGACAAGCTTGTAGGCCGAGCCGGAGACCTTCAGCGGGCGCGGGCCGGCGGCGGCGTCGGTGGTGAAGGGCGTGCGGTGCGTGTCGTCGGCGGCGACGGCGGCGGCGCGCTCGCCCTGGTCCAGCACAATGTCGTGGCGCTCGTTGACTCTGGCTCTCTCGATGCCCAGCCGTCTCAAGGCACGCACCACCATCTCGGCATGCTTGTCGCGGGTGAAGGCGGCGGGCGGCGAGATGACGGACCAGTTGAGGTTGCCCTCGTCGTGGAAGACGGCTCCGCCGCCAGAGCGACGGCGCACCAGCTCGACGGCGCCGCCGCGCAGCAGGCCCAGATTGACCTCGAGCCACGGGTTCTGGTTGCGGCCGACGACGATGCACGGGCGGTTGGCGTACAGGAAGAGCACGACCGAATCGTGCGCCGACTTCTGCAGCAGGTAGTGTTCGATGGACAGGTTGACGTACGGGTCCCGCGACCGCGACACGAACGCGTGCACACGTGCGCCCGGGCGCTGCAGCCGGTCAGCCAGCGAGCCAAAACATCGCGAGGACCTCGCCGGGAGCAGGGCTGCGCAGCGGCGCGGGATGGCGGGCAGGAGCATCGAGGAGGGAAAAGGGAGGAGTTTTCCTTTCGCCAACCGCCGAATCTGCGAAGAGGCAAGCCACACCACCGCCCTCGGCCTCGCCACAGTCCAACGTTGAAATAAACGTGCAAAGACATTTTCCCCCTCCGGCTTGTACTGACGCATCCGGTAACCTGACCGATCTCTTCGAGCCGCGTGCGCCACTGAATCGCAGGGAACCTTATTCACACGTCGCCCAAACACCCTTCCTGGCTTGTCGCATCATTGGCAACAGAGAGAACCGTGTCAAGCGAAGCAGCGCCACTTCTTCACCACCGCCGCAAGGAAACACGCTTGCCGCGTTTCTTCCAATGACCAAATCCCCATCCATTCGTCCAGCCTGTGCCCTTGAACAGATTCCGTTTCGAGTCTTGCCCATGTCAAAGATGAAACTGTGGGGGCTGTTCTCGTTCCATACTGGATTCTCGCGGAACTTTGCTCCATCCGCAGTATGTATTGGACGAGTGCTCGCAGTGCCATACCATGAATGCTTGTGGACACTGTTGGTTGAGGCTCGCTGTGAACTGAGCTCGCGTCGTTTGACACAACGCTGACCAAAAGCCTTGGGAGCCCTCGCCGAGTACTAGAGGTTAAACATGGCCCGTCAATGCCAGACTCTCTTTGTACCCCAAGGCAACTCCAGACGTGATGTGCTCAGGGAATCCAGGAGGATGGGCAGATAGGCGCGATTGATCGACTAGTAAACAATATACTCGATACTGCTTGATCAGACAACGATCCCTGCGTGCCAACGGCGCCCTGGCTGGGCATGCGGCAACAGCCGCAGCATTACCCTGAAAGGCAATTCCCCAAAGCTTGACAGCTTGCGGCGATGGCGACAGAAGATACCCGTAATAAAACCTTGTATTCTATTAAACTAAACTGTACAACGAAATGCACCATTTCTGGACCACCTTTTTGCGGATGGTAGAGATTCGCTGGAGAGCTGTTAGAATTTGCCATGCTCATCTAGAACACAACCGCGAGATAAAGCACGGCAATGAGTAGCGGCAGTGCACCTGCTCTGGTGTTCATCCCAAGCCCTTCTTTCACAACGGGCGCCGATGCAGCAGAAGATTGCGTTGTAGTCGAAGCTGCAGCTGTGGCGGAGCCGGAACTGGACGCTGATTCTGACCCCGAACCCTCCAAGGGGCCCCCAGCCGTAGTCGGAACCGCGCTGGAAGAGCTTTTTGCACTCGAGCTGGTGGATGCAGTAGAGGTCGGACTGGCTGAAGTTTCGGCTAGAGAGGAGCCACTGGCCTTCGTGCCAAACCCGATTCGGGACTTGTCATAGTCGAAAACGGTATATACGTTCTTCAGGAACACGGCGCCAACCAGCCATTGCTTCTCTCCAAAAGTCCGGCGACCAACAATGTTGCTTTGGCAGTCGCTTCCACCTACATTGCTGCCCACATAGTCCTTGGCCGAGATGTTGTAGGCAATGTCGCCGAAACTGAGTTGCAAGGGCTTGGTGGTGCTGCAGGGTACGGTGAAAATCTCGCCATTTTGTGACGACTGTGGAATAAGCTTGTGCAAAGCGGCAGCATCATCGCCAGGGATGAGTATGTAAGAGGTGCCGGTGTCGATGATGGCGGTTCTGTCGGTCAGGCCAGCTGATGTGCCATCGAAAGCAGCGTCGGCGACTGGAATCTCCCAGAAGCCGCGGTCGTTTTCAAGGGTGCTGGTCCACGCGAGATCGCCATCATAGCGGTCTGGGTTGGGGGCACCAAAGTTGAGCTCCCCATCGTTGAGATCATCGGAGCTGCGCGAGAGATGTATTCCGTACAGTTTGGCTGGAATGAGAGAGGCTTCGGCAAGGGCGTCCATGATAGTGCCGTCCGTGACGTCATTGGCTGTTTTGTCGGCCCGACCCAGTCCGAGAATGCCATCAATGGGATACGAGGAAAACTCGGATGACGCATACCCGGCAAGACCGAACGTCAGGTCTACGGAAAAATTGGAGATATGGACCTCGTCGGATGCAAGGGTGCCATTGACGTTGCCAGTGCCATAGGCAATGGAGAAGGTGTTGTCAGTGGACTGGGAACGATTGGTCAGCAACTGGCAGGTGCATGCTGATAGACAGATAAGAGGTGCCCACCTTGAGCGAGCTGGAGTCGGCGGAGCCAAGAGTGTTGTGCTTGGCGCATGAGTCGGTAGTGCACTCGGACCCCATAACCCACGTATTGGCAGCGCCGGAGTCCAGGAGAAGATGGTACTCGTTGTCGCTGCTTCCAAACCTCAGGGTGGAGAAATAGGAGAAGTCATTGCCGCCCGTGTCCACGGCAACGCTGTCCGTCTGGGTGGGCTCGGCGGCGGTGACGATGCTGAACTGGTTGTCACGCCGGACACGGGTGCGGCGGATGGGCACGGCGAGGGAGTCGAGGGAGTGGGCATCAGCGGCGGGCTCGCGGCGGGCACGCAAGGGGCTCGCGTCGAAGGCGTACGGGTAGAAGGCGGTGGCCAGCGGCAAGGCGGAAAGGACAGCAGTCCAGCTTGCGAGGAAGTGGGAAGGGACCATGGCGGATCGCTAGCAGATCTGGAGAGAACGAGGGAGCATCGGCACCGAGTGCAACGCACTTAAGCAGACCCGGTGGAGGAGTCGCGAAAGACACACAAAGGCGAGGCTGGAGGCGACTGTTTCCGGGGCAGAACGAGCGGCTGCGAGCGGTGCGGCCGGGCTCAAAGCGCAGACTGCCGCTTTTTGAATGCTGAGGACACGCGGCGGGCGGAAAAGTCTGCAGCCACCGGGGGTTTAGAGGCAGGAGAAGTGGAGGGACGGACGTCACTTGGGCGTCGAGGGCCGCCTCCCGTCCACGAGGGACCTCAGCCGGCGCGGGTTGTCTGGCGCAGCGGACACGGCGATCTACAGGCACGCGGGCTGCTGCGAGGCGATGGGTGCGCGCCTTGGCCGCTGACTAAGGCGCGGCGTGCCCCCCCATTTGCGAATTGCTGCAGCAGTGAAACGCCCCAGGCCCAAGAACGCACGCCATTCGGCCCTCGACTCGTCAGCATGCCGCGGAGCCTACATACACGACCGGCGCTGCGCTTACTGCGTACCATCCGCACGACATGCGTCTGGCCCGCAGTCCCAGAGTAGCGCAGTCCATGCGCAACGGCTGGCGACGATCGCTCGCGAAAGGAGAAATGGCGCGCCCACGTCCGGGGGCCCCTATCGCCATGGCCGTCAACGCGCGCGCTATCGAATATTGAACGCACAGCCAGAGCGCGGTCGCACGTCGAGAGTCGATGAGCCTGCGACGCTGCTCAGGCGAGGCGCTGTGGCGCTAGCAGGGCGCGAGGGGAGCCGGCGGGCGGCGCCATGGGGGGGGAGCGGGCGCGGGCGGAGGCGGCAGTCGCGACGGGCGAGCAATGGCGGAGAAGGCATCGCGGGGCTGGGCTCATGGCGAGATGTCGGGTGAGGCAAAGGCGCGGTGGGTGGAGGCATGGTGCGCAGCTGGTGCGCAGCTGGTGCGATCAACCGTCGCGCATGCGGGGAGACTGACCGGCGACGGACGGCGATTCGCAGCGGCGGCGGGCGGTGTAGGCGGGTTGCGTCCAGAAAGCGGGGCACTGGCCACCGGCTGCCCAGAGCTCCTTCTCCCGCCGTCCGTGAGCTCTCAACAAGCTGTGCCTGGCAGCTTACGCCTCACGCCCGCATTCCTACCGCCAGATAAGCGTGCCGGGAAGGGAAGGCTTCGTGGATGTGCGGCCGTCGTATAAATGGTGCCTCCCGCCCAACTGTCGGGGCCGTCGCTCCGACTCCTCAACAACGACCACCTATCTCTCAACAGCATCATCACTCGCGAGTCATTGCTGCTCCCGCTCGTCCTCTTATTCCTGCCGCCTGGACCCTCTGGACCCTCTAGACCCTCGTCCGCATCTCCCGCCTGCCATCATGTCTGCCAGCAGAGCTTCGTCCATGCGCGCCCTCAAATTCCTGTCCGCACACAGCCGCCAGGTCGTCCGCAGCCGCCAGGTCCGCGGTCTGCACATGACCGGCCCCGCGACCTTCCCGTCTCCCCTGCTCACCGCCGAGCGTCCCGCCATCAACCTGCCCAGGGATGTCGCTGGCCTTCGCGCGGAATGTGCCCGGAGGCAGCTTCCCACGGCCGGATCCAAGTCTGAGGTAAGCCACCCCTCCCCTCCCCTCCCGTACCACCACACCAGACAAGCCCCATGCCATTCGGCCATGCACGCCAGCCGCTAACGCACTCCTACAGCTTACCGAGCGTCTGACCGCTGCTTCGTTGCAGGCACGTGGCTTCAGCTCCGCCATCGAGAACAGCAAGCGGCCGGCCGCGGATGGCCCCGCTGCAGCTTCCGCTCAGCCGACCCGCCACTTCAACACCAGCCGCTCTCTGAAGACCGTCAACGACAGCTCTACGATTGACTTTGCCTATCTGCCCGAGAGCAACGTCGAGGCCGAAGCGTTCAATATTCGCGTGCCATTGGTCAGTTTCAACAGTCCTCGCGCCCAGACTATTGAGGAAGTCGAATCTGTAAGCCACTGCACCCCTGGTCCGGGTCCGGGTCCGGGTCCGGAATGATGCTGACGTGATTGCTCTGCAGCCCGAGCCCATGCGTCCGGTCATCAGCACTGTCTCTGCTGACACGACGTACTTCCATGCTCCTTCTGCTCTGGCGGACGTCGTGGACAATTCTGCGATTGACTTCCAAGGCCTTGCCAGTGCCGCTACCTCGGCTGCATCCAAAAGCGTTGCCCAGACCGAGAGTACCATCAAGAGGGTCTGGAATGGTTTCCTAGACGACCTTCTCCCCTCTAAGCCGGCCGGTCTCGCTGCGAGTCGTTAGGAGGTGCGCGGCGATCAGGCTGTGTTGGCGCCGCAGGGCCCTGACACCAGAGTAGAGTATATTTCCTAAGCGAAACGAAACCATAGACTGCACCGTGCTTGTTTCGGCGGGATGTTTTGTTTAGTGTCGCTCGTTCAATACCGACCATATTGTGCACGATCAATCCATTCGCTTTCTTTCAGTGCTTGGCACAGGACACTACAGGAGCAGATACGTCATGGACGATGAAGTCCAGAATGGCACGCTGCAAATGGCCGAATAGCACTTGCAAATTTGCTGGCTCACAAGGAAACGCTCAATTGCTTTATGATGCTAGAGTGGCTAGTCTAAACCGCTGTGCTGATGATCCTCAGCTTTCCGAACATTGCCGAATGAGGCAACGCGATTATTCGCCAAAGTTCAAATGTCCCTTCATCACCTTGCTGCTGTTGCTGCCCATGTAGTTCTAGTCCTGATATACGGGAAAGCTCAGTCGTCTGTTCGCTGCCCGGCATCAACACCAGGCTTGTCAGCTTATCTCCGATCTCCGATCCCCAGATCTGCCTCACGACCGAGACTAATTCATGAACTGCATACCTTTCAACAGCAACATGTGACACAAACAGCACAGTAATTCGCAAAATCAGTAACTATTCTGTGCCCCGCGCAGGACGCTACCCCACGGTTACAGGACAGATGCAAGCATCAAAGCAAGCACTTGCCAAGCTCAACAGCCACTCTTGGCATCCAATTGACGGACCTCAGGAAGCGGGAGGAGAAGCTAGTAATACTGCAGGGAGAAAGAAATCTATCTCGTTTCATCGGCAAGAAAGCCACACAAAGGCGAAGGGAAGAAAAAAAAAAATGCTCGCGAGCGTGAAACCGCTAACTCGCAAGTCCATAAACTAAGTGTTCACCCAGGTTTATTGTCCACTGAAGGATTCTACCACCTGGCTACAAAAAGGTCCATGTCAAGGACGTTGCGCAAGCGCAAAGCCGTCTTACCATCATTACTGTTCCCAGCCAGTCACGCTTGACTCACAGATCCCCGCTCTAGATCCCTAAACCCGTTTCATGGTCCAAAGGCAAGGCTGTACTCTACCTATCGGCTCAAACTCAGGAGCCCCTCGACGTATTTCCTCGCATCAATACCCACACCCTCAGCTAGACCACGTGGACCCCACCCAGCTGCTGCGCCTCCTGTGGCCACCGCGCTGCCACCGCCTCCTAGACCGAGCCGCCAAAGGCTGCTGCCACTGCCGCTAGCTCCGCCGCCATGCCTGATGTTCCGAACATTAGGCGGACCCGCTTCGCGTGAGCGTCGTATGAGGAGAGCCTCGCGGAGCGTGGCCGTAAGGAGATTTCGCGATTCCGTTACCTTGTGATTGATTGGGAGTTTCTTGGATATAGCCTCCTCCTCTTCAGACTCGTGCCTGGAGGTTGACGGGGAGAGATGCTTTAAGGAGGACGCTGATGTTTTCCCTGATAGATGTCTCCCCTCTGAGGCAGGAATAGCTGGTGAAGTGGGAATTACCATATCGTCTGGCAAAGATTTGGATGGCGGAAGGCGCATCCAAACAAGCCACCAACCACGGCTGGTTTTGGCTGTGCGCTCAATATCGCTGGGTGCCCGGCGGGCGCTTCCGAGTGTGGCAAGAATCTGTGAATGAACATTCAATGCCTCGACACGGGTCCAGCAAGGCCCATTCACCGTGCCGTTAGGCATACTGAGCCCTTCAGCCCCGGCTGTTCCTGGCTCGGGGATATTTGGAATGCTGCTGTGGACAGTCAAGTGAATTGGATCGTAGATAAGATCGTAGATGGGCTGTGGGTTTGGTCCTGATCCGCCTGCAGTAGTGGAGTATGGGTTTGATGATGCCGCAATGCGTGCGGCAACACGATTAGGCGAGGTACTAGTAGTCAGAGGCTTGTGCAAAGGAGCCAAATAACTGTGGAGATGGCGATAGAATGCAGGATAAGAGAGGGTTGCCGTGCGGGACTCGAAAAGCATTGTTGTAATGAATGGACGATGCTGTTGTAAGTGTTAGCCATTGCCGATATCGCTTTCATTTGCTTTCACCTACAACATAGATCACAATACGCAGCCTTTCGTACTGAGGCTGCGGCTGTGATACTGTATCCTCTGATGACTGCTCACCATCTGATTGCTCTTTCTGTTTTAGAAGCTTGACATGCAAAGTCCGTAGTAGTGTGCGGCTTTCCCAGCTGGTGCCGGGATTGCCTTCTTCTTCAGTGCCTGCATCGTTGTCCTCATGCATGATGACCTCTTCAAGCCCCCCCTGGAGACCAATGAGGAAGTGGCCGTTGGTTTCTCGCCTGATTTGAGCCTTCACGGCTTCTCCAGTAGGGTCAACATCAGGCTGGGGGTCTACGTGGCGCAAGGATGCCTGATGTGTCTTTTCCAGATCTTCTTCAGCCTGGCCCTTGATGCTCTGTCCCGACAACCGCTGTTCGGGCTTCGGACGGATCCCACCCCAGGAAGTACTGTAACCCCAGGTCAAATACTTCATCCAAGTGTCACCATCAGACCTCTCCCGCTCGTTTACAGTCTGCTCTTGGTCCTGATTGGCTTCTGCGGCACTAGAGGCCTGGTCAAGGGATTGCTCTACTGCTGTGACGATGGGGCGCGGGATTCCGGGCGGTAGGGAACTGGAAGTTCTCGGAGGAGTCCCTTTCGTGCTCTTCTGAGAAGGTGTACGTTTGTGTGACTCTAATCGATTGATCGGCTTGCTCGTCCGTTCGCGACGCCTTCGTCTTCGGCGATCAGAGTGTGGGTTTTCTTTGACACCATAGGCATGATCGCCATACGTATACAGTGATTGCATCCAGTCCGAAATGGCGCACAGCGAAGAGCGCGATACAGCGCCTACGCCGGAGAAAATCACACCGTCAGCTGGCTCTGGACTGCGACCAGCACCCATCCATGGCTCCTCTTCATCGGCAGGCACGAGCGACTGATTTTGACGGCTGGCGGGGTGCGGCTCGCCAAAGCGACAGACGACCATGTCCACCATGCCGTCGGTCCTGTTTGTGAAGTCCTCAAAAACCTCTCTCTCGCCACTCCCCCACTCTTCCTCGCCCACCCCCATGCCCAGCTCTCCGCCAGCAGCAAGCTTCATTGCAGGGTAGATATCGGAAGCCGGATTTCCATGCAGCAAAACATCCCAGTCCTTGGAGAAGCGCGCCCAGAATCGCTCCAGAGTGCTGCAGAATTTCTGGCGGGGCAAGCGCACGTATAGATCAGCAAGTGAGGGACCATGATGCAGGCGAAATATGGAGTGCGCACGCAGCAGCTGGCGCAAAAGGAGCTCGGGAGGAGCGACTTCGCGCGCCGAGTATTCGATTGCCGGCTGGTCATCAGAGGAGCTCGGGGCGACAGGGAGACGGGTCAGGTCGATCGACTATGTGGGGGTTAGAGCGGAGCGCGTGCTGCAACAAAGGGCGCGACATTACAGCCAGGACCCACCAGTCCTTCTCGAGCTCATGCATGACAATGCGCGACTTTTCGGTGTCGACATGGTCTACGGGCTCGCCGTCGGAGAAGCTCCTGGACGCGATCAGACAGAGGCGACGGGGATTGGCAGCGTTGGTACCTGGCGAAATCAACCATTCCCTGGGCCAGGCCGATCTGGCGCAGGCGCTCATTCTCGTCGTCGTCATGGTGGCGAGCGGCTTTGTTCGCGTGGTAGAAGACCAGCTGGTCGCGAAAGGCATCGTCGTTGGCGGACAGGGCGGGACAGAAGATGGCAAGGAAGGCCAGCTGGGCGGGGACAACCCTGGCGGCCATCGAGGGCAGACGGGGAGGAGGAGCAGCAGGCAGAGCTTGGTGGTTGCGTCACGCAGCCGGGGGTGCGACGGGGCGCTGTGGCACTGCGAGGGCGTCACGCAGCAGGCCAGGGCGAGGTGGAGGAGGGCAGAGAAGAGGCCATGGGGCAGGCCAGCGGCGCAGGCAGAGAGAGCTAAAGAAGCGGTTTGGAAAGCAGCTGCAGCTTCCCTACCTGCACGCCGATCGCCGCAGCGTAGCCGAGCCCACCCTCAACACCACCGCCGCCATGATCGTCCGCCGCTGCGCTCGCCGCTCCTTCGCCGCCGCCGCGCCCCCGCCCAAGCTGCGCCTGCTCTTTTGCGGCTCCGACGACTTCAGCATCCACGCCCTGCGCGCCCTGCACCGCGAACACGTGAGCAACCCGCGCCTCATCGACACTCTCGACGTCGTCCATCGGCCCGGCAAGCGCACCGGCCGCGGCCTGAAGCAGATCCGCCAAGGTGTGCCCCGGGACGCGTTGTACCGCCGTTGCAGAGCTCACATCCTCAGTCCCCATCAAGGCCGCCGCCGACGAGCTCGCGCTTCCCGCCCATGAGATCGATACTTTCACCGGCTGGGTCCCCCCCGCGCCTTTTGACTTGGTTGTCGCCGTGTCCTTCGGTCTTCTTGTGCCGCCGCGCATCTTGAAACAGGCCACATATGGCGGCCTGAATGTCCACCCCTCCATGCTGCCTGATCTCTACGGCCCTGCGCCCATCCACCATGCCCTGCTACGAGGAGACGCGAAGACGGGCGTTAGCATCCAAACCCTGCATCCCAAGCATTTTGACCAAGGCGTCGTGCTGTCCCAGACTCCTTCCCCCGGCATTGCAATCCCCGAAGTCGCCACCTGCACTCCCCAGCGCCTCATCGATCATCTGGGCCCAATTGGAGGCGCCATGCTAGTCCAGGTCCTCCGAGAGCGCGCTTTCATCCCTCCCTTGAAGAGCGCGGCTTCAGAATCCACGGCTGAGCCCCGCCATGCTTCGAAGATTACAAAAGAGCATAGCCATGTAGACTTTCATACTTGGCCCGCCGATCGCATCGTGCGCACGCTGCGGGTAGTGGGCCAGTTATGGGACACTGCTCTTTACTCAGAGATTCTGCCCGAAGCAGGCTCTCCTAAGAGGATCGTCATCCATGCGGCGAGAATTGACACGGGTGCGCCGGCAGAGGCGCATCCACCGGGCACGTGGTGGGCCGACAACAAGCGTCAGCCAGTACCCGCCATTGGCACCGTCACCTGCGATGGCAAAGTGATATACATAGAATCTTGTACTATAGAGGGCTCCCGCAAGGGAGAAGGTACTCGGTTGCTATCCCAGGCGCTGGCTCGCACATCTGGTCCAGGTAGATAGAAACATTCACGTTCCCAGTGCAGCGTTATCGTACATGTCCGATGCTGGGAGGTCTCGCCGTCATTTTTGTATAGCCAGTCTCGTTGAAGCCTCAACCCCCCTTGTTCTTCCTTGGATTCTTTGGATTCCGGTTCGTCCTGTAGGTTCCCTGCCGTTTCCCTGCTCGGGGCTTCGACCTCGTCCATCGAGTCGGCGCTCTCCATGAGCTCCTGGACCGGCTGTACCAACGCCTTGTCCAAGTCTCTGTTTCGCACTCGTCTGCCCAGCGATCCACAAGCTCCGTAATCGACCGTGCACGCGCAGCCTCGTTGTTCCCGTCTTCGGCCCTGTCCACGGCGCAACGGCACCCACAGGTCGAAGCATAGTTTGTTCGAACATGGGCATCTGGACTCGAGCTCATTGTAAGTCTACCGCGACGATGCAATCACGGCGAACGGGACAGAGGTTCGGTTGAAGGGTTTATTATCGTAGACGTGGAAAGGCAAGCTACTAGCGAAGTGGTTAGTGAGCAAGCGTACGCACTGACCAACGGTACTTGCGCGCCCCACCACCACCATCACCACCACCACCGCGTCAACCCTCGCCCGCACCGCCCAAGCTCACCCCGTCGCCCGTCACGCGTTGCCCGTTGCCTGTCGCCCCACGCCGCCCGTTTCTGCTGGGCTGCCACGCTCCCGCCATGAGCGTCATCCTCTGCACCGCTGGCTACGACCACACCATCCGGTGAGCCGTCCTGCCGCCCTGTCGTTCTGCTCTCCGTTGACCGTCGGCCGTGTAGCTTCTGGGAGGCCCTGTCCGGCATCTGCTCGCGCACCATCCCGCATCCCGACTCGCAGGTCAACCGCCTCTGCATATCGCCCGACAAGCGCTTCCTGGCTGCCGCCGGGCACCACACGGTCAAGCTCTACGACATCAAGAGCAGCAACCCCAATGCCGTGCTGACCTTCGAGGGCCACACGGCCAACATCACCGGCGTCGCCTTCCACTGCGAGGGCAAGTGGATGGTCACCAGCTCCGAGGACGGCACCGTCAAAATCTGGGACACGCGCACCGGCAACGTCCAGCGCAACTACAGCCACGGCGGCATCGCCGTCAACGACGTCGTCATCCACCCCAACCAGGGCGAGCTGATCAGCTGCGACCGCGGCGGCAACGTGCGCATCTGGGACCTGGGCGAGAACAAGTGCTCACACCAGCTGATCCCCGAGGACGACGTCGCCGTCGCCTCCGTCACCGTCGCCAGCGACGGCTCCATGCTGTGTGCCGGCAACAACTCGGGCAACGTCTACGTCTGGCGCATGATCCAGGACCGCGACATCACCTCGCTGGTCCCCGTCTGCCGCTTCGTCGCCCACAACACCTACATCACCCGCGTCCTGCTGTCGCCCGACGTCCGCCACCTGGCCACCTGCTCCGCCGACCACACCGCCCGCATCTGGTCCGTCGACACGTCGCAGCCCCACAACGTCACCGGCGCCGAGCAGCTGCCGCTGGAGCGCGAGCCCGGCGCCTTCCCGCTCGAGACGACCCTCCACGGCCACCAGCGCTGGGTCTGGGACTGCGCCTTCAGCGCCGACTCGGCCTACCTCGTCACCGCCTGCTCAGACCACTACGCCCGCTTGTGGGAGCTGAGCTCGCAGTCCATCATCCGCCAGTACAACGGTCACCACCGCGGCGCCGTCTGCGTCGCTCTGAACGACACCGCAATCAACTGATCGCTTCTCCGCTCCTGTGAATTCTTGTTGCTTTACTATACCCCGGCCTGTTCCTTGCTTTTTTCTCTTTCTTTCTTGCTGACTCCGTTTCGCCTTGACAAGCGTACTTTTGTAACCATTCGTCGGAAAAGGACATGGGCGGCAGGACCAATGGCGTAAAGGCGACTCGGGTCCGGGATATGACACTGATTTCTGGCTCTGAATCTTCATCAAAGACTGTAGATCGCATAAACGTTTTGGGTACTTGTCCTGACACAAGCACCTTAGGACTGTAAATGCCGGATTGGCGCCCACTCGACGTCGGGTAACCACTTGTGATCCAACTCATCGGGCGGAAAAGGCAGATTCGATCGGAAGTTTGAAACGCGGGAAGGGAGCTACCTTTTCCAGGCGTTGGGCGCCATATGGGGTATTCCAGACCAGCGGAGAGTTGTCGCTTTTGGTATCTGGACGCTTAAAAGAAGAGCTCTCGCAAGTTATTACCCCCTGGAGGTTGGTGCGCAGGTGTCTACCGTCTCGGGGTGCGAAGTCAGCTCCATGGATCCGAGGAGCCGCCATGTCCTGCTCTCGGGAGGGCTTGGTGTAGATGTCCAGCGTACATACAAGCAGGGCTATGATGCACCAACGAGCGAACATCCAGGCCTTGCGTTCCATAGCTACCATTTGCCACACCAGTCAGGGAATCTCTTAAGTCATGGCGCCCGCAATGCCTGCCCCAAAGCCCAAGAACAAGTTTGGGCATCCTCGAACTCTCTGCCCGAGCGCAGGGGCCAGGGTTCTCCGCTCTGCCTCGGAGCTTCGAATTTTGGTGAACGCTGGTGAGCCCTGCCTGAAATGTACCAACGCGCAGAGTGATGATATCTGACAGGAAGCATAAAGGTAAACACAAGTTCAGCATTCCAAGGGTGAATGAACCGCGAACCGAGTCACGGCAACGCAGGCGATGCTCGGCGAATACAGTGATGACATGGCCTTTGAGATGCTGAATTTCTTCGTGGACAGTGGCAGCAACTTCCTCGACACGGCGAACAGCTACCGAGAGGAGGAAAGCGAGAAGTGGCTACGCGAGTGGATGGAGCTGCGGCAGGACAGAGACGACCTGGTCCTTGCGACCGAGTATACGCAGTTATTCAAGGCTGGCGCGAAGCTCCGGTACAACTAACCAAGGCAATCACCGAAAGAGCATGTACCACTCGCTGAAGAAAAGCCTCAAGAGCCTGAAGACAAGCTACGTCGATATCATCAGTGGCTCGCGCAGAAGCACACGCCACACGTCGTGCTACTACTGCGCAGTCCTACGTCTTCCCCGTTGTCGGCGGCCGTAAGACCGAACACCTCAAGGCCAACATGGAGGCGATAGACGTCGTGCTCTCTGGAGTAGTTTCCCATGGAGCTAATATTTAAATCCCACGGCGCGCAAAAGTACAACTCTCGCATGACATCCAAGGATGTGGTCGTCCTGAAGTGTGCTTCGTACTTGGAGGAGCTAGAACCAGTCAAGGCATGTTGCAGGTCTCCGGTGACCAACCTAGCTGGGTATTCTTAGCCTATAGCAAGGCCCAAGGGTTGATCGGATGTTGTCAATTGGAATTGTCATTACGAACGAGTGGCTTGCATGTTGGGAGCCCCTGCTGCCGTGCAAATGGATAGACCTAGTCCCTTGCACGCGCCACTTCCACGTGCTTCACTGCTTCCACACCTTTGAAACAAAGTCCTCGAAATCCGCCCAAAGGGCCTCCGGCACCTCGAGGGCAGCAAAGTGCCCTCCCTGGTGATCGTCAGCATCCTCGATGAGCTCGCCCCTGGAAGCAAGCAAGCTCGACATACCTCGTCATGTTCGTAGAAATGCGTGATGCTCTTGTCCTTTCTGACGAAGTCCTTGGGCACTGCTGCAATCTCGTGTGGAAACCACGACACTCCTTTGGGCTTGCCGTTGGTGATGGCTTCATACGCGTCCTCGACCTGACCGGAGAGCAGCTGTGCGGAACGGGGTCAGCTGCCGGATCCTCGTAGACGCAAAAAACAAGGGCCCACCACTTACCAGCCGATAGGTCCAGATGGACGTCGGGTAGGTGCCGGTGAACCAGTAGACGGACACGTTCGTCAGGATGGTGTCCAGCGACGGGACATGAGCCGGATCCGGCCACTCCCGCATCTTCTCCCCGATCCTGCGGCATCGAAATCAGCACGAATTAACCCGCCGCCCTTCGCCGATGAGACGGGGCGCCTACCAAGTCAGCAAGGAGACGGGGCTGTTTCCGATTGCGAGCCCAGCCGTGCTCGGCCTCGACGCGTGGAGCATGGCGTAGGCCATTCCGGATTGGGTGAATTTCTTCGCGTTCTCGACGGCCTCTTTCTCCAGCGGGTCGGCGGGTTCTTCGCCCGACGCCGGCGCGGAGGGCGCAAAGTAGATGTTGAGATGGGCGGCTGTTTCCCGTGTGCAGCAGCCATTTGTGAGCGAAGTTGTTCAGTGACGGGGAGGACGTAGGTATAACTGACCCTTTACTGGCTCGTACACAGCAGCCAGAGTCTCCGCAATCGGACCGCCCAGGTCGCCGCCCTGCGTGATGTAGCCGCGTTCGCCGAAGCCGAGGGCGAGCATGGCCTTGTGGAACAGGCGGCAGTTGTCTTTGATCCCGAAGTCCTTGTCGAGCGGCGGCGGCGAAGAGAAGCCAAAGCCGATGATCGAAGGCACGATTACATGATAGGGCAGCTTCTCGGGCGAAGAAGCGTATTTCTCCTTCAGCTTCAGGAGGATGGGCATGAACTCGACGAAAGAACCTAGCAATGCATGAGGAGACCGGTATGGACCAGGGCCGCGAGCGACATCAAGGCGGGACTTACCGGGCCAGCCGTGGCTGAGGAGGACTGGAATCGCATCTCTGTTCGCTGAGAAGAGGGCAGCGAAATGGACCGAGTACTTTTGCCCGTCGTCGTCTTGGACGTCAACCTTGAATTGCGGGATGCTGTTCAAGGTTTCTTCCTGCTGCCGCCTTGCCCATGCGACTGTGGTCAGCCCCGGTCGTGGAGACGCGCGAAAGCGCCGACTCACCAATCGTATTTGTTCTGCCAATAGTCGACCGAGTCGACCAACCAATCTCTTGGAGTGCCGAAAGACGCATCAGAATGTCCGTTCTCCCAGTTTGGGCGCGGGATGGGAAGGAGTTTCAGAAGCGTCTTCAGTTTCTGGACCTCGTCGTCCGGGACGTCGATCTTGAACTGCGACAGGCTCCCGGCGGGAGAGACGGGATGGGGAGGTTGGGCAAAGAGCGGAGGCGACATCTTCGACGAGGCGTTCGACTTGGGCGAGGGACACAGGGCTTATGGGAGCGAAGGCTGCAATTAATAGTCATACTCACACCTCCCTCAGCTATCTTGGCATGCCCAAAGTAGACGTTGCTCGGGGAAAGCGGTTCCGTGCATGCGTGGGGCCTGATGCACAACGTGCCCGGAAACTTTCCTGACCCCGCCGCTGACCCGCAGGCTGACGGCCCTGTTCGCGATTCGCAAGGCCCGTCAGGCCCATGTGAGCTGAGGTGATACGGAATTGCATCCTTTCGAACCGCCAGTCCAAGGCGGACCATTTCCCCGCACGCATAACGGCGCCTCGTCACTGCTTGACCACGTATTCTCGCTGGAAACCCTCCTTCTTCACCTGCACGTACGTCAATCCGTCATCCAAATGATAACCCGGTCAAACCATGTAATAAGGGTTAGGTCGCTACATGCGCAACGGCTATCTAATGCGTCACACCCTACCTACTATGTCCATCGTACAAGAAGCAACATGAATCCATTCGCCCATAACGCCCGTGAGCCCAGTGTGAATACCCAGTATCAAATCAATCATCCGGCCCATTGAACACTCAATCCAACACCTATTTTACTGCCCTTTGGTCAAATATGAGAAATCAACCGCTGCACATGAGGCACTCCTCCTTGTTCTCGATGCTGCACTGCAGCACTGCATCCGCGTAGATGTCGCCATCGCGCTCGTCCGAGTCTTTGCCCTTATCCTCCACCTGAGGGTCCTTGGGGTGCTGGGCCGAAGGCAGCTCCTCCTCCTTGGGGACTGCGCCATCCGGCTTGGTCGAGAGTAGCTTGGGGCTATCGCCGTCATCCACATCCGCCTTGAACTCAGGAACCGGGATTGCGTCCTTCCGTGGCGTCATGGGGTTGATCTTCCTCTCCTTGGACGGCGTCGTGGGCGCAGGAGGCGTCGACGCCGGCGGTGACATACCATTCAGCTCCGGCGAGTCAGACTTTTGCGCGTACATGGGCCGCGGGATTGACGCGCTCTGGTAGCCGGCCGTACCAAGCGTGCGGCGCTTCTGGGTGCGAGCCACGTTGGTATCGGCAACCTTAAGAGCCTCCTGGTCGACAGTGAACTGAATCGGTGCAGCGGCCGCCTGCGTACGGAGATAGTACATGCCGGTCTTGAGGCCGAGCTTCCAACCAGCAAAGTGCATCGACGTGATCTTGCCCATCGTGGGGTCCTTCATGTGGATGTTCAGCGATTGCGACTGGTCAATAAAGGCACCACGATCCGCAGCCATCTGGACTATAGTGCGCTGCGAAAGCTCCCACACAGTCTTGTACAACGCCTTGATGTCGTCGGGGATGTTAGGGATCTGCTGGATGGAACCGTTAGAGGCGATGATACGGTTCTTCATCTGATCAGACCACAGGCCAAGGTCGACCAAATCCTTGAGAAGCCAGGGGTTGACGACCTGGAACTCTCCAGCCAGGACACGGCGAGAGTAGATGTTGGACGTGTACGGCTCGAAACATTCGTTAAAGCCGAGAATCTGACTGGTCGACGCAGTCGGCATGGGTGCGACGAGCAGAGAGTTGCGGATACCGTGCTGAGCAATCTCAGCCTTCACGCTGTCCCAGTCCCAGAGATCCGTCGGAGTCTTGTTCCACATGTCGTACTGCAGGATGCCCTCAGACGCAGGACTACCCTGGAAGGTCTCGTAAGGACCATCGCGCTTGGAAAGCTCAATCGAGGCAGTGATGGCCGCATGGTAGATGGTCTCGAAGATCTGGATGTTGAGCCGCTTGGCTTCGGGGGAATCGAACGGCATCCGGAGGGCCAGGAAGGCATCGGCAAGACCATTGACGCCCACCGCGATAGGGCGGTGGCGCATGTTGCTCTTCCTAGCCTCAGGCACCGGGTAGTGGTTGATGTCGATGATCTTGTTCAAGTTCTTCACAAGCACCTGAGTAACCTCGTGAAGCTTGTTGAAGTCGTAGACACCGTTCTCGACATCGACGAAGGTCGGGAGAGCCAGCGAGGCCAGGTTGCAGACCGCGACCTCGTCCGGAGCAGTGTACTCGACGATCTCGCAGCAAAGGTTGGAGCTGCGGATCGTGCCAAGATTCTTTTGGTTGCTCTTGCGGTTGCAGTGGTCCTTGTACAGCATGAAGGGGTTACCAGTCTCGACCTGGGCCTCGAGAATGGCGTACCAAAGCTTCTGGGCTCGGACCGTCTCACGGCCACGGTCCTCCTTCTCGTACTGCTCGTAGAGAGCCTCAAACTCATCGCCATAAACATCTGCCAGACCCGGGCACTCGTTGGGACACATAAGGGTCCAGGTGCCGTTCTGCTCGACGCGCTTCATGAAGAGGTCGGGGATCCAGAGAGCGTAGAACAGGTCGCGAGCGCGGACTTCCTCCTTTCCGTGGTTCTTGCGCAGATCGAGGAAACTGAAGACGTCGGCGTGCCATGGCTCAAGGTAGATGGCGAAGGCACCCGGGCGCTTGTTACCGCCCTGATCAACGTAGCGTGCAGTGTTGTTGTAGACGCGGAGCATGGGAATCAAGCCGTTGCTAGTACCGTTGGTGCCGGCAATATAGCTGCCAGTAGCACGGATGCGGTGGACATTGAGACCGATGCCTCCAGCCGTCTTGGAGATCATGGCGCAGGTCTTGAGTGTGTCATAGATGCCGTCGATGCTATCCTCCTTCATGTCGATAAGGAAGCAAGACGCCAACTGAGGCTTGGGAGTTCCAGCGTTGAACAGAGCTGTGCTAAGTGTCAGCCGGATGAGACCCTGCTACGGCACTCAAGTGTCTTACTGGGTGAAGCGTGTGTGAAGTATTTGAGGGACATGAGGTTGTACGTCTCGACGGCCTTCTCGATATCCTCGCCGTGAATACCAACAGCGACACGCATAATCATTTGCTGCGGTCTCTCGGCCACCTTTCCATCGATGCGGAGCAGGTATGACCTTTCCAGAGTCTTGAAGCCGAAGTATTGGTATTGGAAGTCGCGGTCGTAGACGATGGCCGAGTTCAGCTCCTCGGCGTGCTTTTGCACGATTTCATATGTCTCCTTGGAGATCATAGGCGAATGCTTCTTGTTCTTAGGGTTGACATAGTCGTAGAGATCGGCGACGACGGCAGAAAACTGCTTCTTGGTCTGCTTGTGGAGGTTCGACACGGCGATGCGAGCGGCGAGAATGGCATAGTCGGGGTGGGTGACCGTCATGTATGCTGGGACGTGTCAATGGCTGTGCGTCAGGAAAGCTTTGTAGGTCGGAGCTCACCAGCTGTCTCGGCGGCCTGGTTGAGAGATGGTCAGCGCTTGCGATATCCAACAGACGGTTGTGGCTGCCACTGCTTACCAAGTTGTCCAGCTCAATGGTCGAAACGCCTTGGTATACACCGGCTGAGAGTCAATAGCATTAGCTCGCAGCTCATCCATGGGGTGCTTTGGCACAAGCGGGATCCTTACAGATGACCTTCTGGGTGATGGAAGCGGGGTCGACATGCTCCGGGTCGAGACCGTAGCACAGCCTCGACACGCGGGCAGTGATCTTGTCGAACTGGACACGCTCCTTGCGTCCGTCTATCAAGCACAGGCGTTAGTTCCAAGTGTACGGCAAAGACTGAGTGGTTTGCGGCTGCGGGAAAGTCGACATACCGCGCTTGAAGACAAACATGGTGGCGGCAAGCTGTTTCTGTTGTTCTCTTTAGGGGCCCGCAGTTCCAGGAACAAAGAAAGGAAGCTTGAAGGCGGGCGGGGGGTATCACAAAAAAGGACAGGGTGGGTAGAGAGAGCGGTTGGGAGAAAGACGCGGCGAGCAGAGCGAGTTTTGTAGGCGGCGCGCGCGACGCGTCTGGCGTCGAGGGCCGTGCGCTGTTTGTCGACGCGGGTTTAACCGGCATTCATCCTCGCAATCCATTTCACCCATTTCAACGCCCCCCGGCCAACTGATCCCCGACATCGCTGCTGCTACTGCCCCTTGCTGCAGAAATCTGGGGAATCAAGTCTTTTGCGCTCCACATGGCCGTGTCCGATCCTGCCGCTCTCTGCAGACCCCACGGTGAGGTGTCCGGCATCGGGAATTACGTCACGGGTGGCCCCGATACACGCTCTGCTGTCGCGGTGACAGCCATTGTCGAAACACTATCACGATCTCATTCGAAAAATAACAATGGCTACAAGGCTTGGGGCTACTACTGGGGACGAATTGTGATGCCTTTGCAACCAGAATCCATGGGCGTCGGAAAAGCACTCACATTTCCTCTTTCGGAATAGCTTCACTGGTGTACAGTTGACCTGCATTAACTGTACTGTGAACTACCGAAGTAGAGCTGCGAACGTGTAGAGCGCTTGAGGTCACTTCTACAGCTCTCTGAATTCTGTATATCAAGACAAAAACCGACGAAGCCTACCAAGTAATGTGAGTCAACCATCGGAACGCCGCAGTGGCTATAACAGACCAATCCAAACCCAGACAACGAAGCTTCGCCAAAAAAAAAAAAAAAAAAAGTTATGCGACCCCCAACAGAGCCTGTCACATCAATCAAACTTATCCAAATGATATTCAAGCCGCCGCAGGCTTGGGAGCAGCCGCCTTTGCTTCCATTTTCTTCTTCATCATCTTCTCCGCCCACTCTCGGCTTGCCAGCCTTCCCCTTTCCGCTGCTGCCGCGCGCGCCTGCTTAGCCGCTTCCTCCTTCTCACGCTTCTCTTGTTCCAGGCGTTCTTTCTCTACCTTGTCTCTGTTGAAGATGGCCTTGGCCTTCTGCTTCAGCGCCTGCTTGTCTGCAGTCGTGACCTCGGACTTGGTGACAGGGCCAGACCGGAAAGAGAAATTCGAAGACGGTGGGTGCGGGCCTTGTGAGGAAGCTGCTGACGGAACACGAGGCTTAGCCGTAGTGGTCGAGGTGTTGGCGGCAGCGTTCAGCGCAGCGGCTGTTGTTGACGAGACGGACGAGCCAACAGAAGACTGCGACGACGTGGCACGCTGTTGAGCCCCAACCGCCGAGCTGGAAGCACTGGATGAGCGCTGTGCAGGAGCAGGACGGGCAGGAAGGGTACGGCTGTGCTTTGCATCAACAGTGCTCTGGCGTTTACCGCCAGCGTCGGGCTCCGCGCGGATGATGCTGCCACGCTTGAGAGTGCCATCTTGCGCGTCCGCGCCACCATGCATCAAGCCTTCGCGGGCACGGCTTGCGGCTGTCTGACGAACTTGTGCCGACGCCCCAGGTTTCCTGATGAAGCTTGGAAGCGGACGGGCCTTGAACTCCCGCTTCTTCTTCTCCGCCGCCTCCTTCTCATCCTGTGCCTTGCTTTGCTCACCATTGGCAGCTTTCTCCGCTTCACGCCTCAACCGCTCCTCTTTCTGAGCCTTCAACTTAGCAGCGATTGCTTCTCCAGGCAACTGGAATGTCGACGTGGTCGGCTGTTTCGTCGATTTGGGAGGAGGTGGCGGAGTAGGGAAAGACACAGACACTGGGCGGCGCTTCATCGCAAGATAATCAACGACCTGGCCCGCAGACCGCTGTTTGTTACCTGTGGAGCCTTCTTCCTTGGTCGGCGCGGCCCGAGTACTCGCTGAACGAACGTGTGAAGGCCTAGCAGTAGGCACTGGTGCCGTGGCAGATCTCGCGGTAGGCTTGGGATTAGGTGCAGCAGACTTCGTGGCAGGCTTGGTAGGAGGCTTCGTAGATGGGGCCGTAGATGCTCTTTTAGGAACAGGCTTCATAGTTGTGGACGGCCGAGGAGCAGCCTTAGGCTTTGCATTAGTAGAAGCAACGTTCTTCTTGGGCGCAGGCTTTGTCTTGTTAGAGTCGTCCATAGCCGGAGTCTCAGCGGCGCTCAATGACTTCCCAACCTCCTCGAGAGCGTCCTCAAGCGCATCCATTTCCTCGAATGAGTCCTCATGCTTCAATGGTGGGAGATCCACCGGAGCATCAGGAGTCGCTGCTTCCGTTGATTTGGCTTTCGATGCTTCCTCTATGTGCCTCTTCTTGGCAGGACTCATAGAGATTTCGTCCAGGATCTGTTGCTCCACAGGATCAAGTTCAGGGGAAGATGGCGTCTCGATTTCCAATGTGGTTTCCACTGCCGGCGCGGATTCGGTAGCCTGGGTAATTGCAGCCTCCATAGCCTCAGTGGTTTCGTCTTCAGGTGCCACAGATTCGGCTGGTCCAGTGGACTGCGACTCGATTGGTTCAGTGGGAAGAGATTCGACCGGCTCGGCGGTGATGAGAGACTGCTCTGCTTCAGGTTCAGCAGCACTCTCCTCAAGCTCTTGGTCAGGTGCTTGATTTTCTTCCATAGGGGCAGGCACCTCCTCGGCTCGCGGCTTTGGGACTTCTTCCGCTTGAACTCTACTTTCCTCGACTCGAGGTTCTGGAACTTCTTCCTCAGAGGAGTCGGCTTCCTCGGACTGAGGCTCTCGCCCTACTTCCTCGGAAGCCTTAATCTCCTCCACTCGAGCGTCTGACAAAGGTGGATAGACTTCCAAATCGGCAGCCTCTGCTATGCCTTGCTCGTTCTGCAAATACCCAGACTGAAGGACTTCCCCATGAGCCTCCTCGGTGGGCTCTTCTTCCGCGTGATTGCTGGTTGCTTCCGTAGTCGTGGTGGCTTTTCCTTTCTTTTGAACAGCCGGTGCATCCTCTTCTTGGACAAGTGCTCCATGTGGAGTTTCCTTGGTGGGATCAGGCTGCGACACAGACTCCTCAAGGGTGTCAGGCTCATTGGCGATTTCCGGCTCCAATTCCGGCGCCTTTGCCTTTTTGGATCTCGTGGATCTCGTCCTCTTTGGCGCAGGAGTCGGCTTTGATTCCTCTACCGGGGCAGCCTCAACAGCCTCGGGCTCAACGGGCTCCTCGCCTTGGGCTTTGAAATCTTCCTCCGTCTGCGGTTCCGGTTCGGGTGCCGGAGCCTTCGCCTTCCTCCCTCTTGTTGACCTAGTCCTCTTCGGCGCTGGTGTCGGCTTGGGGGCGGGCAAGTTGTCTTCCTCAGCCTGGCTTTGCTCAGCTTCATGCGCAGGCTCGGTTTCGAGCTCGGGCTCTTGAGCCTTTGCCTTGCGACTCCTCGTGGACCGCGTCCTCTTTGGCGCCGGCGTGGGGGCAATTTCCTCTTCTCCTGACAGGCCCGCCTGAACCTCTGCTTCAGGCACAGCTTCAGCCTCGGGTTCGGGCGCGGGCTCACCCTGGGCTTTCTTCTTGCGCCCGCCTCTCGTTGCTCTCGTTCTCGGTTTGTCCTCAGCCTCGTCTTCCTCAGCCTCAGGCGCAGGCGCGCTCTTGTTCACGGCGGCCGGGCTCAGCGGCTCGCGGGGCGCATCCTCAATGGCGGCCGGGGTTTCGGGACGCTCGGACGACTCATCGACGGCGGCGTTGTTCTCGTCGTGGTCTGCGATCTCTTCAGCGGCTTGCTGGGCGCGCGCAGCGGCGCGGGTGTTGCGCGCCATCGTCCCTGTGGTTTGTGTGTTGAGGTGTGGGAACAAGCTCGGAAGTGTGAATTGCTGATAGCGCGGTACAACGCGAACGCAGGGCAATGGTGGCTGAGCGTGCTGAGAGGACGGCGGGAAGCAAGGTAATCAATGTCTCGCGGGCGCTGGGGATGCTGGGTGGTTTGCAGTCGATTCCCGCCGTAAGGTGCGCTTTAGGGGGCGGGCGAGATTGCAGGCGGCCGGTGCGCCAATCAATCAGAGAGCGCGTCGTATTTCGCCTAGTTCTCCGTGATCGGCGGATGCGGATGCGGATGCAGACGGCGCAGCGCTGGTGCCGCGGCGAGAGGTTGAACAGCCCAGCTGTGGGCAGAGCGTTCCAAGGCAGTGTCGGCGACTCGGAACCGACACGGACAGCGTTGGGCGGGGCGGGGTGTTTTTATTTTGCCATTGCTTGTTCCGGGAAGGCGCCGATCCCAGCGGCAGTGGCGCGACGCAACAGGAAACGGTGGGCAGCGCGGGCAGCGCGCGCTTTTCGCGTGATGCGCCTCTCGAGCCCAGACAGGACGCGTCAAGCTTGAGACACGCGCCTGCGAACTACGACGTCTCTCAAGGCCGCTGCCGTAAACTAGCCCTGCCGGCCCACCAGTCCGCTACCCCGCGCCTGGGCTCCGCTTCCCCGCATTTCATGCTGCTGCCAGCATGGCCCGCTTTCTGCAAGCCAGACGTGCATTATTCCGTGAAAGGACTCCGTGCACGCCCACGTGGCAAATGCCGCCGGATCTACTGGACTAGCTTCCCATCAGTGCGTAGTCTAAGATTGGCTTCGCGCTCTGCAGAGTAATTACTGCAGGCCAACTCGTGAGACCGGCGCTCATGGGGAAGCTAGGGACCACCGCACACACTATGCTGCTATACATACACACGCGCTGCAAGACCGCAGCTCCAGCTAGCGCTGTCCACGAGGCAGGCCGACATCGCAAGCCATGGGCTTTGAGCCTCTACCGTTGCACCCGTCAACCCTGGGTGCCCGGGTACATCAATTGATCGCCTTCGGCAAATTTAGCAGCATGCATCATGTCATTGGCTGCAGATAGAGCCGTCCAGAGCTGGCTGCTCAAACGCTGTGATCGGCCGATGATCGAAGACGGTCTGCATGTGCGCTTGGGCATTGTGCAGTAGGTCCACCCGGATAGGTTGCCGAATGCGGAGATGGCTTGTAGAACCATGCCGCACATCGCCCATCACCCGTATCTACTCGAAGATCTCTGCTGGTGAATGTAGGCTACCAGGTCTGGCGAACAAGATGCATACCGCCTGTCGCATGTCTAATTCCGTTTCATGCGAGATCAGATTCTCAACTTGCTTCGACGCATCAAGCCACAAAAGAAAAAACAATCAAGGGCGAGTGCGTATATCTGCGGCGGCTGCAATGTATGTCTAAACTGAATTTTCAAGCGCGACTCTAGCATTGTCGTGCAATAAGGAAATAGCGTCTGACTGTACACTACCTGGAAGCAGGCTGGGTATCGACTAACACACCGTACACCCTCTGGATAGACATTTGTAACACCATGTCGACGGCAATGAACAAGAATGAACAAGAAGTATCAAATCGGCCATTCGTCGCCCCGGCCCCTTCAGCTCAAGAGCCAAACGAGTAGCCCGCCATCAGCTATGCACACGGCCGAAACCACTGCCGCCACACACAAGCCAGCGATCAGGCCCAGGCTTTGCCTTTTGCTTACTGCGCAAAGAACGCCCATGATGGCGAAGACCAAATTGGCAACCACACCAACCACAACCATGACGTTGACTTCTCTGCGAAGTTTCCTCCGGCTTGTCGCAGCAAGTGTCCAGGTAATGAGCAGCACCATGACCGATGCAGCCAGCGAAGTCATGCAGAGCCGGAACTTGGTCGCTTCACGCTCGGCACGGCGCTGCTCGAGGTCTGCAAGAAGCTCATTCAGGTCAGAAGGGTTGGCTCCCAAAGTCTGTACCGGGCTGGGGCGGTAGCTCCAGCGAGTCTCGGTGACCGAGTCCCTTGGACGGAAGAGGTCAAGAAGACGGTTACGACGATCAGGCCGATGGGACTTGCCCGATCCATGTGCATTGTTGGCGTTGTCAGGCATGGTGCCATAACCGTGGTTCCAACTGCGGGCGGAGGAGCTCGGCTCGCCATCGTCGCTATCTTCGACGCTATTCGCTGTTGGTGAAGCAAGGAGCGAATCGTGCTCTGAAGGCCTGCGGCGCGACCCAATGGCTTTTTTCAGTTTGCCAATGAGCTTGCTGATTGTTTCTTGCCCCGGAAGCTTGATTGATTCATACGGATCCACGTAGATTACGTACGCGTCTTCGTCCTCGCCGTCCTCGGGATTGTCATATTCATTCCAGTAGCCTTGGATGTTGGTGCGAGATTCCTGATCTTCGTTCATGGCGAAGTCGCGCAAGTTTGAGCGCCTCGGTTTCTTAGAAGCGCTCAGCGTAGAGGGCTCGATATCGTTCATGGATGTTGCGGACGATCCACCATGCAGTGTTGTATAACGACTAGTCTGGCCGTCCGTCACGGAAGAATTGGACACTGAAGTCTGCCGCGAGCTACCCGCTTCGAGATGCGGGATCCCGCTTCCGCAACGGGAGCTGTGCTTCGGTACGGCTGCTGGGACCTTTCTGATATCGCGCTCTAACGTTGGAAGCTATGCAATGTCAGTATCACTATTGTCCACGGCAAGGAGCGAGGAAGGGAGCGCCTACCCAGTATGGTGGCTGCATAGAAGATGGCTTGCAACAAGTCCAGATGGCATGCGCCTCCAACGAAAAGCCTCTGATGCGCTCGGTCTGAGGGATGAGTCAGTGTCAGGGTGCGTGAAAAACTGGGTGATGTACTTACAAGATGACTGTGATCAAGGGTACGGATCAGGTCATTCGTTTGCGCTCCTTCGTAACGGACTTCTAGGACAGCGAAAGGGAAGGCAGTTGCGTCCCGCCTCATTTTCTTAGGCCAGTCACTCTCGACCAAATCAGACAAATCGGGCGTCTTCAAGTAGATCTCGCGATCCAACACCGCCCAGACACCGTGATCCGAGTCGTTATCCATGCCAACGAAGCGGCTGCGCTTTGCGCTGAGTCCTGCGATGGGATCAAAGTCCTTGTGAGTCAAGAGCCATGCGCGAAGATCATCGACCGGGTCACGCCCCGAAACATCAGACTGGGAGGCATTCTCTTGGATGGGCGACAAGCCAGACGCCCTCCGAGCATGGAACGGTCTGTCTAGAGTGAGAAAATCACTGAGATGCTTGCGTTTTAGCTTGGTGCACACGGATGCTCCGCTGCTCGCTGGCTCAAATTCACAGGGCACGCAAACAGCGGCATCACCGGCAGCATTCCAACGAGCACTTCCCAAAACACGAGTTGCAGGCTTCCCGGGCGTTTCCTCCGCATCTTCGACGGTCGTAGCACTTCGCTGTTTGGCATATCTCTCCGAGTCATCGATGAAGATAGTACCAACGCTGTCTGCCCTGTCATTCAGACCATCTAGCCTCTCGGAGGAATCCCGCCGCTTTGGAGTTTCAAAGGGAGATGTCGGCTGGGACTTGGCGAGTTTGCCTTCGAAGAGTCGTAACGTCTGAAGAAGTAGAATCTGAATTTCCACAATCTGCTCTGTATGCACCCAATAGGTAGCCCGGGCTCCCGACGGCCCCAGAGGAAGTGTTGCCAGCGCAGTATCGAGATCTACTTCGTTCGCGGTTTCGGCTGCGGCATGGATTCTGGATGGGACGGCCTTCAAATCGGTCGACCCGGCGGACTCGACCAGATTTTCATCGCTGAGAGCAATCCTGGGGGTATCAGGAGCCTGGCCGGCTTGGTAGGCCGTTCGCACAGCATGTAACGTGTCGCTCCAATAGTTCATCAACGGGGCAACGTCAGTCTGTGAAAAGGTTCCGGGCTGGCTAAGCACCTCCTGCTTGAAGCGTTGCTCCAGCGAGTCGGAATGCGTCCATTTCTTGTACTTCTTGAGCAGCTTCGCGAAAGCAAGACGCTGCGCGCCGACGAATCGGGCCAGCGACCGAACTTCCTCGCCCGCCCTGCATACAGTTAGTCTACGTCACCGTGGCCACGCATAACCACCAGTACATACCGCAGCACGTCGCCCTCTATCTTGCCATATTTTTGCCGGCGCCTTTCGGATATGTTTCGGTCCCCGGGGGAGGTAGCGCGTTCGCGGAGGGTAAACTGGTTGATCTGCTTCGTTACATGGTCTGCATGCGGGTCAGCACAGAGGCGTGGGCACGAGGTTGGGTATCTGCTGGCATACTCAGACGGCGCTCGATTTCGCCCGACTTGCTGCGCACAAAAAGATCGATGCGCCGATGCTCGTCGGACAGGATTTCGAACAGCTGGTCCTCGAATTGGCGGCGGTTCACGTCGGGCTGGCCGGGAATGGACACGGCCTTGCCATTGCCGGGGGTGGTGTGCTCCTTGATGAGGTGCTTGATCTCGTCGTAGTCGAGGTTATCTGGAGGGCATCAGCGCAACGACGTCATAGAGGGACGTGGGCGCGACGTACACGGCCCCCATTGCGGGATGGATCGCTGGCGCAGGGTGTCGCCGTACTTCATACTCCAACAGCGCCGGCGCGAAGGTCGGAGATGGGGGCGGGCAGACGGATGGGAGGAGAGCAAGGGAGCAGCAGGTTGGGAGCAGCGGGTAGCAGGTTGGGAGCAGCGGCGGGCATGTGGCTGGCGGCGGGAGAGAGCGGATGATAACTGGCGGGCAGAAGGCGGCGGGCTGGAGGCAATGAGTAGCGCAGAGCAGTCCGTGCGACTTCTGTAGCAACGGCAGGGCGCTGGCTGAGTCGGGCATGGACGGCCATACTGGCGCTTGGCTGCTTCGCGGTTGATAAAGTTCTGCCAAGCCGCGCAGGGCAGCCGAAAAGCTGCGGTGACGCCGCGCAGATCTCACGGCGATGCGCGTACCGTCGCTGTCGGAGATCGCGAGGAATTGGCCAGCAACGGCCGCGCCTTAAGCTCCAACGCCGACGGCTGCCGCAGCCCAGCCGTTCCCGACGCCTGCGACCACGGCGGGCGCGGGCACTGACAGGGGCCTTCGCAGCTGTCGGCGGGGCGCGGTGCCACAGAGCTGCCTCTGCGGATCGCGGGCTGCTGCAGGGTCTGGGCACGGCGCCGGGCTCCCGGGCTTCCTTGCCTGTGCCTTGCCAGTGCCTTGCCGGTGCCAGTGGCCCAGCGGCCGCAGACGGCTGAGGGCGGGGCAGCGTTATCGATGGGGCCGCTTGCTGCGAGGTGCGCGCCATCATCATCTTGCGCAGGCATGTGAGGCCCGCTTGCGTAGTATTGCGATATGCTCCCCCGTTCCTCACGGCCAACCCGCGCCCCGCATTTGCGTGCTTGCCGCCGCGCTCAGGCCCCCGAGGCGCAGCTGATTGTCCGTGGTCGCGTGTCCAGCTACTGCTTCAGTTGCACCCCTCGCGACGATTCTCAACCAGGGCCGCCGGCGCACAGATCTGGCTCAACGGTGCTAGCGCAGTGCTTAGCATCCGCCATCACCCACCCGCCAATCAGCGCCCGCGGACACCTGCCTGTCCTGTCCTGCCTCAGCTTGCCTCTGCTTTTTCTTTCCTCTCCTCCCACCACTTTCATGCGCCCAGCATTGGCTTGGACGCCGTGGACGTCTCAGGGCTCGTGCCTCGAAGCTTTGCCCAACACTACGCGCGGCCGGAACTTCCAGCCGGGCGTTCACGACACGGCATTCCGTATACGCTCGAGTCTCCAAACAATCACTCCACGCCGCCGCCGGGACCGGTCGACTCCACTATCGTCCGCCTTGCCCTCGCTCTCCATCCCCTCACCCCCTGTCGCAACACACTGGACGCGGCTCGTTGCCGTGTACCATTGGCGTCTCTTTGAAGTGACCCGTCCACTTCTGTTGGCACCTTCCTGATTGCCCACTTGAGGCAGGCTCCGCCGCTTGGCAGTCGCTCCTCGTATCTGGAGTCGCGCATAGGTATCGCAGGACCTCGGGGGTCCGAAAAGTGACGTGCCGCAGTGGATGCCTTTTCTTGGTTTCCCCCCCATCACGACAAAGATCCCAGTATTGGTGTGGTTCTTCTGCTGTGCCGCATCGCACACCACATGCCGTAAAGGAAGAACATACTACGTACGGCACGAGTGGGCCCGCCGGCGCTGTGGCCGAGTCCGCGCGGCTCATGTGGATAAGCCTAATTCATGGAGCCCGCGGGTGGCGAATACACTCAACACAGGCATGGTTGGGGAAGATCGGATCAAGCCGCTGCAAGCTGTAGAGACGCATAGGATCCAGGCGGCCGCGCGCGATCGAGCAGAAGTCTATTGATGGCAACAGGTCCACTGGCCGAGCGCTCCGCACATCTGCTGCATGACGGTACTTTGCATGTGATTGAGCCAACGACGTAGTCATGGTAGTCGATCGCCCCTGGCCCGGTTCTCCAAGTCGTGTGATGACTTAGCTTGTTGAGGGTGGGAGCTGCACGAGACAAACCATGCGGAGTGCGGAGACGTCGTCTTCACCACCGTTTCAACCGTCGGGCCGCACCGCACCATAGGTTGATCCTCGTAAGAGTGCACAGAAACGAGTCGCCGTGCATATGCGAAAAGTGGGCTCTATCCGGACACTGCTCGTACTGCGAAGGAAAAATGATATTACTGCAGCCAGCGATATCGACGAATGTCTCATGCATTTGCAACAACCGCCCGCATCTACCGTCTGAGATTACGTGAGATCAATGAGTGAGCCTGCTGTTGGCGAGACAATCAGATACATCACCGGCCTGCGGGATGTATGTACCTGCTCCACCAAGTCGAGACCGTTGCGAGCATCAACATGTGCCTTTGCCTTGCTTGGGGCAGAAGTTGACGTCTTCCGATGGATTCCATCCGTCCCAACGCAGTTCTGCATGCTAACATGCTGGCCGTTTGCGTGCCGGCTGCTGAGCCGAGCAGTGCTGTGGCTGACTGTGTGGTGTTGGGTGCATCGCCGGAAGTCTGGCACGACGAGACCCTGGTCTGACATCCATGTTGCAGCCGGCGAGTCAGGGCGCGTCCTGCGCGCACGTGTCCGAGGATTGGCTCACACACTGCTGCGCCGCAGGTCCGGAAGTGGGCAATCAGACAACACCGAAATGTGGGCCCGGTAGGCAGTCGACAGCCGCATCGAGGTTGTGTAACGAAGCGGGCGAGGAACCGGCGGAAGCGGAACTCCGCCCTGTCCTTCCGCCGGGCAGCGCTTATCGTGGCCGGCGATAACGACGTCGAGGCGGAAATCCTTGGCCCGCCGCGAGGAACCGCCGAGCACCCGACCCTAAATTTTTCTGGAGAGCACTGCGACACTGGCCTCGACAGCCCACATCCGCACGCCACACACCATGGCCACTCTTTCGTTCTCGCCGACGGGCTCGATATCGTCGCATACCCTGTCGTCTCAGTCTGTCCAGCCGCCGTCCTCCTCCGACCTCAACTCCGCCGCAGCGCAAGCTCTCGTTACAGCCCTCTCCGCCTCTCCGCACGACTTCCTGCAGCCCACTTCCAACCTGCACAATGCCACACTCGCACTAGCGAAGCACCTTCTCGATCCTTTGGCCTCCGGCGTAAGTGAGGCCCAGGTCAAGCGCCAACAGGAAGCGCGCAAGAAGAGGAAGCGCGGCGAAGGCGACGCCGAGTCCGGTCCGGTGTTGCAACTGAAGAAGGTCCATCTCGAGGGCTTTGGCGTTGAGCAGGTCTGGGAGCAGTCCAAGAGGGTCCTTGACGCCGCCCGAGCCGAGGTTGAACGCGACTTGCCCGAGGTGCTCGCCGAGGCCGATGGCGCTCTGGCCGGTGGCTTCTCCGGCCAGAATGGCGTCAAGATGGTCAGGTTCGGCGAAGACGGCTTCGAAGTCAGCGGATCGGATGAGGGTGAGGAGGAGGAGGAGGAGGAAGGGGGGAGCGAATTGGGCGAGGAGGGCGTGGACTGGGAGTACGACGGCGACGATGTCTCCGAAGAGGCGGACGAGGACGTCGAGGAGGAGCTTGAAGAAGGATTCCACACTGAGGACGATGATGAGAGATCGGATCTTGATGACATAGACATGGGCCGGGACGATTACGATGAGGACGGTGCGTCACAGGATGACGAACCTGCTGCTGAGTACATCCCAGACCCGCATGGTCTGAACGATGGCTTCTTCTCTATCGATGACTTCAACCGCCAGGCCGAGTTTCTGGAACAGCAAGATGCAAGGGGGGATGATGACGGCGAGGCAAGTGACGAAGAGGAGGTCAACTGGGCCGAAGATCCCCTAAACTCGAACTCGCTTGTCGCCAAAGGCCTGCAGAAGGAGGGCGCCGAGGAGGCCGAAAGCGAGGATGAGGAAGATGGCCCAACATTCGGCAACATGGACCTTAATGCGCCGGAAGGAGCTAGCGACGACGACATGGACGATGTGTCCATTGCTGAGGGAGATATGGACGGTATCGGCGACATGGGTAATGCCAACAATATCATGTACGGCGACTTTTTCGCGCCACCGGCAAAGAAGGCCAGCAAAAACAAGAAGGGTCGACCTCATCCCCACAACTTCCCTTCCGGGCATCAGAAGCCTACATCAGCGCCGAACGATCAGGACGTGGAAAAGACAATGGCCGCAGTTCACCGCGACCTGTTCGAGGAGTCGGACGATGACCAAGATGCGTCGGATCTTAGCGACGTCGATCCTGACGACCCCAAAGCGCGCAAGTCGACCCACGAACGCCGCCAAGCCAAGCTTGCGGAGGAAATCCGCCGCCTGGAATCCCAGAACGTGGCAAAGAGAGAGTGGACTCTTTCTGGTGAGGCCAGAGCGGCAGATAGGCCGCAGAACTCACTGTTGGAGGAGGACCTAGATTTCGAGCGCGCCGGCAAGCCCGTTCCCGTCATCACTGCAGAAGTCAGCGAGGACATCGAGTCTCTGATCAAGCGTCGCATCATCAGCCGCGAGTTTGACGAAGTCATCAAAAGACGACCCGACGACCTTGCCACCGGTCCCGTTCGCCGCGGAAGATTTGAACTGGAGGACACCAAGGCGCAAAAGGGTCTCGCAGAGGAGTACGAGGAGGAGCATCTGCGCAAGACCGATGCGAATTACGTGGATGTCAAGGACGAGAAGCTCAAGAAAGAGCACCGTGAGATCGCGTCGCTATGGCGTGACGTCTCCGCCAAGCTCGACGCCCTCAGCAGCTGGCACTACAAGCCCAAGCCCGCAGACGCCAACCTCGAGATCCGCACCGACGCGGCCGCCATCACCATGGAAGACGCCAGGCCCACAGCCGGCGGCGACATTGGCGGCGCCAACATGCTCGCGCCGCAGGAACTGTACGCGCCGGGCGAGGAGCGGACAAAGGGTGAAGTGGTTACGAAGGGCGGCATGCCGATCGCGAAGGAGGAACTCAGCCGTGAAGACAAGAAGAGCCGGCGGAGGAGGGCCAAGGAGCGCCTGCAGAAGGCTGGTGGGCCGGAGAAGCAGGAGAGCAAACAGACGAAGGAGAGGAAGGCAGTTGTCAGCGACCTCAAGAAGGGTGGCGTCAAGGTCATCAACAGGAAGGGCGAAGTCACAGATGTCGAGGGCAAGGCTGTCAAGAATGGGAGGGCGCAAGGTGGCGCTGGCAATTTCAAGTTGTAAAGCATCTTGGCTGGTTTCTCGGTGTCGGGGGTAATTTGCATATAGATTCGGATATAGGTCCGCTTCATGTGGCAAAATTCCGGAAAAGTCGTTTCATCTTCAAACCAAACGGCCCTGCTTCCACTTCCTGACCGTGAGAAGATCGGGCGTCCAAGAGCCGACGGTGCGGATGACATCTGTTGCATGGCAGGTCTCTTCTGAGGTCGAAAACTTGGGGCCTGGAGCACCTCCCGCAATCCCAGAGACCTCGAGAACGCGACAGATCTGATTTTGGGGTCGAAGTGAGTGCGGCATGTCAGGAAATAACCTATGTAGCAGCCAATCGCACCGCCGCCCGCCTGTACGAAATGTTAAAACGAAAGAGACTTAGGGCTGATACCTACCGATGATGCCAGTCTCTCTTGGCTTGATGGGTGATAACGTGGAAGGCATTGTAGACACAAACTGTCGGTTGGTGAGTGACGTTAGAATGTGATACTTGAGAGCTGGGAGCTGCGACTTAAGAGACGAAACAAGTAACGGCCCATATGTTTTAATTGGATGGAATCCGATCTGAAGGGAATTGATGATGGTTGTTTGGATGTGGTGCGGCTCGTTATCAAGGAAAGAAGGCTGTCTATCTTGCTAATTCATAACGCATCACAAGGAACCCTTTATAGTATTATGTATATATACGCTCTAAATACTAATATGCACGACAATCCCAATAGACTATGATATCTCATCCCCAGGGTGCTGTACCTAGGTATCCAAATCACCAACGCTGACGACTTCAAAACTTCAAGCCATTCCAAGCATTCACTACCGGCCCGCCTTCAAGAAACCCAGTCCGGTCCATCCATTTCCAATAAGAAAAAGAAGAGAAAAAAGGACACCAACCTCTCATCCGGTGCATCTCTCCTCCGGTGTGATCCACTTTAGGTCCAACCCCTCAAATACCTTCTTCTCTGCATCTTCCCACCCTAACCCTTCTCCGACGCCATCTGGCCCCTCCAGCACGACCACTTCTCCAGTCCGTCTATCCCTAACCCCACTACTATCATACTTCCACCCCTTGACATTTTTAGCATACCTCCTCAAGTCGCGCTGGAAAGTCGTTCCTCCGCTCCATCCCGCAACGGCAGAACCGACAGTTCGCCACGGTGAGATGATGATGTCAACACGGCGATGAACGTTCGGGTTCTTCGCCTTGGGATCCTCGGCTAGAATCGACTCCTTCGACGGCCACTCTGGATCCTGCCACACGACGAGGGCTTTATCTAATGTGTCAAATCCCGAGCTCTTCGGGCCAGCCATGGTGCTCGACGCGCGGTAGGGCAGGACGGACTGGCCGCGCTGCGTGTTGTGAAGAGACAGCAGCAGCGTATGCGTTATCCAACTCTCCTTCTCGAGACTGGCTATCAGGTCCGTGATAAGGTTCTCCGTGGCGTGAAAGTCGCGGTGGGTTACGATGAGGTCGACGTCGCCGGTGGCCTCCTTGCCGCGGCGATACCCGCCCACGATGATGACGTCGACCCGCTCGTCGCGCACGCGGATGGCGTGGTCCCGAACGATGGCTGCAATGCGCTCAACCTCGGTCCGCGGAATGCCTTGCTGGAACTCGTCGTAGTACTTGACGCCGATTTGCTGCACGCGCGATAGCGTGTCCCACCCACATTCGACCACGTCGTCGAGGTCGCGCCAGCCGCGATCGAAAAGAAACTCGCGCGCGCTGTGGGCGCCGACGCCCCAGATATTGTAGAAGGTACGGAGTATTTTTAGCGTCTCGTCCTTTTCAGCGTCTACGACGGCGGAAACGGTGCCTTCGTCGGCGTTCTTCCATTCGATCCAGAGATTGGCAATCTTTGCGTCACAGCCGGGGAGACGGAGAATCTCCTTTGGGTGAATGATTCGGCGAGGGTATGCAGCTATAGCAGCGATGGAGGTGCTGTATGCGCGTACGCCGACCTCGTCGCCAGTAAGAGTGCGCATCAAACGTATGGACTTCAGCTGTTCGATGAAGCCAGGGTTGGGCGAATTGGCAGGGGTTGAGCGCTGGCAAGCATACTTGATTCCCCTCGCGACCCAGTCCGGAGGCAGGGGAACGTCGCTTGCAGGATTTCCTTCGTATTCACTGGTGGTTTGCTGGAGCAGCGAAATTTTGTGAGAGTTGGGGCGATCATGAGCAGGAGCCCAGCGCGTTGTGCTTGGGTTTTCCTGAGTGCCTGCTGTCCCGAAATGGGCATCGGCTTTGGCGCGTTCGAGGATGCTGTGGCCTGAAGCAAGACGCGGCTTGCGAGGAGCGGGAGTGCGTACGTGGGTTGATGATGGAGACGCACTGGATGGCTTTCCTTCGTACACAATATAGCTCCGCAGAGGCAGGAGCCTGCCAGAATTCAAAGAATCATCAAGCCATTCCATTCTGATGACCTTGATCGTATCGTCCTGAAGTTCGGCGAGGGAAAAATTTCTGTCTGCACCGTCAGCAACAGGATCGCCAGTCGTTGCTTTGAGATGGGCTCCGCTCTCCACCCTCCGCCTTTTGGCTGGCGGATCCGGGTTATCGAGGTCTGCATCAGGTACAGGCGGCAGCGTTACTTCATCAGTATCAAGGCGGCGTGAGCGTAGCTCCATAAGAGCTCGTCGTTTGGTGCCAACCTTTCCTAGAAGCAGCTTGGCCTCAGACACATCATAGGTCACCTGGCCACCATATTCGGTGATCCTCTCTTCCAACTCGTGCAGGTCATCGGCAGGGAGGTGAGCTGGCAGGACAAAGAATGGCGGCAGGGCGGTCAGGTCCAGGCCAGAGGCGAATTGAGGAGGCGAGCTATGTGTGAGAGGAGATGGGGCATGAGGGGAGGAAGAGGTCATGACAGGTGGAAAGAGGTCCGGGGTGAGAGTAAGGAGTGTATAGATGCAGGCGACGCGGGAACGTGACCAGGTTGCAGTAAGGCCAGGGGCATAGTGGGCGGTCATGAAGATGGATGGGAGCGGCTACGCCTTGGCTGACGTGAAGTTGACGGGCGGCCAAGTCCGGCCACGACTTGTTTTTGACACGCACCTTCTTAATTTTTCAAGCTCCGAGACTAACCAAGGTACGTTACCATCCATAACAAAATTCTATCGCATCCTCAGCCGCATGTTGCCTCTTGCGAGAAAACCGCCAGCAACAGCAAGCATGCTCAGCGCGCTCAAAGCAATCGTCGTGTTGCTCACCCGCGTCTCTTCGACCACGCGCCCGACCTTGGTGTCCCTCTGGTTCACCACGTCCGCTCCAGACCCCTCGAGGACGAACTCGTCCCAGTGCACCGTCTCCAGCTTGTGCTGGTAGTCCACCACCGTCTGGCTCCAGTTGTTGGTGATCTTGCCTTCGTCGTTCTTGTACCAGCTCTGGCAGTTCGGGTCCGCGAACGAACTCTTCTCCAGCTCCTGCTGCAGCTCCGCGTTGAACCTACGCACCACCTCCGGCTTGGGCAGCATCGCCAGCTGCTTGCCCTGCTTGCGCGCCTCCAGCACCTTTGCAACCATGGCGTTCAGGTACCGCGACTGAGCTTCGATCATCAGCACGATCGAGTTGTGCCCGAGGTTGGTGTTGGGCCCGTAGAAGATGCCGAAGTTGGGCAGGCTCTCTACCACAACCCCCAGATACGCGCACGCCCCCTGCTTCCATACCTCCGACAGCGGCTGTCCCTGCGCCCCCGTGATCTTGATCGGGTGCATGAATTCGACGGATCGGAAGCCCGTCGCCAGCACGATGAGGTCGAACTCCTCGTCGTCTCCGCCTTCCACCGCGATGCCCGTCTCGGTCATGTGGCTAATCGGCTCCGTGACGAGCGAGACGTTGTCGCGTGCCAGAGCAGGGTAGTAGTCGTCCGAGATGATGACGCGCTTGCAGCCAGGGCTGTAGTTGGGCGTGAGCTTCTGCCACATCTCGGGCTGGCCCGGGAAGTGCTGTCGCATCGACCCGAGGCACCATTGCCGCAGCTGCTCGGCAAAGGCCGACTCGCGGTCAAAGACGGCCGAGTAGAACGACTCCCGGTAGTCCATCATCGACGCCCGTGTACGCCACCGGAGGGGCGGCACGTAGCGGTACGCCAGTCGCATCAACGGGGAGACAGGCTTATCAAGCCGCGGAACTACCCAGTTGGCTTGCCGCTGGTAGACTGTGACTTTAGACGCAACCTTCGCAATCTCTGGGATTATCTGCACCGCGGAAGCCCCTGGCCAAACGTCAGCAGTGACGGATTATGTGGGAATGATGAATGCTTACCGTTTCCGATGACTGCAATCCGCTTCCCTTCCAGCCCATAGCTCCAGTCCCACCGCGCTGAGTGCATCTTCTTGCCCTTGAAGTCATCTAGCCCTGGGATTCTGGGATACTGCGGCACGTTTAGTTGACCAACTGCAGAGACCAGGAAGTCGGAGCTGATCGTGTAGCCTTCTGAAAACTCTGCGTCTTTGTCGCCCGAGACGCGCACAGAGGTTTTCCATTTCTTCTCCGCCTCATCCCAACGCGCTTCTTCAACGGTGCTATTGAAGCGGATATGTTTGTAGAGACCGTACTTCTGAGCCACGCCTTGAAGGTATCCCTAACGGACAGAAAATGGTCAGCAAAGCAGGGGAGTTGCAGGAGCGAAGGAATCGAGGCTTACAAGGATTTCCTCCTGCCCCGGGTACAAGCGCGTCCAATCGGGATTTTGTTCGAAGGAATAGGAGTATAGTAAGCTCCAGACTGTCCGAATATCGTTAGCCAGCCCGACGGCCTTCGGCACTTGTCGCAGCCACTCACTGTCACAGCAGCACCCAGGATACTTATTATCAAGCCTTGAACAGTTCCGAAGTCAGCATCGGCGCAGATTGCACATCAGTGAATTCGACCGCGCTTACCATGTCCCTGCATCATGACTTTAGTATCAGTAACCAGCCTTCATACATAGCTTCGTCAAAGAAAAATGCGTACCTCCAACTCCGCTGGCCTTTTCCAGAATAACGAAGTTCTGACACTTATTCCGCTTAAGCAGGTCAATCGCCATACACATGCCCGAGAAGCCGGATCCCACGATCACAACGGCGGCTTGTGTGTGGTCCACGTTGCCCACCGGAACTTGGGGCCAAGGCTTCGAATCGGGCATCTTGCTTGGAGTCTTTGATTCGTGCTCGATGGGTAGGCTCTTATGTATGCCACCACTCGAGGTCGTCCTAGTAGCAGCAGATGTACGTGCGCGAACAGACCCTCGCCGGTACGTCGAAGACCTACTGGAGAGAGGAGGAGTAGGCTGTGATATGGTGTGTGTCAGTCTGGAGAGAGCGATTACGTCTCCCACCCTGCCTTATAAAGACGTATGCGGATCCCGGCAATGAACACACGCCCGGTCCGAGGCCACTAGCGTATCGTTTCGGACGATTCTGGAATCCCAAGAACAGAAGGTCCCGGAAACAAAGTCGGTGGGCATGTGCAGCTCCTGTTGCGGAACCGGCCAAAACGCGGGGTTCTTTCCTAAAGACCAGCCTGTGCCAGCTTCATAGACAGCAAAGTTACGGGTGACTTGTTCCTCGGCATTTCCAGATGCGGGGACAAGCGTATAGTGCCATGCTGTGTCCTGCGCGTCCGGATAGTGCGGAAGCGCAAGGCCAATTGCTTGGATGATCAACTAGCTTCGTGACCAAGCGACCACCATCCCAATCGGTCTATCGAGTGCATGCGTGCATGCATCACAAAAGTGGGCATCCCGCCTAACCGCATACTCTTGTCCTTCGCAACGATGCCGATACCAAGAAAACCGTAAACAATCTCGGGGAGCCTCCTTTCACCACGTAGAATCATCCACAGCCGATTGCTTTAATGTGGTGGAATCGACATGCCGCTCTGATTGTCCTACCATTTCCCAATGGGGCAATGATCGTGCGGCGAACCCCGCAAATGCGGGCGTAGCGGAAGGGGCCCCGTCGATGACGCGCGCGTGGGGACGACATGGAGTGGCACGCAAAAGTCGGCGGGGTTGAGCACATAACCGACGGTTTGCCGCGGATGCGGAACAGTACATAATGACGTGAGGGGTGTCGTGGGTTTCCGCCCCCAACAGAGACGTCATACTTTGTATCCTCGGAGCGGTCGAAAGGAGTGGCATGGCAACACAGTTGGACCAAGGGGGGAGTCGTATATCATATCATTGCTGATTTCCGGTCCGGGATGCTGATGCAAGTACTTTCAGAGCCCGCAAGCACCGCCCTAAACAACAAGTGCTAGAAGGAATAAGAACAGTGCAGTATTCCGCACTGCATGCCGCATACATGACCATGAGGGGCAGAAAACGCTGGAAAACAAAACACCAGAACAGGTCACCATTCGGGAGAGAAAAAAAAAAAACTAGAACCCTTGCTCGCGATGCCACTTCTCCTGCCAACCAGGGAAGAGCGGGTACTCGTCGATTGTGTGTTCCTCCCAACCTTTCGGGATCAGCCCCTTATCCTCTTGCTCTTTCCGGAACGACTCCATGGCGGGCAGGACGACGTGCTCGGTGTGCCAGGTGTTCTTGTACTCCATCAGGCTCTTCTTGCCTTCACGGCAGAGCTTGAGCACCAGGCTCGGCACGTACGGCTCGTCACGGAAGGCGGCGACGGGGGTGAAGAGAGCTTTGAAGTTGAAGATGATGGCGCCGGACAGCGGCAGCCGCCGAAGCGTTTGCCAGTCGACCCGCAAGTTCATGCGTGACAGGTCAAGGCTGGGGTCCTGGAGTTCGCGGTACTTCTCGTGCGGGTCGCCGGCCGGCATGTACAGCGGCTGGTCGACCTCGAGGCCCCAGGAGCCGCGCTGTATAGCCTTGTCGGTCGGCTTCTTCGCAAAGTAACTGTGAGGAAGGGAGTATCAGTTAACCTGATGCGATGCTTGTGGAGCCATGGTGCTGCACTTACCGGTCCATCGAGAAGCGCATCTTTTCCTTGTAGTCCGGGATGGGCTGATGGATCTCATCCAGGCGCATGCCCATCTTGGTGCCTAGATCCCAGCCGAGTGAGCTGCACACGACGCCGCCGCGCAGGTAGTAGTGGCCGGTCTTGTCGTCACGCAGCGTGATGGCAAAGTCCTCGGGGACGTTGTTCATGATGACCTCGAGGGGAGGCTCGCTCTTCAGGTTGGACGTAGTGTTGAGGATACCGTTATGGAAGACCATCCCCTTCTCGTCTAGCCGGAAGTAGTGCGGGTACCGTGCGATCAAGAATTGAAGGCACATCTCCATCAGCTCCTTGCATGCCAGTTCGCAACCGGGCATGCAGTCGAGCACGCGCTTTCCGACGCGCCGATAAATCTCCTGACGCTGGCTGATGCGTGTTGCGTAAGTGCTTTCGAGCTCCAACCACCAGTCGGGGTCCAGCTTGGTGAATGCTAAATGAGCGGGAATGTTAGACTCGCGTGTCGAAAGGAATGGCAACGGGCTCACGTACACATGGTCTGATGGTAAGCCCAGCGGAACGGACGGTACGGCTTGGGCTTGGCCTTGCTGATGTCGAACTCGGGATACGCCTTGGGAAGAGGGACGCCGCTGAGTGAAGCATAGTCCGGAAAGTCACCAAGCGCCTTGATCTCATCGGCCGAAAACTCGGTGGCAGTGTAGACGTTGCGCGTGGTGGTGAGGATGTTCTCGTCGAGGGCCTGGAGGACCTTCTTCTCCGGGGACTGGGCCAGCTGGCTCAGAGGCTTCTTGAACCTCGTTGCGGCATCCTTGACTTCGGCGAGGGTGAAGCGGCGCGACGGCGGGTAGGTGTCTGAGTAGTCGGGCTGGTCGGAGCTGCTGCCCTTCTTGCCGGGAGAGAGCGAGCGCGGGGGCGTGCTCGCGCCGGAATCTCTGCCTCTTCCCTGGAGACGCAGCCGCGAGAGGAGAATGTTCCTCCGGCTCTTGTCCGATGCCAAATAGGCGGCCGTGCTAAGCAGGAACACCAGCGCAAGCGCCAGCGGTAGGAGGGCCGCCATGAGGGAGCCAGCCAAAGGAATGGGAATCGAAACAAAAAGAAGCCGGGATCCAGAGGGCCGCAATGGGGAACGGTGGGATACAGTTGCACGAGGTCGCGGCCCGGGGGGTTATATAGCGGCACAGAAGCACGCAGCGGGCTCCGCAGGAAGAGGCAGCGCAGACGGGACTGATAAGAAGCTTATCATGCTGGGCGAGCGGGGGCTAGAGAGGGCTAGAGAACAGCCATGGTGGAGATAGCACAGGGCGGGGGCCAGGCGGGCACCAGGCGGGCACCAGGCGGGCATCAGTCGCGGTCGTCTGGGCAGACGCAGGGCAGCATGGGAGTGGACTTGCTATCCGCAAGAGGGACGGCGGGCGGCCAGTGACGGGCTCGTCCCGGCGGTTGCCCAGCGGCTCGATTGCGCCTAGCGCGGCTGCCTCGCCGCTGCCTCGCCGCTATGCCGTCTTCGGTATACATTTCCCACGACCACCACTTGCCCACTTCAATGCACACTTGCACCCCTCGGCTCGCTATCGCCGCAACTGGCCAAATTTCCCCCGGCCCGCTTCGTCCAGCGGCTGCAGATCGGCCCTGACGTCTCCCGATCGCCAGCGATAAGCCTTCCGACCCGTGTAAATATCGCCTACTCTGCTCAACCACGCCCAAATGTCAGGCGACTCCAGTTGCACTCCTATGTCGCCAGATGAAAGCAACACCGGGGAACCGCCATCGCTCGTGCAGTCTGCGACTTCCGGCTAGTTCTGCATGGGTGGACGAAGCATTGGTTGCTGATAAGGCGTTCCAGCACTGGCCAACGGTTGCGTCATGGAAAGAAAAGACTGTCAGGCTCCATATTGAGTCTACTCCGTACGTCTTCACAGGCTGACAACCACCTTCTGCGCCGACACACCGGCCTGCTGCCTGTCCATCGCTTCTTGGAGCTTGTCCAGCCCCTTGCCAACCACCAATGCCGCCGGTTCGGCCTTCAGCTGTCCGCTCGCCAATGCCTCGGGCACAAACTTGCGCCAGATGGCGTCACCCACCTCCTTGTGTTCAGTTGCAATGGTCGGCGCCGTGACTGGAGGAAGGTCACATCATCAGCACATCAGCCCAAACATGGCCGGGCTGCACAAACGATCACTCACTCTTCTTCGGCTCAACCGTCTTGGTCAGGCCTTCAGGCGGCACCAGCACAGTCGCCACTGGCAAAACACCCAGCCTGTCCGTAACAGCACCAATGAGCTTCAGCGAACCGGGCTCGGAGATGGCGTCGTACGCGCCAACGATATTGCCGCCCTGCTGGTCGATTGCCGCAAGAATCTCATCGACAACGTTTGGTGAATTATAATCCACCACCGCCGCTGCACCCAGCGACTTCACAAACTCGTGGTTCTTGCGCGACGCCGTCGCCACAACCTTCAGGCCAGATGCAACGGCTAGCTGGATAGCCGTGGCGCCCACACTTGACGAACCGCCCCAGACAAGCAGCGTCTTGCCTGTGGGCTGCGGGCTGGCTGACGGGAACGGCAGTGCCAAGTGCGTTTTCGGGTACAAACCTGCCGCCGCGGTCGAGATGGCGAGAGGGAGCACCGAGGCTTCCTCGAAGCTGAGCGAGTCTGGGATGGGCGAGACCAACGTCTCGAACGTCTTGCTGTAGAGCTGGAAAGCCGCGCTTGCCAAGTCTCCAGTCATCACTCCGGCCATATGGCTGCGGTGCGACCATGTAAGGTTAGCAGATCGGCTTGCTCATGATTGGTTGGTGCGGAGGTGATCATCGTATCCGAAGGGGATCTCACGCACCCGATGACTCGCTGACCCTTGGTGATGCGGGTGACACCCTCGCCAACTTCCTCAACCGTACCGGCAACGTCAGTGCCCAGAATGTTGGGATACTGCGTCAGGAGGATGCCTGCATGGACGTCAGTGAAGATGTACTCCCAATCCGTCCCATCTCCCTCTTTAATTGCATTGTTGGCAATTCAAGCGAGGCGAAGCGACAGAGATTTTGGCTTTCTTGCATGAGGGTGCTGCTATCTGCTGATGCGTGATGTAGGAACCACGCCGGGCATCAAAGCCACTCAGACCAAAACCTACAGGTCGGAGGACGTACCGTACGATTGGATCTTCCAATCTATAGGCTATACCGAATGTCAGTACTTGGAAACACAATCCATGGCATACCGACAGGTGTCGGCCATCATGTGCGGTGCAGAAGCTTCCGTGGACGTCTGTGACGCAGATGTTATTGTGCCGACACCCATGCTGCAACCCTCCAGCCTTCGGAAGCACAGGGCGACACGAGAGCAACGTACATTGATAGCAACGGCTGCATTCTTGATGACGACCTCGCCGGGCCCAGCCTTGGGGTCGGGAGCCCCTTGAACCTTGAGAGGCTTGAGCTTGGCCTCGGTGATCCAGGCTGCTTGGTTTTTCGTCATCCTGTCTTCTATCTTTTAGAGGGTCGTCGTGGAGCGTGTTTGCGTGAGCTGTCGTGGTTGAGGTGGGTGGAAGAGCTCAGCGTTCAAAGCGGAGCATGGAATATAACTAGCACAACGAGTCCAGGGGCGGGGCACCCCTCCACGACGACGGATGCCAACGGATTAGCGTTATCTAGCCCCATCATTGTGCAATAGCTATTGTCTCTTTTCGTTTCCTCTGCTGATGAATCATCCCTCAACGGACGAACGGCCTTCTCTGTCTTGCTTGTCTCGGGCTTTGTTAGGCGCGAGTCTGTGAGTTGGTGACGAAATGCGGTGGGTACTCGTGAGGCGTCGGGAGGGGCCGCATATTCGGCCCCGCTACCCTTAGTAATGATGGGGTATCTCCGTGCTTATCCCCACCACCCGGTCCCGTTGTTGCGGCAAGGCTGATGTACGCTGCCTGATGAGGCGCCCGGTACAGAGCTCGCTATTATTATTGCATTGTCGAACCTAAATAACGAGGTCGAGGTGGTGCCTGTAAGGTGCTGGTGCCACATGGGTGGGTGCACTGACGAATATGAGGCGTCTTCTTTCCTTCCTTTCCCCTGTTGTTTTGCACTTCGAAGCATCGCGCCACAAGGTTTAGTGTCACGTCGTTGGGTGACCGTGCACGGGCGTGCATTGCATTGTTGGTGCGTCAAGAGCCTTGTCTTTATATAGCATCACCCCCAGTCGCGAGCCTCGCAATGAGACCGGATTATTAGACCGGAACGAAGCCAATATCGAAGGCGCTGCTAGGTTCCCTGTGCTCGATGGCTCGTTATGCTCAACCAAGGTTGGAGAGGTCAAGTTTTAGCTCATGCCACGAGTCGCGCCAAGTCTACCGAAAGCGTCAGTAACTTCAGACATCACCACGGACGTCTTTGCACCAGTGCCGCTCGGGCATCGACAACCCCACGGTACGACAGAGGAATAATAATGGAGCGCTGGCGTCAGAGAAACCTCACGTGAAGCTTGGATATGTGTCATTGCGCAATAATGTAGCCAGCCACAGCGCTCTGAAATTCATGACTTGAAATCGTTCGCGCGGAACGAGACGTGTCGGTTCTGCCACGGCCGACTGTCGTCAAATGCGGATGGCAGGCCGGATGAGCGACTGTGCTCCCACGGATTGGAGCGCAGGGGATGAGGGTGATCGTAAGGCCATGCGGGAATGATGGTTCTTTGACATGTCAGTGATTTTGGTCCGTGTACCTGGTTGCAATTTGCGCAGTCTACAGCAACCCAGGCAGGCGAGGAAGCTTTCGCATTGTCCTGTGCGGCCTTCTGGGGTTGCCGAGCTGGACCAATTCTCGGATGCTCCTCCGGACAGCCCGACGGCCTCCACCTTGCCGGCGATGGAAGCATCCGCGAGTTTTGCATATGTGCGAAATCGAATGGCGCAGAGATGAGCGGTGGCCTGGGGGTCGCGAGATGTGCTGACACACGGTTGAGGAAGTCGCTTGAGTGTGCTCGTCTCAGAAGTGAGTAGACAGCAGACTGCCGGCGCAGGCGAGCAGCCTTGGGTTTTGGCGGTAAGCTGCCGACGTCAATGTTATTCTTAGGACCCTTGTCAGACCCAAGGTTCACGCTTATGTCGTCCCGATCCTGAGGGCTTTTGGGCTTTTTTGGAACCAATGTATCAAGAGAGCGACAGGCGCGAGAGGACTGTTGATGCATGAGCTTTGGACTTTTTCGCACAGCCCGATTTCCTGGGAGGGGATCGGCAGTGAGACTCGTTTGTGAGAAGAAGACTTGATGTAGTCATGCCGGACAAGCCGCACTTTATGAGCTCCAAGTACCTGCTGGTCCGTGCTTGCACATCTGAAAGGATGCCGGGAGGCTTCAGACATGGTTTGCAGAGTCATTCAGGAAGCAGAGACACGGGATATCGATCTCACACCGCTACCAGGATTGCCTGCGGATTGACAAAGAAGGCTGCCTGCGGTGAGCAAAGATGCTAAAGCCACGGCTGAGGAGATGAGCCAGATGGCTCGGAAATGGATCCGGGACAGCGAAATGCAGCCCGCGGTGAAGGCGCGAGAGGACGCCGACGAGAGAGCCACATGTTCTGCAGCGGCAAGCTCCGTCAGAGGTGAAGGTTGAACTGCAGCCGGCCGACGTACGAGCAACGGTCAGGATTCCGAGTGAAGTGCTGGGCCAAGCAATCAGGCGTACGTGTGCAGAATGGTACATACAATAATAAATGATTACTGGAATGGGTAGTGCGCATCGTGGGTCGGGCTGGAATTCAATAGCCCAGATGTCAACGGCGGCGCGGTATGGATGGCAAACAGCGTCGTGGCACGGGTTAAACCTGACTGCGACCAAGAGCCCGGGCCCGCGCTTTGTACGATAGACGGGCAGGACGAAGCGGACGGTAGTGGCCCCTGTCGTTGACGAGAGCGCGAAACAGGAGCTGTGGCACAAAGGGCTCACCTCGCTGCAGTCAGCCATGCACCAGACGCTGCAATAGGCCAGGTCTCGACGACAGGCAGTCAAAGCGGGCCGCGACAGGGCGCTCGGACGAGCAGAAGCCAGAGCAGAGGCCAGAGCAGAGGCCAGAGCAGAGGCCATCTAGAGCAGAAGCCGGTGCCAGCACCAGCACCAGCACCAGCACCAGCACGCCCCCCAGGCCCGGCTGCACCTGGCGCACAGCCAGACAAGCTTCACCGGCAGGGCGCCTTTGGCCCCGAGCGACGGCCTCTGGGGGCACGCTGGCGATCGCAGTGCGAGGTGGGAAAGCGACGGGGCCTGCGTTGCGCCGTGTTATTCTCCGACAAGAGCTGGTGGAGCCGTGCGGCGCGCCACCGGGAGCGGTGCGGCCAGGCGCTGATCCGCCGGCGCTGTCGACCCGGGGCGGCCAGGGGCGTGTTCCAGTTCGCGATACAGCCGGGCCAAGCGAGGCGGCAGAACGGCGCTGCAACACGGGCGGCTGGGGTGGAGTGCGAGTGCGGGCGCGGCGGGCGCGGCGAGCGCGGGCTGGGCGCGGGCGGGCAGGAATGTGAGCATCAATGAGAATGCCCATGGCCCCGCGGTGGTGGGCGCTGCGCCGGAAAGCTCCTAAAGATAGCCTGCGTGCTGGAATGCTAGGGCCCAGACAGGCACGCGGCCCGGCTCTGGCAGTCGCTAGCGACTGACTTGCAGCCGAAGCGGCAGTCCCATAAACCCGCTGCCTCCCCGTTTCACCATGCTCTCGGTTTCATGTGCGAGCACCACCGCCGACCTTGCGCACCGCACCGCGACCTCCCCTCCATTCCTGCCGCTTCACCACCACCGCGTTTCGTTTCCCACGCGCGCTCCTGGCCGCGGCCGAGCATCACCGCGCCCGCACCGCCCGCACCACCCGCACCACCCGCACCGCCTGCACCGCCTGCACCGCCTGCACCGCCTGCACCGCACTGCCCCCGACACAGCCGATCATGAAGCGCAAGTTCCCGCTCAATCTCGCGCCCATTGTGAGCTCTCTCGCGCCTGCTGCTCCGCTGCGCCCCGAGCTGACCATGGCCGCCCAGAAGGTGCCCTCCAAGCAGGAAACCAGGGCGCTCAAGGAGTCGCTGGCCACGCGCGACATCTCCACGCCCTCGTCGCCCTACGTCAACCGCCGCATTCTTTCGTCCGCGCTCGAGTCCGAGTTGCGTGCTGCCTGCGAGGCCGTCCTCAACGAAGATGGCAACTCGTACGGCGCCGCTGCCGCCCTGCAGGCCCAGGAGTCCAAGATGGCCAGTGATTTCCACGCCCTCCAGCAATCAATGAAGGCTATGGAGCAGGCCCAGCAGCAGACCGGACACCGCCGCACCGGAAGCCACCCGCCCCCCAATCCCTTGCCGCGCCGCGACCACCAGGCCCAGGAGACGACTGCTCGATTGCCGCCCAATGCTTTCTCGTATAAACCGGATTCCGCCCTGCAAGACCTGTTTCCTGGCCAAAGTTCCAACCCTGTCCAAGCAAACACGGGCCGTAGGAGAGAGATCCACGGGACTGCCCACGAAAAATCCTCGCGTAGCGTCTCTGGCAGACATCGGGAGCAGCAGCAGCAGCAACAGGACCACAGCGCGGGCCGGCATGCGGCATACGAACGGCCGAGCACTGCCCCCATTGGTCGGGGACTGGATTCTCCCGACACCAACTATTCAACACCCATGAGTGCTTCCACGATGGACCACCACCGTAACTATGCCTCCACTGCCATGACGTCGACCGAGCCGTCACGGGCATCCAAGCGCAACTCGAACCATATATTTAGCGACGAAGAGGCCGCATCGCGCGCTGATGCCGCTGCATCGTCTTGGATGAGGCAAGAGTACGAGCGCCGAAAAGAGAGCGGAGGGGATCGTCGTCCGTCATCGAGAGCGAGTAGGGCGGGAAGTGTGACTAGGAGCATCAAGTCGGAGATCAAGGAGTATTTCCGCCCTGGTTCATCAGGGATAAGCAGAGCAACGTCAAGGGAATCTCTTCGCAGCCGGGAATCAGACGCAACTGCTGCACACGCACCCGTGGCGCATGGGTGGCGCAGTTGGGGCTTGCAACGACGGCCTAGCGACCAAAGCCTCAACAGCCGATCGTCCAGCGTCAGGGGTCGCGGTGACGCTAGGAACAAGGAGGGCAAGAAGGAGTTAAACCTCAACCGCGAGCTGCCTCCTTTGCCAAGCCTGGACCAGTGGAAGGAGCCGAAGGAAGAGGAGGATGCGCCGGCGCATTTCGTCCCCGTGCACAAGCCGACCAGCCCGACGCACATTGCGAATCTGATGCAGACGCCTCCGAAGGTGCGGCCGCGGAGAGAACACATCGCTCACCAACACTCAGTTGAGAGAAGGCAGAGACGGCAAGAAGATGGCCCACGAAAGCCTTCAGTGCAGACGCAGGCGCGACCGGGCATTCGAGCCGTCAGCTCTGATCCTGAAGTCCCCATGCACTTCCGCCCCCGGACGGATGAATCACTCGCACGAGACCTTGCCCAGTCCCACGAGCTCATGTCAATAAGCCACGGGTCCAGCAATGAGGCAATCAACAGGAGCAGCCCGTCGCTGGTCGACAGCGGACACAGCCCGGATGAACATTGCCAGAGCCGCAAGCCGAGCATGAAGATCAGCATAGACCATTTCGGGGGGGAGCCACCAAACTTCAGCAAGAAGATCCGGTCGGAGCAGGGTGGGCAGCAACACGGGAAAGAACAACGGTACAAGTACAAGGCGGAGATCAAAGCGAACAACACGCTGGCGAACGGGTCGCCGGGCAACGTGAAGGGGCTGAAGAGGATGTTCAGCCATTTCGGGCTGGGCGGGAAGCGGGAGAAGAAGGAGACGTGGATGGACAAATTCGAGAAGGACGGCGTCAAGGGCGGGGTTCTGGTTCACGATGAAGCAGCAGGCGCACCGGTGGTGCGTTACTGAGAAGCGCTTCGATTTGTTATTTCACAGTGTTCTGTGACATATTCCATCTTTCCCGTTCAGTAATTAGTCTTGTGTTGGGATGGATCGGGCTGGCCTGGGACAGGCCATCGGAGTTGTGTAGATACCCTTATCATCAATTGTTGGGAGCATGGGAACGCCAGACAAATAGCAGTCCTTTTGTTGCTCGAAAGCGGATCTGTGAAGAAAAGGCCGGTGCGGCCCTTGTCCGGGGTAGGGGTTTCGCCAGTGGCGTTAAGCGGGGAGCAGGAGCGGCGTGCAAGGAAGACAGCGGGGGGCAGCAGCGGCCATAGCTCGTTGCGCTGACGATATGAACCCTGTAGCGCTGCTCTCGTACCGATGCAACGTGGGCCGGGAACGCGGACAGAGTCAATCAACTTGACGGGCTGCAGCGAGTGAGGTTGGGGAGCGGGCGGCTCGTGTCGGCGCGAGCCAGTCGAGATGGCCGGACGGGCTTCCGCTGGGTCGCAAATCGAGCCAGTGAGCCGAAGTGGCATGGTCGCACGGCAGCGCAGGTGCTGACAACCACCGCTGCTTCTCACCTCAATGGCATCTGCGGCGTGGCAGTCACCACTCCCTCGTGCTCCCCAATGCCACGGCCGGCTGTGGCGGATCGCGCTCGCGCCGCGTTCGGCTTCCATCACCGGCCGCGCAAGCAAGAGAAGGAAACATTTTGAGGCTAGAGGCGCGCACATCATGCTCCATGAGGATCCCCAGCTCCAGCTCGTTGCCTCCGGAGCACTCCTGGTCGCGCGCGCAATGACGGCGGCCTTCCCCCACTGGCTGCCGTTCTCCCCGCGGCTGCGTCCATGGCCATCTCTCGCCTGTGCATGTCCATCGCTTTGCCGGCGACGAGTCTAGATCTTGGTTCAGCTCTCCATGGCCCTGTTCACTTCGCCACGCTGCACCCGTGCGTCCGCGAGCCACAAGGCGACTTTGACGGCTGCTCTTGACCGGTGCTGCCCTTTCCCTCTGCTCGCCTCACTCTTCCTCACTCACACGCTCCCTCTGCTCACATCCAATCCGTCCGCTTCGGATCGGACAACGCATTCATCCATACCCCACCAACCGTCGTCAACAGACAACACCTAGTGGAGCAGCCACACTCGGCACCGCCGCACCCGTCTCCGCCCTTCCCTCGCGGCAACATGTGCAAACTTCACGGCTACCACTACGCCTGCGGCCATCTGGTCCGCTATCGGCTCTCCCGCTGCCGCGGCACTTTCACCAAGATCCGCCGACGCCAGGCCAAGTACACCAATGTCGACCATGCTCCTAGGCTTGCTGCCTGTGTCGCTGAGTGCTACATCGTCATCACATCCCGCTCGCTCTGCGGCTCGTGCTTGTACGAGCAGTACAAACTCCATTGGAACGTGCGCATCTCCGACGCCGAGAGAGCTTATCGTGAAGCCCTTGACCAAGGCATGAAGACTGGCCTGGGCCTAGTCGGCTGGGGCGGAGTTGGCTGGGGCGGTGGCGACATGGATGACGACGGCTCCAGCGACGGCTACAGCGACGGCTACGATGACGACGATGGAGGCTGTACGAACGGTGACCCGGAGACAACCACAGCGAACAGGAAAGCCAGCAACAGGAAACGGAAACGCTCTTTGAAGGACGAGATCGAATGCCGCCGCCACACACTCGAACATTTGCGCGCCGAGTTCAGTGCCGAGTCTTGGTCCGTCCGAAAGCGCCTCCCAACCCTCGACCACAGATCATACACCCATCCCAGGACTCAACCGCGCGTCTCCCACGTCCCTTCGCCGCTGCGGAACGAAGTGCGCCCTGAAGATATTGCTATCAAGCAAACATGGAACGGCAAGACGGACAGCAATGAAGGTTGGGGGCATTATCCGACATTTCAAGCTTTCTTCGTGGACACGTACGGTGGTGGCCCTGATACTGCATGGGAGGATGACGCTGCAGCATTGACCGTGTCAGGCGCGTGGGATCCCACCGTGGTGGCCAACATCAATTTCGCAAACTCCATGTCCAATGACACCCAAGAACCTACGGGTGACGAAAGTTACTACACGGAATACAATCGTTTCAACACGTCCCATGATGATGAAGACGACGGCCTAGACGAGAAAGACGATACAATTCCTGTCATGGCGTATGGTCCGGAGACACGTTCTCCGCCTCTGATGCGCGACGAGGACCTTCTTGCCTCGGGCCCAAATGCCGCGCCGCCCTCAAGGACGTCGCATACCGAATAGAGCCAATGACACAAGTCTCAATCCCATATCAAAAACTTATGACTGACTTGGAGCGAACCACGATCATCCGGTATCTGTGACTTTCGAACTCTCGCGACGTCATCACGTACGCCGAATGCACTGGGATGGTGAAATGCCAAAGGTAAAGGTCATCAACTGTCCTTGTCGCTTAATCCTAGCCTACACTGATGTTCACAACATAATTCGACATGACCACCTGCAAGTTCCGAGATGGCCAGGACGACAACAGCTTCATCCCTGCAACGGTCGGCACTTTGATATTTTGCATGAACCCTCGATCCGGCTCATTCCATGTTCGAGAAGCGCTAACCGATGGTGAAGTATCCACCTTAACATCGATTCTACTTCAGCCAGTGCTAATAATAGTATCGATAAGAAAAAAACATCCCCCCCCCCCCTGCTCATAGTACGCTATGATCAATGGCAACCATCAATTCCCCATTCTTTCCCGCCATCACGACATTGATTCTGCACCACTGTAATATCGTGCAGTGCCCCGAGATCAGTCTCACTTCCCATTGTCATCCGCGTTTTGCACGCATCACATCCGTCCGAAAAGACCTAGATCTCAGAGGAGAACGGAGAGTTGCCAAGCCATCGCACGCGCCTTAACGCTTTAATAATCGATCGAACAACCTCATGCCGGGACAAATTGGGCAAGAGGCAGACCGCTACGTTAACGGGGACTAGAACGAAAGAATTTGAGTAATGGATACATCGGCGGTTGGAATTCAGTCAGTGGTTTTTTTTTTTTTTGTCGTCTTCGATGAAGCACCGACCATAGTAGCTTATTAGTATCAATTCTTAGGCAGAGATATCAATGCATGGCAATAACGAGGTTTTTTCTCTACATGGCTCTACATGCAAGACTAAGTAACTTTATTGACCCATGACTCTTCAAAAAAATACATTTCGTGGTCAGAGGGTCCCGTGAGCTTATCACCATCTCGAATGGATTCATCATAAAGACTATCCCATTAGAAACTGTCACGGCATCTCTCGTTAAACTGGATCCCCTCTTGCTAGGTATGCACTCGCCACCCCTCTTATAACGCCGGATCCATGCCCATATTCCACGTAAATTCAGCCCAGCCATGACCAAGTACGCTTTTTGTCCTGCACCTGTTGTCTTTCGCTTCCCATGTTTGAGCTGGAGAAAAGAAGAAAAGTGCCAACCAAGCGGAGAAAAAAAAGACCGTCGTCATATCTCCGCCTTTACAAGTCGTGGTATTCCGCCTTCGAATCCTTGGTCATAGTCTTGTCCATAGCGTTCCTCAGACGATGCTTTGTATTGCTCGCCTTTTCCCGACATTTCAACCGAGAGGAACGCTTGCCCCTGCAGAGAGAAATTAGTAGCTATGTTGAACTCAAAATACACAAGTCCGTTTCGCTCGTCCCCCAAAGCTCTCTCAGCGATGTCTGCCCGGGTACACTCTTCCTTCGCCGGGGCTCACGTACGCAGCACTGCCACCACCTATCGGGGTATCGAAGAATCCGGCCCCACCGCTACCGTCCATGTCGAAAGGCGGACGGCCGCCCATGCTGAAAGGTCCACCAATACCGCCGGTACCCCTGCGGTTATTACGCGCCGTGTCAATGATCGCGAACTTCTTGCCGAGCTCGCTAGCAGCTCCGAGAGAGCCTGTAATGCTAGCGAGCATGTTGGTCAATTCCACGTCGGCGCGCTGCTGGACTGCCTCGCGTGCTAAGAGTGCGCGATCCGGAGGTGCAAGAAGCGGAAGGCGCGAGAGAAGGGCTTGGATAGCGCGTAGGATCTCGTGGTTGGGCCGCTCAGTCGGGTTCTTCGATTGAGAGATTTGAGCGTCAGTAAGGTAGGAGGGCGGAAGCTCAGATAGGTAGGCTTGAAGTAGGTTGATGCGAGCGCCGAGCATCTTGATTGCATTGGACTTTGCGGTAAGAGAAGCGAGGACTACGTTTGTAAGCGGTCAGTATCCACATATATCCAAGGATGAGAGCCGGGCCAACTTACGTTCTTCATCCTCGGCAGTTAAGGGCACGTGGTCGTCGTCATCGAGCTCTGCGCTCTCCACATCGGCCTTCGCCTTGCCCTTGTTCTTGCCCTTGCCAGCGCCATTGCCTGGAGCAACGCTACCCTTCCTAGTCTGGTCGACATCCGTCGCATTACCACCGCCCTTTGCCACAAAGTCCACAGCAATCATCTCTGCCTCTCCTGTCTCCACTGAGTATGTCAACTCCCGAAACTTCTGCTGTTTTGCCTGGCTGGTAGCACCGCTATCGATCTCCATGCTCGTAGCCTTATCATTGCCAACACCGCCCTCCCACAAACTCTCGTAGATGGTAAGCGGGAGTTTGCCGCCGGTTGCGTTGCCCTCGAGTACTGACTCCGGGTGGAACAAGAGTAGCAACGCGGACTCATTATGGACATTCTGGATGTACTCATGGATGGCAAGATGATGGGGCGCCGGGCCGGTGGGAGCACCCAGAGTGAACCAGCCGACAAGATCCAAGGGCGGAGACTTGAAAACAGTCTTATCTGCGCAATGCATCAGCCTTGGCGCAGGACAAAACGTGTGAAGGGAAGGCGCTGCTCACATTGCTCCAGGCGCTCGCCGAACCAGGCGTCATCAATGCGGACCTCGCCATCGTCGTCGGCGAGCAGCTTAGCCTCAAAGGCGACTTCCATGGTGATCTCGCGCCCATTTTGTTGGCCTATTATGGCACCCACAACGGGGCCAGACTGCTGGCGAAGAGTGTGGCGCGTGATGTAGTCGGAGACGGTGAGCAGCACGAGCGGGTGGAGCTGGACCTGCGGGCTCGTATCGGAAGCTCTGGTGCTGGAGAGGAGCGGGTTCTCCTCCGTGTCCGCCATGGTTGCGGATTCGTGGTATGTTGCTCGACGGTGGGGAGAAGATGTGGATGCGAAGGTGGGCGGCGGCGGCCACGCGATGGTTGAGCCTGAAGCGGCGGGGCAGAGTGGTGTTGAGGCGAGTGGTGGAGCAGTCAGTGGTCGTGCCGGAGGACAGAGCTCCAGGCCGCAGCGCACGGGCCTCTTGTTGCCGACAGACGAGCGTCATCGCCGGCGCCGCACCTTCCGTCTGCAATACCTTCCACTTCCGCCAACGCCGAGCGGGCAGGTGTCGATTCCTCTTCGCACAAGAATGCCAGTCACTCCAACACAGACAGTGCAAACCATCACTCGGATTCATCCTATCTCTATCTGCCATTACACGCCGAATGGACGTAGAAACCGAAAGCGGTAATCTCAATTCTTCTCAATACTCAATCAGCACCTTTAGCACAAGCTTTCCATCGTCGTCAGCCGTCCTCCCTGCGAGCTCAAAGGCCTCCTCTGCAGACTCTAGCCCGCTGAAGCGGTGCGTGACCATCATATCCAAGTTCGGCAGCGCCCCGGACGAGATGATCTTCATGCCTGTCGGGTATGTGTTGGCGTATCGAAAGATGCCGATAATGTCAACCTCCTTCAGATGAGAAGCCGACATGGGAAGCGTCTGGATGGGTGTCCCCATGCCGACCATGATCAGCTTGCCGCCCGGCCTTGTGGCCTTGCTGGTGTTAGCGCCTTGTACCTGGCGGGCAAAACACACTTACAAAGAGACCGGCTTGCATGCACATCTCTTTTCCCGTACAGTCGAAAGTCGTGTCTGCACCCTCCGCGTCCAGCTCGCCAGCACACGCAATCTCGACGACGTCATCAGCAATTGCCTCGGCCGCCGCGAGCTTCTCGCTCGTTTCCTGCGGCTGAGCACACGTCGACACAACATATCCCCGAGTGGCATAGCCGTTCCTGAGGGCGTACTCAACTCGACCGATGTCGATATCGGCAATAAGGACCGTCGTAGCTCCAGACGTCTTGGCCATCGCTGCTGTCAGGAGCCCCACGGTGCCAGCACCAAAGACAACAGCAGTATCACCCGGTTCCACCGCTGCCCTTCTCACCGCATGGACCGCTACAGACAACGGCTCAAGCAGGGCAGCAGTCTCCAGTGACACATGGTCAGGGATTCTCGGCCCAAGTCAGCACCTCAACCTTCAGTTCAATCCAGATTTATCGGCTCACTTGTGACACCACTTCGCCGGGTGGTTGATACGCTCCTGTAGCGTCCCCTGGAAGTGAGGGACGCTTTTGGCGCTGCTCCTGAACCTCATCTTGGGGCACAAGTTGTATCTGCCGCGCAGGCAGGATTTGCAGGAGTCGCATGGCACGCCGACCTCCAGTGCCACCCTGTCACCGACCCGGAAGGTATTGGCGGGCACCTGCTCACCAACGGCCACGACCATGCCGGCGGACTCGTGGCCCAGAGACAGCGGCGCCACGGCGCACAGGTCGCCGTTGCGGAACTTGCTGTAATAGGAAACATCGCTGCCGCAGATGCCGGTGGCACGGACGGCAACCTGCAGCTCGTGAGGCAGTGGGTCGGGAAGTTGCCGTGTTTCCTGAAAAGGAAGAAAAAGGGTGAGAATAAATAAGCATTTGACGAGTGGACTGCAGATCAAGATGTCGTGCAGTCGTCGGGCTGTCTGTATCCAGATATCCCCCACGCAACTGCCCCATGGGATAGGTGTGGGGGCTTTGGGTGTCTCTGTGGGGAAAGGCGGAAGCCGAAAATTGAAAAGCACTTACGATGCGAAGGTCGCGTGGCCCATGCAGGACGGAAGCCCGAATGGCGCATTTGCCGGTATCATTGGCCTCCGGTGGGTATTCCGCGATCGCCCAAGGAGCCATGGTAAGTACAGGCCGGTCTTCTGAGAGAATGGGGAAAGAGAGGAATAATAAAGATGAAGAACTCTCGGATAGTCTGACTTGCCACGCTCAGAATCTCCGCCGGCAAAGGTATAAATATGGCCCTACCCCAGACCACTCGGGCAAGGCTTGCTTTGCGGGCTTGAGTAAGGTGGGTGCACTAATGAGCAATGCCCAGACTATGCTCTGCCCTGCCTCCGACGCCATCAGAGAACATGGCGATCGTATGCAGCCAGCGCTAGAGGTGGCTGTGGGCAATCGGACGGCCAGGTCCGCACCGGCGTGTTTCCCGCATGCCAGTAGCACCGCTCCCCCAATCGACGACATGAAACACCACGTCATGTTTTCTCGGCATGCATCTTCGTGGTGAGGAATCACGGGTGGCTTATCTTGGTCACTGCTAACGCGGTGGCGCGGATCAAGCGCCCGAAGCGCTGCAGTATATCATGTACTTACCACCAAATCCACGCCAACCCCAGCAATCACAAAGATCTCCAATGCTTTGATTCTGGCCTCCGCTGTCTTCAGGGCCTTTTACGAGACAGCTCGGACCACGCAAGAAGAGAGCTCCCCAATCGCATGTTGTTGGCCCAAGAAAGTGAGCAGATGCATTCCCAAACGAAGAAAGGCGGCTACTGCCCACTGCATGCATCCCGCTAGCGCGGCAGCTTGTCCGTTCTCCTCCACTCTCCACAAGACATGCTCTACATACATGTGCAGGCACTGTATCTGTATATCATTTCCCTGCTTGCATAGCTCACGCAATCTCAGTCCAGCTAGTCGCACGCCTATCGCTTGCACACGCACGCACGCATTGCTATGCTGGCTCAGAAGAGCCTGGGACGGCCCGCAGCTTCTGGAGGCGAGCTGCAGCAGTAGCGGCTGCGGTGGCTCGGATGAGCTGCCTCGCCAAGGCACGTTTGTCTTCACTTTTGTTGGCGTACAGAGCCTTATCATGTACCTTTAGACTCTCCAGGACCGAAGCGGATGGAAATTGATGAGCTGCTCTATTTTTGAAATTTGCATTTGCGCATTCGTAGTGAGAGTGAAGTCAATGGCTGTGTCTGGCGAATCGGCTGCACCGTTGTAAGGCCATGGGATTCGGTTGTTGGGCAAGGCAATGAGCAATCAGTAGAACAGCGCCACCGTTCCCCGGCTCGATTTTGACATGTCCCTTTGGCGTGATTTCCGCTTCTGTGTACGGTGCCGAGGCCATCAACCTCGACGGAGCAGGAAGATATGACAGCATTCAATCGCCAACCCAGCGAATTGATATCCGAACGCTGGCCCCAAGCGAGATGCTTGCAGTACTGGCTGATAAGAGAAAGAACATCAGCGGCTTTCCCCCAGCGAGTCAGCGACGCCGGGGCAGCCTGTCGCGCATGTGCCCACGTCCGCAAGATGGACGGTGCATGGTGCATTGCATTTGCATTTGCAGACGAAAGACAAGGCGGAGCGGACGATAGGTTGCAGGCGAGAACTGCCCGCGACGCATTTCGTGTATTTTGCCTAAATGAATCCGAGGCGGGCCGATGAGGATGAGCCGTGATGTTTGCTGACGTCTATCATGCCAGGCCGGCCCGCTGATTGGTAGGTCATGTTATTGCATCTTTCGTTGTAGGCAGTCGGCTGGTAATTTCGCAGCTGGAGAGTAGTACAAGTCTTTTGATTGTTTCATTCAAGTTGGTTCATTCGCTGACATATATATTCCGCATGCATAAGTACTCAGAGAGCGCTCTTACCGCCAAACACAACGGCCTCAACCCACTGCTTGATGATGTCGTTGAGCTCGGCCGGCTTCTCCCACTGGCCGAAGTGGTGCGTGTCGATGGCGGCTCTGCTGAGGTTGGGAACGAGCTTCTCCATGCCGGCCGACATCTCGGGCTTCAGGACAGTGTCCTTGTTCGTGGCAACGTACAGGACGGGCTGCTTGATGGTGCCGTCGCCGGGGAGGCTGAGCTCCTCCTCGTAGTTGACCTTGCGGGTGCGGTACCAGTTGCAGGGGCCGTGCAGACCGTTGCGGGCGTACTGCTCGGCGTAGTAGTCGAGCTCCTGGATTTCGGGGCATCGAGTCAGCCAAGCACCGTGCAGGCAGAGTCTGTCACCAAGAAAGGGAGAGGGCACTTGCCTCTTCGCTCATCCACGGCCCTCTCGGGACCTTGCCCAAGTTGTCCAGGACGATGCCGTCGTAGGGGTTGAACAGCAGCTCGCCGTTGGGGCCCTTGCCGCCGGAGATGAAGACGAGCAGCTTCTTGAAGTCCTCCTTGGTCTTCACGCCCTCCTCGGGCGCGCCGCTGGCCAGGTTCAGCTGGTACTTGAACTGCGGGAGCGGGCCGGCAACCAGCTGCTCGACCGAGTAGTACTCCTTCGAGGGAGGCGCATAGGGCGTGCTGATGGCGAAGACGTGCGAGATGAGGTCGGGCTTCCAGAGCGCAACACGGTAGACGACGGCTCCACCCCTGGCAGGCGCGAGTCAGCTTTGGACTCTTTCTTCTTCTTCTGCTTCGACAAGGCATTACCAGTCGTGGCCGCCCAGCACAATCTTGGGCGCGCCCAGCTGGCGGGCCAGCTCCTCGATGTCGTCGGCCGCGCGCTTGAAGCCGTACAGCGAGATGGACTCGGGCGGCACTCTCGGCGCGTCCTGCACGGCGGATGGTAAGCCACATGGACTGCATGCACACATGCGGGAGCCGACTTACGGTTCCGCCGTAGCCCATCATGTCAGGCGCCACGACGCGGAAGCCCAGGTCGATGAGGGCGGGGATCTGGTAGCGCCATCCGAAAGCCAGATCAGGCCATCCGTGGACCTGCGAGTTCGAGTGTCAGGCTGCGCTCTCTTCCCAGTGAGATGCGGGGATGACGGACGAGGACAATGGTGGCCTTGAACTGGCCGTCCTTGGGCACGCCGAGAATGTAGCCTGTGCCGCTCCAGATCAGCCGTCACAGTCGTGCATCGCACCGTTCTGGATGGTCCTACGATAGGTGCGGCCGTTGAGCACGGCAGTCTCATACGAGACCCGGGGGTCGGAGCCAGGGCTGAGCTTGGTGACGGTGTCGGCCATGTTGGATGCGGAGAAGAACTTCGTCGCCGGCATTGTTGCGGGACTCTGTTGTGCCACTATATATATTCCAGTGACGTCCTCCCCTGTGCCACCGTTCTTAGTCGTGATCCGGGGCGACTGCGTGATCGAGAGGCAATTTACGGACGTACGTCCCATGTCATGGCAGTTCGCTGCGACGGTTGCTCCACTTTCTTGGGCCGAGGTTCGCCAGGCTTAGTGGCACTGTCACTCTAGTCGTTATACATCCTGTCTGAGGGAAACACCCACGAACATGAAGGGAACAGGGAATAAATAGGTAGTCCGCGTCCCACGTCTATCGCTCCCTTATCATCCGGAGCCTGCTACGTACGGCGCGCTCAAGCTACCCAGCAGATGCCGCCCGCTGAGTACGCCCGTACGATCCGAGTCCTTGCTCACTGGAACGTGCTCTGCGGAGACCACCCACCTCGGAGCTATCGCCGGTTGAGGACAGCCTTCCAACCTCGCACCAAAACTTAAAGCCGCATCTTTTGTAATCACAAGTGACGGCACCCATGTCGCGCTTGTCGAGGCCGCCGCTTGCTTGACTTTCTCGGGACACTTTTTTGATTCATTGCCTAGCTGGAACCGTCTTCGCCGAAGTGCTGCTGGCTGCATCCAATATCCAGGTATTGTCGCATCATGAGCCAGAAGCATGCGAGAGCTACGTTGCAAAACCCAGCCCAAACCCCAATTGCACCATATCCGCCGCTTTTTCATGATTACTGTAGGAATGGTATCATCAACATGAAGCACTCTCTCCAAAGACGCTAGCTAGGACCACGCTGAAGGAATTAAGCTGCGCACCATGCTGCCAAAGAGCGCTGGGTCGTTAGGGTTAGTATATTACAGTATCCTCCTCTGCTTCGAGCACCTCCTCTCCGTGGTCGTCGTGGTGCTCCTTGGCCTTGGCGTCGTGGTCCTTCGTCGCGTGTCCGTTCCCCGGCGTGTCCGGATGGGAAACGGGGTTGACCTGGTCATCACTAATAGCAGCGTTATCTTGCTCTCGAGGAGATTTGGGAGGTTCATTGGCTTGCTCTGAACCCACCATGTCCCCATTCTCGTGAGCCTCAGCATCGGCTTTCTTTTCGGGAGTTCCGTTCCTGTCGTGCTGATCCTGCTCCTGATCCTGCTCCTGCTCCTGCTCTTGCTCCTGCTCCTGCTCCCGTTCCTCCTTCTGCTCGGCTTGCTTCTGCTTCTCAAAACCGGCGAGTTCTCGCTCAACGGTGGCTTCTGCTTCTTCAACTTGGGCCTTGATAGTATCCTCTTCCTCCTGGCGCAGTTCCCACGGCTTGTAAAACTGTGTCGGTCAGCATTCCCGTGCAACCAAGTAGATGGACGGGTGTGGGTACCAGCTTGGGTTCAGTCCTGGTCTGGAGGAAATGCGCCTGGGCGAGCATGTTGGAGTGGCGGATGCGCATCTACCCAATTGATTAGCGCCTGGAAAGGTTCGCGTCGGGGCCATGGGTGCGAACCGTTTGCTCGTCGAACTTCTTCTGCTCGCGCCGCCTGACGACCATGAGCTCCTCTAGACGTTGCTTCTTCCGCTGGTCAAATTCTTGTGCTTGCAGCTTCAGCTTTTCCTGCTGCTTCTTGTCGATGTCAGCACGGCGGCGCTGGGCTGCGGACGAAGAGCTCTGTGACAGGGTGCCGAGCAGCGCGCCGAATAGACGCTGGCCGCGCTTGCGTTCCTCAACGGCACCGCTCCGGCGACGGTCGGCGCGACGGTCCGTGGGCGGGTCGTTCTGGTGGCGCGGGCCGTCCTGGGAGTCACTGTTGGTGTCGTCTATGCTCAGGCGAGGGCGCTTGCTACCGGCTTCGGAGACGGAGGATTGCCTGCGTTTCTGCGGGTTCTCGCGCGGCGAGGCCGGCTCGGAGCTCTCTGGCACGACGACGGCCGAGGCGACGACTCTGCGGCGGCGGGGTCAGCGGGCGCGGGTGCAGGACAAGCCAGGCCCACTTACGGTTCATGGTCGGCCATAGCTAGTGACGAGAGCGAGGCCCGGGGCGAGGGAGTGGGTGCGGGTGTTGGCGCGGTGGGATGCGGTGCGGACGGGCGATGATGGAGTAGCGATTGGCGGCGCGGCGGCGATTGCGAGCGAAGCTGTTGCTCGCGACTCGCGACTCGCGGTCCGGCCCGAAACGGCCTGATCTAATCTTATCTGACCCGCGGCGCGTCGCCCTCGAAACCCGTCGACCCGTTGGTCAGCACAACGACCGCCACAGCTATTATACACCTCCGCACTCCGCAACCCTCGCCCTGACAACCGCCTTCAACTCCAACCCCAACCAGAATGTCGCGCCACCACCCGTAAGTTCTCCGCGCCCCGCGCCCCACGCCCCGCGCCAACCGCAGCAGCGTTGCTAACGCGCCTCAGCGATTTGGTCATGTGCCGGAAGCAGCCCGGAATCGCCATCGGCCGCCTCTGCGACAAGTGCGATGGCAAGTGCCCCGTCTGCGATAGCTACGTCCGCCCGACTACCCTCGTCCGCATCTGCGACGAGTGCTCCTTCGGCAACTACCAGAACAAGTGTGTCGTATGCGGTGGGGAGGTGAGTCTACAGCCACAGAATACAGGAAGCGCATGCTGACGGACTCTGCTAGGGCATCTCCGACGCCTTCTACTGCTTTGAGTGCACCCGCCTGGAGAAAGACCGCGATGGATGCCCCAAGATCATCAACCTAGGAAGTTCGAGGACCGATCTCTTCTACCAGAAGAAGAATTTCCGCAATCACTGAGGACGCAGGGTCCCTCTGCATTACCGGCGCAATCGGAGTTCAGACTTGGAAAAACGGGTGGCCACGTGGGGTTCAACATGTTCGAGGAGCTGGAGGTTATGGTACGCCTTGGAAAGCAGATCAATGCATGGCTTTCATTGACGCCTTTCAGAAGCCTCCATCCCGTACACCGTGAGATCTGGGTAGGCATGCCCCTGCGTGCGTGCGTGGCGATTTAATCATAGCTTCACTTGGAAGTCGCCACTACAATGAACCTCCACCCCTGCGCCGTCGAGTGCCTCCTCGGAAGCGTCTTCCCTGGCTCAAGCCTCCCCGGCAGTATGAGTGGCTGCGCACCATGCCCTCAAGTCGTCGCTGGGCATGGATAGGCGTGCCGCCTCAGCGGCACTTCTTTTTCCGTGCTAACCCCTTCTAATGCGGTCATAGTATTGCCATCAAGGCGCTGGTCCCTGAGAGCCGTACCCGATGGATATCGAGGAGGAGCGACGAACCCTTCACAACTGCCCGCACTGGGCCAGCTAGTCAACACAGCGCAGAACAGCGGTTAACTTCGTGGAACTAGTGAAACCTCTCTTCTTTCTATCTACACATTAACCGCCACATGAGCGGCCCAGGAACGATAACTCAAATGGACAATGAATCTAGCCGCCTGGGGCACGCCAAGCGCAAACTGAAAAATCACCGAAGGAAAACCCGCCATCTACGGAAGACCATGGTTGCACTTGCTCAAGGCTTACAAATACAGTGCAGTTTTCCATCTTCTCACTAGGCGTTCGCCACCTTGAACCCACCCGGCATCTGCTCGGTAAAGACCATATCCGGATCGTACTTGTCTCTGATCAGCTTCAGCAGCTCAACGCTGCTCTTCGGGTAGCCAGCAAACACGTCCTGAGCCTTGTTGACATCGTTCATGTACAAGAAGTCGTGCAGAACCCCCAGCGGCTCGAGCTGAGTCGTGATGTTCTTGTTGACAGCCTCGTAGAAGGCCTGGACCGTGTCGTCGTCCTCAGCGTGCGTCCAGGTGATGCTCTCTTCAACCCAGAGGTAAGGCGCGGCGTTGGGGTCGAGGCCCATGGGGTCACCGCCGTCGGTGATGCCGCCGAGGATGAACTCCTTGGAGATGATGTTGTACGCCAGACCGGTTATCCAGCCCTCGACGTCCGCAAAGTACTCGGTGGCCATGGCGAAGTAGGTGTCGTGGATGATCTGCATCGCCTCGCGGTCGGCGAGGATGGACACGACCCACCAGCCCTCGCGCATGCCCAGTACCGAGTCCGTCCCTTCGCTCATCGCCTCGCTGGCGGCGCCCATACCGGACATCACGTCGACGGTGTCTTGCTCGGGTGTCAGGACGGGGGCGGAGAAGTTGGCAAAGAAGTCCGGGGTGGTGTCGTTGCCATTGTAGAAAAGCATGGCGTTGTACGTCGTGCCGTTGATGGCGTCCCCGGCCCGGGCGATGGGCGTCACGGCGCCTTTGACATCAGGACTCGGGTTGACCGCCATCTCATACACGCTGTCGAGGAAAGCTTGGCCGACGGCGTCGCCGGAGCCGTAGGCGCGCTGGCCGGCAGCCATGACGGGGACGTCGAGGGTGCGCATTTGGAAGTTGGTGACCAGGCAGAACGAGTTGCCACCTCCACGCAGCGCCCAGAAAAGGTCGGCGTGGTCATTGGTCGCGTTGGCTACGACGACGTCGCCGTTACCAAGGACGCACTGGTTGGAGGTCAGCTTCTACTTTGGCCATTTGAACTTCCGGGGCGAGAAGTGCGTACGGTGTAAGCGTCAATGTTAGACGATGCCCAGCCGTGCTCGTTGCCGAAGTTGGAAATGCCACCGCCCAACAGCAAGCCGGGCACGCCGACAATGCTCATCCGACCTCCCACGACCGCCAGCCCGTACGGCTCGAGATAATCGAACACGTCGCCCCATTTGTTTCCAGGGCCAACGGCAACGCTGGACTTGTCTTCGGACAGCTCGAGCTGATTCAGGTTCGAGCTGGACAGGAGCACGCCGGACGAATCGATGTTGGCCGCGCCCACGATTGCCATGTGCCCGCCTCCTTTGATTGCGAACGGAGCATTAAACCTGACAAGTGTCTTGACCGCCACGCCCATGAGCTCGGCAGAGCTGGGGGAGAAAACGCAGGCCGGGCCGAGGGACGCTGCAGCGGACCAGTAATCTGTTGATTTTGCACTGTCAGCATACGCATGGAAAAGGAGTGAAGCCACAAGCTTGCTTACCCCCGTTGATGTCGACGTATGCGGTTTGGTTTGGATAGGACGTAATGTTGGGGTAGTTTTGGCTGAAGAACTGGCAGGCTGCTGCTGGGGAGGAGAAGTTCGAGGCAACGGCAGCGCCAGCGTTTGCTGCCAGAATGAGGGGCAAGAGCTTTTTCAAGGCCATGATGGTGGTGATGTCGAGTGCCTGGTGAGATCTGCGGATTGGAGCATCTTCCTGCGCGGCGAAGGCTTTCTTAAATACCAAAGATGCTCGCTGCTGGGTGGATGTTCAAGCAAGCCGTCTGGTGGATCTTGAAGCAAGCCGTCTGAGTGGGTCTTCAGCACGCCGTCTGAACATGGAGTTACATTGCCTGTACTACATGCAGGTAGTGTTGATTTGCACCTGCCCGTTCGGCAAATCCGAGGACGAGTCCGAAATTGATAGATGATTGGCCAATTGCCACTGGCTGCGTGCGTCATCCTCCAGTGTCACAGGCCGAAAGTGTACATCGATCGGTGCTTGGCTCGTGTTTCGCATTCCACAATAGGCGGGTATAGGCAACAGCATAGTGGATGGATCAGCGGCCCGATCAGCTGCCCGAACAGCCTAAACAGCTGCCTGCTGGTTTGTCGCATTGTCTGCTTTCAAGAGCCTTAAGGGCCTGAATGGCGAAATGATTTACTCTGTGGCAAGGACAGTCAAGTCAAAGCTGCCCAGAACTCGCAAGCGGTAAGAAGTCCATCCCCTAGATCGCGGAATACGTCTATCACAGAAGGACCGTTCAGAGTAGACCAATTCTCCGGCGTTTGTTTCGTGTTCGTTTTCGTACTCAACATGTTCTTCTTTCCCCTTTTAGTTAAATAGCGCAATCACTAGCTACCCTCCTAATTGCAAAACGTAGCAACCTAGGCCAGGCTGCTGGCAGCATACAAGCACAGAACAACATCTAGCCTCTCCGTCACCGCCGCTGCTCTGCCTTGTCCCAAGATCCACAGTACAGCGGGTACAGCAGCAACGCCAGCCACTCATGCTGACGACTCACTCGGACTCCGCCACCGTTCACTGCCACTCTTCATCAACGACCCAATGCACACCTACCCCTTTTTAATATGCCATAGCCGTCAGTATCCGAGCCCCACCCCCCCGTTGCACGAACTTCGCGACTTTGATCTCGCTATGGGTCGAAGAAATTGAAACCATAAGCTTTTTCCGCGAACAAATTTTGCTCAGCACTTCTCATTGCTGGGACGTTTACGACCCTGACTGTCATATTCAGTCTACTGGTCAGCATCGGGTTATGACACGCATCGAGCATGTGCAAGCCATCACGCACGGTAGTCGAAGTAAGCAATCCTCACTCACTAGCCGACTGCTTCATGTCGTCACTTCTCCTGGGCCTAGCGTACCCTTAGCTGTAGTTATCCGATCCATCAGTCGTAGCTCGCGTATGGAATCGCCATTGGAACCGGTGATGCGGGGCGAGTGAGGTATCGCTTGGAGAACTCTTGCACATAGCTAAGTGGGGCGTGTCAATCGAGAACTCTACTGTCGGGCCATGCGGAGTTATTGTATTGCCTCCGCTCTAAAGACAGAATTTGTGGCACCGGGTCTGACCCGACTGTTCCAATTATGAGGGAGACCACCTTGAAGGTAAGACGGTAGGGGACGTCATGTGAAAGAAAAAAAGACGGAGCCCGAACAACCCCCTTAATGCGGTGGAGGAGTCGAGCGCTGCATCCAGCACTGATCAATTGCTCTATTCTCTGAAACAACTTCCCAAATGTAGATCTCAAAAGAGACCTTTTTTCGTGGTGTACTACTGGAAGCCTTGCGTTCTTGTATATGTAAATCTTTAATCTTTGGCCGCACCTCCGCCTCAAACCAATTCACAAAACAGAGTAGATGCACCCTCTCGAACCGGCCGCATTCAAAGTGGTATATATCCGCTCGTACCCCTCCTTTTTACCTAAATCTCTGAAACACCTGCTCCTCCCTCAACCTGTCCTCCACCAGCCTCAGCACCTCCGGATCGTACAGGTCCTCAGGCCGCTTATCGCCCTTCAACACCTCCTTCTCATGCTTCTGTGCCTCCTCCTTCGTCATCAGGACCAGGTCCGTCAACCGTAGCAACGTGCTCTTCTGGCCCTCGAACCTGCCGTCCAAAAACCCGTCGGCCTCGGGCGCCCTCCACCTGACCAGCGCCAGGCGGGTCGACAGGCCCGTCACGACGCTCTTCCCGCGCCACGCCTCCTCGATCAGATAGCCGACGTCGTCCTGCGAGACGGGGATGCGCAGGCCCACGGCGTCGAGGCCGCGATGGCGCGCCAGGCGCTCCTCGGCGCCCTGCAGCGCGGCCAGCACGCCGTCGTACAGCTTGTCGCGGCTCTTGCTCGCCAGGTATTCGTGCGGGTAGCCCGTGATCTCGAGGATGGCGTGGTTCGCGACGGCGAGGCCGAAGATGGCCGGCATGGTGCCCAGCACGGGCAGGATGCGCACGCGGAAGTCGGGCAGCACGCCCAGCTCGCCGACGCTGCCCTTCGCGTACTCGTCCTCGGGCAGCGGCAGCAGCTGCGCCTTGCCCGGCGCCGTCTTCTCGCCCGAGAAGACGACCGGGATGCCCTCCTTGATGCCGAGCGCGCGCAGGCGCCGCCGCGTCGAGCGCGACAGCGGGTCCTCGGTCGAGGCCGAGATGTCGCCCACGAAGACGCGCGTGGGGTCGCTCTTGCAGCCGGCGCCCATGGACGACACGACGGGGATGCCGTTGCGGTGGCAGTGCGCCAGCAGGGCGACCTTGCTGTCGATGTTGTCGATGGCGTCGATGACGAAGTCGGGCTTCTGGCCGCTTGCGTCGGGCGCCAGCTGGCGCTCGGCCGCCGTCTCGTTGAAGAGCTCGTTGCGGCAGTCGAAGTGCGTCCACGGGCACACCTGCTCCAGGCGCTTGCGGATCGCGTGCACCTTGGGCGTGCCCACGTCGGCCAGCGTCGCCACGGCGTGCCGATTCAGCGACGACAGCGTCACCTGGTCGAAGTCTATCAGCCGCAGGTTCGAGACGCCCGAGCGCGTCAGCGTCGAGACGGCGTGAGAGCCGACGCCGCCGCAGCCGACCACGATCACGAAGGCATTGCGCAGCTTCGCCAGCCCTTCGTCGGTGAGGAAGACGCGGTTGCGCGCCAGTTGTTCGAGTATGAGGTCTGAGGAGCGCCCGGCATGCGTTAGTTGAGGGCTGAGCATGGTCTGCGCAAGAGCGAGAGGAGCGAGAGGAGCGAGAGGAGCGTACCGTCGTCATAGTCGCCGGATCGTGCGCGAATGGCTAGAGCGATGCCTCGTTCGTCCTCTTTGCTGGGCGCAAAAACATGGTCTGATGCGGCGCCGTACTCTGTCAGCTTTGCTTGGTCAGTCGGGAAAAAAGCCGGACACAGGCGAGGAGGATGGCCGTACCCTCGTAGTGGGGTGGTCTTGCCCAGGCTCCGGAATGTGCGCCTTCAGGCTCTCGACTTTGTACCTCCTCTGCGCGGCCTGGTATCCTAGCACAAGACTTGCGGCGAGAGCGCCCGACGCGACGGCGGTAGCTGCGAGCTGCGAGTTGTGCGAATACGAGCTTCGCGAGATCCAGGAAGACATGCTGCGGCGACAGCTCAGCTCAGCGGAGGGGCCAGAGTGGTCAATGGAGCATAATCTGGGCGAGGGGGATGTTGACGGCAGTGGTCCGCTACTGCCGACAACCAAAAAAATGCCGTCATCTGGCCGGCACTGCCGCACGACCCATCTCCACGAGATCGCCGCCCGCCCGTGCAAATCGCACTGTGCACTTGTGAATGAGCTTTGGCACGTGCTTATTGAAATGCCATTTGCATCGGATTGAATTGGATTTATTCATTGAGCAATTCAACGACTTTTCTTCGACTACTGCACAGCCGTGCAAGGAGGAGCCTTACTCCAATCCAATAGGCTCGGTGCCTGATCCTAACCGCTGCCGCTTCGAGCCTTTGCCTGTCCCTAGGCTTCGTTGCCAATCTGAGCAGCCCTTAAGAAAAAATTATTCCCGCCGAGGCCCTTTGCCGCTCCTGTCCTATTTGTCCATGCCCTCCCAAAATTATGTACTTTGCTGTATCCAGCAAGAAAAGGAGAGAAGATGAAGAGAAGTCTATGGTACAGAATGATAGTATACCAAGTAATCCCAGTGGAGAATCCGGGAACTTGGCCTGGTCGGTGTTTTTGACATCCAGGAAGTCGAGATTCGTGTCGTCGCGTTGCTGACAGAAGGAAAACTAATACACCGAAACGCCAATGCTAATGAGTCGTCAACACAACCGGAGGGAGGGTATCGAGGCGCAAGAGAAAACGGGCCGTCAATCGGGAGAGCCCTAATAGTAGGCCTCGACTACCACGAGTCGCGCGACTGGCGCTCCGGAGGATCCGGATTGCGGACCTGCCAAGAAAGCGGTTACTATCCATGCACAGACACAATCGGGTTGGGGAACTTACGTTCAACGTTCTCGTGTAGTCGCGGTTGTCCTCAATGGAAGCGATACTGCCATGGCTGCCATTATCCAAATTCATGAATGGTTGAGGGTTCAGGCGCTGATCGTAAAACAAGGGCCGGCTGTTGCGCCGCTCTGAGTTAGGCGTCATCGCGTCAGACGGGTCAGAGCTTTGGCGAGCGGTGTTGATCGGCGGCAGTGTAGCGGTGTAGTCTTTTTCTCCAGACCTGAGGAGCCCGGTCCGACTAAGTGTGCTGACATTTCTCTGAGGAGTAACGCCTGTGGACCCGTTCTCGGCATCTTGAGCTGCTTGCTCCCTCTTGCGGCGCATACGCATGAGAAAAAAGAAGATGGCTCCGGCAAGCAGAGCGAGACCCGCGAGACCTCCAATAACTGCGCCAGCAATCGCGCCCCCAGACGTGCGTGAACCACCAGAGGAGGAAGAGGAACCATCTCCCGAAGACGGCGCAGAAGTCACAGTCTGGGTCACAACAGACCCGCCAACGGTGACAACGGTGACTTGAGTGACCGGGGTTGAAGTCCGAGTAGACGAAGAGGAACTTGACTCCTCTGAGGAGCTTGACGACGAACTCGATGATGAGGTAGTAGCGGCGGCAGAGCTGGTAGAGGATTCCGTCGTCGATGTGGATGAGGTCTTCTGCCGAAGGACTGTTAGCTGATGCCAACAATCCAATAGTGAAGCGGTAAGGGGACATGAGATTCCTCATACGGGAAAAACCGTCGAAACGACCACTGACGCCAACTGGGTCACCGTCTGGACGACGGTTTCCGTGTCAGGCACTCGAATGGTCGTCTCCACAGAGCTCGGCGCAGGAGCGGAACTCTGCACCAAAGAAAGTTAAAATGACGTTCGTAAGGAAGCGTCACACTTAAAAAGAAGCGTAATAAAGATGTTGTCAAGCGTGCAGTAGAGGGAAACAGTAAGAGTGGGGGTCACAGAACGGCGTGACCCCGTAACAGCATTGAAAGAAAAAAAAGTGCCGCCCAAGGCGGGCGGCTGCAAAACTTACCGTGGAAGTCGAAGCCGCTGTGGATGTGCTCGCAGCGGTCGACGCGCCTTGAGTTCCGGACGCGGCCAGGTCCAGCTTGATGTAGCCATACAAGTCGTCGTCCGAGTTACCGCAATCTTCATAGCCATAGCCAGGGCAAGTGGTGTCGCAGTTGCTGGTATCCTGCTGATCCGAGGGTGCGTAGTTGGAGCACCAGCACTGCTTTCCTTGGACAATAGCAAAGGCGTAGTCGTCTACGCATTCGTCATGACAGTGGCCATTCGACTGGAATGTGTATGTATCTTCGGTTTCACGTCAGGAAGCAGTCTTGGACAACAAGATCTGGGAGTGCACACCTTGTAGATTGCTCGAGCCGGTGTTCTGGCTCGAGCAGTAGGTCTGGGTGAGAGCGCTCACGCGATTGATGAGAGCTAATGTGGTGAGGAGCAACAGCAGCTGCTGTGCGCGGAAAAAGCGATGAGCGATCATTTTGAGTGGTGCCCGAGGGCGATTACTGGTGGAAGCGAGGGTATTTTGACAGCGACAGCCCTAGAGGCTCGGGAGGACCCGCTTGCGCTGCCACTGACAGATAGTCCGGGCAGGTGACTAGAAGGTTCGTGCGTCCGTGCCGCGGTGGTGATACTTCGGACGGATCGGCGCGGTGGCTGGGAATCGGCAGCTGGGGCGGCGGTTGCTGTGACGATGCTCAGAGAAGCGATTGGCGATGGATGCTCCTGTTGGGTGATGCGGACGGCAACGGGGGGGTGCCGCGCGGAAAGCGAGAGTCGCCAGGAGCTCGGGGTTAAGCAGAGGCGGGCGAGGCGATCGACACGTACGCGAAGGAGCTCCGACTCAATGAAGAGATAGAGCTGCTCGGGCCGTTAGCATTGTCGACCGGCGCGTCGCTGCGGTCGGGGAGCGATGGAGAAGCGCGGGGAAGGGTGCGCGGGCAGGGCTCGAATTTGAGGATGCGGCGGTGATGTGGGTGGAGGAGTTGGTGTTTAGGAAGAGGGCCGGCGGGAGGGCGTTTCCATGGGCCGCAGCTCGGGCCACCCGCATGCAGCGTCCAGCGCTTGGCCGGAAGCGAGGCGGGCGAGGCTAGCAGGCACAGATGCACCAGGCCTGTAACGGACGCGCTCCAACCCGCGGCTCGCGGAATAAGGAAAATACGATTACGCACCGTCAAAACGCTAAGCTGCTCTCTCGGGACGCTGAGGATCCGACGGTTCCGCAAGAAAGGGTCGCTGCGCGCGCAGAGAGTTGCGAGAGTGCTGCGAGGGCGGCGCTGGCGTGCCGCGTTGCTGACTGCGAGGCTTGAGGAGGGCGTGTGTCAGGGCGAATCGAGGGTGGAGCGGCGCAATGCTGATATCATGACACGAGGAAAGGAGGGCTTCTGCAGCGGGGCGAGGGCAGCGCGCGGTGGTGAGCGAGGGCGGCTGCAGCGATAGCGGCGTCGACACGGCCGCTGGCGCTGGGTGGGACTGGGGTTGATGAAACGAGCGTCAAAAACAAACAAAACGATCAACGAGGGTGGAGAAGGCGCAAGTGCGCTTCGAGAGCGGTGACAGCTGGGCACGATGGTGTGGTTTGAGTGAAGACTTCGCGCCTCGCAGCAGGAAGGGGGCCGGCGGGAGTAGTCAGCACTCGCGCAGCAATCATCATCGACTCGCCGGGCAGCACTCTCGCTGATGCTGGCACCTGGCAGCAGCGGGCTGCCGATCATGCCGCGCGATCTGCCACTGATGGCCCGCCCACCGCACGCGTAGGCGCTCTAACCACAATCGCCGCCGACTCATCTGGAAGGCGTGCAGCAGTGCCGGCCGCCAGCTCTCAAACGGCCATCAGGCGCCTCCAACCACCCACACCCAGCGCGCAGCCCCGCCGCACCGCAGCCGCCTCAGGCCCATCACGAGCTCGTCGCCTGCCCGCCAAACGGCGCGCGGCGTGCGCGCGGTAGTCAGGCCTCCCTTGGCCGCCCGCGGTGGCAAATCGACCCCAGGCTAGCTCCATCCAATGTCGTCTCGATGCAGAAGTCCTGTTCTCCTGACGCACCCGTATCGGGCTCGCAGCAAGCCACACAAGTGCAGCGACCGAGCCGCTCCCAGCTCGCCCAGGACACCCCTCGCAACGGCTGGCCTATCGCCGAAGGCGGTCGGGCGACATCTTCCATCGCTACGGCCTGTCCTTCCCTTTAGCCAAACGGCGGCGGTGGCGCCGCGAGCGCTCGGTGCGGCTCTACCGCTGCTGGCGTCCGCTCTGCCAAGCCGACCCGGCTGCGTTGCGACATCACAGCTCTCGCCCGACACCGTGCCAGAGGCCTCAGCATCGCGACCCTGGGCCCTGTGGCCCGTTGCGTATCCCGCGTCCGCCCCCCCTCGTCGTGGACAGCAGCGCGGCATGCCATCGTACGACCGAGAAAGCACGCGCGCACTGGCCCCGCTAATAAAAAGGGCTGGCTGCTGGGCGACGTGTATCTCCTGCCAATGTCTCGGAGGTCGCGCTCCAAATGCTCGCTGTTGTCCCGGCGTCCGGATGCCTCCATTGGCGCTCGCTCCGTGGCTTATGCGTGGCTCATAATGACCTCAGGCTTCGAGGACTCAGCCTCTCACAGCACGGCCGCGAAATGACGATTGACTGATTTTCAGGGGATTACAGGGCCGGGCGCCTCACCCAGCGACACCAGAATCCACAGCGTGGGACTTGGCAGCCAGTGAGCGCGCTGCCTCCAGCCGTAGTGCCCGCTTGGAACGCCAACGACGTGGTTTTTCTTTGCTTGGAGATCCTCTGGAGATCAGTGCGCTGCGGGAGGATGGCAGGATGCTTGCTCTCATCAGCCTTCCCAATTTCGTAGCCCAGCGGTGCGTGCCACGCGCGCTGTCGGGTCGCCATCTCAGATCCACCCTTCCTTCTGCCAGCTGCACTGGGATGCCACATGTTGTGGTGTGGCTGGAATTGCGGTCCAGATTTGCTTCCTCCACCGTTCTTCTTGCGCCGCACTCGTCGGTCGCTCCGCCTTTGCTTGTTCGTCAGCCACGCTGTCAACAATTTGTCAAGAGTTCCACCCGCCCGCCCTGCCTCGCTGGGCTGCCTGCCGCCCAGAGGCGATCAATTCTTTGTCAAATGCCACTGCTGCGTCGCTGCGCGCAGGGTCAACACCACTGGTTGGCTCTCGCAACTTGGACAAGAGGGATCTGCGCGCGCAGGCCCTTGCATCAGCATTCCTTGTTGATCACGGTTGCACGCGGGTGAGCTACAAAGCGGCCATGCGACGTTCCCCGCTTTCTGTCCCACCCGCGCGGCAACCAAGCTGTCCCGTCCAGCATCGTGGGATGCGGGCTGGATCTGCTCAACACTGGTCACTGCGGGTCGAGGATAAGTAGGCAGGCGTCCTCGCCCACGGTTCGGTGCCTTCTTAGCCCCTCCTCGCAGCAAGGCAACGCGCTCGCCATCTGGCGTGGGCCACGCGGCTACTGTCTGGTGACAGGCTGCATCAACAACCGAGATGCAGGGGGGGAGGTACAGCCTTCTGTGCCTATCTCTACTATGTACATGCCTACACACTGCCTCGGCCGAAAGCATCTTCCGTCAAGCATTATTGTCAACGGCTTATCTGCGCTTTCTATTTGGAAAACAATCGACTTATTGATGCGCAGTTATAGCAGGGTGGCAGAACCACGATCCCGGGTTTTCCTTGCTGTTTCTATTTTTCGACGCGCAATTTCGGGGATTGATCAGCATAAACTTTCGGACGAGGCTTCAACGGTAAGGACGGTCCGACCAATGACATTGTCTAGCACTGCGAGCATCGACTACAATATTCGGGCCAGGTACGGATGGCAGGGTGCATGACACATTCATAAACAGGCCTTGCGCAATCGCATCGCTTCTGCTTGAGCAAACGTTCGTCTGCCGATGTCGTTTGGCGAGAGTGGACGGAGAATTCCACTGCTCTACAATTTCGATTTCTTTCCACCCTTCACGCCCGTCACCTCCTGTCCGCTGATGAGGAAGTCCGGGTACTGAAACTCCTGGCCGGGATTGGTGCTGGGCATGCGCCACGCACCGCCATCAACCACGATCACGTCTCCGTTGACATAGTTGGCCGCGTCACTGAAGAGGAAGACGGTAGCATCCGCAATCTCCTTGACTGCGCCCCACCGGCCGCTGGGGATGCCCTTCCCCGGGTTGGTCGCTGAATCGAGCTTCGACAAGCGCTGCATGCCCTCGGTGCCGGCGATGGGACCCGGTGCGATGACATTCGAGGTCACGCCGAGCGGGCCCTGTTCGATGCAGACGGCGGCCGAGAGTGCATCAACACCCGCCTTTGCGACCGAGGCGTGGGCCTGCAGCGGTGTGCCCGAGTAATGGAGGGTGGCCGACACGAAGACGATGCGACCGCCAGTGCCGTGTTCCGGAGCTGCACAAGTTGGCAAAAAGGATTCGAATTAGTCCTCTTTCACGTTTGGCGACGAATGAGCCGCGGGCGTTGGACGGGCCGAAAGGCGCATGCCTTGCAACGTGCTATAGTGGCCAGCGTCGTCCTGGGCCAATTTCGCGCCCGGCGGTACTTACGAGTTTTACCATCAGTCCTATGCTTCGCAGCTGACTCGAGCAGATAGGGCAGTGTGGCTTTGAGAGTGTTGTAGGAGCCCAGCACATCGATGTCGATGACCGACTTCATGGCGTTGGGGCTCAGCTGCGAGATCTAGTGGCTGTCAGAGGGTCCGCTCGCGGCTCCAACCACTGCAACCACTACAGGTGACGGGGAAGAGTCTCACGGGGGCCAGAAAGTTTCCTGCGGCTCCGGCACTGCAAGGGATGCATTAGCGGCGAATCATGGAGTCCGGAGGGCGGCCGAGTGTGGAGCGAATCTCTGGAGAAAGGTCTGGAGCAGCTGTGGCTGTGGAGCCCCTTGACCAGCCCATAACTACAGACTTACATGACGAAGTCGATGCTGCCGAGCTCCTCCGCGGTCTTGTCGGCGGCGGCCTGCAGATCCTCGGGCTTCCTCACGTCAACGCCTCCCAGGGCGAGCACCTTCGCGCCAGAACGGCAGGTGGCGATGTCGGTAGCGGCATTCTGCGTCTTCTCAACGTTGCGGCCGACGATGGCGGCGTTGGCGCCGAGGTGCACCAGGGCGCGGACTTGAGCGCTGCAGATGGTGCCAGCACCGCCGGTGCAGAACACGACCTTGTTTGCTACATGGAAAGCACCCAGTAAGTCTGCCTGTTGCGTCATGCGGAGGAATGCGGAGGAATGCGGGGAGAGCTGTTTCCATTACCGAAGATGCCGTCTCTCCAGACGTCGCTCACGTACTCGTACTTTGGAACGGGCATGTTTGCAGAGCGCTGCGTGGAGAAGAAGGAGAGCTGGGGGGACCGCTGGGCGAAGCGACCTGGTAAAGTGTGGAGCCGCGAAGCTAGAGGTGTCGTCGTGCAGCTTGGATCCGACGGCCGAGGCACGCAGCCCATGCCGCGGCGCTGGCCATTACTATACCGCCTGGCGCATTGGCTGCGCGCGAGACACGCCCGGTAAGCAGTGCGGATGCCGAGTCTTTGCATTATTTTGATCAAGAGATGTTCTGCAGCAGTTCCTCGCCCGGCCGCACGAGCTGCGGAGCTGCTGCATCCGGGACACCCCGCCTCACTGAGGGCGACCAGTTCTTGGCGGGGCTACCTAAGCGGTAAAACAGCCAACAACAGCTTCGCCAACACGCTCCCGGCAGCAGCCTCGCCTCATCCCCGCAACTCCAGCTGTCAATCTCCCTACTGCTCGAGGACCCGCTCCTCTCGGCCACAATGGCGCGCACCATTGCAATCTGCAAGTTCGTCGGCACCGTCAGCCTCGGCCTGCTGACGGTAAGTCTTGCAACAGCCCGCCGCCGAGTCGTCAATGCTGATAAGAGAGTTACAGGGCGTCTCCTACACGCTCAGCACCACCGCCCTGCCTGCTCTGCTCGAGCTCCCCACCGCTATCCACGGCTACACCACCTTTCTGTCCATGCAGTACGCCGCGAAACGCCACGTCCGCCTCCTCACCGCCACCGCCGTCTCGACCCTCTCGCTCGCCTTCATCATCTCGCCTCCGCGCGCCCGCCACCCCTACCTGCTCTGGACCTCTCTTGTCGCGGCTGCCGGTGGTGCTGGCGTCGACTACGCTTTGCGCCAGCAGAACGGCGACAGCGAGACCGGGGCGCCCGATGACAACGGCAGTGTCAGTGCGGAGCGCAGCTGGGTCGATCTGGAGAAGGGCGAGGACGTCAACGGCGAGATGGTGCGCAACGGCGTCGAGAGATTCCGCATCGCTGAGGGTGCCAGGGCTGCCATCAGCGGCTTGGCCTTCACCATGAGCGTCATCGGCATCTGGGGCGATGGCGCTTGAATGGCGGTGATTAGAATCTTCGAATGGAACTTGAATAACGGAATCAACGACGACGGGCACGACACAATGGCAAACACGGCATGTCGTGATATATGAGGCTGCATCTGATGGTAGGCGCGAGGGCGTTTTGAATTCTGAGTAATGATTTCACATCTCTTCGGGAGACTGTTCCTTGCAATCTACTCTGCTCATTAGTTGCATGTATACAGTAGCAATCAGAACTCCACGCACAGGCCACTTTTTCTACATACTGCTCTACATCTGGTTCATCGTCACTCTTTCTCGAAGCATTGGAAATTCTCTGGAATCGCCTCGCCCTTGGCGGTTTGGTTCCACAACCGGCCCGGAAACCCTGTGACTACACCGCCGAGTATTCCGTACGGTAGTATGCACTCTTGGCTCGAGTTTAGAAACCAGCATATGCCTGCCCTGTTTACGAAGCCATGCTCATAATTATTCCCACGATCCACCACTTCACATGAGTTCTCATCCACCCTGGCCTAGGAGAAATCCACTGACACTCAATCTCAAAAATCGAAATGGCTATTCACTGGTCCATTTGGTATAAACAGCACCGGGGAAGCGCGCTCTTCGTATAGTTTCATGGAACCGATACACAAGCAAGCCGACTCCATGAGGCATGCTCAACTTTAAGTTGGGCCAACAGACCGCGTTCTACAACAAAAACAGAAAGCAATACCCAGCCATACTTCATGATAATGGATATGATTGGGAACACGTAAATTAATTTATGATAAAATCCACTTCACACGTTGAATGGCCCACTGATCTGTACTCCTTGGTTCTCTTTACTACACTTGCACTCCAAGGTTCTTGGGTGTATTAGTGGGCATACGTCCTTTCTTGTATGGCACAGGCTCTTTCCTAGAAGTTACGAGAGTTCGAAAGGGTCCGGACTCACATATGCATCGGGATTCAACGCCCTCACTGTTTGATCGAGCTCACCTCGCACTACGGGAAATGTTCTCTCTTAATGAGAGGGGGTTGCTACCACGTATGAGCAAACCCTCTCCCACCAAGCAGACTACTCCAGACAGGCATCTTGGCAGAACGTCTTCACTTCCCTCTCAGGCCCCAGCTCATCCAGAGTACGAAATGGAGTACCTCACCATGGAGCATACGGCTCCCGTTGCTTCAATGCATTCTGAATCTCACCATTCTCTGCCTAAAACCAATCCACCCACGTCAGAAGCACAGACGCAACACAATGGTTCCATTCGGGAAACCTCACCCCAACTGAAACCGACCAGTCAGCCCATCCGTCGAGAAGAGGAATGTGCCTCTCCAGAGTCCTCACATCAGCCAATTTCAACTTGGCACCGGCCGACGCACAAACAATCTCAAGCACAATTGACAATTACAGCAGAACTTCCCTATACCAAGAATCATTAAGCAGATGCTCAACCGATCACACACACCTTGGCCAAGAACAACACGGACTTTTTTGATATATGTTCCAAGTCTCTGTTGTGAGGTCAGATCCTTGAACCTTTGAGTGAGCCGACGTGGCTACCGACCATGATGCTTGCCGGAGACGCTGGCATCTTCGATGACGAATAGGTGTCGTATAAATCAACTCAAAATCAACAGATGAGTGCGTGGGGGCCGCAGACGAGTCACGGTGGCACTGCTGTTTGACTAACTTCTCATAGTTTTTCACCTCGTACTTCATGGCTTGAACGGGAGGGGAATCAACATCATCACAGCAGTCACACCCGCAAGGGCATTCGCCCGGCAAGTATTCCGAGTTGCAGAGATCAAAGCAGCCAAGCTTCTAGATACGTACATGCTCACCAAATTCAACATGCGCAAGGCCAATCAAGTCTATGAGACCAAGCTTTCCGAGGAACCTCCTCTTGACTTGCTGGAAATTAACAGAGAAGACAGAGGAGATATATGGCGACAAGAGTGGGAGCAAGAACTCAAGACGTTGGTTTCGAACACGTGGGAACCGGTAACTCAGCACGTGGACCTTGAAGTTATCTTCAACTGCCCAGACAATGCTTCGGCTGCCATCAAGGGTCTGATGAGAAGGTGGAGGACCCACCTTTATGAGTGCTTCATTGAAGCCATTGAGGAAGCTACCCGCTTCCGCGACCCGGCCCGTGAGCTGGCTGAGCACCTGGTCCACACAAATGGTCTCGAAATTTACCTCTTCAGCAGGCTGGGATCCGGTCAACAACAAAGGGCAGGTGCGCCGGAGACGTGCGATAGATTGCCAAGTAACTTGGTACACGGTATATTGCAAGGTAGGTTGAAAGCATGAGATTGATGAGATGTTCTGCAAAGTGGGCGGACATTTGAAATGAGACGTGGAGGGCGGGGCGCAGCTGGTGAAGGATTCGTATTCGGTGGGGGAACAGATTGCCGGGCTGGGCGTCAAGGAAGGCGCCGCGGCCGGGGCAGGAACGGGCAGGAACGGGAAGGCAGCCCGCGCAGCCCGCGCCGTTGTCAGCCCTGCCGAAGTCCCAAGAGTCAGGCTTAGCCTCTAGACAACGACTCCCTCTAGCCGAGTGCTGCCCCTGCATCGGCCTTCGCTGATTGCACGCCAATAATGCCGTGATAAATTGCCAATGGGCTGCTTCTCTCCTGCTGGATGCTACCGCAGTCTGTTTGAGAGCGAAACATGGCCGTCCGATTATTCCTGGGCTGCTCGCTGGGCCTGCTCGCCTCCGTCGCTGCTGCAGCTGCCGCACCCGCCAATGGCACGGATCCCTTCCAGCTGTCGTGCCTCTCCTTCCAGCCGCAGACGCACGTCTACAACGCCACGCTGACGGCCCGCGAGTTCGTCCCGGCCAACACCAACCTCACCTTCCCGGACAACGACGCAACATGCAGCCGCGCCAGCCAGCTGGTGCCGGCCGACATCTGCCGCATCGCCCTGTCCATCCCGACCTCGAACAGGTCCAGCATCACCTACGAGATGTGGCTGCCGCGCGAGTGGACCGGCCGCTTCGTGGCCACGGGCAACGGCGGCATTGACGGATGTGCGTTGTCTTGATTCCCCCCGGCCCCCAGGCCCCCCCCCCCCGCCGCCTCCGCGCGACTAACACGTCGCAGGCGTCAAGTACGAGGACCTGGCCTACACGTCGCAGAACGGCTTTGCCGCCGTCGGCTCCAACAACGGCCACAACGGCACCTACGGCAATGCCTTCTACCAGAACGACGAGGTGATGTCAGACTTCGCCTGGCGATCGTGCGCTCCCCCTGCCACTGCCGTGCCATGCCGTGCATGCTGACCTCGCCAGCCTCCACACCATCACCGACGTCGGCAAGAAGCTCACCAACCTCTTCTACCAAGGCGACATCACCAAGTCGTACTACCTGGGCTGCTCGCTGGGCGGCCGCATGGGCATCAAGGCCGCCGAGCACTTCCCCGACGACTACGATGGCATCGTCGCCGGCGCCCCTGCCGTCGACTTCAACAACCTGATCGCGTGGCGAGCCAGCTTCTATCCCATCACTGGCGCCAAGGGCTCCGCCAACTTCATCTCCGCCGACACCTGGAAGACGACCATCCACAACGAGGTCCTGAACCGTAAGTCCGCCCTCTCCGCTCCCCCGTAGCCGCGCCCCGCGCTCACGCTCGCCCCAGAGTGTGACAGCATCGACGGCGCCGAAGACGGCATCATCGAGGACCCGACCCTCTGTCACTTCAACCCCGAGACGCTCCTCTGCCGCGGCAACAGCACCGACTGCCTCAATGCCGTCCAGGTCGGCATCGTGCGCCAGGTCTTCTCCCCCTTTTTCGGGCTCGACGGCGGCCTCATCTTCCCGGGCATGCAGCCGGGCTCGGAAGAGCTCGCCGTGTCCAAGCTCTACGCGGGCGCTCCCTTCTCCTACTCGGAAGACTGGTTCAAGTACGTCATCTACGACCCCAGCTGGGACGCCGCCACTTTCACCGCGCTCGACGCCGCCTACGCCGAGCTGCGCAACCCCGCCAACATCCGCACGTGGCCGGCATCGTTGGCCCGCTTCCAGCGGCGGGGCGGCAAGCTGCTGTCATACCACGGCCAGCAGGACAACCAGATCTCGTCGTTCAACACGCCGCGCTTCTACCACCACCTCATGCGCGGCATGGGCTATTCGTACGCCGACATGGACGCCTTCTTCCGCTTCTTCCGCGTCAGCGGCATGAACCACTGCAACAGCGGGCCCGGCGCCTGGGTGCTGGGCCAGGGCGGCGGCGCCCCCGCCGAGGGCATCCCCTTCGACGCCGCCCACAACGTGCTGGCCGCCATGGTCGACTGGGTCGAGAAGGACGAGGCGCCCCGGACCATCACCGGCACCAAGTTCGTCGACGACGAGGTCGACAACGGCGTCGCCTTTGAGCGCAGGCACTGCCTGTTCCCGCGCCGGAACACGCTCGTCGGCGCGGACCCGACCGATCCGGACAGCTGGGAGTGCAAGTGGGCGGCCAACTGGTGGTCTGGCCCGGATGGCGGCGCGGCGGAGGGATTTGGTAATCCGTGGCTGAATGGGTTTGGAGACGGCCACGGCCACGGCCACGGCCACGGCCACGGCCCTGGCCACGACCATGACCACGACAACGATTACAACCGTGAGCGTGGTCACGGTCGCCCATGAACTCTAGTTCGTTCGTAAATATCATTCAATTCACTTAACGCAGTAGACAAAAAAAAAAAAGAAAACTTTCATACAGCTCTACCTGATATCGGATAATAGCCGACGGAGGCGGCCAACACCGAAACGTCTGTGTGGAAGAATAACGAGGAATTCGGATACGTACCTAGGCTTCGGTCGGCAAGGCCCCTTGGATGATTCGCGCAACCGTGGTGGGGACGGGGGGGGACCTCTGCAAGGTCCCTGACTCGATCGATGTGCATGCAGCAAACAAACCTCGGGAAGATGAAGGTACCACCTACCTAGCTGCCTGATTCTGCCAAAAAACAAAGCCAAGCCGGCCGGAGCGTTCGCGCGTCAATCAATCTCAGATTCCATCTATACCCGATCCACTCCCCCCCCCCCCCCCCCCCCTGGTCGCGGCACAGCGGGCTGCCCCGTCCTTCCAACGTCCGATCCCTGCGCCCCAGCCAGCCAGCCAGCAGCGAAACTGATTAAATGTGTCTCGGTAGGCGCCGTTGTTAGCGTCCATCGTGCAATATATATCGAGTGATGATGAGTACTATCCGTACCTCTAGTGTGCATGCATCTTTCGGCCAGTCATGACCCAGGGAGTCTCGGAGCCCAAAAAAAAAAATGCATAATAATTCGCACCCCGATCGAGTCTCTCTACATAGTTTGAGAGAGAGCGACCCCCACCCTTTCTCTGATGGGGCCTGGAAATATGGTTTTTTTTTTATAACTTATTAGCTCAATCGGCGATGGGAGGGGGGAGCTGGCTGGCCGGCCGGCCGTGAGTTCTGGATCGGTTGTCCGAGCTCCCCCGTATCGTACAGGCGTGCGTGCGTGCATGCATGCATGCAGATGTGCATACGAGTGTCGGTGTGTACCTGCATGCCTGGAAGCCCGGGATTCTCTTCGTTACTACTGCTCTGACCAAAAAGATGTGCCGAGGTTGCGTGAATTAAAAAAAAAATTATGAGAAAAAAAAAGAAGCGCGCGCAGAGAATCAACAGATGGCAGTCAAGAACAGGTCAATATGTTGCAACATTGCTCTTTGAGCTTCATGTGACGTTTTGTCCGTACGCCGGCAACACAAGGAAGGAAGGAGCAGAGGGAATGTAAAACTTTTGTCATTTTTTCTTTTCTTTTTTGTTTCTTTCTTCTCTTCACGTCTTCCAATAATGCTTGCAGATCAACTGCAATCAAGCTATCATCGTTCTCCGCTTCTGCCGGGCAGCCCCCCAAACCTCGTACTCTATCACCGCCGGCCCCGCCCCCGCCGCCGCGACGCCCCCAAAGCCATCTCTTACGTATCCGTCATCCCCATCCGCCGCGCTCCCCCGTCTGCTCTCACCAACCAACCTGCTCTCCATCTCGAAATCCACAACCTTGCTGATCTTCTTGTCCCGCCTCAACACGCTCGACATGGCGCCTCCCCCTCCGCCGAAACTGCTCAGCTTGGACCCGGTGTGGTACCCGCCGCCGGTGCGGGTGGTGCGGAGCAGCTCGTCGTTGGAGCGGCCGGTGGCGACGTTGTACAGGAACTGGAAGCAGGGGCGCATGACGACGAGCGAGGCGGCGATGATGCCCACGTCCATCTCGACCATGGAGATGGTGTTGGGGATCGTGTTGGCCCACTGCGGGTCCTTTTTGGCCAACGGGTCGGGGAAGAATTGGAAGACGAGCCGGGTGATGGCGCAGGAGGTGTGGCTGTTGGCACTCTCACTTCGGATTTAGAAAACGATGGCAACAACAAGAAGGCTTTAGGAAGAGAGGGAGGGAGGGGACTAGAGGAGAGGAGGGGAGAGAGAAACTTACACGAACCCCAGGAGGATGAGAAAGAGGAGCTGTTTGATCTCGGGCCGCTTGTCTTTCATCTTGAACAGCGCGGGCAGCGGGATGCAGATGACCATGATGCTGGTGGCGATGTTGACGGCGTGCCCGCTGAAGCGGAACTGCGTCAGGTCGATGCAGGCTCCCGGCGTTTTGGAGAGGTATGATTTGCGGATCGGGTTGCATTGGAAGATGCTGATGAGCGTTGCCGAGACGTAGTAGCCCACGACGACGAAGGTGGTGAGGTGCACGAGCACGCGCGTGATGCGCACCGTCGTCGAGTCTGCGCGCTTGAACAGCTGCGCATAGACCAGGCAGAGGGAGAGTTTGGTGAAGAGGTAGGTCGGCTTGAAGACTACCATGTTTGCGAAGAAGAGCTATGCTGGTCAGCGCGCTGTCTGGCAGACAGTGAGAGATGTATGCGCACTTGCTTCGGTACAATCGAGTTTTTGATTGATGGAGATATGTCTGCTGCATGCTTGCCATAACCATATGAGATCACGGCTGGGATGTGTTAGGAGTCGCCAGTGGATGCAACGAGAGCTGATATTGTTCACCTATCATGTTGAAGCATTCTTGGGAAATAGAGCACAGCTATCTCCATCGTCAGTGCAAAACAAGAAAGCTCAGGATGGAGATCACTTACCAGCGCAGCGAGAATGCAGTAATCCGACATGTCCAATCGCCTGCGATATCCTCGAAAGCCAAGGCGCAGAGCCACGAGTAAGATGGCGAGAGATCCGAACACGCATGTGGTCCAGATCAAGATGGGGCCCCGGTCCTCCCCGGCCATGGCGATCTCTTATGCTGATGATCAGAACCCAGAGAAGAAAGGCTACTGGCGGCGGAAAGGCGGTGTTCAAACATGGCGGGGGGAGAGGACTTGAAGTATCCTCAATCGCACCATTGCTTGCTGCAAGCGGGGCGCAGTCGGAGTAGATGAAGAACAGGCCTCGCTTGTGGCTACGAGAGGAGGCGTATGCAACTTCTTGCAGGGACTGTTCGGTGGGCTGACTGAATTTGCTTTTTACCGACCCGTGCAATAATCACCATGAGTCCCGGTAGACGGACTAGCAGTAGAGCCTTGTGTCATGTTTCGCCTTCCTTCTAGGGAACAACCTGGTGTGCGTGGTCGGATGGGTAGTTGACTCGTGCGACGCAAGCCAAGACGGACGTGCAAGGCTTTGATGCGGCGTGATCGCCGACATGGAACAAGCGTCCAGGAGATTACGGGGATGCGGCAGAGCATGCGGCACAAACGGCGCGCTAACTCGGGGAGAGGCTCGATTGCTCTCAGATGCCCGGGATCGGGTTTCTAGGCGATGGCTGCTTGGGGCTCCACATGGCGGATCCAGTTCTGTACCTTCACGCAAACAGGCATCCGGTAGGACACGCGAAACACGAGTCAACATACGGCGGACAGTGGCATGTCAGCCGGGGATTCCCGCACTTGGGTTTGCGAGGCATTCCGGGACACTGACTCTAGCGTGGCTGCTGGCTGATTTCAGGCATGTCGCGATGGAATTAGGTGTGAGGAAAGCCGAATAAATGACCTGAAGATGCGACTGAGAGCCTTGCAAACACGGTCGAAACGCAATCTTCTTTTGTTAGCAACAGCTCCTGAGCTTAGACGGCCGGAAGTGTCACCCATATTGAACGATAAGAGCGGGTTTCTCCGCCAGTTGCACAGCCTTATAGGGCGTGCTCCTGGTGGATACCATAATTCGCAGTAGCAGAGCCTCACTCGGATTCCCCACGGGTCTTGACTCTCAGGCCCCTGGATGTAACGCCGAGGACGCGTAGATGAGCCTCATCACTCGCCACTGGCGTATTAATAGATGTTTGAATCCGACGTGTGCCCATTTTCTCCAGTGGAGTGACGACAACGATGGACCGAAACCCCTCGATTCCTGAACGCTGGAGAGTATCGATGGTTCAGATGGAGCATCTTGAGAGCTCACATGTGGTAAGCTCCGCTGTGGGAACGAGCGCATACTGGGCAATGCAAGTGGTCAAACGCTGGACAGGATGTTTTAGTTGATGGCCTAAAGCCAGAGGTTCCCGCACTTCCGACGTCATTCACACGACTCTCCCATGGCTGGGCCAAGTACCAACGCTTCTCCAAAAACTTCTTGAATCAAGAACTCTACCCAGCGAATCGGCGGCTCGCGGGAGGGCGCGGACACTGCATTCGTCCATCAACTCGACGACCCACTTGCGGTACTCGAGTTTTGCAGCCTCTTCAGCTCCAAGGGCGTCTCTGGCGGCAGCCTCAGCAACAGGAGCCCAGGTGTGCATCAGGTCCCACCAGTCATAGACGTGCAAGTCGGTGACAAGCCAGCGCTTCCCCGGGGTGAAGTTGCGGTGGACGGCAATGATGGCCCTGGCGACATCATGGCCGTGAACGAGATGCAGAGCGGACTTGGCCTTGACCTGCTCCTTGGTCGTGGCGACGCGGGTGACCCAGTTGCTCGGCTGGCGGGCGCCGCCATAGAGACCAGACAGGTTGAGGACGCAGCCATTGGCGCATTGGCGCAACTCGTCCTCGGCAATTGCGCGCGGATTGTCGGCGTCGTACGAGGAGTCGCTGTCATTCCAATGGGGGTCGGCAAAGATGCCAGAGGAGCCGAGCTGGATCCAGTTGTGCTCGCCGCCGTGGCTCTTGCGGTACATGGACGTCAGGTGGTGGGACTGGCCGGAGCCTCGCAGCGGAAAGGTGACAAGGATGGTGGCTGCAGCGGGCAGCCTGTCGTACGGGGCCTGGTCAGAGTCGTCCGGATCGAACTTGAAGGGAATGGTGCCATCGTGGCCGGTGGTGGTGGTGGCAGCCCAGGAAATGGCCGTGTCCTTGAGCTGGGGGATGAGGAAGGTTGATGTCCAGCCGGCGCCCAGGATGAGCAGGTCGACAGAGGATGGAGACATGTTTGGTGGGACAAGCGGTGATCTCATCGGGCGGGGTTTGGGCAGGTGCGCTAGAGCCCATTGGGTAAGCGGCCTCTCTCGCTGTTGCCGTCCTGTCCCAGCGCAACCTGCCGCCGCGTCGCAGCACGCACACAGCATCCGCGGCACTCGACTGGTCTGGAATCGAACCAAACCCACTTCTTCGCCATGTCACCCGCCTGTCAGGGCACGATTCTCCTCGTGGACTGACGCGCAGCCCACCCACGATCCCCACGGTTCCCGAGTATATTATCTCCGACCCACCGATGATTGGCCAGGCCATGGGGATGGGACAACGACGAAGGGAGACTCTGCCCAATGCCCGCAGCCGTTATCTGACCGCTGCAACTTGCGGAATCACAGCCCGCATTTCGGTTCGGCAGAGCTGGTACGTCCCGGCTTGCATTGTTTCGCGTCGGCAAGATGCAAGACGCCATCGCATTGCCCGATCACACAATCCCCCCGCCAAGCCCAGCAACACCACAACCACTTCGACGAATAGCAGCAATACTGGCTCCAGTCTACTCCCCGCTCCCACCTCGTAAGCTCCTCCGCAGACGCTTGTCATAGGCTCCTCCAGTGCTTATCAACCAATCTTCAACTTACCCCTCCGAACCATCTCCCCCCGCTTTCTCAATCGATGTGTTTGCGTGGCTTTGGAGGCAGAGATCCTGTCCGATTTGTCAATCCGTCCCTTGTGTCAACCAGCCCCGTCTGTCGTCATGGCACGTGGGATGCCGTCTTTTCCACCCTCATGACATTGTGACAATCCCATGGACCTCCAGTATATATCCACCCTTCGCTGCACACCTTTTTAACCGACTACCCAACCCTCAAGTTTCCTTCCTTTCTCAGTCAAAAAAATGGCTCCTGCAGCAGTTGAGCATGAGGTTGTCGTGCTCCCCTCCAAGGCTGACACCCAGCACCGGGAGTATCTGAAGCCTTCGGGTGCCTTGGACCAGTTCGAGTCCTTCGAGGTTACTCCCATCATCGGCACTGAGTTTAAGAACGTGAACCTGGTCGACTGGATCAACGCACCCAACGCCGATGAGCTCATCAAGGAACTGGCCGTGACTAGTAAGCCCCCACAATGCTCTTTGAAACTGCCCTGCTCACAGACCGCACCAGTCTCCCGCCGCGGCGTCGTCTTCTTCCGCGCCCAGGACGACCTCACCAACGACCTGCAGAAGAAGCTGATCCACCGTCTGGGAGAGCTTACGGGCAAGCCCGCCGACTCAACCCTTCACATCCACCCTGTTCTTAACGACAGCCGCGAGCTTGGCGGAAGCGATCCGGAGATCAGCACCATCTCCTCGGAGCAACGCCGCAAGTACTACGACCCCGTCAAGTCGGCAGCGCTCTCAGGCAAAACCCAAGAATCCGCACAATGGCACTCGGACATCCAGTTCGAGCCCGTGCCCGCCGACTACACCTCACTGCGGCTGACCGAACTGCCCCGCACCGGCGGCGACACTCTCTGGGCCTCGGGCTATGACCTCTATGACCGTCTCTCACCGCCCTACCAAAAGTTCGTCGAGACTCTCTCTGCCAACTTCGAAGCCCCCTTTTTCAACGACGTCGCCTCGAACGGCGGCTTTTCCGTCTACGAGAAGCCGCGCGGCTCGCCCGCCAACACGGGCTCCGTCCTGCGCGCCACCCACCCCGTCGTGCGCACCAACCCCGTCACCGGCTGGAAGAGCATCTTCCCCGTCGGCGTCTTCCCCAAGACCATCAACGGCCTCACCAAGCAGGAGGGCGACCACCTGCTTAACTGGTTCCTCGACCTGCTGTACAAGAACCACGAGCTGCAGGTGCGCTTCCGCTGGCAGAACAAGAATGACATCGCCATCTGGGACAACCGCAGCGTCTTCCACTCCGCCACTTTCGACTACGACCACATCGGCCCCCGCTTTGGCAACAGGGCCGTCGGAATCGGCGAGCGCCCCTTCTTCGATCCCAAGAGCTCCTCTAGGCGGGAGGCGTTGGCGAGGGAGGCCGAGGGTGCTGTCAGCGCCTAGACCTGTACCAAGTTGGTCGATTTATAGGAACGATAAGAAAAATCAGTGTTTGAAATAAAATGAAAAACATGCAGATTTCGTGTGTCCCTTGTCTTCAACCATCACGTCCCGATTGCGTTATGTGCTGTAGTGTTATGAATCTCTTGCCTGCACCATGCCCTATTCGAGATTGATCGAGGCATGGCCGTTGACAGCAGTAGCCACATCCTTCATACCCGCCTTAAGCTTGGATGTGATTCAGGCTGAGACCGGAATTCCACATGGCGCAGCGGTCGCTTGAGCGTGAATGTATTGCTATGACGCGCAAGCAGCGACATGTGCCGGTGTCATTGCATGGGCCCTTCGTCCAGAACATCGCCCTCTTTTCGGAACGATCAAACATGATATAGCCACAGAACAGACTTTACAAGCGCACCTTGTGGAAGAAAGATAAGAGTGGTGAAAAACCGTCATATGCATCGCTACCCATCCCCTCCGAGGCCAGTCCCGAAGGGATAGTGTGAAAGCTTCATAAACCATCCTTCCCATAAATGGACCCTCTCTTCTTCTCCGCTCTCCTATATCTCCCCCAAAAAGACGTAACTAACAACGGCTCTTCGCTCCACATTTCCCCTTTACCATGCCTCTGATCCGTTGTGAGACAAATCCACCACAACCAGGTACCATGCGCATGATGGAAAGTGAAGGGAGAATGCCGCTAGATAAACGAAAGAAGATGAATAAGAAATCAGTAAAACAAGTCAGAGGGGAAGGTTGATAAGAGACCCAGAGAAATGGGAAAGGACAAGAAAAGAAACACTCGGTATCCACCCCAAGCTGAGCACCTTGACCCCGTCAGTCCGATGACGGAAATGCCTTCACGCCAGGCAGGCTCTCTCCCACACACCTCGCTTTTTTCAAAATAGTAGACACATGCTCGTTCCCCTCCTTCCATCCATACGAGAGGAAAAGGCCGTACAGATAATTCAGCAACATAAAAATTGCCATGATTTGTAGCAACAAGCAACCAATTCGCCTCCCTATCCAAGCCGAAAGAAAAGCAAACGTTGGTGGAAGCGACAAGGATCATCAAGTCTGCGCCATGCGCCGATTCGAAATGTATATGGGTAATGATTCGAGAAGGCATTCATTCAAAAACAGATTCTCGGAGAACTCCTTGTTTCCTTCCATCAGTTCCGTACTGTGAAAAATGTAAGAGCGGGATTCCCGCTTGCGCCATGGAAATGCATCAACAGTATTCTTTTGGCGCGAGCTTTTGACATCGTACTGAAAATCGGCATCAGGCAAAGGGCCTGACCATCGATACACCGTGCCTCAACACGCACGGCTAAGGGGCCGGTAGAAGCAGAGCCGTGGTTCTGCTGGATTCCCCCTGTCTTCATTCGCCGGAGTTGGCCTTGTCATCGCCGCCATTGCTCTTGACGGCGTGAGCAAGCTTGATAGCAATCTTTTGCGGCCCATCCTTCCCATTATTGATGCTCTTTTTCCTCCTGAGCCCTGTATTCGCACCCGCGGTGCCATTGTTGCTGCCCACGGTGCTGACCGAAGAGCTGCGTCGCTTACTGCTCGCCGAGAGTTTCCCAAGCTCGTCTTCGTCATCTTCTTCTCTGCGACGCTTCTCCGAAAGGCGTTCTGGGGGTGGGGTTGAAGGAACTGTAAGTGGCTCACTTGGCGGAGACCCAACAGGAGATGTCGAAGTGGGCGGAGTTGGCGGAGTCGTTGATGTCGGTTCTGGCGGTGGCTGCTCCACCGATGGTGTTGCGTTGACAACGCCCTCTTGAAGCACGTCCATTGAATCTTCGTCATCCTCGGGATAGTCGACAAGAGGTCGAGCGCCGTTGGCCGCAGGCTTCCCTGCGTGCGATGGCAAACTGACTTCCTCGTCATCGTCGGATCCAGCGAAGTATGCCTCCTCCTCGGCATCCATGTCGCGGAGACCTTGCATACGACCGCCATTCACGGGCATGCGGCCAGGCTCAGTATCGTCGCTGGCGAACGAGTTCTGGGCGGTGGCATCCAGTCGCTCGTGCAGCTGCTCGTAGCGCAGTATGAGATTCTGGAATGTAGGAACATAGGTGATCCCTTCCAATCTTTCTCGATAGTTCTCCACGAGGTGGGTGATGACCGGCTTGATATTTTCGCGCTTGATGAATTCAAAAAGCTCAAGGCATGCCGAGTTAAGAAGGTTGTCTCGCGGCATTGTCTCGTAGACAATGTCAAGGACTCGGTCGAACAGGCGGTTCTTGGTGAGTTGTTCGTCATGGAATTCGTCGTGTAATCCGACACAGGTCCGGAAGTATTTCAACGCGGTGAGCTTGAGATGCTTCTCAGGACAAGCCATGAGCTGAGCCACGCGGCACGCAACCTCTTGGGTTTCGACGAAGGTCTTGCTCCTGAAAGGGTGCGATCGAACAAAGAAGCAGAGGACCTCCACGAGGTGCGAATACAGCGATACCTCCTGAATGTTGAGATTTTCCACTGCATAAAGTCAGCATTTGTAAATCAGGAATCCTTGACGGGAACACTCACCCGACTCACGGTCCTTCAAATCCTTGAGCGGCTGGAAGAGCTTCTTCGCAGACTCGTCATAGTAATTCTGTACGAAGGAATCGGTCTGTGGTGATGGGGTGTTGTTCCTGTTGACTTTGGCGAGAAACTCGCTGTTGGCACGGCCAAGTGTCTCCATGGTGACCGAGTTGGCGTTGGGGTCCAGCAGGACCTTGATAGCATCGGCCATCTGCGCCTTGACGCCCAGATCCGTCTCAACCAGAAGGAGCTCAATCAACGTGTCCGTTAGGGGCTTAGTCTTGTCATTGATGGCCTTGAAAATCTGGCTCCGCATCATGATGGAGTCATGGTCGATGAGGGCGACTAGTATGTCAGTTCCGGCGACACGGACGGCCGCATCTGTATGTCTGAGCGCAAAAGTGATGACGTTGAAGAGTCCTCCGCTGAGGAAGTTCGAGTATAGGTTTGCACGAGCTTGGGCCTGCAAGCTCTTCGCAATCGTGCAACATTGCTGGATGAAGAGGACCGCGTCCTTTTTCCTTTGGCCACTGTTTTCCTGCGGTGTGAAAATGCCGAACAACTCCTTGAGAAATGCTTGGTTTGCCTGCAGATGCTGGACGATATCAACCTGATGGAAGAATATCAGAGAATTCAGAACCGAAAAAGTGGGGTCGTCGAGAATGCGCGCTAGCACGACGTCTTTGAGGTATTGCAGCCGGTATGTATAGTGAATCTTCTTCTTGATAAGCGGTTCCTCAATCTTCACAACCTCCTTGAACCTTGACTCGTCAGCCAGATACTGTCTGTGATTTGCCTTGTGGCTCGGGAAGTCGGGGTCGTATTCGAGCGCTCCGACCACGCCGATGATGACCTCATCGGTCACGGCATACTCGATGATGGCCGTGTCGTTGAGCAGGATGAGCGTCTTCATGATGTTGCACAGGTGGTGCAGATCTTCCAAGCTTTCCAAGTCTTCGGCCATCTCCACGAGCGGGACGAGCTTCGTTATGTATCCCGCTTGGACGATGAATTTAGCCAATGCGTCGCGACCCTGTGGAGTGTTGTTCGCCGCGCGCATGACCTGCTCGATTTCGGGTAGGTTGCCGAGTTCGGGATCGGGGAGCATGATTGGGTTCATGTCCATGACGTCGTCTGAGTGTCCATGGTCTGGCACGCGCGGGTTAGCATGGATCAATGATTCGGCATGTGCAGATTCAGGCTCACCAGTTCCTGATAGCGAAATAAGGTGTGATTTCACCTCACTGACGAAGTCCCTGGCAAGTGGTCAGCAATCTCGGTCCAAACGGCGGAAGGCATAATGGCGTACCATATTTGCCCACAGCCCTCAGCCTCTTGAAAGCTAAGCGCCATGTCGGTACCGTTTGGCTCGGTCCATACAATGAGCGTGTCTGCGGAATCATCAGCATGCCCCCTCCGCCAGTTGGTACTGCCGCGGCCTATGTCACCTTGCTGTTTCTGGTATCCGTCATCTTTGGTCACGCGGGTCTCGAGCAAAGTGCGTATGGGCTCGTCTTCGGACTGGACGTAAATGCGCGCTTCCTCCTACAAGTGGCGAAGGTCGTCAGCACGTTGCGCGGCGGCAGAGGGCGCGCGCGCGCGCAGGGCGTGGCAGCAGGCGGACGTCACGACATACATTCACCATCGTCCCGGTGCAAAAGCCGGTACCTCGGTCGAACCAGTCGCCATTCTTAAGCTCGTAGACCTTGACGCGCTTGCGATCGTTCGCCGGCTGCGCAGCCAGGGCCATAGTGGGCGCGAGGCTGCCGTCCGTCCGTCGCTCGGGCTACAGGCCGAGGCGGGCGGGACAGCGATGCGCAAGGCTGATGCGCGTGCTGTGGGGGGTGTTGATGGCGGCGGTTGGGGAGTCGCGAAGGGCGTGGTACGTCGCGGTCGGGCGAGCTGACGCACGAGACGACGAGGTGCGGCTGGGGCGGGCGACGCGCGCGCGCACAAACAGCGGCTTCGGACAGGGACCTCGGCGCTTCGACTGACAGGGAAGCGAAGCGGCGGGTCAAATGATGACGGGCGGTTGAGACGAGATCGACGGAAGGGCGACAGTGGGCGCGTCGTGTCTTGCAGAGGGCCGCGCTCCGGTCGGGGAGGCTTTTGCGTGCTTAGGGGCAGCGGCAGCGGCAGCGGCTAATTGCGAGGGTCGATAACCAGCGATAAGCGGGCGGGCGGAGCGGGCGCCGAGTCGAGACCGGCGCGTCAACGGGCGGCGGGCGAGGCAACGACGCGGGGAGTAGAGCGCTGGTGAGGCAATGACGTCGGGCGACGGGTAGATGGAGGCGTTCGGGGTGCAGGGCGGAGGGGTCGCGCGGCGGAAGGCTGGGTGACGGGCGCGCACAGGTGCACAGGTGTTGGTCCGCTGGCACAGGTCGTGGTCTTGGCCTTGGCCCGTCACCGGCGTGCGAGTGGTGACGAAGCAGACGCAGCAGGGCCTAGCGTGCTACTGACGTGCTGGGTAGCAGCGCCCCCGTCGCCCGAAATAGCGCGGCCCGTGCCCACGCCCGCTGCTGCAGCTCCGCCAGCTCCGCCAGCTCCGCCATGGGCCAGCGCCGTCCGCACTCCGCAGGCACCCCGAATCTTATCTGCACCTGACCTGGCTGCCGAAGACGGCCCTCCGCCGCTGCGCTCCAGCCCGGGCAGCCGTGGCGGCCTGTTGCGCGCACGGCCTTGCCAGCTGTGGCGCCCGGGACCAGGGGCGCTGCATCCTGTCATCCTGGCCCGGCTGACAAGTAGCTGCCTCTTCCGGCCGCAGAGCCCTCTGCTGGACGACCCTGCCGCCCTGCCGTGCCCAACACCTTCGCTTCCCGGCGCCGCTGCTCGGCTGCTGGCACATTCCGGGCCTCTGTCTCCTCTCACATGGACTCCCGCCTGGCGCCCGCACGTGGCCGGCCCGGCGACTGAGCAGTCGGCGCCCTTGGAGCGCTGCCAATGTGGGTGCCAATGTGGGTGCCAATGCCACGGGTGCCCCCCACATCCGCCAGCGCCCTGCGGAGCGCCGACGGACCCATCTGCCTGCGCTTGGACTCTGCTCGTCTATCGCCTCTCGCCGGCCAGCCCACGATGCAGAAGTGCCCACGGGCACGACCGCGCTGCGGCTTGCATCGCGTGGACCGCTAGGGCAGAAACCCTGTTCAGCACCGCCTTTCCAGGACGTCGGGTGCCCAGAACGGCCATCTGCTGGGCTTGAGTATCCAGATCTGGCCATTGTGCACGATAGGCGCAGTCCGGCCTCACTCTATCGTCCGGTTATCGCCACGCAGTGTTCAGCCGCTGCAGCCTAGCGGAGCATCTCCCGACGGCCTGCAGTATCTATCGGTTTGCTCAGTCAGACACCGCATCTCGAGTCTGACGAGCAACGGCGCACCCGCTTGACACGTGGTAGGCAATATTGGGCGCAGAGCTGGGCGAGGCAGCGGCAACTGCTGGGACACTCGCACCGCCATGGCGTGGATGGGAGGCAATGTCTCTGGAGTCAGTCACCGCGAGGCCGCTCAAGCCACATCTAGACCCGACACTACCACCGCCCCAGACGTCTCTCAATCTGCGACGAGGGCGCAAATGCCCAAATGCAGTACAGCGGAGCATGGCTCGAATCATTGTCGAGCAAGCCCAAACAATTCGCCGTTGGAGGCTACGTCCGATCAGCTTAGCCGGCCGAGCCGTGGGCTTGGATGGATGGAGTACGAGCTCGTCAAAGCGACTAAGAAAAGCTTAGGAACCACAGGCCGCTAAAGATACGGCCCCTGCACCTGCGTGGCGCCAATGCCAATGCGACGGTAAGCTGTCAGTGACCCGCTTCAGTAATCCTGGGTGAATCCCACGTATGTAAACGACGCGGCTGCTCCCAGTTCCCTCGTAAGAGAAACCTGCTGTGCCCCTCTCATCCTCGCCGCGCCTCGAGTACAAAGCCATCTCGTGCCCCCACCTCACGGCCATTGTTTGATTTGTTTCTCGCTCACACATCCCGGTCAAATCCCTAAGCATCACCACCTCGAGTGTGCCGTTTTGGTTGGTCTACTGTCTTACTCTCTCGATTTGGATCCCACAGTCTGGCCATTTGCGGTAATCCAAAGCCTTGGCCAAGATGGCCCTCTTCGCAAAGGTCAAGAAGTCCAAGAAGACTTCCGATGAGCAACCAAAGGAGCCAAAGGCAAGGACTACGCCGACCACGACAGCATCAGCTCCGGTTCGGCCCAATCTACCTCGCGCACACTCTGCTTGCCTTAATGAACGTGCGGCGTATCCCAAGCACACATACACTCCACAGCGGCCCAGTAACCTCAGGACATCAAGCAGCTGTTCGGTAAGGTCACTGCCGGTCACGCCTGTTATGGGCAGGAGCGCAACTAGCGAGCCCAGTCATCCTTCACGTGGTCGTGGCGACCGCAAGGACCTCTCCATCGATTCCATCATGCTGTCCCGTAGCCAGGACCCAAGCCCCAATGGCCATATGATGCTGCACACGAGACAAGCAGACTTCAAGCCCTCCATGTACACCTATGATCCCAGCAAAGCCCCGAGCTTGTCCGGGCGCAAGAGACAGTACCGCTCGAATTCGTCTAAACCGCCCACAAGAGCATCGTCGTTCGTCATGAGCCCCCACATTGTCACCATGGTGGAAGAGAAAGAAGAAACGGACAGCTCCTCGTCCTCTACCAAGTCGCACGAAAGCGAGTCTTCCACACAGTCTCGTAAGCCCTCATGGATGCCGTGCATGCGTAAACAGGTCGGCTAACTATCCCGACCAGAGTACCTTGAAACAGCAAGAACGACGAGCACCCGCAAGCAGCAGGAACAGGATGAAGTGCAGGCTGATGTGGGTACATCCCCCGCACCGGAGATCCCGGCCCGCAATCCCGCCAGGAACAGCATCTGCTCTCGACGAACGTCGGTGGCGAGCAACACCGAGCCCACGATCGGGTTGGCCGCCCCTACGTGCTCCGATGCTCTCAGCGAGCCGAAGACGTCGGCGACGCTCGTCACAAAGGATAGGACCGAGTCGCCAGGTCCCAAGTCCAAGAAGCGAAACTGGTTCAACAGCAAGAAACGACAGTCTGTCTCTATCGAGGCGCATTGAACTGCTTCCAGACTCTCCCCGATGTACCAGTTCTAGTAATGCTATCCGCCGCACAAGGTGGAGAAAGATGGATGCAAGAGTGGAGCAGAGGCCACTGCCAAAACAGTCAACAACATATTCTTCCGACGAGCATTTTCTGTACACCTACAAGATACGCGATAACGGTTCTAAACTTGGTGCGTGATCTATATCGATTTTCCTTGGCGCCGCCGTCTGAGCTATGCTTGTAGGTACTTTTCCATGGGCGGGTCTGGCCGCGGGTGGCTTTCGCTCCTTTCCTTTCGACCATCTCCCAAGCAACATACCAACCGTTTGCGGGCACACGGCGTCAGTTTTGGGCTTCAATGCACGGTAAATAGCTCCAACTACACTTTTCGACCCATGTCGGGTCCAGTACGACTGAGGCGAACGCTTCCCCTTCGGGAAACGAAGGCGCTGTGCATGAGGCCATTCTGGGCGATCGAATGGACCTTTTCTCCAAGTCCGGACCTATTTGGCACGATTACGCCCGGACCACATGGCGTGTCTTTCAGCTCTCTTCTCGCGTGCGGCGATGCGGAGTGCGCGGACAGATCAGAGGGCCGCAGCGCAGATATGCAGCTGTGGGGTGTCTTTAGCTATCGGACATGTACGCGAGAGGCTGGACCTGGCTGGCGAAACGGAAGCAGAAAACAAGGGACTTAAGCGAGGGGCTAGGGTTCCAGTTTCGAGCCGCGGTGGCTTGTTCCGGAAGCACTTGCACCCGTGATGCCGCTGCAGCAGCTGAGATGGTTCCCTCATTTCGGATTCGTTGCTCCCGTGTCAGCAGATAATATTGTTGGGAGACTACTGCTCTCTTGTTTTGTCGCAAAATCTGACGGGAAGAGTCGGCGCAGAATGCCTGGAAGAGGAAGTAGGCGCGTCTTTTATCCCTTGGTCGTGTCGCCGGCCGCTCCCACGTGCTAAACGGGCGAAATCCAGCCCGGTTGATCGCCCGGCAGTGCTTCCCGGCAAATCTGATGGTTCCCGGGGGAAAGCCAAGGGAGGGGCTCGCTGTTGCAGTATCGTCAGCCTTAGGAAAGTATCGCGGTGGGATCGTCAGGGCCTCATGTATATATAGCTCACACCCGCGGGGCGCCGGATCTCAAGAACATGGAAGATGGCAAAGATTGACCGCAAAGCTTCATCATAGCTCTTTTGCCGCGCTCTCGGCATAGTCACGTTGGATGACGATGTCCTTCTAGAAGCCATCGGGTGCTCAACGGGCAGCGCCGACACGCCAGGCCGAGAAGGGCAACAAGCCGAGGGCGGCGTCGCACCGATCCGCCAGTTGCAGCCCGCCCGCGCTCTTGGCGGGCGGAAAAGCCGCCATGGTTTCGTCGCCTGCTCCGAGAGCGAGCTAGAACGAGCCGAAGCGGGGCCCAAGAGGCGAGCATGAGGTGAAAAAGTTAACTGACGCCGTGTCGCGCTGCACCCGCTCCCCTCTCTCCTCTGCAACCCACCGTTTTCCCTTGCGGAGAGCCCTGCCAAACAACGAGCGAGCGACTTCTGGAGTTTTGCGCTCGCTGCCCGTTCCAAAGCTCCGGTCCCCGTCTCTCGAGATCCTGTTCCTGCAGCAGTCGTCATGTCAACGTCCGCCGAGATCGCCAGCACCGACGCCGCCGCCGCCCGCCCCGCCTCGAGCAACGATCAGCACGTTAATGGCGAGCACGATGTCAAGCAGCCGGCTCTGATCGAGACCACCACCACCACCGCGGCCGAGGGAGGAGGGCAGCATGAGGAAGAGAAGCCGGCGCGGCGGCGCTGGCTGAACATCCAAACGACGTACCTCAAGACGCGGTACTTCTGGTACGCGCTGGTGCTGGGCCAGGTGCTCGCGCTGTGCATCACGTCGACCAACACCTTCTCGACGCTGCTCTCGCTCAAGGGCACGTCGATCCCGGCCTTCCAGACCTTCTTCAACTACGTGCTGCTCAACCTCGTCTACACGCCCTACACCGTCTACAAGTACGGCTGGGGCGGCTTCGGCGCCATGCTGCGCAAGGACGGCTGGCGCTACTTCGTCCTCGCCTTCCTCGACGTCGAGGGCAACTACTTCGTCGTGCTGGGCTACCGCTACGCGACCATCCTCTCGCTGCAGCTCATCAACTTCTTCGCCATCGTCGTCGTCGTCGCCGTCTCGCTCGTCGTCCTGCGCGTGCGCTACCACGCCACGCAGTACGCCGGCATCCTCATCTGCATCGGCGGCATGGGCATCCTGCTCGCGTCCGACTCCATCACCGGCGCCGCCGACACGGGCGCCGCCGCGGACCAGCTCAAGGGCGACCTCTTCGCCCTGCTCGGCGCCGCCCTGTACGGCCTGACCAACACGTTCGAGGAGTTCCTCGTCTCCAAGCGGCCCGTCTACGAGGTCCTCGGCCAGCTCGGCTTCTGGGCCATGTTCATCAACGGCGTCCAGGCCGCCATCTTCGACCGCCCGAGCTTCCGCTCCGCGACTTGGGACGCCGCCGTCGGCGGCTACATGACCGGCTACACCCTCGTCCTCTTCCTCTTCTACAGCCTCGCCCCGCTGCTCTTCCGCCTCGCCAGCGCCGCCTTCTTCAACATCTCCCTGCTCACCGGCAACTTCTGGGGCGTCATCATCGGCATCCGCGTCTTCCACTACTCCGTCCACTGGATGTACCCCATCGCCTTTGTGCTCATCATCCTCGGCCTGTTCGTCTACTTCCTGTCCGAGAGTGTTCTGGGAGAAGCCAAGAAGCCGTGGCTGGGCGACGACCAGGACGCCGGTGTTTCTGGCCTGGGTACCGCCAAGAGGATGCAGGAGAATCCCGACGCCCTTGTCTAATTACGTGATACGACCCCCGTCAAATAGTAATCGTAGTGTCCTTTCGTTTCCACACGCATCACGCTGAAACATTCTCTTCTTAAGGTCTTCTACCTTTGCTGGCATTTGAGATGCTAAGCTAGTCTCCTATCTGAATCAAGAAAGTGATATCGAGAAAACACCAGCAGAAAATCAAGAAACCTTCTCATCATCTCTGGCCGCATCTCGTAATCGTGAAAACCATACCGCCCATTGAAACTACAATCAGGGAAGCCTGTAGCAATGCCCCTTTTCACGCAAACCCACGCTCGTTCAAGTCTTGCATCCAGGAAACCAACGGTACGGGAACGACTTGCCCACCATCGGCGCTTCAGAATCCAGTCTACTGAACGCCCTGGTGGATACCCGTGTTGTCCTCGCACGGGTCATTGCCAAAGTAGACATTGCAGTGCTCCCAGTCGATGTCGTTCTGGAGTTCAACCTTGAACCGGCCAGCGTCGACGATGTTAGTGAAGCGGAACTCGATGACGCGGAGCTGGTCACTTGGTAAGTACATTGAGAGATAGTTTGGATACGAGAAACTTACACCTTTGGGATTGGCTCCGTTGACAATACGCTCCAGCTTCCGGTTCTTGGCCGAAGCGAGCTTCACCAGAGCAGCCTCGCCCCAGTCCTCGTCAGCGCCGACGGCGCGAACACAACGGGTGTGACCAGCGTCGAAGAAACCGCGGAGAGACTCATTAACCGTGACAGGCTCTCCCATCTCGACCCATACCGTGCGGTTGCCATCCGGGTGCTCGATGCCATTGGCGGTGTCGGTCAAGTACTTCTCACAGTCTTGGCCGCGCATAAAGAGGACCCACGCATGGTTACTGCCCGGCGTGTATTCGAACTTTTCAATGCGGCCACCCCAAACAAGAGCCTGGATGCTGCCGATGGAGGATGTGAGCGGAAGGTTGGTTAGCTTTACTAGGCGCTTCTGAGCTCCTGTGACGGGGTCAATAATAGTCAAGGACAACTGCAACTAGTATCGCTTACCACCAAAAGGCCTCACTTCTTGGGTAGGCCACTCGTCAAACTGTAGCTTGTGCTCCAGACTCTTGTCGCCTTTCGTCTTCTGTTGAAGCGATTTCGGTTCAATGGACCCAGGGTTCTCGGCCTTGCCGTCCTCAGCAGGACCTGCCATCGAGTACACCACCTCACTCTGAGACTCGCCATCGCGACTGGTATCGTTGTCCTCGATCTTGACCTGAGGATGCTGAGTTTCGACAGCTTCTTGAGAGGCCTTGGTGCTGTCGGCTGCAGAGTCTGTTTTCAAAAGATTAAGGAGGATCTGCTGCTGCGACTTTTGGGGCACTTCGAAGGCTGTGATCAGATCAAGCGATCTCAGTTCCTTGCCCTCGACTTCTTTTCGCATGTGGGATGCGCGCTCGATGATTCGTTCACTGACTGTTTGGAGCTCGAAGCATTCCTTGGTGTCCACCTCGAGCTTCGTAACGAGGGAGATTTCCGCATCGTGCAATTCCTGGAACTCATGCTGGAGGCGTTGCAATACTTGCTGGCTCTGAGCAATCTCGCTCTTTTTGGCGACAATGTCCTTGGAAATCTGCTCTTGGCGAACTGTGGACTGTTCAATACTCTTCTGCAGCGCCAGTTGCATCGCTTGAGTCTTGCTCAAGCCGTCTTCCTCCATCTCATCGATGCGTTCGTAAAGCGCGGCGCGAAGGGCGGCCTCTTCTGCCTCTTCCTTCTCACGCTTGATGCGCTCAGCCTCCAGACGTTCCGCCTCTTTCTTCTCACGCTTGACGCGCTCAGCCTCCAGACGTTCTGCTTCTTCCCTCTCACGCTTGGCACGCTCAGCCTCTAGACGTTCCCTTTCCTCCTTCTCACGCTTAAGGCGTGCCGCTTCTTCTTTCTCGCGTTTGAGACGCTCGGCTTCTTCCCATTCACGCTTGGCGCGTTCCTGTTCATCCTTTTCGCGCCTCAGGCGCTCGGACTCGAATCGGGCTGCCTCCACTTCGGCTTGCTTCTTCTTCTCAGCCTTGACTCGAGCATGTTCTTCATCGGCAGCCTTTTGAGCTGTGATCAGTTCAAGGCGGCGAGACTCATCTTGCAGTTCGCGCGGTGTAGGCTCACGACGAGAGCGAAGTTTCGACAAACGAGCATCGATCTCGGCCTGACGAGCGATGGTCTCAGCAGTGCGCTGGTTGAGATCGCTTCCAGATGATCCGTCGGACTGAGCGCTAGGCGCATACTTGCTCCAGCCAAGACCGCCACCTTCATTGGGAATACCGGGTGCCATTGTTGCGCCGATTGAACTTGCTCGCAGCGTTTGTGCCAAAGCGTATACCGGTAGTTCGTGGCGAGATCTGTCGGAGCGTTCCGATGGCGGTGTCTCCTTGCCGAGTGTTTGCGTCTTGGAGCTTCTGCGTGACACTGAAGGGGAAACTGGAGGAAGCTTTTCGGCAGGGATCCTTTCAGAATCGAGATGTGAGACTGTGGCTTCTGTCAGAATGAAAACATCTTTGAACAACCGTGAAAGCACTGTGAAAGTGGTGGTGTCTTACTCAAACGCGGGTGGTGAGGATTCTGGCACTGGAAGTCGTCGAGGGCAGTAGTTTCCTTCTGCAAGCTTCCGCGCGTACCCTCGGCCAAACGCACAGATCGAGCGGAGGTGACGGGTTTCAAAGAGAAGTTGTTGGTCTTCGTCTGCAGCGGCGGAAGCTTGAAAGACCCGGAGGTGAGATGGTCTGCTGACGCAACACCGTTCAGCGAAGCTGATGATGGCTTGTGGGGTGATTCCCCGGCCGAATCAAGGCTGAAGTTGATGCGGTGCAGGAATGCTGAGAGATTTTCACCTTCATGGTCAGCCACAGCTGTTTCTCGGTGCGTCGGCACGCCCATGATGGATCGTGAGATGCCAGAGCCTCGACAGCGAGCTGGGACGGATTTAAACGACACACTTGAAGCGTGGAGGGTGAATAGGACAAAACTTACAACAAGTTTGGTGTTGGCCGTCTTAAAGAAAAGTTTGGGTGGAGGAAGAAGGGGCGAAGAGGGCGAAGACGAGCGGGGCGGGTAGGTTTTGTACGTCGAGTGCCTTCTGGAATGGGCAGGCATAGACTGCGAAGCAGAAGTAGCAGGCGCGACCAAGACGCGTTTCCGCCCGGGCGGCCTACCTACGCGACAACGAGAAGGCCGCGATGCAGAAACGGCAGGCGGATACATCATCTTCGCCGTCGCCATCGCCATCGCCATTCCATGCCGTCACCCACACCAGTGCGCTGCGCTCCAGGGTGACCATCCGGCAGCTGTTCCCGGCCATGGCGGTCCAATGCAACGAAGTGAGCCACTGCAAAATGAGTTGCGCCCGAGAGCATAGTAGAATCGCATGTACGCTACATGTGATCTCTGCCCATCTTCAGTTGTTCCCACTTGGCGGCTGCGCGGTCCTCTCAAGCGAGCAAAAGAACGTTCAACTCCATGAAAAATTTACTAAATCCTCTCTTGGCCCGGACTGCAAACGTGCTGCGAGTTGACCAATTGCGTAATCAGAGCTCCGACCCTTTGAAAAACTCTACCGGCTGTTTAGAGTGAGTCCATGCACGAATTGTTCTTGACGAGCCCCCAGAGTCATCTGAGCATATAGTGGGATGAGTTTGAAGCAGGCATTAGTGGCTGGCGTCTACTGCTCGCTGATATTGGCCGCTACGCTGCTGTGATATCCTCCCTGTTCTGCACCGTATTTGACCTCTTGATCAAGAAGGCGACATTACCTTCATGTCCTTTAGGACTTTAGTAGAGTCTTTCGGCCCATTCATCAATACTAACATAAAGTTCTGCGGCATATCGTACGATAGTAAACATGAGTTACAGAAACATTCACTTTCCTAACTCTGTTCGCAGTCGTTCCTCGAGCCTGCTTATGTGGGTGGTCGGGGTACCTACACGTTCGAATGTGTTGATATCGTTTTATGAAACCTGCACCAACCTGGGTGTGAATTAAGTCAAATCGAGTGCGGAAGAAGAACGAAATAAATGAATTCGTAACCCGCTGTGCAAGGGGCTGCAGCATCCGTGGCGTCGACCACTGGTGCATGTGAATACCAGTTCGACGACCGGCCGGAGAGAAGCACGATGCTGGGTTCCCTCTGGGGGCCGTGTGCAGGGTTTCTCGCTCCATCGCTTGTGCCAGACGAGGACGCCGAAAGGCCCCTGCCAGGGCGCATCAGCAAGATCCGCACCGCAAAGGGTCTCGAGTGGCCCCAGGGGCATTGATGAGCACTCTCCTGGCCGGCTTCTCGCCTTATCGATAGCGGCAGCTCCATGGTGGAAGCCTGCAGACCCATTCGTACGCGCTAGTTGCAGTCAGAATGAGCCGCCCGCACGCCACCCTCGGCAGGGTCCGCGGTTGCTGCAGCCATGGACGTGAGCGAAGATGGCGAGCGGCCTTCTGGAAAAACGAGCACGACTCAGAGGCAGGTGGGGGATCACGCTGGTCCTCCTTTCGCGCAGCCGACCGACCCACGCACTAGGACGGACTTTTCCTCTGCGCTGAAGCTTGCGGTGAGCGGGCCTGCCCACGCTGCGTCCAAGCACCGTGTGATGGGCGGAGGTGGCGCGACGCATTCTAGGCTCCGCCCCGAAACGGCCACGCAGCAGCGGCGCTAAGTTGCAGATGACCACCGCGCAGCTCCCGCGCGCCACGGGTCATGGGCGACGGGGTTCGGTGCGCGCGGGCGGGTGGTTCCAAGTTGACAGTTGACGGGGTGGACGCGGACGGACAAGGGCGGAGGCGGTGACACGGCGTTGGAGCGTCTGGCTGCGGGGGCGGTTTTGAATGCAGACGCCCGCCCGCGGGGGTGCAGCCTCCCGGTCGACGACGTTGCGCTGCGGTCCCCTATCGAGTAATAAGCTGCAGCGCTCGGTCCTCGGCTGGGCCAGCCGGGCGCAGCTGCGGCCCTTGAAACCCGTCCCAAGGCTCGATCGGTCGCGGCTGGCGGCCGTCGCAATCTTAAAGCCTAGATCCGCCTGAGACCGGCCCCTGCGACCGCCGCCCGTCGCTGTGAGTCTGTGACTCGCGGGCCGCACAATTTCGCGCACCGCTCAACCAGTCAGCCAAGTCAGCCAATACGGCGCAGGGCGGCGCGGACAGGGGGGGTGCTCGCTGGGGGCTGCGCCAATCTCCGCACGCTTGGTTGGACGCTTGCCAGACGCGCAACGCTGCGCACTGCCACCGTCATCTGCGCATCGCCCTCCGCCCTCCGCCCTCCGCCTTGTCGCTCTTTCGCCCAGCCAGGTTACCAAGGCGTCCAGTCGGCCTTTCCTCTCCTTCTTATTGCTGTCGTGCTCCGTCATCTTTTCCTTGCCCTCTTTCTTGCCCCAATTGCCGCGGTTCGCGCCTGACCCATCCCCTCCCACCAAACGCGGATGCTTCAGCGTCAAGCATAAAATGCCGTTCAACATGTCCCGGCCTCGTGCGCGCGCCCCGCGCTACGAGCCCCTTCGCCCGTCGTCGTCGTCCTCTGAAGACTCGGAGCGCTCCTTCCCCGAGAACTACTGCGACACGCCCAAATCGGAGGACCTCGACGACATCGCCGAAAGGACGTCGCGATGGGTGCCTCTCCGTTATATGCCCGCCATCAGAGGCGGCGCCGTCCACGAGGCCTACCACTACCGAAGCATGGCTAGGCTACGCAGACCTCGAAGGACAATCCTGCGATGCGTTCTCTGGTCTCTTGTTCTCCTTCCGTACCTTGTGTGTGTCCTGGTCGTCACCACCATGGTCTTGAGGCCCTCGTACACGCATGCGCCGGCGCACTACGACCAGCTGCGGGAGCGAGCCACGCAGTCGTTGGCACCAGGCCGCGGAAACGTGAACAACGAGAAGGTCTTCATTGCGTCAAGCATCTATGACGACGAGGGCATGTTGGCTGGTGGGGCGTGGGGCAAGGCTGTGTTGGATTTGGTGGATCTGCTCGGCCCGGAAAACGTCTATCTAAGCATTTACGAAAACGACCCCGAGCCGGCCGCGAAGCATGCCCTCGAGCAGTTCAAGGAGAGGGTCACCTGTGAGTAACGGGCGTCAATTGCGAAGAGACGCGGAATCGAAGCTAATCCGTCCAGGCAACTCCTCGATTGTTTCAGAGCATCTCCCCCTTGACGACGTGCGTCGAGTGACTGTGCCGAACGGCGAGAGGCGTATCAAGCGGATTGCATACCTCGCCGAGGTTCGGAACCGGGCCTTGCGGCCGCTGCAGAGCGCCGAGGTCACCTTCGACAAGGTGCTCTTCCTCAACGACGTGTATTTCGACCCTGTGGACGCCGCCCAGCTTCTCTTCTCCACCAATGTGGACGAGAACGGCCGTACCGACTACCGCGCTGCCTGCGCTGTGGATTTCATTAACCCTTTCAAATTCTACGACACGTTCGCGTCTCGGGATTTGGAAGGCCACAGCATGGGGATTCCGTTCTTCCCCTGGTTTGCCAGCGCCGGATACGACGCAACCAGGAACGACGTCATTGGCCAGAAGGATGCGGTGCGTGTTCGCAGCTGCTGGGGCGGTATGATAAGCTACGAAGCCAAGTGGTTCCAATCCACCGAGGCGCTCGCTTCGACGGATCCTTCCGAGGGCACTGCCTGGGGTGTAGCCACAGCCGCCGGACACAACGACCCACAGGTTCCGGCAAACAGCTCGGCCATCCGCTTCCGTTTTGAGGACCGTACATACTGGGACGCTTCCGAATGCTGCCTCGTCAATGCGGACATCCAGAAGCCGCGGGAACCTGGAGACCCGTACTCGGCCAGCGGAATCTACCTGAACCCCTACATCCGCACAGCTTACGACGAGCGCACTCTTTCGTGGCTGTGGCTGACTCGGCGGCCCGAGCGGCTCTATTCTCCGATCCACAACATCCTGAACTGGTTCGTGGGGTTCCCCGGGTTCAACCCGCGCCGGCTGCTGGAGCCCGGGCAAGAAATCACGGAGAAGGTGTGGGAGTACAACTCGCCGTACGAGGAGGGCAAGGACATGACGGGCCAGTGGAAAGAGGTCCAAACGATAGCTCCGCCCGGATTTTTCTGCGGAAGCAGGAAGCTGCTCGTGCTGGGGGAGAAGGAGGATGAGCCGAAGTGGATGAACCTTCCGGCGCCCTTGGACACTATTGTTTGATGCGCGGCATTATACACTTTAATTACTTCAGTCGACACTTTTCAGTCTCGCTTGGCGTTTAGCGGCCGAATGGGATGGCCCGGGGTGTAGAGCCTCGGTTGCATAGCGGAGGCGTTTCTTTACGGGAAAATTTGGAACAGCAACGAAGTCGGCACAAAGTGGGCTACTCTAGACCATTGGGGAATTAGAAGAGATACCAGGGCTTGCCTGGCTGAGGAGGCGGCCCACAACCAAGGCGGATTGTTGGATTAAGATGATGTAATAATAAGCCAAAGAGTATGTACTCTGAATTCCATTCTTGCTCGACACTTAAGCGTCGCCCTTGTCGCATGCAGGGTCTGCGGGGCTGCGGAGCCAAGCGCCACGAGCCTCTCAGCAGTCACGTGGCTCGCCTCAACGCGTGCTTGGGACAGCAGTGCAACGCAAGACGTCACTATTCTCCCCGCGCATCTGGTCCGAAACTCAATGTGCGCGAAGGCTCCACCGCGGGGCGACGAGGCACTGTCAGGAGGCTTATTGTTATCTGACTACATGATGACAGGGCCCTGGACGCGACTGCGCGATCTGTTGGGACCGACTAGGCGAGTGTGCGCAGCTTTGCGGCAAGTGCGGCGCTCGTATCATCGCGTCGTGCTCACCTCATGATACCAGCGACTTTCACGTGCCGATTCCTCAACATCTCCTCCCTCCTCCCTCGCCTCTCTCCCTTCCGTGCCCGCCAGTCTCCCTGCTTGTCCGGGCATTGGGCCCGCCGAAGTGGCTTATTTGATCTGGCAGTAATAATTCACGAGCGATGGCGAGAGAACGATGGATTCGCTTGATTGTTCCGCCCATCCTTCCCTCATCCTTGCCGCGGGCCTACTGCTGGCATACCTGGCTTACGGCGCCGTCTACCGTCTCTGCCTGAGCCCAGTTGCTCACTTCCCCGGCCCGCGCCTTGCCGCCTTGACCTTCTGGTATGAATTCTACTACGATGTGCTATGCTCTGGCCGCTACACATGGCGCATTGCGGAAATGCATAAGACATACGGTAAGCCGACCACCCGCCCTTTGCACATTCCGCTGGCTGAACCCGCTGCGTCAGGTCCCGTGGTGCGCATCAACCCGTACGAGCTCCACGTCAACGTACCGGACTTCTACGACACGCTGTACGCCTCGGCAGCAAGCGGCCGGCGCACCGAGAAGTGGAGGTGGTCGGCCAAGATGTTTGGCACGACGCAAGCGGCCGTGGGAACGGCCTCGCACGAACTCCACCGCCTGCGCCGAGCCGCCTTGAACCCTTTCTTCTCCCGCCGAAGTGTCGTCCGCCTGGAGCCTGTGATCCAAGCCAATGTCGACAAGCTGAGAGCCAGGCTTCATGGCTTCGCTGCCACCGGCCAGCACGTGAACTTGACCGATGCCTTCACGGCATTGAGCGCCGATGTCATTGGCGCCTTCGCCTTTGGCAAGCCCTACGGATTTTTGGATGCGGACGACTTCAATCCTGGCTGGCACAAGCTGATGCTCGTGAGTACAACAAGCCAATTGGGAAAAGACCCACCCGTATACTTACTTCTCTGTCACTCCAGGATCTCAGCAGAGGAACACATCTGATGAAGCAATTCGGCTGGCTGTACACCATCCTGACCTGCATCCCGCAAAGGCTCGTGTCCATCATCCACCCCCTCACCAAGGAGCTCTTCGACGTCCAAAACGGCATCACCGCCCAGATCGAAGAGATCAAAGCCAGCAAAACCAAGAACCCCTCCCCGTCGGACGCACCCCCCACCATCCTCCACGACCTCCTCGCCAACCCAAACAGCCGCCTCCCCCCACCCGAACTCGCCACCCCGCGCCTCACCGAAGAAGCCTTCACCCTCCTCGGCGCCGGCACCGTCACCACCGCCCACACCCTCTCCACAACCCTCTACCACCTCCTCGCCAACCCCTCCAAACTCTCCCGCCTCCGCTCCGAGCTCGCCCCCCTCTACCTCCCCAACCCCAACCCCAACCCCTCTTCCCCCAACTCCTCCTCCCCCTCGCCTTCCGAACCGCCACCACCGCCAACATGGACCCGCCTCGAGCGCCTCCCCTACCTCTCCGCCGTCCTCGCCGAGGGTCTCCGCCTCAGCTACGGCGTCTCCCATCGCCTGCCGCGCCTCTCGCCCGACGCCCCGCTGCGCGTCGTCCCCGGCGGCGCCCCCGAAGCCGTCGCCACCATCCCGCCCGGCACGCCTGTCAGCATGACGCAGATGTTCCTGCACGACGACGCGAGCATTTTCCCGGAGCCGGCGGCTTTTTGGCCGGAGCGGTGGCTCCTCCTCTCGGAGGGGCAGGAGGAGGAGGGGGAGGGGGAGGGGGAGGGGGAGGGGGATCGGAAAGAGGCGACGGAGGGAGGAGAGGCGACGGAGAGGGAAAGAGAGTTGGCGCGCATGCGGAGGTTCTTGGTGCCGTTCAGCAGGGGGACGCGGCAGTGCGTCGGGATGAACCTGGCGTACGCGGAGATGGTGCTGGCGCTGGCGGCGCTGGCGCGGCCCGGGTTGCGGCTGGAGCTGTGGGAGACGGGCGTCGAGGACGTGAGGGTCGCGCACGATTGGTTCAATCCGGCGCCGAGGGCGGGGAGTAAGGGGGTGAGGGTGTTGGTCAGGACGGAGGAAGAGGGGTTTGTTGGAGAAAATGGCAGAGAGGAGGAGGAGGAGGAGGAGGAGGAGGAGAAGGAGGCGTGCGTGAGGTAGGGTGGGTGGGTGGGGGGGTTGTCGGTCGTGGTGTTTGCGGTGCATGGGAATCTGGCTGTGTATGTAATGTAGACTTGAGGTTTACTAGATTTTGTGTAAAAGCTTTTAAGGAACTTTCCAGCTTTTGTGATGGCTGTATATACTATTTTATCACAGTGGAATCTACAGAAATATTTCCCGGACCTTCTCGAAGGTGAGGTTGCCATCTCGTGTTTCGTTCCCAGACAGACAATTACGGGCCAAAACCAACCTTTATGAACTACCTCGTTTCACTCTAGCAGTATGAACTATTGCACAACGCTTACAAGTCACAAAACGAGCGTCACGAAAAATCAAGATTAGTTTTAGTATCGAAACCTGACTCTTATATTTCTTCCAGTTCAAGTCTTGCTAGTTTTACTATTAAGCAGCACCTTTTATAGGCAGACCGCCAACAGTGGGGAGCGTCGGCATCTAGCCGGTTAGGGAGGGAAGGGGGGTTCGAAATAGATGGGTAGGTAGGTAGGTGGTTTGGCAAGCTTGGGACGGGTGGCCGTTCGTCTAAACAAGATGAAGTTTTCCTTCCGTGTTTATTTCTCTATGTTAGGAGATGAGAAGAGCTCGATAATTGTTGTAACACGTACCGAACAGGGAAAAAAGAAGAGGAGAGGAATTCAAGTAGTAGTAGTAGTAATAAGAGATATTCAACTATTTGAACATGTAACGGATGTCTCATTCTAGCTGTCCGAAGAGCAATCCTTCTCCCGTGTGTCCTCGCTGGAATAATGATGCCCCGGCGCTGTGCGATTAGGAAAAGGAGGAGCCAGTTTTACTATACCGAATCATCTTTTATTTGTTAACGCAGAAACATGCCATGTCCTCTCACTCGAGGAGAGAGTGAACAAACAGAGCAGCAGAAAACGCAAAAGAAAACCCATTTCAAAACTAATAACCGGGGGTGTTTAAAGCATGTTAGAAGGGAGAATAGTAAAAAGCTCCGTCCCGTCCCGTCCCGTCCCGTCCCATCACTCCCCGTCTCATCATCCCGTCCGTCCATCCGTCCATCCATCCGTCGTCCATTCATCCGTCGCAACCCATAGCATATACACAGTGACACCCCCCACCATACATTCCGACACCCCTTGTCCCCTTACCCGTGGGCAAAGAGACGACGCATCACGACCCTCTGGCCCCTCACCCCTCCTGGCTCAGTCCTCTGCCAGACCATCGTCTCTTCCCTCAAATTAAAAAGTGGTCGTCGCCAGCCTGCTCGCAGCATTCCTCGCGTCCACCCTATCGTCGTCCTCGTCACCTGCCAGCACTCCCTTCAGGCCAGGCTTGGCGGCGCTGGTCGCGCGCTTGCGGTGCAAAACCTCGCCGTCGTCGTCGTCGTCGTCGTCTTCCTCGGGCAAGGGCGGGGCGTTGAAGGAGCCGGCGCCGCTGATGCTGCGGTTGAGGCCGTCCGGGCGGCGGGGCACGCCGCTCCAGGCGTCGCCCTTGGGGCCCTGCGAGGAGGCGAGGCTGGAGCGGCGGATGTGCGGGGAGTGGGCCTCGCGGCCGAGGCGGGAGAGGCCGCCCGACGCGTCGATGGCGCGGATGTCCGGGCGGACTTGCTCGAGCGTGGCGAGGGTGCGCCGCTCCGCCTCGATCTGGCGCAGCACGTAGTCGCGGATCGCGGTGCGCATGTCGACCGACGTGCGCGTGAACCACTTGCGCCGTTCTTGCACCAGGTTGGCAGTCACCCGCGCGCACTTGGTGCCCAGGTACTGCTCGTGGCTGCGCGCCTCGTCGAGCGCCGAGATGGCCTCGTCGACCTTGTCGCGGCGCACAGACGAGCTGGCCTTCAGGCGGTCGGCGGCGGAGAGCTTGGAGCGCGTGGCTTGTTGGGCTTGCAGGAGCTCGCGCAGGAGGATGTGCCTGTTCGTGAGGGTCTCCTTCACGATGAAGGCGTCGTCCGAGTGGTACTTGAGCGGGTCCCCGATCGTGGTAGCTTCGGCGGTACCCTGAGCGGCATGGTAGTCTCCGACGGCTTGGATTACCTTTCCCATCCGGCGATATGCGTTGGCGAGACCGGGGTGGTTTTCTTGAACATGCATCTGCGTGAGTCTGACTCCCAGCTCTCCTTCAGCCAGGCCAAGAGCTTCTAGAAGTTAGCATTGTCCACTTGATGGATTCTGGTTGGAACGTGCCTCTCCGATGCTTGACCACTTTGTCGACCTTCTGGCCAGACTCCATGGTGTTCAGGTAGAACAACTTGACGATGGGTCTGGCCTCGGCCAATTCTGGCGTGTCGTCGGGCGGCGGCGCGAATTGCTTGATGTACTTGCGGCGCACGCCGGTAGCGGGCTGCTTGCGCCTGACGACGGGGCTGTAGCCAAAATCACTCTCGACAAAGAAGACCATCTCTTCATCGCGGATGAGGACCTCGTTGGCGCACACGACATTGAGCCATCTTTGTATCGAGGCCTTGACGCGTGCCTCGTCCTCCTCGGTACCAACACCAGCAGAAGTAATGGCCACGGGAACCGCGGGCACGAAAGTCTCCGGGTTCGCCGAGATCAAGTGCTCCTGGAGCTTGACGAACTCGGAGTGGAGGCGCCTGACATCGCGGAATTGAGTGGTGCGGAACTTGGGCAGGTTTGTCTGTACAGCATCAGGTCACTAGTCTCGTCCCGGCGGCAGTCGGATGTTGAGCCTTACGTAGACGTCGAATCGCAGAATGGGGTCCTTCCGGCCGGTCCGCTCCAGGCCCGTGACCTTTGCGTGCAGCTTGTAGTGGGGGACGTTCTGGCGCTGGCGCTGGCTGCCGTGGTAGCGCTGGGGCTCGGACCGGTGCTGCTGCTGCTGAGGCTGGGCTTGGTCGGGCGGTTGGGCATATTGCTGCGGGTGGTGGTCGGGTTGCTGGTGTTGGTGGCGCTGGGGGGACGGGGGGTATTCGTGGCCCTCGGGGGGCTGGAAGCCCTGGCTGGGCTCGTCGGCGAAGGGATGGTCGGCGGCGGCGGCATGGGTGTCGTGGTAGGGCGACTGCGGCGGGAGGGGCTCTGAGGGCACGTCGACATTCTCGCCGAAGGTGGCGCGGTGGGCCTGGGGCGACGAGGCCCAGGGCGACGAGTCTGACTCGGCGACCGAGTAGTCCATGGTGCCGGCTGGAGATTGGGGCGGGCGCGGGTGCGGAGGGCGGGATGGAGGTGCGGAGGGTCGCAGTGCTGCAGTGCTGGAGCCGGTCTTGGCTGACACGCCGCACATCGCTGCCTAGACCGGCCTAGCCCCGTCAAACGTCTTCATCCACCTCCGCCGCATTCCACCTCCACGCTGTCCCCGTCCGCAGTAGCTCAGCCATGGCCACTGGCATGATCCTGGGCCGCGCCTGGCGAGCCGGTCTTCGCGGGCGTAATGTAGCTTGCGCGCGAGCCTTGCACGTCTCGGCGTCGCACCGTGCCGCCCAGCCGGGCACCACCGCCTTGGAAAATGCCCTCCAGCGGACGCGGAACATTGGCATCATAGCCCACATTGACGCGGTACGCCGGGCCGCTGTTCTCCTACCCCCCGCGGATTGGGATTGACCGTGTGCAGGGCAAAACAACCACGACGGAGCGCATGCTCTACTACAGCGGCTTTACCCGGAGATTGGGAGGTACATCCCATCCGCCTTCCATTGTCTCCCCCCTCCATGTCTACTCACGCTCTGTCAAGATGTCGACGAGGGTTCCACCGTCACCGACTTCCTGCCAGCGGAACGGGCACGCGGCATCACGATCCAGTCCGCAGCCATCTCATTCCACTGGCCGCCGTTGGGCGCCACATCGGCGGCCGGGGCTGCCAAGGTGACGCAGCCAAGATCGACACTATCGCACAACATCAACCTCATCGACACTCCGGGCCACGCCGATTTTACCTTCGAGGTGCTTCGGTCCCTCCGGATCCTTGACGGCGCAGTCTGCATCCTGGACGGCGTTGCCGGCGTCGAAGCCCAGACGGAACAGGTCTGGAAGCAGGCCAACCAGTACCAGATCCCGCGCATCATCTTCGTCAACAAGCTCGACCGCGATGGAGCCGCTTTCGAGCGGACCATCAAAGAGATTGGTGTCCGGCTGCATGCCTGGCCTGCTGTCTGCCAGATCCCCTGGTGGAAAGACGGCACGGGGAAGCTGATTGGCGTGGGTGACGCGGTGAATCTGAGAGGCATGCTTTGGGAGGAAGGTGGTGATGGCAAGTCCATCAAGCTGCACTCCTTGGATGAGCTGGCGCTTGTCAACCCTGCCCTGGCTGCCGAGCTCAAGAAGGCGAGGGTTGCGCTTGTGGAGCTTTTGAGCGAGCATGACGACGAGATGGTCGAAAAGTTCCTCGAACACGATGAGGATCATCTCGCAATCCCAAGCTTGGAGGTCACCGAGTCTTTGAGGAGATGTATTCTCCAGCATCCGCAACGCGTAGTTCCCACCTTCGCTGGTGCGAGCTTCCGTAACATCGGAGTCCAACCCCTCCTAGATGCTGTCGTCGATCTTTTGCCATCCCCTGAAGAGCGCCCGGATGCCGAGGTCAAGCTGGGCTCTGTCCATGGAGGTCTGAAGGACCTCCTTAGCGGAAAGCTTGCTGTGTCCGCTGCACCTGAAAGTAACAAAAAGACGGCTGCAAAGGCGAAGACGCAAAACACCGCCTTGTTGTCCAAATTCCAAGCTTGTGCGCTGGCATTCAAGGTCGTCAACGATAATAAGCGTGGCGTCTTGGTATACGTCCGCGTCTACTCCGGCACCCTCACGCGCAACACAGTCCTCTTCAACACCAACCTCGGCCTTAACGAGAAGGTACCAAGGCTCTTGAAGATGTACGCCAACGACGCCGTCGAGGTCGACGAAATCCCCGCCGGTCAGATCGGCGTGATCCCAGGTCTCAAGCACGCCCGTACCGGAGACACCCTTATTGTATACAGCGGTGCGAATCCCAAGCACGGCCCTCCAGCACCATTCAACACTCTCCAGCTCCGACCCATTGCCGTTCCTCCGCCAGTCTTCTTCACCAGCGTCGAACCCTACAGCCTTTCCGAAGAGAGGCACCTTTCGGAAACCCTTGCCGTCCTCCTCCGTGAAGACCCCAGTCTGTCCGTCACGGTTGACCTGGAGAGCGGACAGACTCAGCTGGCCGGCATGGGCGAGCTGCACCTCGAGATCGCATGTGACCGGCTCCTCAACGACTTCAAGGCCAAAGCCTCCACCGGCTCCATCGAGATCAGCTACCGCGAAGCCGTCACCACCGCCTCCGGCCCCAGCACCGAATTCTTCTCACGCGAGGTCAGCGGCAAGGCCGCGCGCGCGGGATGCACCGCCAGCGTCTCCCCTCTCGACGCCTCAGAGGTCGACAACGTCGACGGAGAGGAAGACCCGCACACCACCACCCTCCCGCTCGACTCGCACAACCGCCTCACCGTCCACCACCCCACCATCGACACGACCGGCCGCCCCACATCCCCCGACGCCCCGGGCCTCCCAGAAACGCTACCCTTCCCCGTCGTCCTCGCCGCCCTCACGACGGGCGCCTCGGCCGCGCTGGCCCGGGGCCCGACGCACCGCTTCCCCCTGCACAGCACGGCCGTCGCCATCACGTTCGACCCGGCCACGCACATCCTGCCGGACACGACGCCGGCCGCGCTCTCGGGCGCCGCGCGCGCGGCCGTCGCCGCGGCCCTGCGCGCGGCCGCCGCCGCCGCCCTGGCGACGGACGGCAACGCCCTGATGGAGCCCGTCATGCGCGTCGCCATCGCCGTGCCCGACCACGACCTCGGCGCCGTGGTGCACGACATCAGCAGCGCGCGCGGCGGGCAGGTGCTATCGCTCGACGAGGAGGACGACGGCGCCGACGACAGCTCCTCCTCTTCCTCATCATCCTCCACCACATCCTCCTCCTCCGACCAACACGACCTCCCCCTCATCGACCCGCGGCACGTCTACGCCCCGCCGGACCCCTTCGGCAGCAGCGGCGGCAGCGGCGTGGTGGTCGGCGGCTCGCACGAGCGGCAGCGGCAGATCGCGGCGCGCGTGCCGCTCAAGGAGATGGTCGGCTACCTGAAGCACCTGCGCAGCCTGACAAAGGGGCGCGGCACCTTCGTCATGAGCGTCGACCGGTTCGAGCGCGTGTCCGGGCCGCGGCTGAAGGCGGTGCTGACGGCGTTGAGGGGAGGCGGGTATTGATTGGATGATGAAGAAGAAGAAGAAGAAAAATGTATGTGTATGTGTGTTTGAGATATATATGGCCGGGCTCCTACCTACCTACCTACCTACCCCAGCTGGGAGGGAGTGAAGCAGGGAGAAAGTAGAAGAAGAAGAACATTGTGTCGTAAAAATGGAAGAAGAAGGAGGAGGAAACTACGACGACATATTCTCCATTGCCTGCCCCCTTTAGTTTTTAGAGAGATGTTGCCCTGTATAATAAACCTTTCGGCATTGGCTGAACGGACGGGCCAATATTGCATGGCCGTGCTCCACTCCGCATAAAAAATCAATTATTCATACATTGGATGGAACAAAATTTCAGTGATTCGAACCATAGTTCTTGAACTTGCAAACAGAAGTTCGGGATGGTCAAGGTTGCACGAGTCGTAGCCGAGAAGCTGCGGCGATCCAGATACATGTAGTTCAATCTGGCACCAAGCTTATAGAGCGATGCTTTGATTGGACGAGTCTCTGAGCACGATCTCGGACACAATTAGTCCGACATGAGGTCCATGTTCCCACACTAAAAGGATCCCCACCATGGCTTGGCTGATGTCACTATCACGGCTATTTCGCGCTCGACTCCCAGCAGACGAGCACATTGACACACGAGCGGGACACTGTAGAATTCGTGGGGAAAAGCAACAACTTTTTCATTTTATCATAATTGCGTACCGCCATCAATCGACTGCGTTGCCATTGCAGAACAAGTACCCAGGCCGTCATCAAGAGAAAAGCAGAAAGGACAAAAAGGTGCTAGTATTACAGACATGGAAGCGAATCAAGTAGCGAAAAGAACCCTGAATCAGCATCTTCCTTGGCAGAAGAGAAAGAACAACAGGACGAGGAAAGACTTTGAAGATTATATTATTCAATATTTCTGTCATCGTGTTGTTGCTTTTCGCCGTATCCCGGCCTGCGGGCATGTAGAAGTCGAAAATCCTTTACCCGTTCAATCGTAAAGAAGAAGGTTCAAAGAAAGACGACTTTCATGCCTGTCGTGCCTCGCTCGAACTCCCTCGGAATCAAAACAGAATCGTAAAGAACTTTTCCCATTCCTTAAAAGACCTCGTGCAGAGAAGACGTGATCGATACATAGAGGGGAAAAGTGAAAAAGATGCCACTGTTTGCGGCCATCTTTTGCCTTCCAGCGCCTTGTCTAGGTGGAGGCGGCAGCGGGGGCGGCTTCGGCAGAGCCCTCGGCGGTCGAAGGAGCGGCCTCCTCGGTGGCAGGGGCGCCCTCAATCGGGGCCTCGGGAGCCTCGGTAGCATCGGCAGCCTCGGTAGCCTCGTGAGCATCCGGGGCGTCGTCCTCCTTGCCAGGGCTGTCGATGGCGACCTTGACAGCGATCTCGCGACCCTCAATTTCCTTGCCGTTCATCTCGGTGCAGGCCTTCTGCTGGAGCTCCTCCGAGGCGAGCGTGACGAAACCGAAACCACGGCCCTTGCGGGGCTCGTTGCGGGCCTGGAGCTTCTTGACCATGAAGCGGGGGATGGGGCGAAGGGCGATCTTGGCAGACTGGGGCTGGTAGTCCTTGAAGATCTCGAGAAGCTGGAAATAGTTAACGCTCAAGCTCAAAACACGACATCGATTGGGGCTCTGACCTTCTCCTCCCTCAGGTCGTACGGCAGGTTCGCGACCATGACCTTAGTCTTAGAGGGAACGCCGTCCTCGGGAGGACCGCGCTGCTTGCGCTCCCTCTGGACGTGGGTCTTTCCGGTCTTCGACGGATTGACGGTGATTGTGCCCTCGGCACCCTTCTCAGCGGTGAGCGCTTCGTTTGTCGTTTCGGTCAGGGGAGCAACTTGGCCAGGTACATTCGTGGGGGTGCTCGCCGCCGGGTCGGCAGCGGCCGCAGTCTCAGCAGCTCCATCTTGGTGGCCAGATTCATCAGACTAAAACAATTTCAGAATTAACGCTTTCCACCGGTACAAGCAAAAGTTGCACTTACGCGTCCACCACGGCCGGCACGACCGCCACGGCCACGACCGCGGCCGCGGCCACGGGTGGAGGTGCGGCGACGGTTGCCGCCGCTGCCATTGGCGCCCTCACCACCGCTGGCGGTGCCCTCGCCATGAGCCTCGGGCTTGCGAGCGAGCTGGATGGAAACCTTGCGATCGAGGATGGCCTTGCCGTTGAGCTCGGTAATGGCACGCTCGGCCTCAGTGGGCGTGGAGAGGTCGACGAAGGCGTAGCCGACGGGGCGGGTGGTGCGAGGGTTGGTCGGAATGGAGGTGGACTCGCTGCACGTGGCGTTAGCTCGGAGGGCGGCGCAGATGGAAAAGGCCACCTACACCAAGTAGTCCTTGAAGAACTCCTTCAACTCTCCCTCGGTGGTCGCGTACGCGAGGTTCCCAATGTAGAGTCGCCGACCCTCGGCGGCGCTGGCGATGACAGCCTCGTTCTCGGAGGCGTTGATGGGCTTGTCGCCGCCAGCACCGACGCTGGCGCCCTCGGCAGTGCCGGTGGGCTCGTTGAGGGTGGTGTTGGCCATCTGGGCGGTGGCGCTATCGACTTCAGGAGCGGACATGTTGGCTGGACGGTATGGAGGATGACACGAGCGTGGGCGTGAAGACCGTGTGGGCTGCGGAAGCTGGGCTTGTCCTGGTCGAGGCTCTGGAGCGGGAGGAGTGGTTGTCGATGACCGCCTGGAGTGGTGGGAAAATTGACGAGGGAGGTTGGAGTGGGAAGCTAAGTGCCCGATAGCTGGAGATTGAGCTTGGTCAGGAGAGAGATCTGGCTTGTTTGGTGTTTGACGGGGTGCGAAAGGGGAGGTGGTGCAGGCGTTGCTATGTCGAAATTTGTAGGCCCTCCGCCGCAGGTGCGCCCGGGCGAGCCGCTAGCCACATCTGGCGGCTGCGACCGGCATCCCTGCCCACCACACACCCCGGTTTGCCAGCGTCATCGCCCCAGCGAAGTGCGGTGAGTGCAAGTGCGCCCGCCTGCGCGTACCGACGTGTGCTGGGTGCTGGGGCCTGCGGCCGCCAGCGGGAGCCGCCCGCCGCCCGTCGTCCATGCGCGCGCGTGACTGCCCCTCCAGCCCCTCCAGATGCGCCCGCCCGCCGCTGCCAGCAGCTGGCGGAGCGGGCTCTAGTTGTCGCTGCGCGGAAGCAGGTACCATCCGCCCTGCAGGCAGCAGGGCCGCGCCAGAGACAGGCAGGCGCTGCAGGCGCTGCTGTGTGCTTCTCACCACGCGCCCACACTGTGCCATCGGCCTGCGCCGCGCGGGCCACCAACGCGCGCGGGACGCAGCAGGCTCAGTCTCGCCCAACCGCATCCCTTGTGCGCGCCATCAGGGGCGGTAGCAGCGTGCGGACAGCTCGCCAGCAGTGCACCCCTTTGCCGCCCGTCTCGCGCTGCTACTGGCTGCCCGCTTACCGCCTCGGACGGGCGCCGCCAGGTCCAGCAAGACCAGCAAGACCAGCAAGACCACTAGGACATTCCGATCGTGGGCGGAAATGGAGCGAATGCCGCGGCAGAGGCATTGGCAGGCCTGCGCTGTCGACGACGCGAGTGCTCTGGCCCTTCACCCAGCTGGTCGACGTCTGCCGGTGGCGGCGGAGCAGCAAGCCTAGCCGGCGCCTCATGGCACGGGCCCCGTGTTCCACTCAGCCCGCTCCACAAGCCGGAGATCTGCTCCGTCGCAATCGTTGCCGACGCCCACGCCACCGTTGGGACGCAATTCCGAAATCTGCTGGAACTCTTGGGGAGCCTAGTCCATGCGTGCCACGGGCCTTCGCCGCCGGGGCCTGCAATGCTGCCCAGAGGATGGCCAAGGTGCAGCTTGCTTTTGCCATTGAGGTTCAGCAAGGCCTCTGTGGGAGCGCAAGCGCAATGCACAGATCATTGATGTCAGAGAGGATCCCTCTCCATTTCTAAGGCTGGGAATGCCTGTGCCTGCAGATCAGCCTTGCGATCAGGGCACAAGGGCGTCGCCTAAGTGGCGAAGACTTCCACATCCGACATGGCTTCCGCTGCCCGTGATCTAGAGGCCGTTGGCAACCACGCCTCGTTGTGCGGTTCACTACTCATCGCGTCTGCCTCGTTTGCGGATGGCCATCGCGTTGTTGTTCGCGGGCCGGCAACGGCACCACGTCCTGCAGACAAATTTCATTCATCGTGCATCGGTATACTTGCGCTCATCACCGACTCCACGGCCTAAAAAAGCACAGCGACCAGTCCATACTGTGTCATGGACGAAAGGCCAATGGCGGCGCAAATTGATCAAGCAATGAGTCGCAGGTGGTAGCAAAATGTGCCCCGCCGCCTTCCGACCTCGCACTGATTTGCCCCGCCGCCAAACCTAAAAGCGCAGGCTCCAGGCCGATCTTCGCGCCTGATATCGCCGCAACACCAAAAAAGAACCCTCACCTCTCTACCATCTCTGCCCCGCCCCCATGGCTCACTCCGCCCTGGTGACGTACGGCTCCGAAACTGGAAACGCAGAGGAGCTTGCTGTTCAGCTGAGTCAGCTTACCCGCCGGCTGCGCATCTGGACTACCATCAAGCCGCTGAACGCTCTCACGCCACAGCATCTAAGCAACGCTTCAGTTGTCCTAATAGTCATATCCACCACTGGCCAAGGCGACTTACCGAGAAATGCCCAACTCCTTTTCCGAAAATTACGGAGTAAGAAGCTAGCACCAAATTGCTTGGAAAACTGTATCTTCACGTCGTTTGGGTTGGGCGACAGCTCGTATCCCCAGTATGTTCTCTGTCGAAGCAACATTCCATTTGAAATGCTCATGTTTCTCTCAGGTTTAACTGGGCGCATCGGAAGCTGGGCAACCGCATAGAACAGCTGGGCGCTCAGCGTCTCATTGAAGCTGGGGAAGCAGACGAGCAGCATCCTGAAGGGTAAGTCGGCTGCCTCCGAATTTATCATTCTTCCTTTCGCTGACCGCAGCTGCTCGAAGGGTTGATGCTACATTTCTGCCATGGGTAGACAAGCTTCGAGAGAAGCTGCTGGAAACATGCCCAGTCCCATCCGATGTCAAGCCGCTCGGCGACGATACTTTTCTTAAACCGAGATGGCTCCTCAAAATCCATGGCGACAATGGGGGAGCGAAGCTTGAACAGCAACCCCGGACTTTTGAGGATTTCTCAGACCTGGATTGTGCCCACGTTGGCCAGGAGCCCGATCATGAGCCCGCAGAAGTTGTGTCAAACACGCGAGTAACCTCTGAAGATCACTGGCAGGACGTTCGACAGATCAACATAAAATTCCCGCGACAAATACCGCGAGCAGATGCAAAAGGCAACGTCTTAGAAAAGCCGCGTGCATTTTACAGTCCAGGGGACATACTTGAGATCTACCCAAAGAATTTTTCTTCCGATGTCCAGGACTTCATTGATTTGCAGGGTTACGGATCCGTGGCCCACGCACCCCTGGACCTCCAATATGACTGGGAACAATTCGACAGCAGTCCTCCACGTGAACATCCTTTGGGCCGCGCCCCTTTCCACAATACTCTGTTTGGCCTTCTCACCAATCACCTCGATATCATGGCTGTGCCCCGCCGTTCGTTCTTCGCCCTAATCACCCACTTTGCATCCGATCCGGATCAAAAGGAGCGCCTTCAGGAATTCGCACGGCCGAATGATCCGGAGCTCATCGACGACTACTTCGACTACGCCACACGCCCACGCCGCAGCATTCTTGAAGTGTTGCAGGAGTTCACCAGTGTCAAGATCCCTTATGAGTACATTCTCGGTATAATCCCGTCCCTGAAACCCCGCCAGTTCAGCATCGCCAGCGCCGATCTGACAAGAACCGATCCGGCATCGACCGACTGCAACGTCACACTGCTCGTCGCCATCGTCAAATATCGCACCGTCATCAAGCGCATCAGGTGGGGCGTCTGCTCGCACTACCTCAGCGAGCTCAAGCCAGCCCAAAAACTGCGCGTGCAGCTCATCGAGGGCGCCATGCGCCTTTCCGACGAGGACCTCCAGGCCCCTTCCATCCTCATCGGGCCGGGCACAGGTGTCGCGCCTCTTCGCTCCATCATTCAGGGAAAGGAGCTCCTTCGCAGTCGCGATGCCGACGGCGCCGTGGCCCCCAACATGAACGACACGTTTCTCTTCTTCGGCAACCGCAACGCTGCGGCGGACTTCTTCTTCGCGGACGAGATGCGCGAGCGCGAGGCGAAGCAGAAGATGCACCTCGCCACGGCTTTCTCGCGGGACCAGCGGGAAAAGGTGTACATCCAGGATCGAGTCCGGGAGCACGGAAAGGTGATCTGGGACCTGCTTCAGAAGAGTGCGAGGATCTATTTGTGTGGGAGCTCAGGCAAAATGCCCGAGGCGGTGAGAAGGGCGTTGGAGGAGGTCATCAAGATCGAAGGAGGGATGAGTGTACCCGAGGCCGAGGAAACATTGAGGGGAATGGTCAAGGCGGGGAGGTTCAGACAGGAGACTTGGTAGTAATCCGCGCATTTCAGCGTTAGAGGTCGAAGAAGTTGGCCACGTATGACCCAGTGGTCAGTTTGGAAATTTTGTAACTTTCAAATAGGCGAGTTTCTTCTAAGAGAGCCCAACAGCAGGGATTATGAGACTTGAGTCCCGCTAATGATGCTATGCACTTCCTAGGTGAGCATTTGAACCCAGTAATCAGACGAATTCGTCGGCGTTTGAGACTCGCCTATGTCCAGACATTGGTGTAGTGAGTCTGGCAGTGACTCACCCGCGAGAACCATGGGTGATAACCATAGTAAAGTAGCTTAGCGTCACCTCTCTTGAATTCATATGGCCGTACCATGTGTTCAGAGTGAACCGGTAGCCCGGAGGGACGACCTGATCTGGTACAAACACAACAGTTTTGACTGCACGTGGTGTTCCCCAACCACGGTGCTGCAACACGCGGGTTGCAGACTCGTTCGGTGGGAGATGGCCAGTCAAAAATCAGCTGGTACTTAACACCTATATCAACTCCATTCGCTCCACTTCATCGGCTATTTCGTTTTCCCCATACATACCAACAGCCCGCCACGCCAGCACGATCTCAAGATCACGAAACAACACCATGGCCCAAAACGACAACCATGCCACCAGTGCTAGCACTGCCGTCATTCCCTACAGACACCGTTCGTCGTCAGACTCCACAGCCGACGCAAATAACATCGACAGTCGTCAAGTTCCCGAGCATGCCCTCACACCCCAGCCGCAACACGACATTGCAGCAGACCGCCCCCGACCAGGCTCTCCAGGGGCGGCGATAAAGCAAGAAGGACCCAGGACCACGCCCGCCACCACGCTCCCCAGAGCGCCCCGCAACGCAGCCGCCGGCCTCATGGGCCTCCCGACCGAAATCCGGCAACGGATCCTCGGCTTCGCCCTCAGCACGATCCCGCCGCTCCACCCCACCAACGGCGCCTACCTCGCCTCGCTGCCGGCCTCGCGCCGGGTCCGCACGCAAGCCGTGTGGGACAAGCGCGGCATCGCTACTCTGACACCGACCGGCCTCGACCCGAACTCGGCGGCGGCGGCGGGGCCCTCGTTCGACGACATGGAGAGATGGTCGTACCGGGCGCTGGGCCCGCTGTACCTCGTCAACCGGCGGCTGCACGCGGAGATGGCGTGGGCGGAGCGGGCGTGGCTGGGGCGGCGGGGGGTCGCGGAGCGGGGGGCGCTGTCGCTCGCGGGCTTCGCCGCGTGGACGGCCGCGCCGACGCCCGTCGACGGCATCCTGACGCTGTCCGTCGCCGTGAGCGCGCCGAAGAAGCCCGGCGGCCAGCTGGCCGGCGGCGGCTGGAACGGCGGCCATGGCGTGCGGTGGGACTGCGCCAAGCACATGCGGTTGTGGCGCGCGGCGGCGTTGCTGCTGCCGCCGCCGCCGCCGTCGTCGTCGGTGGCGACGAGGTACGGGATCGAGGCGGTCGAGATAGTGCATGCTCGGTGCTATTTGGAGCGGACGAACTTCATAAAGGATCAGCCGATGGTCAGTATGATGGAGATGGCCAGGCTGCAGGTCTTACTGCTCATACGGCTGGGACTTCCGATGCAGAGAGTGAGGATAAACTGGGAGTGGGACTAGAAGCAGAGAGGAGATTCCAAGGGTCTCCATCCCAGAGTCCACATATGCCTCAACAAACAACTCGAAGCCAAATTAAATCTCGATTGCGAAAACGACCTGGTATCTTTAGAACAAAATTACACGGAAAAGGGAGGGGAAAAAGAAAGAAAGAAAGAAACTCTTACAAACGGCACCCGCTCCCGTCAAAGCTTGCTCTCCCTCGGCTTTCCCTCTTCCAGGCCCTCCACGGACCCTTTCTCCGGTAGCGCACCACTCATCAAAAACCGCTCCCCACGCTCCTCCTTGGCCGCCGCCGCCGCCGCCGCGTCCCCACCACTTTCATCACCAAAAAAGACCCTCTCCCTCCCGCCCTTCGTGCTCCACCACGCCACCGCCACCATGCTCCTCTCGGGATCCATCTCCCCGCTCACCAAGATCTCCCAGAAGCGCCTCCTCACCGCGCTCTTCAGCTCGTCCCCCTCCACCCTGTTCGCCAGCTCCGCGCACAGCGGCAGCCACTCCTCGAGCAGCGGCACGGGCAGGATGGGCAGGGCGTCGAGCAGCGTGAGCACGAGGACGGCCTGCTCGCTCAGCGGCGCCTCGCCCTCGGGCACCCTCTCCGCGTCGGCCGGGCCCGGCGCCGGAAAGTTGGCCGTGGGGAGCGGTGTAGACGGGGCGGAGAGGGCGCGGTGGTGGACGACCTCGCAGAGGATGGCGGGAAGGTCGGGTTGGGAGGAGGACAGCGGGGACGGAGGTGCCGTGACGCGCAAGAGGGTTTTGAATGCGAGGCGGAACTGGCGAGGGGAGAGGTTTGTTGGGAAGGCGGTGAAGAGGGACGATACGTAGAAGGGGAGGTGTTTGGCGGAGACCTGACTTGCGGATGACGGCGCAGAGAGAACGGAGAGCATGACGCTGTGCGCTGCCTCGAAAAGAGGCAAGAGATGGCGCGCCCCGCCGGTGCTCAGGTATGGTGTAGCAGCAGATACGAGCAGGTCCTCATTTGTTTGCGGAGAAAGGACGAGGGGAAAGTGCTCTGCGGTGTTGAGAAAATAAAGATCGTGACAGCGGTCCAGAGGATTGCTTGGAATAGTCCCAAGAGTCGCCGGACGTATGGATTTGAGGAACGCGTCTGCCTGGAGAGGATATTGTGCGAGAATGTCAATGGCCGTAAGATACACAAATGTGTGCTGGGAAAACGCATGAGCACCGATGCGAGAGGTGATGAAGTAGAGGTTGCGGAGAATGTTGAGTGCGTGCGTCACAATGACTGGAGCCACTGTGGATAATTAGTACTGAAAGGCTGCGTGCTTCCGAGGCATATCTCAACTCACCACTGTCCGCAGCCAATGCACTGTCGCCAAGCATGCGACCCAATGTGCTTCTCAGGATGATGACGGTAGCAAAGAGGGCATTCTTCAGGAGTCTCCAAAGCAGTGGGGATGTGGTTCTGATGGTCTCTAGATGCAGACGTTCCGATTCTTCAGAGAGATCAACTGCAGAGAGCTTGTTCTGCCGCCACTGCAGAGTAAGAGCCCGAGCGAACCCAGCGAGGTCGTCCATCATTGTTTGGACTAGCCAAGCATCCCGAACGTTTTCCACTGTATGGGAGACGAGTCTGGAGAAGGGCCCCATGGATACCATCAGCGGACGGGCTGTGATGCGCTGTATTTGATGAAATGAAGACGACTGTGCCGACCAGTTCAGCTTTTGGCCCGCCTCTTCCACGACATCAGGGTCTACAGTGCCCAGGAAGTAAGCGGACTGGAAGCCTTCGTTGCTGAAAAAGGCGGTTCCGATTAGGACTGGCAGCAAGAGCTGTTGATTCATCAGTATGATTGATTACCATAACACAACATCATAGCAACTCACATCGTAGTTCACTTGGGCCTTCTCGGCTCCCGACAATACCGGGAATGTGTGGTTGAGTACCAATGCAATGCAATGGGCCCCAAGCTCGTCGCCGTCCCTGACATCTACGAGCGCCAAATTGGTTGCTTGCACGAGCGCGCCCTGAAGCTTTGCTTCCACGCCAGATGGCAGCCGACAGTCCTCTTCAGCGCCGGATCCCAGCAGCAGTCCCCCCAAAACCAGCAAATGTTTCCAGCGCGGAGAACGTTCGTCGGCGCCTCTGACCACTGCGGTAGCCCAGTCCTCTGTCGGCATGCCACCGCCCACTGGCATCTGTCCCAGCAATGGCGGCTTGGCGGTGCCTTCCTTGACGTCCCGTTCGTGCTGAAGTATGGTAAGAGTCGCGGAGTGGAAGAGGCTCATTACACCGCGACAGGTGCGTAGGCCGTCGGGACGCTCCCATATCGCCGGGGCGGACAGAAGCTGCGAGACGAGAAGCTGGATGTTCAACGGATTCGTGAGGGTGGTGAGGAGCGACGCGGCGGTTGCGAGCAACCTGATAGCTATGTCAGTATCGTGTGGTGTTGAGCAGCAGGTGCGGGCCTTGCCTGGGGGTATCCTGCTGGTCGGTCCATGTCTGCAGGGACCGCAAGAGGGTCTCGAGCAATCGGTCAGCCGGCATGATGGAGACAGCTGCGGAATGGGATGCGCAGTGCAGCTATCGCGCATGACGGCGAGCTTGCGGCGGATGTGACGGCGGCGCGGGTGAGCCGAGGCCCCAGACGCGGGCAGGCATCGCCGGGTAGGTAGGGCGCAGGGCGCAGGGGCGCAGGGGCGCAGGGGCCAGCCACCACGGCATAGGGCCGACCTACCCGAGCTGCGGCCATCGCTCCCCGACGTCAGTCCTTGGCTCCGACATCAACCTGCGCCATGTGAGGCGCATCGCCGGCTCAACATGAGGTGAGTTCGGGTCCGTTGCTTGCAGGCGCCCCGGATTAACACGTGACCCCAGCTTCGTCTACCGCACGAGCAACGCCGCTCCGGCCGATTACGAGACTCCCCCCTTCCCGTCGCTCTATTGGCCCTTCCCCGTGCGCGGCCACCAGGCTTACTACCTCTATGATCCTGGCGACGTGTGGCGCTTCACCTTGCTGTGGACCCTGATCTTCTATGGCGCCGTCCACATCGCCACATCAGGCTACGCCATCATCGTGCAGTGGCGCAACTGGAAGGTCATTTGGATCATTCCTGTCATCTTCTGTGTCATAGGCGGCATTGAAGCCGTCATAGCCGGGAGCATTGTCGGCGGGTTGTGGGTGCGCTCAGCCTACTATGAGGACCGGGAAACTGACTTGTTCCATAGACTGGGTGGCGTGTACAACGCTGGCTATTACAACATGTCAACGTGGATCCCTTTTGTCTGGGGGCTGATCAATACCTTGGTCCTCATCCTGTCCTCGTTTGCCATACAGGGCGCCCTTTGATCCGCCAAATGTTGAATTCAGAAATCCATTTCATTCACGGCGGCCGCTACGCGCGCGCCCGCCAGCTACTCCCCAGGCGCAACCCAGGTCCTTGTACGTATAAACACGTCTTACAACAGCGTTTCGTCACTGATAGTGCTTGTAGACTGGGGTAGAAAGAGGACGAAGTTGGTTTTCTGGCGGCAATAGGCCCCATGAGTTGAACATACCAAGGAAGGATTTAGTACACTTGCCCGACGAGGGTAGGAACGTAGACTTCGTGCAAAAAGCTTCTTTGTGATGTTTGCCTCACCTGTGTACTCATGTTCTATCAAGGGCTAGTATTTGGTAGTCACTGTCAGCGCTGCTTGTTCGCCCGTCTACGGGGTCAGTCAGTTCGATATTGCAGTAGTTGAAGCCCTCGTCCGGATCCTCTTGTTCACATTCTTCTCCTGCACCCTCGCCTTCACTGTTCGGCAAAACGTCGCCCCGCGCTAACCAACGCTTCAGAATATCTTGTGCTTCTCACTCACTCTTCCCTTCTTCTTCGCCTCCTCAACCTTTCCTGAACTGGCCGCGTCTGGTTCTACCCGCAATCCAGGTTCAACGCCACGCTCCTACTCTGTATCCTGACTGTCTACTGTGAAAGCACCATGGTGGACAAGCAGCCTAGCCTTCGCCAGAGGATCCTTCGCGGACGCCGCACGTCGAGCGACTCAGACTCCGCCTCGGACAGCTCACACTCCAAGAAAGATCTCGCCAGCAGCGCCAACAGTCTGTCTCCGGCGCAGCCTGTGGCACGCCCTCCTTCTCGCTCTCCAAGCGCCCGTGTGCCCAAGAAGCTGCAAAAGAAGCGTTCGAGTACCGACAGCCTCGCCGCCTCACCCTCGCTTATGCCGTTCCAAGAGCAGCACGACAAGCCATCTGGAAGTGAGGCCACCGAGTCAGCTGATTTGGGCAGATCTCGCGCCGATGGCCGTCGCCAAGAGCGCCGCAAGCTGGAAACCATCGGCCCCAGACTTACTGTCAACACCAGCTCGCTCGCCGAGGACAGCTACGAGGAACACGGCGATGGCCTTTCTCTGATGGAAGTGTCACCATTGTCCATCAACAAAGAGTCACCCATGTCCGAACTCATGGATGAGGGCAACAGCGAGCCTCGCAAGTCGGGTGGTCTAGCTCTTGACGAGAAGACAGATTGTAAGTACAAAGCTCTGTTTGATCAATGACAAGTGTTCCAAGCACACAGGCACACGGGAGAACAAAGATAACCGCTGTCCCAGTGCTCATCTTTGATCATTTACCTTCCTTCACCATCCGTCTGCCAGACTCTACAGTGGATGTATCTCTCACGGTGAACTTAGCAATCAACACGCCCGACTACAACGACCCCAACCCCCGTGTTGGTCGTCTCACTGCCCTTGCCCGTGCCCGCGTCAAGGCGCTTCAAAAGCTCCGCGCACAGTCTCCGGTCTCGCCTCCTCGCGACCGAGAGAATAAGACTAGGGACAGCCCGGTCTCCCCGCTTGAAGACTCTTCAGACGGCTCTTCCACGGACCAGGACGCTCCTCTTCTCCCCCATGAGCGCATGGAAACGCCCAGCAAGACCGGAGAGAGCAGCTCAGCCACCAAGTATCTCGGCCCTGCTTCTGCCGGCAAGCTCAGGAAGAAGCCCTCGACGAAGAGCAAGATCCCGACGCTCAAGCTCAACACCAAGACCACGGCCTCCACCGACGCCACCAACGAGCGTGACAACAACGCCGAGCACCAGGACAGCAAAGCCGAAGAAGACGCCGCCAACATCCGCCACGACGCCATCGCGGCCGAGAACGCGCTGCTCGAGACGCTGCGCCGCCTCACGTCCCGCAAGCAGCCGACGACCGACACCGAGATCCGCGCCGCCACCGACGAGGTCCTGCGCACCGCCGCCTCCGTCCTCGACCTGGGCCCGCGCTCGCCCGTGCCGCCGTCGTCGTCTCAACCGCGCTCTCCTTCCTCCTCGACCGCCGGCCAGCTGCTCCCCCCCGCGCCCGAGGTCCCGGACGTGCCCACCGCCAACCCCCCGCACTCCCCGACCTGCGGCTGCGGCGGCACCGGCACCGGCGCCGACACCGGCAGTCGCCGCAGCCTGCTGGAGGACGTCAACGAAGAGGACGACGCTACCGACAAGCATGTGCAGCAGCAGCAGCAGCACAGGGGCCATGGGCGTCTGCCCGGCAGGAAGCGGCAGCAGGCGGCCGTGGGCAGCGAGCGCGTCCGGCACCCGGTCAACGTGACGTACGACCGCCCGATCATGCTGGCGGCGGGCGTCTCGCAGCGCGGCTTCCGCCGCTGGAAGTGCTGCCGCTGCCACCGCTATACGCACTACGAGAATCACGTGTGCAGCAAGCTCGACTGCCTGCACGCGCGCTGCGAGACGCGCTGCGAGACGTTTGAGCCGTGAGTGGTTGGTTGGGGAGGGGTTTCTTGTGTGTGTGCTTGTACGCGTGGATGGAAGAGGGGTTTGAAGGTGATTCACGATGGGGGACGATGACTTTACGAGTATACGATGATGGTCAAGGTTTTCACAGAGTGCTGTGGGGAAAAGACTCGGCGGATTACTGCTATGGAAACGAACTCGGGTTCGATTTTTGACTTTTGGCCACAGCAAAGGAAGCTATGTGGTTGATCAGCATGGGAACATCTGCAGAAGGGGAAGCCTCTCGTTGCTTGATTGCTTCTCCTCATTCAAGCGACTTTAGAAGAGAGGAAGCCCGTAGAAAGTGCCTGTTCCTGATCCGTCTCCCTCATCGCGCGTGAAACACATGAGTTGATGGTCGCGTTCTTCTGGTGGGGTTTGAGCAGAGAAAGCTGTATGGAAGGGTTAAGCTGTGGAATGAAGGAGATAGCTGACCGGTGAGCAGAAAGTACCTTCTTCCCTTTTCGATTTAGCCTTCTCCCACTGTTCGAGCATTCTTGGTAGTCTGTATGGGAGAAGCTGGGAACGAATCCACGAAAGGACTCGGGAAATGCATACGGGTCCATGTCTTCTCTCAGGTCGATAAAGGACGACTTCACAGCAGATGGAGAAGGATTCGAGCCCCCTGAGTCTCGCAGAGGACGCTACACTCTGTGGCTTCAGTTTTGGAGCGCGCTAGGGAAGAGGGGAGTCCACAGTTGTCTCATTATTGGGATTGCCATCGTGGTGTAGTACATACAAGGAACGACAACTCGGCAGGTACAGTCCCAAAAGGGCAGCCGCTTGAAGTAGTCCCGAAGAGCAATTTTGTATTTACTCCGAACCAAGAATTTTGTGTTGGCGTGTCGAACAAGAAAAGACGCCGCCAATATCATACAATGCAATAGACGCCGAGCGACACTCATTAAAGGCCCAAGATCGTGACAATTCCTTATGATCAGTGTTGACGGGAGTGAATTAATGAAAGAAAGAAACCAACCAGAAGTTTGGAACAGGAGATGGTTAACGTCTCCTGCGGCGCCTCAACTCCCACTCGGTCTCGTCATTATCGGCCAACTCGTCGAGGAGTGCCTCCAAATCAAGCACATCCTCATCCTCATCGCCGTCAAGCGGAAACATCTGGGTTGAAGGTTGGGTCGTGACTGCAAGCTCGGATGTCAAATCCGTCTCCTCGTCTTCGGCCATGAAGCCGATGTCGCCCAACAAGAAATGACCGAGGTAGTAGACTGCATCCAAGACCTCTTTACCGGTCGGTATAATGTTCTCCTTGGGCAATAGGAACCCGTAGCTACCTGTGTCACGTAGCTTGATCTGGTACGAGTATTTGACACCGAGCTGGTGGTAGAAGTAGTCGAGGGCGCTGCCGCCACCGGTCTCGATACGCGGAAGGTACGTCCTCTGATCTTTGTCCTTGCCGGTGTATGCGACATTGCCCTCGCACGCCGACGCCGCCTTGTAGGAATGGCCGTTTTTGGAGACACGAATGGCTTTGGCAAGACCGAGGGCGACCTCCTCGAGGTCTTCAAGCGTAGGCGGCTGTTCGGCACAAGAGTACGAGTACGGATACAGAACCTGCTCCGAATAGGAGTGGAGATCCAGAAACGCTACGAAATCGGCATTGTTCTGCTCTGTTTCGTTCTTGGCCCAGTCCGCGAACCGTTTGGCCTCGACAGCCTCGAACGGCTCATCTCCGGCGTAGCTTTCGGAGCAGGGGTTGCTCCTTGTGAACTCGCCATCCCAATGGAAGTCGTAAGAGCGGTCAAGGTCAATGCCCTGGCAGAAGCGGAGGGATGTCATTTGCCTGTTTTTGCGCCACAGGCGGTCCGTCTCCCAGGTGTAGACGTAGCCATCCGGGTTCAAAGTCGGAACAAATATCCAGTCGAAAGCTTCCAGCAGAGCAGTGGTTGTAGCCGACTTACCGTAAGAGGTGATCAGCGAGTAAGCGAGATAGTTCACGGTGCTCACGCTGATCCACTCGCGAGCATGGGAGCCTCCGGTGATGAGAATAGTCTTGCGCGGCGTGCTATCCTGGTCCCTATTCGTGGGGTGGACGCCTACCCTCAGCGCAGGAATATCGCGGCCCTCGTAGGATATGCCGACGTTTATGAGCTTCGTGTGGGTTGTGAAGAGCGATTCCATGAGGCGCAGCCACGGCATAATGACGGACAGCGGCTGGTAGTCGCGGAAGAACAGATTGGTCTGCGCATTCTGCGAAGAGCGCAGCGAATGCGAAAATGGCTCACGGGACGGGATGGAGTCAGGGTCGGTCGCGGGATACGAGTCGAAGATGGCCTGGGCGAGATCGTGGTCGCGCATCAGCGGCGCATGGGCGTCTTGGAGCGAGGCAGGCAGCAGCCCAAGCAGCGAAGGCACCTGGGGAAAGATCAATCAGAAGCCGTTTCTCTCGAGGGCACAGTCGCAGCGCTCACCACGTCCTTCGCTATCCGAATGTCGACCCAATTCTCGCTGGACTCCCACACGTCGAGGAAGAGCGTGTTGGCGGCCTCGCCAAGCTTGCGGGCCTCGTGCTCGGTGCTCACGTTGAAGCGCAGCACCATGTCGTCGCCATAGCGGGCCAGCAGCTTGCCCGGCGGCGACACGCGGCCGCCTCTGGCGCTGGCATCGAGGGCGGCAGCGCCGCGGGATGTCGCGGAGCTGGGCGGGCCCCAGAGGGCCGTCAGGACGCGGTCGGAGAGCTTACGCCACGACGGCCGGGTGTCGGGCTGCTGGAGCGGCGAGGCGCAGTGCTGGTCGAAACGGGAGGGCCCGGCAGCGGCAAGCGCAGGCGCGCACAGAAATAGAAGGCCGGCGTTGGTGAAGACGTGGACGCGCATGGCGGGCTCCGGGATGGTGCGGACTGCGGATGCGAGCGCGTGCTGAGCTGCAGCGCGGCGTGTACGTAAAGGTCGTTTGGGAGTCTGGGACAGGCTGCGGGCCGGCTGCGGCAACAGGCTTGTCGTCTCGGCTGTGGAGCCTGCGAGTGGCTGGCCCCAGTGGCCCCCAGTGGCCCCCAGTGGCCCCCAGTGCCCCCAGCGACGCATGCCGGCATGCCGCGCTTTCCAATCACCTGGTACGCCAAGCCTGCTTCTGAAGCGCAGCCTGCGAGCTTGGCCGCGCCCGTCCCCAAACCATTGCCCTGCCAGCCGCCAGCCTGCTGAGCGCCAGAAGACGCCCGCACGCCCGCACGCCCGCACCGCCCAACAGTCGCGCCGCCGCCCTCCAAGCGCCTTGCGACTCCCGCATCCGCATCCGCGTCCCAGGGACCAACTGCGACGCCCAACACCAACGCGCCCGTCCCGAGCTCGTCGTCCGTTATTGCCGTGGCGGTGCCGGCCCGGTCCCATCTTCTGGCCCCTGGAGCGCAGGCCGCGTAGCATCCGTTGCATCACCGGCTCAGCGCTGTGCCAGCCCTACGGGGCCCACCGGCCAAAGCATCGCAATCCCACGCGGTCCCCTGGTTTCCTGCCTGCGATCCCCACGGCCCCTACTCGCCCCAGCACCACCACCCACCGTCCCCAATGCCAAACGAACCGTCGCCAATGCCGACTTGACCGCCCGCGCCCACGCCCGCCCAACCCAGAGCCATGCCGCTGCGAGGCTTACGCCCGGGGAGGAGCGAAAAGGACCTCAAGCGTCGCAGCACCCTCGACCCTTCCAGCATATTCAAGCGTGAGCAGGCTTCGCGCGCCCAGTCCGCCGTCGACCTTGCCCCCAACCGCGGCATCCAGTCAAGCGATGGTTCGCGCCCGAACCACTTCGATCCGCGCGTTTCCTGGGCTGGCGAGCCGCCGCCCTCGCCGCCCATCCAAGAACACAACGCGCAGACGCGCCGCTTCAGTATGTTGAAGTTTCGTCACGCCTCGGATCCGCAGCTGTCCCAGAAGGCGAAAGAGCACGCCCAGATGGCCGCCGCCCGCGACGCTCCCCCGGTGCCCGCCATGCCCGCAGGTAATTTTGGAGCGCCAGGGCATCCGCGCACACGTGAGGACCAGACTGCTAATTCGCGCCCCCTCGCAGCTCCCGCAATCATCACGACCGCGCCGACCATGGAGCCGCCTGCAAACCCCCCGCCCAAGAAGAAGACGAAATTCCCCACCTTCAGGCGCCGCTTGTCCTTCGAGCCCGCCGCCGACTCGTCCCCTCGAAAGTCGTCGGAACACAAGCGCAGCGCCGAGCACGCGCGCCCGAGCCTAGGAGGGTTGATGGAGGCAAGACCGAGCCAGGAGGATCCCGCGCGGCTGTCCGTATCGCGAGCCCGTGATCCGGCCGCCGAGAATGGACATTCGAACGCCGGATCGCAGACTGCGCTCGGGGGAAGACTGTCAGATTCATCACGGTCCGACGCGAGCTCGAACGACCATGTCCAACTTGCGACACACAAGCGGCCTTTGCTGACCTCGCATTCCACCATCTTCAGGTTGCCCAGGAGAAACAAGGAGGCAAACCGCAAATCCCTATTTCCCCTACCCGCCAGGATACCCGCCCCGCCAGAGTTCCCAGACACAGCTCCCGCTACTCCGCGCGCATCTACCAGCGGCGTCAGCGTCAATTCTCCCCACCATTCTCCCGACGGAACCTATAGCCCTCCTTTGACCGCCGTGCATCGATCAAACACCGATGGAAGCAGCAACCCCTCGCAGCCTTCATCCCACTCCGCGCTCTCGTCCGCCGTAAACGGCACCCAACCTGACCTCTTAAGAAATGACTCGACAAACTCCGCTCGTTCCGCACGATCCTCGCACTCATTAGCTCCTCCAGCGAAAGCAGGACTCCGAAACCGGTCGAATACCATGGGATCGCTTGGGGGTAAGTCCGATGATGACCCGCCCCCCACCCCGCCCCATGGGCAAGATGGACGGCTTTCGACATCGACTACTGGGAGAGCAAGCTTCAGCAACCTGTTCCATCTTGGAAACCGCTTTAGGCAGAATACGGAACCCAATTCACCACGCCGTGGCTCACCAGGTGTTATAGCGTCAGGACGAGGATCGCATTCGACGTCTTTGAATATTAGCCGGGAAGCATTAGTGATACCCGAGAAGGAGGAAGGGGAAACCCCGGGAAGATACCTCGAACGTTTGGAAGAAAACATCGACCGAAGTCTGATAGCGAGCATCGTTGCCAAGCACGGGGACGAATATTCGTTGGCGGTCCTACGAAGCTACATGCGACGATTCATGTTCTTCGGAGATCCCATCGACATGGCTCTGAGGAAATTGCTGATGGAAGTGGAGCTGCCGAAGGAAACTCAGCAAATCGATCGAGTCCTTCAGGGATTCGCTGACCGGTACCACGAGTGCAACCCTGGCCTATTCGTCTCGCCTGGTAAGGATACCTTTACCTTCGATGCTTCGAAATCCACCATTTGTTCATCTTGGTGCTCGCGAAAACCGACTAATGTCCTACAGAGGAAGCCTATTTCATCTCCTTCTCCATTGTGCTTTTGAACTCCGACTTCTTCAACCCCAACAACAAGCGGAAAATGCAAAAACCCGACTACATCAAGAATTGCAACGGCGGAAACGCATCCGAAGTGAACGATGATGTCCTGGCTACACTCTACGACAACATCGTTTACACGCAATTCATTCATATCGACGATGAGGTTGATCTACGGAGTCTGGCAAACAGGCGGAGCAAGAAGACTAAGATTATCAAGAATGCTGTACAGGACCCCGTGAAGAAAGCGCAAAAGGAACCGGTCGATCCGTACACGATCATTTTCGAAAACAAACTGGACATTCTCCGGCCGCCGATCAGGGAAGTCATGCAATTCGAGGATCCTTATAGCTACAAAGGAACGGCGCAATGCATAGACTTGAAGTCTCTGCACGTGACCTTTGCGAGATATGGCGTTATCCAGATCGTCTCGGCTCGTTCTCGTCCCGAAGCTTTCATGTCTCCGACGACGATAGAAAATCCGGATGGTGCCCAGGCCGGAGTGGTCGAGATGCCCGTTACCAAGGTCGGTATCTTGTGGCGGAAGGATTCCAAGAAGAAAGCAGCGCGATCGCCATGGCAGGAATGGGGGGCGGTTCTTACACGGTCCAGTCTGTCTTTCTTCAAGAACGCCAGCTGGGCCAAAAGCTTGATTCATCAACACGACTCGCACGAAAAAGCCGGGGGTGCTGGAAACCCTGTGGTCTTCAGGCCACCGGTCGAAGAATTCAAGCCCGACTACGCGATTCCAATGGACCAGTGTGTCGCAGCCTCGGACTCAAGTTACAGAAAACACAAGTACGCCTTCGTCATCTTCGCCAAGGGCGGAGCGGAGGAGGTGTTCCTAGCCGATGACGAGGCGGATATGAACGATTGGCTGGCGAAGTTGAACTACACTGCAGCGTTCGAGACAGCAGGGATAAGGCCCCGCGGCCTGATCGGTGGAAGCTACGACGGTCAGCGCAATCGGGCCATAAGACGCCTGGAGTCTTCGCAGTCGGCAAAGTCCATACAGGGTCCTACCGGGCAGGTCACATTCACGAGTGGAAAGATCGACAACCAACTGGCTCAGCAGATCGTGAAGGCCCGACGAGAAAACATCCAACGGAAGGTCGAGGAAGCTGACGATCGGTTGGGTGCTGCGGTCAAGCAATTGGACAGCCGTCTAAGGGATGCTCGTCACTTGCAGGTTATGGCTCCGATTCAGCCGAGGACTAGAGAACACGTCATGCATGCAGCCGGCCGCATGGCAGCAAAGTTGAAATGGATCCGCATCGAGATCGTCCGCATGAAGGCCCATCGCGACATCCTCATTATGGACATGGACGAGGAGAAGAAGATGGCCATCGATGCCAAGAGAGCCAAGGAGATGGAATCGATCCCGCCTGTGCCGGCTCTCCCGCCTGCGGCTTCATCGCCCACCACAGTGCAAGGACCTAAATCCTCACGGCTCAGTGGACTGGTCCGTCTTGGATCTAAAGCTAGCGGTTCAACGACCAGACCCCGTTCACCAAGGTCGCCCTCAATGACTGGCAGGCCCGACACATCTGGCTCTGATATTGTTGGCGATGATGTTTTTACAACTCCCCCTGAGACGACCCAACCAAGCCCCGGCTCACCACCTGCCGGCTGGGATATTCCTCCCATGAAGTTTGGGCCTTCCAACAGAGACTCTTGGGCTGAGTCTACGAATTCCAGTCGCCCGGGACTCGAGCACCGGCCATCGGTGTCTACTGTGGGCGACAGGACAGAATCTGTTGATGAATCCGATGCTGGGTCGAGGCATCGTCGGCTGAGCGTTTCCGATGCCGAGCGCAACCCGAGCGAGATTTCAATGAATCTAGACGGCCGTCCTTCGACTCCTGCGGCTGATGACGTTGAGCGACCTGCGCCTGGCAGTCCCGAGTCGCGCAGCAAGGTTCGACGTAGCCTTCATCGTACCCTCCGCGACACGCACAGTGGTAGCGGGCATCGTCGGAGTGGCAAGGGCAAGGAATCCGGCTCCAGCGTCAAGTCTGACGACCTCAATGGACCCTCGAGCCCCGAAGTCTTCCCGCGTGCTCACCAGAGTTTCACTGTTCACGGGAAGAAGGCTTCTGTCGTTACGTTCGGTGCGGAATGGCAGAACTTGTCAGCAGAGGAGCGCTTGAGACTACGCAAGTCGACAACCGATGATGGCGGTAAGCTGAACATGGCGGTCGCTGGTGACGATGATGCCACGATCCGAGGCAGAGGCCGTGCTGCTTCGGCCACGTCTGAAAGCTCTCGCACCATCAGAAACCTTGCTCAAGGCCCCGGTCCCACTCTGGAGGAGGACGAGAAGCAGGATGGTTTGGGACTGAAGCCTCTGCCAAAAGACGTGCAGTGGGACAACGGTCGCCTGAGCGAGGAAATGGCGGATTCGGGTCTTGCTTCTGAGCCTGAGGATCTCTCGCCCACGACGACAAGGGACAGTACGACCAAGGCCGTCGGTGACGATGAGGACGCTCCCGCCAGCGATCTGCACAAGAACGCTCAGCCGCAGGCCGTGGAAGCTTGATACTCTCTTTTCACTTTTTGCTCATGGAAGAGTCGGCCACGATGACTCGTTCGGTTCTTCTTCTACATAGATACCCAGAAACAAAGCAACCTGTACTGCTACGGTAATCCAGGGGCCGTGTTATTTTTGCGCTTCACAAGCGGCCCGCTGTCTCACGTTAAGACACAATTCTCGACATTCGTTCAGCATCTCCTTGTTCACTCATCCACTCTTCCGGCTGTCCAGCGGGTCTCGCTGTGAGTACCCTCGCCCTGGCCCGACCTTTTTTTCCTTGGTTCTCGACTCTTTCGAAAGTTTCTACGCATTTCGTCCCGGGTGCAACGGCAGCATTAAACATGGTTGGCGTGCGGGGGGAAACGGCGGCGCTCAGCACAAGTCATCTTTGCAATGGCGATTTATACCTCATCCAAAAGTTTCTCTTTTCCCTTCTCCCACGGACGTTTCCTCTTTTCTCGCCATACTCCCCGACACTAGCACAGGTCCCGAAGGTGTTGGCATGACATTGGTTTAATCAGCAGGGAATATGACTCCCACATTATCCTCATAATTCTTCGTATTTATTCACAGCGGCAGAGCGTTTGAGGTGTTGGCTTTTTGATCTTGTTTTTCTTCCCCGTTTGACTCTCACATCTTCTCTCTGTATGGTCGACCATTCTGCTGTGCCTCGACGACTGCATGGCTCGTTGCCCTACTCCGGTGCTTTACTTCCGAATTCAAGGACGAAGCACGAGGAAACCAGTAGGAAACCCATCTCCCTCCTCATCCACACCGTCACCTTTTGTCGACTTTGATCGTTGGTTACGGCATCCGTTGATTATTTCCTATGTCGATTGGCAATGATGGGCATGTTGGTACCTTTGCTTTTCTTGTTTTTCTTTTTCCTTTTGCGATTTTTTCCCTTTGTCCTGTTTTGTTGTTGTTTTCCCCTTTCCCTCCCCTTGTTTTTTTTTTTTTTTGCGAGGCTTCAGTCAGGAGAGACGAAAGATATACCTTTGCACCCCCTTCTCAGATCTTGACCTTGATCGTCGTTGTTGTTTTGGCAAAGGGGGTTGTGCGGTGGCATGTTGGCATTGGCGACGGACGGGGGCCGTGGTGGTAAGTAAGCGGTTCGTTGTTCAGGTAGACACCCCCCATTCTCACCCAAAGCAGGTGTGAAGGGGAGAAAATATCAACCTGACGCTTGTCTTGCTGCAGCGTCTTTCCGGCATGTGATGGTTTTTCTTCTCTGTATGTGCTTGAACGTGTTGCTCCACCATCTATAGTCTTTGCAGACACGCGAGCATGGGCTGGCAACTGTCCAACCGGCATGGTTTTTCGGCATTGCTCGGCAAGTAGAGTCACCATGTGCGAAGGGCGTGTGTAGGTACGGGCGTATGGCCGGCCGAGCTCAGGCGCGTGCAAAGCAAGACAGCTCACCCATCATCAGCCACACCACAAGCTTTTGGTTAGTTGGGCATTTATCGCGCGCGCGGCCAGCCTTTGAGTCACCTGGGCCCAGTTCGGCCATCTAATCTTCTTCTCTCTGGGAAAGTTCAATCTCCGGTATATTATCGTAGGCTCGTTCTCTTAGACCCCGGAGCAAATCGGAAGCGTGGCATGGGCGGGTGTGTTTCCCCGGACTCTTTCCCTTTTTATTTTTTGCCATTATTTCGCAATCTTGTTGTGCATGCGGGGGGGATCCGGGGCCGAAGCAGATGCACGTGCGTTCGTTTCGGCTTGTGGTTCAGCCGCGGGGGTGGGAGCAGGCATGTGTGGCTGCATTGGGCGAGTGGTGTGTAGACGGTCTTCTTCTTCTGCTTGGTCGCACGCGTGTGCCCGTCAGGTGTCGCAGCTCGAGGCCGAAAACGTCATCTTCACATGTCAAGCAGGAGGAAAAACGGCGGCGCGGCGCTGATGCAGGTGCGACGCATGGCTTTTTTTTGTCCTGCTGCTGCTGGCGGAAGGCTAACGCGCGCGGACATTAATCCGCAGCAAAGCTAAGAAGAGCATGGCACGGCGTGTCACATCAGAAAAAGAGAGAAGAGGGAGCGACAGTGGTGGTGGGTGACGGTCTGGGTCGGAGCGACGGAAGATGTGCGCGGACGGTCGACTCGGCAAGGCGGGCGGTTGGGCCAAGTTTGTCTCGCAGCTGCCGAAGGCGCCGTTGTGACTCTGCCTGCCCAGCCCGCCAGAGCTGCTGCTGCTCCCCGACTTCCGCTCGTCCAGCATTCCTCTCCACCGCCCGCTCCGCGAGCCAGTCGACCGTGCCCCGCAGCCGCGCATCAATGCCTCAGGCTGCCCCGAACCCGCGGCTCTGACGCAATGCCAAGTGCGCGCAGTTGCGCAGTTGGGGCTGCTGTTGCTGCCGCCGCCGCCGCCGCCGCGCTGACAACGACGCGCCGCGCTGCCGGCTGGCGACTGCCACCAGATGACAGCCGTGCCCGGTGACCAGCGCAAAGGGTCAGAGCGACACGATTCCCGGGGTAGCAGGGGGGCAGCAGCGGTAGGCTAATCCTGGCGCTCGGTTTCATTCGGTCCAGCCCGCTGCTGCGTCATGGGCCGAGGCTCTGTGGAGGGGCAAGGGAGAAAGACGCGACGGCGCGCGCGCTGTGCCCGTGGGATTGGAGCTCGGTCTAAAGGTTAGAGCAGGGGTCATGAGGACCATTGCCGCACAGCTTTAGAACATGCCTTGAGCTCTTGATCTCTTGAACCCTTCTTCACTTTCTCCCCCTCAGCTTTCCCCGTTGGTCGTTGCTATACCCTCTCTGCCCTGTAAATATACCGCCGCTTGTGCTTCGAAGAAGGTCCATCTGGAAGCCCGGAAACGTCTCATACTTCCTCTGCTGCGCCCCGGCGAACATCGACCATCCATTTCGAGCCCTGACAGCTTCCCGCCTGCCTCGAAACCAGACAACCGCAACCATGTCTGCGAAAACCGTGGGAGGACCGGGCAACAAGAAGCCCGCGTCCGCTGCGACGAATTTGATCGGTATGCCGAACAAACGCGCTTCTTGCCTGTGAACCCGGAGGAGCGCTGACTGGTGTTTTGTTGCGCGCAACAGCCGGAGGAGGAGCTGGTATGATGGAGGCCCTTGCCTGCCATCCTCTCGGTATGTCTGCTCCTCATTTCCTTCGCCCAGAATGTGGAGAGAAGGCCTTTTGCGCGTGAATTTGCCGACTGACGGCGCCGGCAGACACCATCAAAGTCCGCATGCAACTCTCGAGAAGAGCAAGAGCACCTGGGGTATGTTCGGAATTCCCTCCGTGCCTTCTGTCTAAGTTTTCGCCGCGCAAACCAAGCTCCAATGCCTCCTGGACACATTTGCATGTGAAGGAGGAAATCTTGGGAGATGACATCCGACAAACCACCGACCACACCCACGCACCAAAAGTGTATATCCTCGTGATTGGAAGACGCTTCTTGGAGCTAGATGTGGTCGGGGGAGACGGTCTGCGTCCGCTGTCGCGAACCGCGAGCCCCATGTAGACGTCAGGCGGAGCAGAGGCTAACCGGACGGTCACACCCCAGGCAAAACCGCGCGGATTCCTCACCACCGGCGCCGAGATCGTGAAGCGCGAGACCCCTCTCGGTCTGTACAAGGGCCTGGGCGCCGTCCTGACGGGCATCGTGCCCAAGATGGCCATCCGGTTCACGAGTTACGAATGGTACAAGCAGCTCCTCGCAAAGCAGGACGGCACCGTGTCGGGCCAGGCAACATTCCTGGGTTAGTCCATCACCTTCAAGGCACCAATGGAGGAAGGGGAAGGAAAAAGAACAAAGCACATAGAGCTAACCCCGGTCTCTTCCAAACCCACAGCCGGCCTCGCCGCCGGCGTCACCGAAGCCGTCGCCGTCGTGACGCCCATGGAGGTGGTCAAGATCCGGCTGCAGGCGCAGCACCACAGCATGGCGGACCCGCTCGACGTGCCCAAGTACCGCAACGCGGCGCACGCGCTGTACACGGTGGTCAAGGAGGAGGGCGTGGCGGCGCTGTACCGCGGCGTGTCGCTGACGGCCCTGCGCCAGGGCTCCAACCAGGCCGTCAACTTCACCGCCTACACCGAGTTCCGCGCCGCGCTGCAGACGTGGCAGGGCAAGACGGACCTGCCCGGCTGGCAGACGGCCACCATCGGCCTCGTCAGCGGCGCCATGGGGCCCCTCAGCAACGCCCCCATCGACACCATCAAGACCCGCCTGCAGAAGACGCCCGCCGAGCCGGGCGAGACGGCCGTCGGGCGGATCATGAAGATTGCGAAGTGAGTAGTATTCTCGTCTCGTCTCGTCTCGTCTCGTCTTTCCGTCCTCGCTTGAAAAACAAAAAAATCCACATCTCCTGCTTCGAACCGCTGCTGACAGACATCCTTCTCTCAATCCAGGGACATGTGGAAGCAAGAGGGCACCCGCAGCTTCTACAAGGGCATCACCCCGCGCATCATGCGCGTCGCCCCCGGCCAGGCCGTCACCTTCACCGTGTACGAGTACCTCAAGGGCGTCCTGGAGAGGAGTCGCGAGATGATGCCCGCCGGTCGTTATGAAGAGTAAGATTACGATTGCATAAACACACACACACACACACACCCCTGCCTCCAAGAGCCTTTCTATGGTTTCTTTTTTTTGTTTCCAAACCTTATTTCCCCTCGCATGTCAAGCATACATACTCTTGTTTGGTCGTGGTAGGGAAGAGGCAAAAAAATCCCCTTTTTACTACATACACTCGTCTTTCGGAGGGTTTTTCCTCTTTTCTCTTTCGGGTGGCATTTGTTGACGTTTTTCCCCCTCTGTCTCTTTCCTTGTAGGGCCGCTCCGCAAAAGGTGTGATTTGCTTTTCTTGAGAGCGAGAGAGAGAGAGCGAGAAAGGAAATAAGGAACGAGCACAGGACATTTTCCTACCTTCGAGGAAGATGATGATTGATGGGAGGTCGTCGTCGTTGAGGCAGCAGCGCGGTTGTTGTTTGTCGTCGTCGCTTGGAACTTGTTTTCGACTCGGGAACGAACATCTTCTTTCCCTCCTGCAGTCGATCATGGCGTTTGTTGTCATCATGGGTTCTTATTCTTTATGTTATTGCATGGTTCTTGCATGCCCCGCGAGTCAGCGCCCTGGCGGGCACCCGCTAGACAGGAGTGGTCTTTTGGGGTTTCTTTTTATTTCTCCCGCGTATTCCATCTTATCTGCCTGCATTATACGGCTCATAACATATCTCAAGGAGGACGGCTGCAGTATTCCGTGGCCCAGTCATGGTCAAAAATATTAGCACATCTCTCAAGGAACATCCGATTCAGCGCGTTGGTTTCGTCCATCATTGATGCATTCATACCGCGTGAAGATATTCGAGCCTTCTTCTAACATGTACAAATGACAGCAGCCTTGCTGTCAGGTATCCCGTGCAAATGCCAACCATGTGGTATATCCATAAGACTTCACTTTCACTGTAATCTGCGTCCGTCCGCCCCCTCCTCTTTTTTTCTTCCTTACCGTCCTGCCGTCTTTTGATGATGCAAAACACTTCTTCTTTTCTAGCGCTTACCAGGCCTCTTGGGCTTGGAGAAGCCCGTCTTCTTCTCCTCCCTGACGACGAACTCGTCGTCGATAGTAGAAGGGCCGATATCTTCCGGGCTGCCGAACTCGAGCTACATGTTTCAAAACAAGTGTCAGCCAGCCCTCCTTTCCATTGCCACCACCGAAAGCGAATGTGGGGAATAGCCCACACAAACGTGAAGAAGGTGGTAGTAGTAGCCAACTTACCCGCTTGTGGATTTCGATACCGGCCTCCTTCTCGGCCAGGTGGATGGCAAAACCGCGCGAGGCGGCGTACACCATGCGCTCCTTGACCTTGGAGGTAGGCGGGCAAGAGTAGATGAAGAGGATGGGGCGCGAGCCGTCGGGGCCGGCGTCGTGGCGGTAGAACGAGTAGCGGGGGGCGTCGGCGGCGATGACGCTGCCCAGCTCGGCGGCCGAAGCGGTCGTGGTGGACACGAGGCGGAAAGTCTCGTTGGCGACGTCGATGTCCTGGGAAGAAGAAAGAAGAATCAGCCCTCAATCCCCTTCTCTCGCCCTTCCTTTCCCTCCCTCTCTCCCTCACTCATACAACAACAACATACCAGCTGCACCAGATTCGCTTCCCCCTCCGGCAACCCCCTCAACGCCTCCACCACGCCCTCCTGCACCTCCATGCTCAAATGCCCGCTCGTCTGCACGCGCCGCGCGGCGGTGCTGCTGCTCTCGAGCGCCTCCTGCTCCTTGATGCCGACGAGGTTGCGCTCCTCCTCGGTCAGCGGCGCCGCGCCCGCCACGTGCGCCTCGTGCCGCCGCCACCCCTCGGCCGACAGCTCCTCGGCCGTCGTCGCGAAGACGGTCTCGGCGAAGTGCTCGCCGCCCAGCTGCCGCACCAGCGCCAGCCGCGTCGAGGCCGTCAGCGTCTTTTGCCGCACCGGCGCCGCGTCCGGCACGTAGGTGACGGCGACGAGGCGGGTGGTGGCGTCGGAGTCGGTGGAGGATGCGTCGGACTGGCGGAGCAGGATGTAGAGCGCTTCGTTGGGGGTGAGGTGGGGCGCGAGGAGGGAGAGGTCCGAGAGGAAGTCGCTTGAGGCGGGGATGGTGTCGCGCGGGATGATGGTTTCGCCTGAGACGCTGGCGATGAGGAAGCGGGAGGAGGGGTCGGTGGTGAGCTTCTCGAAGGCGGCGTGCAGTTCGGCCGAGGCTGTTGGATGGCGGGCGTTGGTGATTAGTTTGCGTGTGTGTGGTGCGAGGATGACAACAGGGAGCCGGCGAAGGCGGCGGCGGCGGTGGGGAAGAGGAGGAGGGGCCACACACCTGTTATGCCGGACTGCATGGTGGGCGGGGTTGATGCGCAGCGGAGAGAAGCGGAATGGTTGGGGTCGTGAGGGCGAGGTTTGGCGGTTGCTCGGGGGAATTGGGCGTTGTTTATGTAGTAGCTCCTGATGGCGGTGATGTCGTCGGTGAGGGGCACTGACGCGGGCTGAGCTCCGCCGCCTCGCTGCCTCATCCTCCTCCGACGCCGCCGCCGCGTCCACGCCGAAGGCACGCCTTCTGCCTAGACGACGCGCATTGCGCCATGCAACGTCTGCTTCATTTCTTCTTGGCCGGCATTATCATCGAGTGCTGCTGCCTGCCAGCTTGAGGGGAGAGAGAGATTTGATGCTGCAAACAAAGCTTCATTCAACAAGGCCGCGGCTGCCGTCGCCGACCAGCCTGAGGCACCGAGATCAACGGCAACTACTTTCTAAGAATCTCCAGATGCGTAACTTCATGCCCGCCCAGCGAGCTGTCATATAAAACCACTCTTCCTCAAGCGCTGTCAAATTTGCCTCCCGTCCGGTTCATCCATCATGCTGCAGTTTTCCGCCCGTCCAATCTTGTCCGCCGAGCCTCGCAGTCGTCAGCTTCCCCCCTGACAGAGAATCCACCGAATCCATCCCTGTCACTGTCACTGTCACTGTCATGGGAAGCTGTACCTCGCCATCGTCTTCCGCGCGTCCTTTGTTGCGTGATGGTGGTTCGGGAGGGGAATTATTCTTGCCGCGTGCATCTGCATCAGCGGCGGGATTTCTTCTTCTTCTTCTTCATTGGCGGTGCCGCCGCTTGGTGAGGGCGAGGCCGAATCCTCCTTGGTGGGCGGAGAGCAGTTGGGGCATGTGCCGCACGACAGGCTGCACTCTCGGTCTCCGCTGTTTGTTGCGCAGGAGCAGGAAAGTGACTGTCTGCGCACCCGCGCGCCGCACGCGTGCTTGATGTCGTTGAAGCACATGATACAGAGGCAGTTGAGAGTACTCTGGAGCTTGGTCAGAAGAACGTTCGTGATATGGGGTCTTTATTGGGGCCAAGACTCACCTAAAGCTTTATTGCCGGAACCGGTTACTTGACGGAGACGCACACGGGTCGTGTCCCTGCAGCGGAAGCGGAGGAAGAGTGAGGGGGAAGAGGTATGTGCAGCGTGGGGTAGGTAGGGCTGTGGGCAAGAAGAAGATAAGTTTTGGGGGTGCGGGAAATTGCAGGTTTGGGGCAGCTCGCTGCTACATTCCTCAGCGGGTTCTAGACTGGGCGGCTTGTGAGATGGCAAACATTAATCCTCGATCGCTAAGTCCCTGGCAGCGATGGTCCCGAGTCTCGTTGCTTCGGGCCCAAGGCTGAAACGGCCAAAGGGGAGGCCGCGGAATGTAGGCGCTGTGGCACCCACTCCAAACATGCGGCAGCACAGTACACGCGGCGGGGCTGCGAGAGCGTCCAGAGCCAGCCACGTTGCATGTGAACCGGCGGCATATCAAGCTCGCAAGAGAGCGGCGAGGCGCAGCAGGTGGCGCGTCTTGGAAACCTGGAAGTCCCGCCGGCCGCGTCGCCATGATGGATTGCCCGCAGTGTCTGGTCCATGGCGTGAGCGAGCTTGGTGGTCGACCAGGGCACAGCTGCTGATTCCGGGTGGCACAAGGCCAGGAACACTGCCAGCATCCCGAGATGACGTCAGCATGGATGGGCCTATTTTCGTCGATGCAACAATGGACAAAGAATGAAAATGCTAGCCCAACAACAGCCCGTCGCCCGTGTCTGGAGAAGAAGACAGAAACAGGTAGCGGTCACACGCCGGCGCGGGGGCCCGGGGCTGCACGAGAAATGGGCGTTCTCGACAAAACCCAGGAATCAAGTGTCTGCAGCTGCTGCCACCATGCACCGACGTGAGCGGCGATACAATCGGATTGTACTGTAGCATCGGCATTCCGCACATGACGGCGCCGGTCGCGTGAGCAGCTGTGGGACGGGGCGAAGACGGGCGCGGCCATGGGCGCCGTGGGAGCAGGGAGTGGCATTGCTGCAGGCTTGCCGCGGCGTGGGAGTTGGAGGTGGGAGGTGAGGTTGCAGCCAGTGCACCGAAAGTGGAAGAGAGGAGTCGTTCGCGCACGAGCCGTCATGGGGCGAGCCTGACAAATGAGAGCCCTCTGATCATCCACCCCTCCACTTTTGACCTCGACGACGTGCACCATGGCCTCTCCTTTGCCGTACCAGTGCCTCGCCAGAAGCACTCCAGCCGCACCATGGCCCAGGTCACCCTCTTCCCCGGCGTTGCTGTCATCACGGGGGCTGGCGGGACAGGTAAACCCTCGCCGCGTCGACTGATCGGAGCCGGGGCGCTGGACCATGGGCTGAAATGACCGGGCAGGCATCGGAAACGCAGCTGCCCTCGCCTTCGTCGAGGCCGGTTGCACCAAGCTCGCCGTCACAGACCTGGACGTCGACACGCTCAACGCCACGGTCAAGCAGATTCAGTGGGAGAACCCGCTGGCCGACGTGTACGCAGAAGCCGGCGACATCTCCGACGAGAAGTTCGTCGACCGCTTCATCAGCAAGGCCGCCGGCCAGTACGGCCGCATCGACTACTGCGTCAACTCGGCCGGCATCCTGAGCCGCAACGAAAGCTCGACCGAAATGTCCGCCCAGGACTTCGACGCCGTCAACAACGTCAACTACCGCGGCTGCTGGCTGACGTCCCGCGCCCAGCTGAAGGTCATGCTGAAGCAAGAGCCGCTGCCCAGCCACGACCACGACCGCGCCCCGCAGCGCGGCAGCATCGTCAACATCGCCAGCCAGCTCGGCCTCGTCGCCCGCCCCAAAGCGCGTGAGTCCCGAGTCTTGCTCGCTGACCGGCGCGCCAGAGCCAACGCTTACATCCCACCGTCACGCAGCCGCCTATTGCGCGTCCAAGGCCGCCGTCATCGCCATGACCCGCGCCGACGCCATCGACTACTCGGAGCATGGCATCCGCGTGAACTGCATCTGCCCGGGAGTCATAGAGACGCCCATGACCACAGGCACTCCCGAGGTCACCGAAAGGCTGAAGCCGGCCATCGACATCGCCCCAATGAGGCGGATGGGCAAGCCGTCCGAAGTCGCGGATGCTGCTCTCTTCCTTTGCTCGACCAAGGCAAGCTTCGTTCAGGGGCACGCCATGGTCGTTGATGGAGGGTAAGAGCAAGAGCCCTGCTGAGCCTGGCGTGATTCTGTCGTGGATACTTGTGCTGATGCATCCGCAGATATATAATCAACTGATGTTCAAAACTCGAAGCCATATCTTGTATAGCCAGCTAACGTAGCAACGGTAGACCAATCGTTGATGTATTCGTCAAGTAGATTCATGATTCGTGACATTTTTGTCACATAAGTAACTTCTTTTGTACAGTCCCCCACTCCGATGACCTCTTCATTTCTAGGTAGTCCCCATGTATGAAGTCTCTATGCCATGGCCACCCATATAAGGGCTCTAAGTTGAGATAAAAAAAAAAAACGCGCAGAGGGAATCTTTCAGTACTGCGCCATGTGTACAACGACCCCCAGGCCTTCCCAGAATACTTGATGAAAACGAAAGAACACACCCCCCCATCCTCTCCCTTATTGGAAGTGTGGGGCGTTGAGGAACAGACCCATGAGCACGCCACCGATGGTGCCGGCGACGGGGATGGTCATGATCCAGGAGAAAACGAGCAGGCCGACACGCTGGAAGTTGACAGCCTTGAGAGTGCCGTTGCAGAGACCGACGCCTACCGTGGCGCCGGTGATGCACATGGACGTCGACACGGGCAGCGAGTACTGCGAGAAGACGAGCACCGTGATGGCAGCGCCCATTTCCATGGAGCAACCTGGTCATGAAAAGTCAGCTTGCATGAAATGTGAAGAAGAGGGGTGAGGGAGCGTACCTCTGCTAGGCGAGTGGTAAGTGATCTTGTTGCCCATGACCTTCATGATGTTGTAGCCATAAGTGATGAGACCGAGAGAGATGGTGGCGGAGAGGACGGCGAGCTGCCAGACGGGCACGGGGGCCTTTGCCGCGGCGGCATCGCCCGTCTTCCAGGCCGAGTAGATGACGGCCCACGGACCGACCGAGTTGCCGATATCGTTGGCGCCGTGCGCGAAAGACGCGGTACACGCAGTCAGGACCTGGACGAACGAGTACGTGTGCTCGACCTCGTTGGGGTATTTTTCCGCGTTCGCATACACACGCTGCATGCGCGCGCCATCGGGCGTGCCCTCGATGCCCGTCTGCGACGCGTGGATGTCGTAGTGCAGGCCGTAAAGGGCGCCGCACACGAGCATGGCCGGGATGCGCTTCATCAGGATCTTGACGTTGTGCGATTCGTAGATTTGGCCGGGCCCCATGGGGTTCTCATGCAGTGTGCGCATCGCCCAGCCGATTGGGCCACTCTTCTTGCGCAGTTTCGCGTGAAGTCGCTCCTCGCCCTGATCCTGCAGCTCCTTGTACGTCGGTTTCCGGGTCTCGGTCGCCGCAACGATTCGCTTCTCGTTCGCGTCGCCTGCCGGAATGGTCATGATGGCCTCGTCGCCGCTCTCGGAAGCCGCCTTGGAGCCAGGTGCAGTGGTCGAGGGCTCATCATCATCGTCATGCTGGACGACGGCGTAGTTGGGGACCTTGGCCCGGTCGGCATCGGCAGGGGCGGGCCGCTTGAAGAGCAGAGGACCCTGGACGAACATCCACCACTTGACCGTGTAGTCCCTTTTGATGATCCTGGCGTACACGAAGGGAACGAAGAAGATGGCCGCCAGCGCAGCGACACCGCAGCCAGTGCCCACTGTCACGGCCGCCACGTACCAGCCAGGCTTCTTGTTCAGCTTGAGGTTGGGCGAGCCCTTGTAGACGATGGACAGCGTGCAGATGGTGCCGGCGACAAGGAACCAGAAGGGCGACGAGTAAACAGCCCACTTCATGGGGTTCTTGCGCATATGGACGAGAACCTTGATCAGCATGAAGATGCTGGCGCCGAAGCCGGCGGCAATGGCGGGTGCCATGCCCAGGCCGGCGAAGATGGCACCGAGACCCTTGCCGCCGTTCCATCCCCACTGAACCTCCTTGGCGCCGACGGTGGCGACACCGACACCAGCGACGGCGGAGATGAGCGAGTAGGTTGACGAGACGTGAGCCGAGTGCTTTGTGCACCACATGACCCAGGAAGATGCGGCAGCGAGGGCGCAGGTGAAGGCGAGCATCTGGACGCCGGGGTTGTCCTGGAAGGCCGAGTTCGGGATGATGCCGTTCTTGATGGTGTCGGCCGTCCGGGCGCCTACAGTGATGGCGCCGAGCATCTCGAATACAGTGCCAAAGACCATTGCCTGTCTGTACGAGATGGATCTCGACGAGACACTGGTCGCCCATGCGTTTGCAACATCGTCTATCACTTCAATCAGTATCCGGAACGGACGGAGACAGGGCCGAGATGCTTACTTGCGCCGTTGTTGTAGGCATCGAGCATGGCAAACAAAGTGCCGATGACGAAGACATAGGTATACTCCTCGAGCACCATCTTGGCCAAGGCACAGGGGTTTCGATGGGTGAAGGCGGCTGGATGCTGGGGACAAACGAGAGACTGCAGAACACAGGGTTTATGTACGATCTTGCAGCAGCCGCCACGAGCACGCATGACACGCCGGCACCGCGTGTCGGTTCGTGGCACGTTCTCGTCCCGCCATCTCCATTCGACCCTCGAGTTTGATATTTCGGGGCGGGCGGGGCACTAGTGAGAAAAAAGCATGTCGCGCCGGGCAGAGAAGGGCAGGAGGAAGCCGTCTTGGAGGGGCGCTTGTGGCGCGGCCGGTGGGACTTGCTTGGGCTTCGGGTGCAGGAGACATGGTGAAGCTTGGGGTGCAGTTGGCGGAGGGAAGTCTTCTTGGCGGACGAGGCGCTTGGCGGCTGAGGCTTGCGGCGGAGGGAGCGCTTGGCGGAGGTTGGCTGCACGCTCAGACCTCCCAATGAGCGGCGGCGTCGTCTACACGTGGGCTCTGTGGGCTCTGGAGCAGATTCGGGCATCGAGGCAGACACTGCTCGGCGGCCCCACGTGGGCGAGGGCCGCGCATCTTACTCGCGCGGAGAGTCGTATCCGGCGCCCAGACGGGCGGCGAGGGTTGCCTTGCAACGCCGCCAATGCTGGTGGCGACCGCTTGCGGGCAGGTGAGTGAGGGAGTTGTGGTCGGAGATGCCGGAGCTGAGCCGGCGGTGGTTGTTTTGGTCGCGGCTGCTGCTTAGGTTTGTTTGTCTCACGTCGCGCATGAGTGCCGTGTCCGCTCAGTCCAAGCCCAGCCGGCTTTGCGCTGCTCTTCTTCCGCTGGTTTCATCACTCGACGGCAGCATTGGCGCGCGACATGTTTCGAGCCGGCAGAAAAAGACGTGGCTGTCTCACGCACGGTAGGCTGCGCGTGCGGCGGCCACAACAAATGAGTCAATACTTGTCGACGAGCTCAACGCGCCGCGCCGAGGAAAATCGCGGAGGCGTCGTCGGTGAGAAACAACGGGCGCCCCTTTCCGTTGCCAACCGAGCGCAAGCTTCAGGATAGCCCTCACATCCCTAGAAAGAGCAAGGATTGCTGCGGCAGAGACCAGCAATATGAAGGACCAGGCCGACTACTCGCTCTACCTGGTCACCGACAACACTCCGGCCATCCTGCGCGACCGCGACCTCGTGTCCGTCGTCCGCGCCGCCGTCGAGGGCGGTACGTCAGTCGCCATCCGCGCCGTCTTTTCGGTTCCTGTGCTGAGAGCCGTACGCAGGTGTGACCATTGTCCAGCTGCGCGACAAAACCAGCGACACGGCCAGCCTGGTCCGCATCGCGAAGGAGCTGCATGAGGTCACCAGTGAATACAACGTGCCCCTTCTGGTCAACGACCGTGTCGATGTCGCCCTGGCCGCCGGCGTCGAAGGCGTCCACATCGGCCAAGATGACATGGGTCAGTAGATGCCTCCCGCTGCTCGACACGCCATTTTGCTGATGTCTCGCGCTGCCAGACCTCACCACCGCTCGCCGGCTGCTCGGCGACAATGCAATCATCGGCGTAACGGCATCCTCGGTCGAGGAAGCCGTCAGGGCAGCCAAAGACGGCGCTGACTACCTGGGCCTGGGAACCATCTTCGCCACCCCAACGTGACCACCTCCCCAAAACAGCCCCTCGATGAACTGGTCTCCGACTGACACGCTGAGCAGAAAGGAAAACACCAAGTCCATCATCGGCACTGCTGGCCTGCACGACATCCTCCACGCCCTCGGCGAGCAGGACGACATAGCCAACATCAAGACCGTCTGCATCGGCGGTCTCAACGTGTCCAACTGCCAGCGCGTTATTCTCCAGTCCACCTCTCAGTTCAAGGCGGTCGACGGCATCGCTGTCGTCAGCGCCCTCATTGCTGCCGACGACCCCAAGGATGCGGCTGAGAATTTCCGCAAGCTGGTGCGGTCACCGGCGCCCTTCGACACCCAGCAGCGCCCGCTGTACCACGGCACCCATGAGGAGATCCAGGAGCGCGTGCCGCCGGTCGTGGAAGCGCTCGCGAAGGCCAACCCGCTGTGCCACAACATGACGAACCTCGTGGTGCAGAACTTCGCCGCCAACGTTGCGCTGTGCATGTGAGTCGCTCCAGCTCAGCCTCCTGTTCTAGCTGGCCTGGAACTCAATAGCTGACTGTTCACCAACAGCGGCGCCTCCCCAATCATGTCCAACAACGGCCTCGAAGCACCCGACCTCGCCAGCCTCGGCGGCGCCCTCGTCATCAACATGGGCACCGTCACGCCCGAAGGCCTCCAAAACTACCACGCCGCCCTCCGCGCCTACAACGCCGCCGGCGGGCCCGTCGTCCTCGACCCCGTCGGCGCCGGCGCCACCGCCCAGCGCCGCGCAGCCGTCAAGTCCCTGCTCGCAGCCGGCTACTTCGACGTCATCAAAGGCAACGAGAACGAAATCACCACCGTCTACCACACCTCCACCAACTCGCACCCGCACGAGCAACAACAACAACAACAACGCGGCGTCGACAGCAACCCCAGCAGCACCACCCCGCTCGAAGACAAAGCCCGGCTCGTCCAGCGCCTCGCCCGCCGCGAGAAGAACCTCGTCCTCATGACGGGCGCCGTCGACGTCCTCTCCGACGGCGGCACCACCTTCCTCGTCCGCAACGGCCACTCCTACCTCGGCGCCATCACCGGCTCCGGCTGCACGCTGGGCACCGCCATCGCCGCCTTCCTGGCCGCGGCCCCGGGGGAGAAGCTCGTCGCCGCCCTCGCGGCGCTGCTGACGTACGAGATCGCGGCCGAGCGCGCGGCGGCGCGCGAGGACGTGCGCGGGCCGGGGACGTTCGTGCCCGCGTTTTTGGACGAGCTGTATGCGATTAGGGAGGAGACGAAGGAGGGGGAGACGGCGTGGTTGGAGGCGGCGAGGGTGGAGAGGGTGGAGTTGGAGGAGATTGATTGATTGAGTGAGTGAGTGAGTGGGATTGATGGGAAACTGTCGTCGGGTTTGCAGGCTTGAGGATGATGGGGGAATGGTGTTTTTATTTTGGGGGGAAACTTGACGCCATGCATTACCTAGGACTTTTTGACAACGTGTAAGAAGGCAGCAATACAGACTTGGCGCTCAAAAAAAAAACCCCCTCTCCCCCTCAGATATCGGTCTCAGGTTGAACGATTGCGGGTTTGACGCGCTGGGGGCCATCCTATCTGTTTGCACCAGTCTTCCACACATACCCGCACTCGGGCGGACGCGTTGTATTGGCGATGATTATGTCGACAAGACTGTAAACTGTCATGCCGATCGAGGCGCCGGCTGGGACTGCAACGAGCTGTGGCGAGGTAAGCATTGCGCAGTAACGTCGACCCAGCCAGGACGTCGGTGGAGAAAGCGGCGGCAGGAGACGGTGAGAGTGAGATCGTTGTCGGCGAGGACGACGACGACGACGACGACAGTGAAACTATTTAATGCCTCGCGGCCGTCGGTGGGCTTCTTCGTCAAGGAGAGTGGGGGATGCGGATGTATTTGATGATGACTGTGGTAGTCTGGTGGACGATTAGGAATCGGAAGTGCCGGCATCGGCCTTGGTCCGCTCACTCTCGTCCTTCTTTGCCTCAGTGCGACTCGGGCCTGCTCGACGCGCAGCAAGGCCTCCTGTAGGGTATGATAGACGATACATGTAGACCGCGCCGCTGTGCGTGTGCTTCTGTCTCGGCCGGGGTGAGGTGGGTCGAAGCGTAGGTGACGCTGTGGTGAGAAGGTAGTTCTGGCAGCGCGGACAGGACGTGGACGTGGCAGAGGCGGAGAAGGCGCAGGCTCATGTAGGTCGGGAAATTGAGGCGATTCCCGTGGTCGGCGCTGGCTCGTTGCTTTGGTGGACAACGACGTCGCGTGCGCGGTTGATCTGTTGACGGCATCGACGAGGCAAGTGTTGAAGGAATGCCGGTAAATAGGTAAGCACAGTCAGACCATCAAGCAGTGGAACACCGTTGTTGCGTAGAATCTCAATTCGAATCAAACTATCTACTGCCCTCAGAGCTCTCAAAAACTGTTCACACTGACGAACCCAGATACGCCCGACAGGCTCTGACGATCCTCGGCGCCGGTTGTCTGCAATTTTGGCTTAGCGGTCATCACTGGGCGAATCCCTAAGCGGAAAAGGCAAAGGGAAATTGTTGAAAGCTTGTAAAGTAAGCTGAAGAGAAAGAGAAGAAGAAGGAAAGGAAAGAGAAGCAGCCTTAAGTAAGCGCAAGGCCCGCACGGACCTGGACCCTGTCTGTCAGATCGGGTAGTCACGACGTCCGCCGGTTTGCCTGGGGCAACTGCCGGATTTGTGCGTGCACTGAAAGGCTCCTGCCGCTTTCGACCTCGCCTCACCCCCAGCAGACATTTTTGTATATGATCAAGGATGAGACAGAACCAGTCCCAATCCTCATTCAAGCCCGCTCCATCAGTCCGGAGACCATCCAAATGCTGTGCTGAGGATCCATAGTCGACGGATCGAGAAGGATTTTGAGAGTACCCTAATTAGACCAAGATTCGACGCGAATACGTGCACTTGAACGTAAACTGTACTTGACTGTCCTGACACCGTCATTACTCGGCGCATGTGGCTTCTCGCACTCTCGACAACCACGGATTTCTGTTATACGAACCAAACGCAGTCACTATAATCATCCCGGTAGTGTGGCAATGACCGATTGGCCTTTGTCTACTGCCATGAGCTCATACTTCTCCGTCTAAGGACCTACCTATCTTCCAATTTCGATTTTTTTCCAAAAAGAATTACTGCTACACCCCATCATCCATCTAAACAATGACGTCGAGCAAACTTAATTCGTGGTGTCAGGCAGCATTTCCCTAACATGGTCCCACGACCCAGCTCAAGTGCTCTCCCGGAAAGAAGTAGAGACTAAGCGGATAAATATCAAAGGAGTCGTAACAATGTCGGTAAAACGTCAGGTTCATTCTCTACCTCAGTCGGTAGCTGAGGTCAGGCACTTGGACAGACCCAAAGCAGATGGTGAAGAGCACAGCTTAAAAAACAATCCCTCGGACCGGAGGCATATCCTGGACAGCCACGTGTATTGCCCAACCCCATGATCTGCAACGACCAATCTTTCTCACGGTATAATCAACCCATGAAATCAGCTCGGTGAGCGCGGTGAAGGTGTTGCGACGCATGTGCACCTTGGAAGTTCCTCGGGCATACAAAACGACACAAAAGCCAGTCACTACCAACGACTCCAAGACACAATCCAGTCTATTATGGAGTCATTACAGGATCACAGTTTCCAATAACTCTTCTTTACCTACCAAGGAAATACAAAGTGATAACTGCAGTCCGTGGCTCACCTTCCCCATCCCTTCACCCCCTGAAAAAAAAAGCCCTGCGCTTGGCAGCATTCTGACGAGACGAAGACAGCATAGGTAATCATCCCTCGGTGCCGCTCTCCATCATTGACCCATGATGCAGAACACCGCCATCATCCCATATCCGCACACCCATCCTCTACGTTACACTTGTAGGATCCAAGCCACACAATACAAGTAGGTGAGACTCTGACTCGCGCGAGGCTGCCAAGCACAGTTGTCGTTGTGCATGATTATCCGGGGAGAACAAGGTTCAGTCGGCTCTGGCGAGTATTGAATGTGTCAGAATGAGTGATATGTGAAAGGTAGTTTACATGTCTGGGAACGATGAACTCAAAAGAGTGGAGGACCTACTTTTAGCAATGGCGTGTCGTCCACGTGCTCGCCAACTGTTCAAGACGCGGAGCTCATGATGGTCGTGTGCATGATTGACGAAGAGCATTTATGTATCACGTGTGGATGCCAATGGTAGCATCCGTTGCGAGGCGGCCCCGTTCAGCAGGTTTGCGCCATGTTCTGTTGTGCCCAAGCAAAACCCACCTGCTCGAGAGCAATTCCACCAAGCATCGCACGTCATAGATGACAGGGATTATCATAACTCTTCACAACACATCCTACCCAGAGAACAATGCAAAAACCAACTTCGTTGAGTGACGTGTATTTAGTACACAAAGTGCATACGAACAACAAATAAAAACTTGGGAATTTAGTACTGGAGACTCCCGACACAGAGGGGGTAAAAAGGTTTGATGGAAAAACCCAAAGTCTAATGCATACAGCCCTCCCGTTTGAACTCGCGCTGAATCGATCCAATTCAAATCAATTCATCCCGCTCAGTTCTTTTCCCCATCGTCGCTCCGAGGATGATTTACGCAAATCCGCTTTCCCACTTGACCGCTCCTTCAATTCTCCACCTGGATAGTCGACTTAGTTGACACCAGTAACCCTCTTGGTGGGCTCGGAGGAGATGCTGCTCTCGGCGTAGTAGAAGTTCTCCTCAGGAATACGGCCACGGACGAAGGCAGGCTCGGAGCCGCGGACATAGATGTCCTCGTAGAGGATCTGGGGGGTGGCATCCGGAGGAGCCATCTTCTCGGCCTCGGCGACCTCGGCGTCGACGTTGCTGCGGGCCTCCTTGTCGATGGCCTTGAGCTCCTCCTCCGAGGTGACGCCCCAGTCGAGCAGCTTCTGCTTGACGCCGGCAATGGGGTCGTTGGTGCTGCGCATGCGCTGGATCTCCTCACGGGTCTGAAAACAACGTTAACTCAACGTGAACACAAAATCTGGCGAGGAGCTGAATGTCCGGGAAAACATACGCGGTAGGTGGTACCAGGGTCGGACATGGAGTGACCGCCGTATCTGTAGGTAACGAACTCAAAGACAAGAGGACCCTTGCCGGCGGCGCACCACTCCTTACCAAAGGCAACGGCAGCCTTGACGGCGAGGACGTCCATACCGTTGATCTTGAGACCAGGGATGTACTGGCCACGCTTGTAGTAGTCGGTCATAGCCGACGAACGAGAAGCGGCAGTACCCATACCGTACTTGTTGTCTGTAATCCCTGTTAGACGTAGATGCCAATGCTAACACGGACATGTCGGATTCATACTCTCGCAGCCGAAGATGACGGGAAGGTTCCACAGCTTAGCCATGTTGAACGCCTCGAACACCTGGCCCTGGTTGGAAGCACCGTCACCGTACAGCGAGAGAGTGACCTGCTTGTTGCCAAGATAGTGGTCGGCGAAGGCAATGCCAGCACCGACAGGAACCTGAGCGCCGACGATACCGTTGCCGCCGTAGAAGTTGGGGGCGAACATGTGCATGGAACCACCCTTGCCGTAGGCAATGCCCTCTCTCCGGCCGAGCAGCTCGCCGATGATGGACTTGACGGTGCCACCGCGCATCATGGCGAAACCGTGACAACGGTAGGCGGTGATGATCGAGTCCTTGCGGTCAACGGCGTGCTCGATACCGACGGCGACGGCCTCCTGACCGGTGGAGAGATGGCAGAAACCGCGGATCTTCTTCTCCTTGTACAGACGGTCGGCGGCCATTTCCATGCGGCTGCGGAAAAGAGGCAAAGTCAGCGGTGGGGGTCCCTCATTCGCCCAACACTACATATCCGAAGGAGCCTTGTGCGCGGGCAATTGCGGGGAGAGCGTACCGGACAGCGACCATGTCGTAGTACATCTGCTTCAGCTCCTTCTTGGTAGTCTGGAGGGTGTACGAGGGCGGGTCGAGCTCGTAGGTCTCGAAGGCCTCGTCGGAGAGGCGGACCTCAAAGGGCTTGTCATCCTCCTGTTGTGTGGGCGCGGGCATCAGCATCAATTGGCAGCATGCGAAGCAATTGCACGGGAGCACCCACAGAGGGGACGGCATCGCGGTCAGCATGCGACGAAGCCGCGTCGGTGGTGACGGTGCGGCGCGCGGCGAGCGGAGCTGCGTAGAAGCGGCGCAGCGGGGCGGCGGCGGCCTTTGTCCTCAGAGCTCGCGAGAACATGGCTTCGACTGCGGAGAAAGGAGCGGAAGCAGGAGGGAAGGGGGCGGTGGATGGGGTGGGCGAGATGGAAGAGAGGCGGGTTGGCCGGCCGAGATAGACAAATCTTCCGCACAGGCGTGTTGGGGCCGCCCGGCGGGTTGGGAATCCGACGGCCAACATCGGCTTGCGCCAATGCGACTCCGACGCGCCCGCGCCGCCCGCGCCTCTCCTCCACGACAAGCTCCACATCCTGACTGCACCATTATCGCGGCGTGCGCGCTCAACTTCCGTCGTCCTTTGGCATTGCTGATGGTGCCTCTGGCTCTGTCGGCGGCAGATGCGCTGCGCGCTGCACCTTCCATCACCGGAGCTGAGCTTTGTTGTGTTCAGCTCCGATCGACCCGCTTACTCTCCGGCGCTCAGCCATTCGTGCTGCTGCTGACAAGAATTTCAACAGACAGCGCAACACCACAACGACGCCATTCCGAAGTCACAGCTGCTGGAACGTGTGCAAATGCTCGCCCGCATCCTGTGCGGTTCATTGGTATCTACGGGAAAATACTCTGGGTGCACTCCAAGCAAGTCAACCAAATTGAAGCTTCAGACATCCGCCCCCCTTCTTGACGCCCCACCCTTTGCAAGCCAAATTTTATACCCTGACGCCTGTCTCAATTACCCTTTCCGATTCTTTCACGGCCTCGGTGCTTCCGCACCGTAGGCTTTCTACTCTGGTATATGAAGTCACTCGTCGTCAAGCTTCGCCTTCTTGGGATTTGTCTCTGCCTCATCATCGTCATCCTCGTCATCCACGTCGTCCTCGTCATCTGAGATAATGTACTTCCTCTTGGTCGGAACCGTCTTCCCAGATCCTTCGCCGGTTGTGATTGGCCTTTTTTCGGCCCTCTGGATGATTCTTTCGTAAGAGGCCTCCAGTCCTGGGAGAGCCGCCTCGATCTTTTCTACCCGCTCACTCTCGTCGACCTGCATGAGCTGGTCTCTGTTGTGATTGTAAAGCCTCTCCTTGGTCAGGTGCCTCCAGAAGTAGTAGCGACGGTCGTTGGCATCTGCTGCTTTGTGCTTCCGCGTGATGCGGGCCAGCTTGCGGTTGTTCGCGGGAATCTGGCTGAGTGTGTGCATCTCGACAAGACGATGGAACTGTCTGGGCACAATCTTTGCTGCGTGACGGATCTTGATGAGCTCATCCTGCGGGAGCAGAAGGGAAGATGGCGACTCTGCATCAGGAGCCAACGCCTCCGCGGGAACGCTGTCCGCAATGGTCATGTTCGCGAATGTCGGGTTTTGGCGGAGACGTGCAAGGTCGCACCAATCGCGCATGTCGTCGAACGCCTCGTTCGGATCCTCTACCGTGACCTCGAAGACGTTCTTGTCGTTCAGGAACATGGTCATCATCGAGTTGTAGAGATGGCTTCCGTGACCTTGGCCCTGGAAGGGCGGAATGATGATGAATTGCGAGATGCGCTCGCGCGAGGGGGCATCGAGCGGGCTGTAATTGCCAAGGAAAACCCCCGTCACAGGATCCTTTTCTGCCGCATGGGCGGCAGGTGTGTCATGGGTGAGGGCGAGTATCTCCTTGGTGGGGAACACCCAGAGGCGGTACGAGGTAGCGAAACCAACGAATGTGTAGGGCGTCGAAGTTTCGTCGTCTTCCAGAGGCGTGACCTCGTAGAGCAGGAAAAGCTTCCAGCGCTCCATTGTCCACTGCTCATCCTTCAAATCCTGCAGAGTTCCACCCTCGATGAACAACGGTACGAGAACCTGCGCGTTCTCTAAGATCTGCTTGAGAGCAGGATCGGTCAGGCTGCCGAACCGGATTTCGAAGTTCCTGCCGTGTTGCGTGTACTTCTTGATGAGCTTCCCCGGGGGAGACCACTTGCTATCCGAGCCATCCGCGGAACCGTTCTCAGCCGAGCTGTCACCATTGAGGACCTCTGCGAGCCATGGTCAGTGGTCAATGCAGATCGAAAGGCAAGGACCTCACGCACCAGGCAAGAGGAAATCCTTCAGCATAGCCTTCAGGTCCATAGCCTGGGTCTTTCCAACGCCCTTGAACTTTTCTCCATGCTGAATGCTAAACGAAGGCTTGAGGTCGTGCGCGCGGAAGCGGAGGTCGAGCTCGAGGTCCTTGTAGCCAAAGATCTTCTCTTCCTCGCCGAAAATGGGGTATGTAAAAGCCGGATTGAAAGGCTCTTCGAAGACGTCTTGGCCACTGGCGGCGCGCACGAGATTTAGGTTGAAAGCTTCGTTGGAGTCAACGAGCCCTGGCGCGACAGTTAGCAGCGATGCGCGCGCAGCTGGGTCGCGCGCAAACTTACACTCGAGCATCTCCTCGACGATTTGTTCGGCCATGTTGGCTGGGATGGCGTGCAACGGACAAGCGAGACCGGGCGGGTGCGACGCGCGACAAAGGAACGGCGCGGGCGAGTCGGGTCGCGGTGCGGGCGGAAGCTGTGGAAGGACAGGCGTTGGAGTCGCGCTGCGCCTGCACGGCGGGCGTCATTTCACGCGTCTTCGGTCGGCTCACGTCTCAGCGCGACTCAACGGAGGCCCGAGCTCCAGCGCCGTGCCAGGGTCTGTGTGGCGGGTGGCCAGCCAGCCGTGCCAGCCCTACGGTTCGGCGCGCAGGCCACGCCAGCTCGTCGCACGCCGTCATCGCCAGTTTCGCCCTGCCGACTCCCGACCTACGCCATGGTGTAGATTGCCTGCCCTCCCGCTGCTTGCTCGCCATCAATCGCGCTCGTCACCCCCTCGCTCCCGCCCCTTGCGCGTGCTCCCCGCGCCTCCGCCGCCAGCATGTGGAACGGACTCTTCATGCTGCTCGGCCTGAGCATGATCATGGCCATTTCGTACGTCGCCTGCTCTAGGTTCCAGTTCCAGTTCCAGTCCAATCGTGCTAAACCATTTGCAGCTCCTTTCTTGCCGGTTCACTGCCTCTGTCTTTTTCCATGTCTCAGCGCCACTTGCGCTTCATGTCGGCCATGGGCACCGGCGTGCTAGTCGGCACTTCGCTGGTTGTCATTATCCCCGAGGGCATCGAAACCCTGTACACTGCCCACGAAGCAGCCGCGCATACGCAGAACGAACGCCACGTATACTTGGACGACCTCGACATACCAGCGGATCTGCACGCCCGCTCTGCCTCGGGCAATCTCGAAGTCATTGACCGCTGGAAGGCGGACCTCGAACGTGCCAAGGGCAATGCCGGCGCAATTGCTGGCTTGAACGACGATCCTGCAGGATGGTCTCGAGCTGCCCAGGAGCCTGACCCCATGGAGGACGACGGCGATGACCCGGTCCAGGTGGGCCGACCTCAAGGATCAGAGCATCACAAGGAGAAGCCCGAACATAGGGAGCCGCACGCCTGGGTCGGCTTATCCCTGATTTTCGGCTTCATCCTCATGTACCTGATTGACGCTCTCCCGGCCATCATGGCCGCCGCTCCCACAAAACCTCTTCATATATCCCTATCGAACCTCTCCAGCGGCCTTCACCACTCGCCTTCCCACTCGCCGAACCTGTACCCGGCCGATGCGGCAGTTTCCGGCGGGCAATCCAACCCCCCAGCCACCACAATTGGTCTCGTTATCCATGCCGCCGCCGATGGCATAGCCCTGGGCGCATCGTCCAGCACCTCCAGCGCCAAGCTCGGCCTCATCATCTTCCTGGCAATCATGCTCCATAAGGCCCCTGCCGCATTCGGCCTGACATCCGTGCTTCTCAAGCAGGGTCTCAGCAAACGCACCGCCCGCACCCACCTCATCTTCTTCAGCCTCGCCGCCCCCGCCGGCGCGATAGCGACCTGGATCATCGTCAACATCCTCGGACGAGAGACCCTCGGCGGAGAAGAAGGCATGCAGTTCGCAACCGGCTGCGTGTTGCTCTTCTCCGGCGGCACTTTTCTGTAAGTAGAACCGCCCACATTTGCCCTTCCTACAATCCCAGTTGTTGTTAACGTGATGCCCGCAGCTACGTCGCCATGCACTCCATGCAAGAAACGGCGTCGTCGCATTCACACGGCGGCAACTCGCTGCACTCTCGCAACGGTTCGACGGGCAGCTCTATGCTCAACGGCTACGGCGACAGCAGTCTGCTGGATGGATACGCCGGTGGCCGCGGGAAAGGGGCCCAGAGCGGGACAGAGGTTGCCATCATGGTGGCGGGCATGCTCGTGCCGCTGCTAACACAAGTGGGGCATGGACATGCCCATGGGCATTGATGAGTTTCAGCATTTTCGAGAGACGATGAAGTTGGGTCGGGAAGGAGGCTAAAAAAGAAGAAGAAGGGAGCGGCTCGTGTGAACTGACGTACTGCTTGGCGTTCTGGAGACTTTGGGGTCTTAATGATATATTCTTGTCTTGTGTGTGCGATGGATTGATTCATGGCTTTCATCTTGGGCCTTGGCTGCGCGACGGCGCGGCTGATGATAGACTTATGGAAATCCTTAATGAATGTGTTGGGGAATGTCAAACCTGCTGGCTTTTAATAATGATATGCTAACTCTGCAGGCATGGTCGGTGGGGTGAGTTAGCATAGAGAATCTAGCTAGCATGGGCCAGCATCTCCAAGTACCTCAGATAGAAGAAATCCGGAACGGAGGGTCTGAAACACCTTGTTGAAGAGAAAATCTAGCATAAGACCAGTCAAAGGATTCGGTGTGGTATAATGCCTGAATAATCCCGACATAGTCACCATCTGCCTGTGGCTGAGATTCACCGCTGAGAAACTCATCTATGTACGGATTTAATCGTACATAAAGCGATGATTCAAAGGCAACTTCTGGAGAGAATGCCACTGGGGAGAGGTTACAGAACAGTACAGAATGGAATGGAGAAATCAAGGAATATTGGCGCTCGTATCTTGAAGCCCTCACTCATCTGATTCATCAGCGGTCCAATGTTAAGTCTATCTCAAATTCTGTCAAATTCCAGCTCCAGTACATCACCCGCCTCAAAGACAAAATCAAACCGAATCAGCCGGAAACCCGCTTGTGTTCTGTTTCAACAAGTAGCAACATGATATCGTTGTAAGAAGGTCGTCCAATGATGGCATCATAGCAAATCTGTTCTCTGCCCTCAGCGCAGATAATGAGAGATACTAGATGTATCTGGGCAACTCTTTTAAGGAATCATGGGTGGCTGGAAACTGTATGACGGACTGTTCCTCCTCCCCATTGCGATCAGGTCCCTAAGATTGTCCACAATGATGGCATTTCGATGTTGAAAAGATCCAGCAAGTCTTCTTCTTGAAGTGGTGTACAGAATTGGCTGCCACAAAGGGTCGCAGATCGAATCGGTTATCGATGGACCTTCTATAGACATAAAGGAGGGGCCGAATACTGTCATTGAAGGAAATGTTTTCAGAGATGAGACGCGGATTTGGAGTCGAAGGACAGTATTTAGGTGAGCATGGTGCGCTTTAAGCATTGCTACATTGTGAGACTGAGAAGGAGATGTACAGGGTTAAAAAGGAGATATAGGGTGTAAGACACCAACGGTTTTAGGGCATAGCTGCTCCGCATACATGCAGGAGTGCATACACCACGTTTGGTTGGACGCCTTCGGGAAATCGCGCGGTCCAATCATAGGATGAGAATCAGATGTGGGAAACCCCCCTAATCACGGACGCTCTACAACACGTTTCGTCAGTTGCGCATTGGATTGCAAGGGAGTTGGGAGTTTTTCCATGCTGAAATCTTAGCTATAGCGCATTGGCTGGGAGCCTCCAACATAATACTAGTGCTTGCTGCAATGAGGGTCTCTTTATCAATAGGTGCTCAGACGCGTACTCACCTAATTCAGCATTTGAATTTCATCCCGGTCGGCCTTTGCATGCCTCAATATATCAATAGAGACATTGCATCTGCTTACGCCGGTACTTGGAACCTGCAACTCCCTGTAAGTTGAGCCACAGCCAAAGATCAAACGGCGGTACGTACTCTTCAACGCGTGTCCACTCTCACGGTTTACTCATCCAAGGATATCTATCTTCTGTACCAGAACCCCCCCTTTTCCCCAGCACCTACACCCTCTCAAACAAACAAAACTCAAACTCCACCTCATCCTCATCCTCATCCTCCTCCCCTCCCCTCCCCTTCACCACTTCCCTCACCCTCCCCTCGGCCACCTCCTCGCCCACAAACCCGCTCAACCCGCCCTCCCCCCCATTCGGCCTCCTCACCCACCCGCTCCCGCCCTTCCCCTCCAACCCCCCCACCACATCCACCGGAAACACCGTGTCGCACGCATACTCGCGCCACACCCTCGTCAACAACACGCTCCTCGCCTCCTCCTCCTCCGTCTCCAACGCCGCCCCGTACAGCTGCGCCCCGCCAATCACAAACACCCTCCCCAACGCGCCCCTCTTCCGCAGCAGCCCCAGCTTCTCCAGCGCGTCCGGCAGCGAGGACGCGGCGATGGGCGTGGTGGCGGGGTCCGCGTCGACGTCTTCCGTCGCGCTGGTCGACAATGACGGCGCACGCGGTGCGATGCCCGCGATATCCCCCGCGTGGTTCCGCGACACGACGACGTTGACGCGGTCTTTCAGCGGGCGGAAGCGCGGCGGGATCGACTCCCACGTCTTGCGGCCCATGATGACGGCGTTGCGGCGGATGGCGGCGTGTGGACGCGGGGTATCGGCGCTACTGCTGTTACTGCTACTAGTCGGGGCACCGCCGACCACGCGCTTCGTGACGCGCGCGAAGTAGGCCATTTCCTTCTTGAGCTGCGGCCAGGGGAGGGTGCCGTTCTTGCCGATGCCGAGCGAGGGCGTGGCGGCGACGATGAGCGTGAGCGGGATCTTGCTGCCGCTTGCCATGGTCGTACTCGTTGCTGAGGCGGCGGTGGTTTCTTGGGTGGTGGTCATTGCTGGGCGGCGGCGGCGGGGGAAGGTGGTGTTGAGGGCGGAGAGGTAGAGGGCGGAGAGGTAGAGGGGGCAAAAAAAAAAATTATAGGCGCGGGGCGGGCGTGTGCTACTGGGGAAGACGCGCCGGGAACGCGTTTTTGTCGCACACGCGTGGGATGCTGGCAATGAATAAGTGGTGGCCGCATTGCGGGAACACACATCGCATTTAAAGACCGGCGAGCTCATGAGCGCGCAGCGCACTCCACCCCCTGTTGTGTTTCTGTCGTGCGCGAGCAATTGGGTATATCCTATCCGTAAACGCCAAAACAGGCCTCTTCCCCCACGTTGGCTGGCTCTGTCGGCTCGCCCACGTGTGCCACTCTTATCAACCGACCCTGTGTCATTTGTTCTCTCGATCCTCACAACTTCTCATTCGCCAGTCCCTCTATCGCCGCGATCATGGCCTTGACGTCCTGCTCCATGCGCTCCACGTTCTGCTTGTCGTTTGCATCGAGCGTGTTGAGGCTGCCGAAAAGCCACAGCTCTTGCATCTGCCGCGTGAGGGTGAGGATATCTTCGGTAGCACGGATCTAGAGGAAGGGCAAAATCCCCAGGCAAGAAAATCAGTCCTCACCCGCTTTGGAGTATTGCGCGCGCCAAAGGAGAAGGTGCTGGGAGTCAGGCGCTTCATTTGGAGGGGGCGTTTTACCAACGATGCCGTTTCGACCTCCATCTGCCACTTCTTGTTTGCAGTGGTGTTGTAGTCTTTGTTGTCGGGCTATGCGTGGCAAGGCTTAACATAAGCGCGGGCGCATGAAGAGGGGTTGCTGTGTGAGGAAAGAGTAGGCCGACTCATACGGAAGCTAAGGCGACGATATTCTCGAACCGCTTGACGAGCCCGGCGGCAAGCTTCTGGGAGCGCTCTGTGATGTGTGAGCAAGCTGTACAATCACTTCATTAAGAAGTTGGTCTGGACCTTGCAACGAAGCCGCGTTACGCTGAGAGACGTCCATCACGGCGGTTGTGGTGTGGTGTTTCACAAGTACTGGCGGAAAGCTCAGAGAGTCGTCAATGCGGCTGCAAGCTTATCCGCCTCAAGCCACTATCGATAACACTTTAAAATAGACCTCTAGTCCTGAGACGTCACACATCACCTGCTGGCTACGGGCACGAGCACGCCGATCGACAGCAGTTATGGATTGGAATTGCATTGCCTAATACTAGGGAAGGTAATTCAAATGGCACGCAACTGAAGGAGTGGAGTTGTGATGGCAAAACGATAAAGCAAACAAGCCAAACAGCCACATTAAAGGTACCCGGGAAGACGCGTTACTCGAGCATCGTCCAAAGCCAGTGTGCCCACCTCCATCGGATCCCGTCGTTAGAGAAAATTACTCCTCGTCAGACTCCTCCTCGCTCTCGTCGCTCTCGGCGTTCTCGAGCCACTCGAGGAACTGGGTGGCCGACTTGCGAACCTTCTTGCTGGTAGCCAGGTCAACGTACTTCTTGCTGGCCTTGCTGCCCCAGGCCTTAAGAACCTCCTCAGAGACGAGGTCGTTCTGGTAGACATTCATGAGAATGGCAGAAACCTGGGGGATGAGGGTGGGCTTGTCGTTGCCGATGAAGCGTTCAACACCACCCAAGAAGGCCTTCTCGTGCTTCTCCGACGTGATCATCTTCTTCAGCATGGCCGCACGGTTATCAATCTGCTTGGCCATGTTGTCGTCAAAGATGGTCTGGGCAAGGACGGTGAGGGTCCTGTGCTTGCTCTCGATACCAAACTCCTTGGCCTTGAGGTAGATCTCAACGTCCTCGACCTTGCTGATGCTGCCCTTCTCCTTGACCGTGTCCTGGATCCAGCTGCCGAGCTGGTCGTAGGCATTGGGGCCATCAGCACCCTCGTCGCCTTCGTCAATGACAAGAGCACGCTTGAGATCGTCCGGAAGATCCTTGGCACGGGCCTTGACGGCCTCCTCGGAAGTGTCGACAGACCATTCGACCTCCTTGTGAGAAACGTCTTCGATGTCCTTGGCCTCGGCGTTGATGCGGCGGGTCAGTTCATCGTCGCTGCCGGCGTCGAGCTCAAGATCGCCGTTTTCATCGGCGTGGTCGGAACCACTGTCGCCGTTGCTGCCACTGCCGCCATTCTGCTCCTCTTCGCCGTTGGCCTTCCTGGCACGGCGTTCAGCCTTCTTGGTGGCCTTGTCCTTCTTGCCCTTCTTGGGTTGGTTCTTCAGGATGAAGGAGCTGAGCTTGAGGCGGATGTCAACATCGGTGCGCTGACCGCATGCCTTGCAGTCGAGGAGGATGCGGCCGTCCTTGATGTTGACCTCGGTCTCGGGGTTCTTGCACTTCTTGCAGAGAACGAACTTGGAGATGAAGCCGTCGAGGTAGTCCTGAAGCTTGGTAGCTTCGTGAGCGCCGTTGATGATCCAACGGTCATCGGCGGGGTTGTTGTTGGTCTGGGCACCAAGTTCGAAGCCAAAGTACTTGATGACATCTGTGCAAGCGATCAGCAGGTGGTCATGCAGGAGGCAGGGGAGCGCAGCACGTACACGAAGGGGGACGGGCGAGCTGCTGGGCGACATTGCTCAGGTTGACGATGACGGTCTTGATGCCGTTGCCCTTGCCCTCGATCTTGGACTGCAGGCGCTCCATCTTGTAGCGGTAGAAGGGATCGGTGACATCCCGGCGGACGTTGACGTTGGCCATGGTTGCGGTTGGTGGGGGAGTGGCGGCTTAGAGCGAGAAGCGGTGGGGGAGGGAGGTTGTGCGAGGAAGCGAAAAAATCGTGGCGGAGGAGAATAGAGACATGCAGCGGGTGCAGGTCTCTCGGGGGTGGTGTGGTGAGGGCGTGGTGTCAGAAGTAGCGGACTAGCCGTTGGTGCAATGGTAGTTGCTACTAGGCTTTCGTATGTCACGGAATTTTTGCAGCTTCGGCGGCGGTTCCTGTCTGAAAGCGTTGTCACGGGGCGAATACATATACAGCCGCGGTGTTCTGGATTGACTGCAGGTGCTTTGTGCGGGTTTGGGGCCTGGGGCGGGTCGGGCGGAGCAGCTGGTGGCTTGACTCCGTGCGCGCAGTGGTGAGCCGGCGGTGGTTTGCGGGTTGTGTGCGCGGTTGCAAGCCGTAGGCTGTGAAGGGTGATGGGTGGAGAGTCGTGGCGGGAGGAAGGGCGCGATGGTTAAGTAGGGCGCGAGAATTTGAACGCTCTTCTTACCTAAGCAGCGGCCTGCGGCAGCGGAGCCAAGCCAAGCCGAAGGAGGCCGAACAACGAGGCGGCAGCCACGCCGTGCCGCTGCCTCGCCTCTGCGCACCCCATGCACGTCACCACTTCTGGCGCCTGCCGCCGCTGCTGCGCTGTCCCGCCGTGCCGCTCGCCAATTGCCCTCGTCCTTGGCCGCTGGTCGCTGCTTGCCGCCCCAGTTTGCACCGGGCCCGCCTCTGCGACCTCTGCGACCTCTGCGACCTCTTCGGTTTCCTGTCTGCCGCCTGGCCTCGAGTCGTGGATGCCCGTTTCAGCGCGGTCGCGGCTGGCTGCGACGCATCCGGGCTCTGCGCCATCAGCATGCCTACTACTCAGCTTCGCTTGACCGCAAGTCTGCTGCCTGGCACCGCCGCTCCTAAGGCTCGTCCTTCTGCAGCGAGCCCGTGCCATCGACCGACCCCGAGCTCTGCCCCTTCCCTATTCGTGGTCGAATACGACTGCGATCTACTCTGCCTACACAATATAGCGTCGAACCTCGCATATCACGACGAGCTAACCAACGTAGCACGAGCCCAAGGTCTGCCCGGTTCTGGTGGCCACAGCGGAACACAAGAGTGCTTTCTATGGCTGTATTCAGCCCGCAGCGGTGGCACCACCAGGAGCTCAAGCGTCCGCTCCACCCGTCCACATGCGAGAACTCCAGACTCACTTCTTGTGAGGTTCTTGCCGAATTTCTTGCCGAATTCCTTTCGCGTGACTTAGGTCGTCGTAGACGAGATATCTGGATGCGGAATGACAAAGGACGCTCCCCGCCAGCCAACGCCCCAAGCGGCGCCATGTTTGCCAGTAGCAACTGTCCGTTGGCCGCGATAAAGCGGCTCCTAGCTTGACAAGCAACTCCCCACGAATCATTCCGCCACGCAAGTAATACATTTCTGGCGCTGACGTTGGCCGCCATCCCAATGCGGACAGTGTTCAAAGAAATGGTCTTACGCCGGGTGAGATAAAGATGACCATCTGCCCAGAGAAATCGTTGCATGTGCTCAATACTCAACTACGGACACCATCACAGTTCAACTCTCGCGTATCTACGCTGTAGCTGCTTGTTTTTCGTTGCGACATGTCGCCCACCACAGCAGATACCGTCAACCAGTGGGCAGAGGTGCAACGCGTGGCATACGAGAGAGCGTGTCCGCAGCCAGACCTGACATTTGAGGAATTGATGAAAATACTCAAAAACGTCCTGGCCGGCATCACAAGCACTGCTGAAGGCGCCAAGCGGATAGAGTCCCTGGTGATGAACCGGCCGGAAGATTTCTTCAACAAATACGCAAGCACCGTCTATCAAATCATCCACGCAGGCGCCGCCTTTGACGACGACGTCATTCTACAGCGTCTTGCGGCACTGACGGCCGCTCTTGCAGCATTGCCTGACGCGAAAAACACCACGGGCAAGACGCTTACCTGGGCGGATGAAGAATTAGGCATTGAAGGCAAATCAGGGCCGGGAAAGGCAATCGTCCACGATCGGCAGCGCCTGTGGTCCGACTTGCCTACCTTTGGCGACGAGATGCGCCGAATGTGGATCGGTAAGCCGAGTATTCTCGTCAGGTTGACTCGTCATGTAGAAGTGAAAACTCACGAGTAGCCGCAGATGGCCCGGCATCCAAGGCGCAACGCGAGGAAGAAGGGCTCTCCGAAGAGGCCGCCCGTCAACAGTGGTCCAACTGCAACGCATTCGCCGCCCACCTGGCCAAGCTCTCGCAACGTCGCGGTGACGTTCTCGACCTCTATCTGTGTGCCATCTGGACTCTCAGGCGGGCCCTTGAGGACCGCAAGTCCGACGGCTGCGGCCAGCCGCATGAGCTGCGGATGCATATCGCGGGAGCGGCTCAGTGGATACGAATTCTAGGTAAAGAATTGCGAGACGCGGACTGGAAGTTCTCCGGCAGCCAGAAGCTGAACGCGGGCGGTGGTCCTCGTTATGATGCGGATCTGCATGGCTACGGCTTTTCTGAAAAACGGTGGGAGTTGTGGAAATGCAGGTTTGAGGACTTTGCGCAGGACGAAACAGTGGACGAAGAGACGCGGCAGATCGCCAGGGATGCGGCAAGGGAAATGGCTTGAGCGACTACAGCAATGTGGGTCGAGGAAGCGAGGCGTTTGTGGTCAGTCTCTTCTCTAATGTAGTCTAACAATATTCAGTTGCTCAGGAAACCCTGTAGTCATAGAAGGATAGCGCCCGAAATAGCATCGTCCTGCATGGCCTGAAAATCGCGCTACTAATGTCAAAAGAACACAGTTCGCAGTAGTGGAGAATTCCGAAGATTTCCAAGTACGTGACTGTGTCCCAAATTCATGGACGCGGCAAACCTATGTGCCTGCACTGAAGCCCCGCGTCCTCTTGTGAAGAACATTGCTTCATTGTTCTTTTCGATACAGGTTGTTTGCTCATTGTTCAAGATGCTGCTGCGATATTGTCAACCTCAAAGCAGCATCTGGCCCACACACACACGTTGTCCACGAAAACAAACACATGCACACAATGCACATAAAACCTCACACGCAGCTCTCCCTGGATCAATATTGTTGGTCAACTGGATCAGCTGCGATTTCCACATCAAACGCTGTTCCAAGCCTCAACGCCGTTGAACCCCTCAAGCTAAACAAGCATACCCATTAACCCCAGCAGACAGCACACAGCCCGCAAGTACATAAAACCCTGCAGGAAGTGCAGCCAAACACTCAAACTACAGGTATGGACATGCTCCAGGGCTCCGCAGGCAGCGCTTGCCAATCCTCGCTCACCACCCGCCTCCGTTCCTTTTTCGGGCTGTCTACCACCAAGCAGCTTGATCTCGAGAGCGCCCCATTCACGAGCAGCGTCTCCAGCGTCAACACCGAGGAGGATGATGTGCGCTTTTGGGACATTCGCTTCTCGGTGGCGGATGCGCCGAGTGATGGCGGCGCCCCGTCAGACAGAGACCCGCTGCTGCCTGTGTGGTGGAAGCGGAGGCCGGGGCAGAGTGTTGTGAGACGTGCGGGCGACAGGATAGAGTAGAGGTCTTGGCTGCTTTTTTGTGGTGGCGCTGTGCAAATGTGATTAGCACATGTAGTATGATTCGCAGGCAGATGTGGTGCAGCTGTGCTGCCGTGGTAACAGGTGGTGTGCTCCGGTTGGCTTCGGGCTACTTTTGCGACTACTCATATTGTCTCTTGGGCAATGGAGCTCGGGGCACACAAAGGGTCGGAGTGAACGCTGAGGGGTGGCTTATCGCACTTACTATTTTACCAGAAAATTATCTTTTAGTTTGTACCTGACTTCCGTTGATTGCATGTTTTTTCTTGAATGTGACTGTATTACTCGAATGAACTTGTGCACCTGCTGTGTGATGTATCGAGCCCGATATTCTATTTGTCGGACGGTTATCGCAGACGGTCACACGAAGACACAAATGGTTCTAGAGACTAGATGCTTTATGAAGCAGATCCAACATGGGGCAGCGATCTTGAAAAGGGACATCAAGGGAGCTAAACGTCATGTTATCATGGTATTAAACACCCTTTTGGGCAGATGATAACGTCCGCCATCAAACAAAAAGCATGTTCTTCATCGTTATTCATCACAGGTGACCATTATCGTCTGACACTATTTCTCTAAAAAGCAATATTATTAGTCCTGGGTAGCGTTGTCGTCTGACAATATTCTTCTAAAAAGCAATTTTAGTCCTGGGTAGCGAAGGTACGGAGATTTCCGCATGTAGACTGGTGAAAACTGCGAGTTAAGCTTAACAGCTCATGTTAAGCCATACATGGCTGTTGGACCCAGCCATATGCCTTATGCTGATCGAGACATGGCTTGCTCTGAAAGGTTGCACTTCGTCTGTGTTCTTCTTTCTCGAACCTCCACCTGCAGTGTAGGGTACGCCATGTAAGCTTTTGTGTAGCCATTGGCTTTTTTTTCAATCCGAGACATCTATCGAGATGGTACCGCAGCATTATCGTCCATTGTGGGAGCATCAGACGGTGCGTTCCGAAGACATATAAGTAATCACATTGAGGGTCGGTGCTTTGCTTCATCCCAAGGAATCATCACCCACTGATCAAACGACATCCCCAAACCATACAATATGGCGGCTGTCGAAGGGCTCACAAGTGGCGGGGAACTGCCAAGGTCTGTAGCGGTAGTGAGAGCGTCCTTGGGCAGTCAGTGCTGATACAAAGCAGAAAATACGTGCGCATCCCAGACATGTTCGCGTCCATCATGTCTGTTGCACCCCGGGTGAACCCACACTACCACAAAGTCAAACAAGAAGCTGAGAAGTGGGCGATCAGCGTGCTCAGTCTAGATGAGCAGCAAGCAATGAAGTGCTCAATGGCGGACGTCACTTACCTTGCTGCCTTATGGGTACCGGACGCTGATGAAGAGGCGCTACGCGTTTTCGCAGATTGGATGCATTGGGTCTTTTACTTTGACGATCAGTTTGACGAGGGGCATCTTAAGGACGATCCGGAAGCTGCAAAGGAAGAGATTTTGGCTACGCTCGCAACGATGGATGATGGTCATCCAGTAGTCGCCGCAAGCGACAACCCTCTGAGATACGTGTTCCAGTACACGTGGCTCTGTTTCCAGAAGAGAGCATCGCCAGATCTTCAGAAAAGATATAAGAAGTCGATCGAAGACTATTTTGACGGAGTGCTGAGACAGGTCGACATCGCGTCCGGATCGACCACGGTAGGGGTCGAAGAGTTTATGCACTCCAGGAGAAGCGCCATTGGCGTGTATCCTGCTCAGGACTTGGCCGAGTAAGTGCAGCTGCCATTTCCCTTGTGTGTAGCTTGTGCTGATTGTTGGATTCTTGGCAGATACGCGCGTGGGATCGAATTGCCAACGCACGTGTTTGACGACAAGGCAGTGATGGAACTGCGGCGTATCTCGTCGGACATTACGTGCTTGTAAGAACACACGCATGAGCCAGCGTTGAGTGTGCGCTCACAGCCAGATAGGCAGAATGACATTCTTTCGTACCGAAAGGACTTGGCAGAGGGGACTGAACACAACATCATCCATGTTTACCGGAAGCAGGGCCTCTCGGAGCAGCAGGCGGTAGATGCGGTTGACGGCATGTTCAATGGCCTCTACAAGCACTGGTACCTCGCGCTTGCCGAGATAGCGCCTTGGGGCGAGCAGGTGGACCGGGAGATGCTCAAATACATCGATTGTTGCCGCGACGTTGCGCTAGGCAATCTCTACTGGAGGTAAGCATCGCTGCGCGCGCCTAGACTGCAAGATTGGTAACGAGAGGTTTCAGTTTCGAGACGGGTCGGTATCTTGGAAAGGAAGGCGAAACCGTGCACAGGACGCGTATGATGGCGGTTCCGTGATTGGGAGGTATCGTGTTTGCGTGTGAGGAAGAAGGAGGTCTCGGTGTGGCTTGGGTTTGAGTCGAGATCAGATAGCGCAAAGAAAGTGTTTCCGAGTGTTGAGGCACAGCCTCAGCTGGTTGGGGGCTGCACAGTTGTGGGAGCGAGGAAAACATGAGTCATGCGAGCTCAGGGTTCAGCCTTGCCGCCTGCGATACGTCATCACCCTGCAGCTGCCTTTCGCCCAAGCACCACCACGCCCACAGTACTTCACCCATGCTCCCCCGGCTCAGATTGACGGCGCGGCACCTCTTCTCCCGCGCAGTCCCCGCCCGCACCATGTCGTCCTTCGTCCTGCCACACTCGTCCCCCGAGTGCACCGTCAACCTCACCAATGACATCTCGCAAGACCAGCTGCTCGCCTTCACTGCCTTCAAGAACTGGATATCGACGGTGCAGCATTCGCTTGTCCAACAGCAAAACAAAGACCACGTCTTCCACGATGCCCCGTACAAGCTCCGCAAAATCGACGTCCAGGCATGCGACTGGTTCAGCAAGACCAAGCTCGGCTTCGTGAAGCTCAAGGCCGAAGTCACCAACGACCGGGGAGAATACCTGCCGGGCTCCATCTTCCTGCGCGGCGGCAGTGTGGGCATGCTGGTGAGTGCCGCGGAACCGCTCCTCCCCCGGCCGCCACCAGCTCGCCCCGGTTCCGCTAACACCGTCGTTCCCTTAGCTCATCCTCCAGCCCGACGACGTGCCCGAGCACACGGAGCAAGACAAGTACGTGATCCTGACGGTGCAACCGCGCATACCCGCCGGCTCGCTCTCGCTGGTCGAGCTCCCGGCCGGCATGCTCGACGACAGCGGCACCTTCGCCGGCGGCGCGGCCAAGGAGATCGAAGAGGAGACGGGCATGAAGGTGCCCGAGAGCCAGCTCATCGACCTGACGGCGCTCGCCGTGCCCAGGACCGAAGACACGACGGGCGAGGCGCTGAAGCAGGCCATGTATCCCAGCGCGGGCGGGTGCGACGAGTTCATCCCGCTGTTCCTGCATCAGCGGCGGGTGAAGAGGGAGACGCTGAAGGAGTGGCAGGGCAAGTTGACGGGCATCAGGGAACATGGCGAGAAGATCACGCTGAAGCTGGTGAGGCTGGAGGATCTCTGGAAGGAGGGCGGCCGGGATGCTAAGGCTTTGGGTGCTTGGGCGTTTTATGAGGGGCTGAGAAAAGAAGGAAAGATTGATGTTTGATGGGTTCCGGCGCATTGGCTGCGGAGGGAACCGGAGTTTGTCCAGGTCACGATATACCCAAGGGATCAACAAGCAGAGTGCAAATGGTAAATGTGAGGTTCGTTCCTAATATCCAGGCATTATGGTTTTCCTACAAGACCTCGGATTTACTTACGCTACTAGCAAATAAGGCTACTGGATCCTTCCAATCAGCAGGTCGTATTCAGACAACAACGTTCATTAGCGTCGGCTTAGATATGACTCCAGTCACACAGCCCCCATTGGTATCGCACTTCTTTATCCGAATATGTCAACCTTGCCTCAGCTCCTCTTTCTTTTAGCCAATTATGGAAGGGAAGAAAGGTCTCGTGATGCTCCTATCAGGCAGGCCTGGAAATCATTGGTCAGGTTCCTTGGTAACTGGCTTTGCCGTTGACTTTCAAGATATCTCACGCCAGCACATGCATTGTAGCGTTCTCTCATGACTTTCTATAGAACATGGTCATGCACCATGGCCACGCATCGCCTACCTCGTGCGTGCAGCATCCACGTTGCTCCTTGGATATCTTCATGTAAGCATAAAAGCCCTTGTCTTCCCCAAGACACCGAAGATTCCTCTGCATACAGATACTCATAGCCTACAGACATAACAAGCACAACATGCCAGAGTTGTGGGACCTGCTCGTCCACTACAGCATTTTGAAATGCATAGTCAAGAATCTTACGACCCGGGATTTCTTCAACGTGGCTTACACCAGCACGCACAACCGAAGGTTTCTGATCACGGACCGCGATGAGCAATCTTTACGCAATATCAAAGGTCAAACCCGCTGTGGGGGCAAAGTCTGCGCCGATACGTTCGACTTTTGCTCCCGCTGCGGATGCAAGACATGTGAGGTGAGTGCGCTAGAAGGCACTGCACGAAAGACGTTGCACATGCGCTGACCGGATCCCAGATCTGTCGAGTGAGGCTCCATGACGTCCTGACAGCACAAATAATGTTCCCTATCGATTTGAAGGACATGAGGCCGTTTGGCGTGTGGAGATGCGGCGACTGCCACTCGTTTGATATCCCGCACGCTTGCAAATGCACCCCGCAACGGCGGTGGTTACTGCCGTACACCTGCCGTCGTTGCTTCAAAAAAGACCTTGGTAGAACGGCGAAGAATAGGGAACGCGAGCACTTGGCGCGACATGACCGTCTTGGCCACAGGCTTGAGAATGCCTTCTTTTTGTTTGACCTACAGAGCTTATCGCTAAACGAGGTGAGGATGTGGGCCCCTGAAGCTAATGTGAGTGGTGCCCCGTTACCAAACTTGGACACATTTGCGCAGGCGGCTGACGGTAATCCAGAAAGCGGACTGTGGTAGTTGTGGCCGTGAGTTCACCATGGATTGCATGCATTACATGTGTCCATTCTGCGACGGTCTCCACAAGAATGTCGAACCGTATTGGAACCTAGAGGAATAGTATCCCAGAGTGAAAAATCACTGGAGCTGCACGAAAGGCGCGGTGGCCAAGAGAAGAAGGCCGAAGAGGCGGCGATACCTCGACAGGCCTGACACGAGAAACCCATTCCTGATTCCGATATTCATTCGCATGAAGGCCAATCATCTCAGGTGTGTCGTGCACACTCACATGTCGCAGATTCCAACACACAAAACTAGGAGGTAGCATCCTAGTACTTTCTACCTGCGAGAGAGAGAGAGAGAGAACACCAAAACCATCAACCTCCTTCGACGTCATGGGGAAATGATGCAAATCGGCTGGAAGCTACCAAGAGCCGTTTTTATTGCTTTCTACGTACAGTAAGCGATTGTATGTACATACAAAGATGCAGGACAATCAACGAAAGTAGAGAACTCCAACAATCTCAATACATTTTCAGAAAACAAGAACAAGCTACCCCCTCGACCTGGTAATGTTAACCAGACGTCTACGCCATCCTCTGGGGTTTCCGTGAATGTTTCCTGGACTGAAGCCGGAACCGAGCTTCCTGATCTCATCTTCACCCACATCTATGAACGTGTTAACGTTACGTAGCGAATTGTCATCCACAATCCTGCCTTTGTACTCTTCAATCAGCTGCTCGAGCCCGATTTTGATGGTTTCGGATCGGAAAGCAGCAGAGACGTTCGCGCGTGGCAGCAGCCCGGAGATTTCCCTGTGAACTTCGGGCGCGAGTGTACGATAGGCGCGCGCAGCAGCTTGCAGGTCTCTTTTGAAAGGCTCACCGACGTTTCTGTCCGCTGCTTCCTGGAAGGCCCTGGTGAGGATAAGGATCAAGTCCACGGTGAGTGTTGCCAGAAGGCGGGCTGTAGCAGGAACAACGATAGGGATATTGACGGCGGTGGGAACCAGTACAAATGGTCCGCCCGTGGCAACGGTAGCACAAAGCCCCAGGGTTGCAAACGTCTCGGCTATGCCAACAGCGACATTGTTGGCCAAGGCAGACCAGACGTGTGCTCTCAAGATCTGCAGGGCCAATTCGGCTGTGCTTGCCGGCAGACCGAAGCAGGTGATGATCCGCTTGCACACTTCCAATATTGCGGCGGTGCGGGTCGTCGTTGGACCTGACGGTACTCCTGAAACAAGCACAAGGGCCCGCAGAGTTCGCCTGTAGACAGTCATCGCTTGACTAACCGCAAGTTTTATCTTGAGATCAATCATTGCCACTTGAGCCCCGACATAGATAAGCCGCACTCTCTCGTTGCTGATGCATTGGAACGTCGTCTCGGTGAGAGCTTCGATGGACGTTTGGTCCTCTATAGAATGTACAAGTCAGACGTCGAATCCCTCTAGCATTCGGAAGGCTTACTTCGGGAGACTGCTACGCAGGCGTCCAATCGGCCGCTTGGAACCTCTAGCATTTCTTTCCTGATTTGGCTGATGCGTTCCTCTAGTTGCCCCTTCGCGTGGCGGTCGCACTCGTCGTAGGAGACAGGTAAGCCCTGCTCTTCCAAGGATTCTCGATGCTGTGCGGCTTCAATCGCAAGGAATCTGTCCTTCATCGTGGCTACCACGATGATGGGCACTTCGCATGCATATTTGGAGACCATCTTGAACAGTTGTTCAGTCGAGCTTTGCATTGTGCGGTCGCTCGTAGAATCGATGCAAAACCTACACCATGTCAGATTTCTCTTCTGCCGCTTGTGCTGCCCTGCAAAGGGTGTTGAACGCTATCAGGGCTCACCATATTACGTGGAACCGGTTGGCGACCTCGACCTCGGCAGACTTCTCGTGTAGGAAGTCTGTTACGGCATCCATCTGCGCAAGCGCGCCTGCCTCAAACCCTTCAGAGTCATGTAAGATAAGGTTGGGCTGATCTGGATCCTTGATCTCAGTCCTGATGTCGTGGTCGCCGCGCATCCGAGCCGGTGTCACAGCCTTTTGTGCAATCAGCTACGGTCTCTGATCCGAGGGCTTCGATACTTACAAGTGAAGTGCCGAATACTTTGTTGATCAAAGTGGATTTTCCGATGCCAGTGTTGCCGCAAACTAGAACACGTATCGGTCCAATATCGTCAGGCTCCTCGTCGTTTCGCTCATCCCAAAATCTGGGGTCTTTGCCACCCCGTTCGACAAGGGTTTTTGGTCTCCATCTTTCAATGTGCCCCTGCAGCACCAAGTCCCAGCTGTTGAGGCTGGCGAGGCCTGAGACGTCTATAAGGAGATATACAGATGGGTGGATAATGGTGCCCTGGCCATCTGCAGCGTGTCAGTCTCGGCGGTCGTATCATGGAAGGTGACGGTTCCATTTTACTTACCGCAATGAACCCACCCGTTAAGGTTGCCGTCGCTGCCGAACACGCTTCGCTTCTTTTTCGGCCACAAGCTGGCATGGTGCTTGTTGAGTTTGAGATTCCAGCTCTTCTGTTCATGGACATGTCGGATATCCTGCATGGACACTTCCAAGCCATTCTGCAAGGTACAAGACCACGTGTTGGTCCCGCTGCTTTGGCCTTTGAGAGCTGGGAAAACAAGCCGGAGCGGATTGACGATGTCGGCTTTGTAGCCAAGGTTCCCCCGGAATTTCAAGGCCAAGCCAAGAGATCGACTTTCAATCAACAGCCACTGAAGTGGATAAAGTGCCAAGCCTGCTCGGGCGGCGGATCCCCCCATATCAATATGGGCACCGATGAACCAAGCTTGGACTAGAGTCCGTCCTGGGAGTCTTTTGAAATTGCTGGTCTCAGGAAAGACGTACTCAGGAGTCATCGCCTCCCTGTCTTCATCCAGTGCCAAAGCATGCCGCATATGCTCGATGGAGTTGTTGAATGATATGTCGAAAGGACACCGTTCTTTGACGGCCTTGACCGTGTCCAAGGCACCCACAAACTTGATCTTTGGGGACTGTTTGCATCGAACGGTGAGGAACCGATGTATCTGTACTGTTAGCTCGTATTTTCAACCATGTTACACAACCATAGAGCAACTTACTTCACCTATTCCAAGCTTTCCCTCCTTTTGTATGGTTTGAAACACCTCTAGCGCTCTTTCGTAGTCTTCGGCAAACTGCGGTGTCCCCGCCGAACGGATGGCGGACACGTAATGCAGCAAACCTGCTACCGCCCGGACGACAAAGGCTCCACGGCTGAATCCGAACAGCCATACCTCATCCTGGGGTCCCAGCTTGCAACACTCCTCATAGATCTCTTTGATCTGCTTCAGGTACCCGTTTCCAAACAGCCCGGCTTTGAATCTCTTCAAAGCGAACGTGTCATCAGCAGAGCCAATGCCAGGCATATAGAGGGGCTTTTGGTAATAACCGTCACTAGCGAGTTCCCCATTGTGGGTGCTGTCGAGGATGCTCGTATAGATTTGGTATATGTTGGTGAGCGTGCCGTTACATGAGGGACGGGTGCCGTCTGGTCCGCACCAAGTGCCATCAACACAGTAGATGAGGCGCGTTGGTGGAGCGGGGCCGCGATAAGAATCGAGGGATGTCTTGTGTTGGCACATGATGTAGATGGGACAAAGTGTAAGAAAGGTATGTACAAGGGAGAGCTGATGAAAAGGCAGGATGGACGTAATAGCTTGAGATGAATGCTCAGAGCTTGCGTGAACCTGATCTGGTTTCAAAAACTCACAATTGCGGCCCACTCTACAAGAATATATATACCCTTTGACTTGGCACAGCGTGGAGCTTCCAAGGTCCAAGGAGGATCTGGTAATGGTTGTATGCTCCGGTGGCGTATCTACCATGACGTACCGAGTATTGCACTATAAGGTGGCTTCGCGCGGACTCCTTTACGGTGTAGCATTGCTGATACTAGTCTGACGAAGTAGCTTTATCGTCGTTTGGCTGAAGGTGTAGCACTGCTGGTCGGTAGATGACCACACCTGCGATCAGCCACGGCGTAAAGGAGTGCTAGTCTACGCCCTGATCCCAACAGCTTGCATCGTAGCTCGAAATCTCCGCACCCTTAGCAGACTGTCCGCCATCCGAGGATTGTAGGACCAAGTTTAGGATTGTAGATCATGTCTATCTGAACTTTCTCTTCGGTGGGACCCAGACTGTTCCCTCTCGTCACCACGTCCAGGCTTCTAATAACAAGATAGGCTTTGTGTTGTGCTCATCCAGTGGCATGCTACAGCTTTGAAGCTTCTCGAGAAGAAGCTTCACATTCAAGCCTCAAGGCATCACGGAGTTCTCCGGACAACGACTTCCTCATCCGGCGAATCAGCGTACCTGATGCTATAAGGCTCAACATGTGATCTTAGACCAACCAAGTCACGGGAGACCGCCGAGACTTTTAGCGTAGTCTTAATGGCTGCAACCGTTGATCAAGCCATCCCTGATGTCTAAAAAGCGCCACATAAACTCTGGTTCGTGGTCAGTGCAGTTGCGGCGTCTGTCCATTGCCATAGAAATGGAGAGTCGCTTGATGCTTTGGACCATCTTGTGACTGCTACGGCTAGCGCAGCAAGGCCAGACTTTGGTGATGTTGAGCTGAAACTCGTGCTGTGATGAAGAGCATCGGACGGTACCCATGGTTGAAATGAATGGTTGGACTTTTGAAACGACTTACCGGGCATTGCCCCTGGCAATAGGGCTCACAGATCAGCCAATCGGCCGGAGCGATGGTGGCTTCGTGCTAACGTCATCCGGTCGGCCTTCATTGTGTATTGCCGTATACCCATTGCTTTATTATCCACTACTGACGGGCAACTGATATGCGTTACAATAGTCAAACCTTTTGCCTCGCTTGACGAGCATGTATACCCCCCCAATAGGGGAAGCCTGTGGAGCGGGTTGGTGAAGCACTTGGTTAAGCTCGATATAATATGCCGATTGGCAGTTGACATTTGGCCGGCAATCGACCTGGGGGTTGTACAGCTACGCTAGACTGAGATGGGCAGCCGATCTCCAGCCCTCCCCCGGTTGTGATAAGAAGCGAAGGTGGATGAGGATTCCTACCAGAGGCTGCCTGACAGGAACCAGTGCGGGGTTGGCTAGGGTTTAGTTCGGTTGCCTGCTCTAGCTAGTCCAGTTGCCTCGCGACTCCCTGGATGCCATTTGATGCTACCGGCATGCAGTTCCGGTATGGGCCTTGATTCGATTCTGGGTGATCAGCATGCAGCTGATGGTGCAATGCAACCTGCAAGCGGTTCCACAGAGGGCGATTCACGGCCACGAATGTATGTGGTCAATAATCTCAAACTGCCAGCCTGGCCACGAGCACCATGTGCCAAGTGATGGTCCCTCCGTCAGGCTCCGTGCTCAAGGCGTTTCCCTGTCCTTTCAATGGCTCGTGATGGGAGGTTGCGATGGCAAGTACTGTGCCGGGTAGATCAGCACTACGTTTCAAGTGATCGTCCTGCCAAGCAGCTAGTCTTCTTGGCCAGCGGACAGTTGGAACTATGGTATGGCCATGGGCGGGAACGTGCCTTGGCGAAGCCGAGCCATGGTACGAAACGGAAGGTCGAGGCTTATATTCATCTACTGTTAGGTGGAACAGCCTCATGCACCCGCTCCGCGTGCTCCCCCCACGCCCTACTATCGTACTTAGGCTCCGTACTGCGCCAGGCGTCCCGGTGGCAGCTGCGCTAGTTGGTCTGAGCCATTGTTTGTTGGGTGGTGCGTGGATCAAGTGGCAAGCCTCCTACAGCGACACCCAAACCTATGGCCGAGTTAGGGTCGTGGATGCTTGGCGGCGGATGCACATGGTCGAGTGTACCACAAGCAGGATTTCCCCGCAATCGAGGCTCAATAATCTAGTCGCCCGGCGTTCAATGTCTCTGGTCCCTTGCCTAGGCATCCCTTGCATCGCTATCAACACGTGCTGCGGGTAGTCGAAGTCACGTGGTTCTCTTATGCGTCCACGGGTGTTGAGCTTGTCCTTGGTGCGTGAAGCAGCTACCTAGGTACTGGGATTTTCGTCTGGAAAGATGAAGTGAAGACGGGATGATCGGGTCGGGATGCGGCGCTCCGGAAATCGGAATCCCGTCATCATTGGCCGAATGCAATTCCCCGCTATTTAACTCCGCTACGCCCAACTCCGCAAAGCACTCTCGGATAAGAAGTACATACGACATCAGATATTGACGCGGATATATAGCAACCGACATCCGGGACGAACTGAAAGACTGACTGTACTCGAGCATCATGTCTTCGCAGCTAAAGGGAAAGCACATTGTCGTCATCGGGTACGAGTCTCTCAATGGACTCATTCGTACGTGAAGATAAAGCTGACTAGCTGTACAGAGCTGGCGTCATTGGTTTGCAGACGGCAATCACGCTGCTTGAAGCCGGCGCCGCAGTCACCATCATCGCGAAGCACGTGCCCGGCGACAAGGCAAAGGACTACACCTCGCCTTGGTATGGCTGCATTGCATTTGGGAATCAAGCCAGTGCTGACACGCATGCAGGGCGGGTGCGCAATGGCGAACACACGCCACGGCAGAAGACAAGGAGATCCAGGAATGGGACATAGAGAGCTACAACACCTGGCTCGACATGGTCGAGAAAGAAAAGAGCCAGCCATCCTCGGCCCCAAAGTCCGGTCTTGAGGTAAGTATTGGAAATGAAGCCCCCCGTCTGATCAGTGCTCTCTCCGCTGACACGCCGTCCACGTACCAGAAATACCACAGCATCTTCTACTGGTGAGAGCCGTCCCGAAAGAAACGCGTCCAACCACCAAGGCTCATCTTCCCATTCCCAGGACCGCCGCAGACTCGGAAATCCCCTCCGGCCCCAGCAGCGCCTGGTGGGCCCCCCACATGCGCAACTTCCGCCAACTGCCGCCCTCCGAGCTGCCCGCCGGCGTCCACGCCGGCGCCACCTACGACTCCCTCACCATCGACCCGGACTTCTACCTGCCGTACCTGCTCTCGCGCGCCCGCACCCTCGGCGCCGCGCTCATCCAGGCCGCACTCCCCACGACACCAACAACCACCACCACCCCCACCAACAACCTCCCCCACGCCCTCACCACCGCCGCCCGCCTCCTCCCCGCCTTCCACCCGGCCCTCCCCCAAATCTCCGCCTTCGTCCTCGCCACCGGCATCGCCTCCGCCCGCCTCGTCCCGGACCCAGCCGTCCACCCCATCCGCGGCCAGACGGTCCTCGTGCGCGGGCTGCCGCGCGCCCTCACCACCGTGTGGCGGCCCGACGGCAGCCTGTCGTACGTCATCCCGCGCGCGACGAGCGGCGCGACGGTGCTGGGCGGCACGAAGCAGGCGGGCGACTGGCGGGCGGACGCGGACGCGGCGACGACGGCCGAGGTGGTGGGGCGGTGTGGGGGGTTGGCGCCGGAGTTGCTTGTGGGGGAGGTGATGCCGGTGCCGCTGGGGGAAGAGGGGGGGAAGAAGGGGGAGGGGAAGGGGGAGGGGAATGGGGGTGCGCGTGGTTTCGAGGTTTTGGGCGTGAATGTGGGGTTTAGGCCGGGGAGGACGGGCGGGCCGAGGGTCGAGGTCGAGGTGGTGGAGCTGGACGAGGGGTTGGGCCCGGTGCCGTGCTGTCATGAGTATGGGCATGCTGGGGCGGGGTATCAGAATTCGTTTGGGAGCGCGAGGAAGGTGGTGAGGCTGTTGGAGGGGTATTTCGGTCAGGAACGGGGGCGCCCGGTGGCTGGTGGTGGGAAGGCGAGGTTGTGATGATGGGGGCGGTCGAGTAGGGAAGCTAGCGTCGTTGATCCAATCAGGAGCATCTCATGCGGCAGGGATTGTGGCTGAGGGATCATGACTCCATTTCTAAACAGGTGGAAAACCCCTTGATGATGATGCAACATCCGAGCGCCGTCGTCCTGTAACCAACTCAATTCAGCTTTACCGGTGTGACTCTCATCCTCCGCGACACGAAAATGAAAACAAAACAAAAACACAGTCAACGCCGGTGCGCATGACCCTCAATGGAAAGTTTTGGAATCGGACCATAAGAGAAGCATAAGAGTCTTTAATCACCGCAATGCAGGCTGGATTGCATGGATCAAACGTTAAGTACGAAGAGAAGGGTGCAGGAAAAAAAAAAAAAAAACCAAAAGCCACTCCTTGGTGGTACACTTTAAAGCGGGGGAGGAGGAAGGGAGAACTTGTAATGCGTGCGTGTGAACAAAAAGAGTTTGCGAAAATACATCATCATGACAATCACGGCTACCTCCTCGAACTTGCCATCTCGCCGTACCGGCCACGTTCGCGTGTCGTGTCGTATGCCTGCAGCACTCTGGCTTGCGACTCGTCCGTCTGAGAGAAGGCGTAGCCGCGTTGCTTGCGCATGCGCTGCACTTGGCGCACCTTGCGGATGGCCTTCTGGAATTGCTCCATTCTGTTCGACTTCGTCAGCCTCTCCCTTCTTGTGGCTCGACAGACACGACGCTACTAACCTGGGCCGGTAATCCTGGATATTGTACTTCTGAATCTCCTGGATGTGGTGGTACGCTTGCGGATAGTACATGCGTTTCGCGCTGGCTCAGCTGTCAGTGACGACTCTCGTCCGAATCCACGCACAAGAACTTACTATTTCCATGCGAAATCTCTCAACAAACAGAGACAGGGCAGGACCAACCCCATCAGCCATACCACCGGACTTGGGAATAATCTGGGAATGACTCCCTCGAATTCCGAAGAAATGCCCGTCATCGGCGCCACGTACGCATACAGAGGCAGGAAGATCATCCAGATGATCAACGAGCCAGGGATGGCAACAACCGTGTACTTGGTCCATATGTTCGTGATCAAGGCCGCCTTGCCGATCACAGTGGCCAGCGCAGCCGTGTACAGAGCAGGTCCCCATACCCAATGGCTGGCAACCTTGCCGTCGCCCTGAGGAAGGTCCCACAAGAAGATGGCTTGCGACACGAAATACAGGATGAGCGAGTGGTAGAAGCCGTTGGCAACCCAACCCCAGAAAGAATGCATCTTGAAGAAGACGCCCTTCTGACTGAGCTGGTAGAGTTGCGGGTACCGGTCGAGCAGACGTGCGCTGACGAATTGGTCGAATATGCCAAGGACGAAGGGCGGCATTACAGTAAAGAAGACGTTGTAGAAAGAGAGCGTCCATGATTCGTAGATGACCTGACCCGAGAATGCGTTTTGGAAAGAATACCAGAACTGCGTCATGAAAAGGGCAATGTTCTTGTAAAACGAGTAGAGAATAACCTTGCTGACTCGCTGGTAGCTCCAGGATCCATGGACGAGTAGCAGTTTGCGTAGGTAACGGAATTGGCCGATGGCCACATCGGCACTTCGAGCGGCTTGGAGACCTTCCATACCGCTGATACCGACGCCGACGTGAGCAGCCTGGATCATAGAAACGTCGTTCGCGCCGTCTCCGATGGCCAGCAAAATGGCCTTCAGGTGACGTTTAACGAGCTTCACAACGAGCGCTTTCTGAAGAGGGGACACACGGCTACACGGTATGTCAGTCGAATCTCATTGTGCATGTGTCTTTAGTTCAACTTACCAGCAGATGACGGCCTTGCACACAACAGCCAGATCCAGGAACAGCTTCTCCATGTCTCTCTCGAGGGCAAAGGTCAATGACTTGCCATCGATGACCAGAGCAAGCGTCTCCAACTCTGCTGAACTCTCTGCTTGTGCTTTGATAGCATTGAGCTTTTTCGAGAGGTTGTCCCTTGTGGCAGCCGCATTTTCTTCGTTGACAATTAGCAGAGTCATATCCTCACTGATGAGTTTACAACTCATGCCAATGTTGATGGCTGTTTCCTGTCGATCACCAGTAAGGACCCAAATCTTGATGCCAGCAGTTTGCAGAGTGTGGATCGTATCAGGCACTCCATCCTGCAACTTATCCTCGATAGCAGTGGCTCCAAGAAGGACGAAGTCGTGCTCGATGAGCTCAGCGGCTTTGTCCAGTTCGTCCGCACGGTTACCGCCCACGGTTGTTGCAGCAGCATCATAGATAGACCTCCACTCCTGGTATTCCTGCTCCGGAACTTCGCGCATAGCCAAACAAAGGGTACGAAGACCTTCAGCGGCGTATTCCTCGAGATGCTGGAGAGTAGGCTCAACGACCGGGTTGGTTTCCTTGCAAAGCCGCTCAAGGATGACCGTATCGGCGCCCTTGGTGTAGCAAACAATCTTTCCTTCCGGAGTCCTGAAGATCGTTGACATTCTCTTACGTGTCGAATTGAACTCGCACACACATAGCAGTTCGTATTCCCTCGCCACACCATCAACTTGGATGATGACTGATCTGGGCTTTCTCGCGACGAACTTGTAATCCAGGATGACGGCACCCTCAACGAGAGCACCCTCATCAGGGGAAGCGGCCTGGTATTTGATGTGTCCGGTCTTGTCGTTCACCTCAGGAATGACGGTGTGACATGTAGATAGCAGCGTAAGAAAATTGTCGATGATCTCGCGGGATTGGTGGTTTGCTCGATTCTCCTTCAGCCTCTTGAAATCATGAATCCCAACCTCCATGCCATCCTCGGTCGTCGCTCTCCTGTCTTCTGGGACTTCGTCTGCATACTGAATACCTGCGATTGAGCACTGACGGAATTCCATCATGTTGCAGGTTAGAGTTCCTGTCTTGTCCGAGAAAATGTACTCAATCTGTCCAAGCTCTTCTACAAGCGATGATGTCCTGCAGTTTGCCGGGGTTCCGGTGGTGTCGTGATAGATGTCCAGATCCGAATCAATTAGGAATGCCTGGTAGTACTTGACGATTTCAATCGTGACGAAAAGGGAGATTGGTACCAAATTGGAGTAAAGGACCCAGTAGGTCAGCAGATCAAGGAAGAATTGCCCAACAAGTGCCGTCTCTTCGAGGGCCAGGTATGCAAGATGCTCCCTTTCCTTTGCCCGAATGACAACATCTCCAATGGAACTAATAATGCTGAGTGTGATGAGAATAGCGCCAAGCATCAGGATCTGATAGTTGACCAGTCGCTCGACGTTCGTCTTCTTGATCGGGGTGGCGGTGGCGTTCCGCATGAGCTTGGTCTCATGACCGGTGAAAACGACGATGCCGTGAATCCAAGGGGTATTCCGCAGAGTTGCGCCACGAAGAAGAAGCTGGTCGGGACCAAGAGGAAGTTCCTTCTCGCCTCCACCTGCCTGCATGGTTAGGGTGGCCTCGTAGGTATACAAGCTGCTGTTCGGCTGTTCCGATCGAACCCTGCCACCTAACCTGCCCAATTCACTCGGGCTGACAAGGTCAGCGGTCTCTGGAATGGCCTGCTTGATCTTCAAGTTCGTCTCTCCGTCAAGGTTGGCTGTCTCAATGTAGCAAAGACCTTCAGGCTCAGAACTGGCCAAGAGTACCAGATCTGCAGGGAACGGCTCCTCCGATTGCACGCGCACAATGTCTCCCACGGCAACGTCAACCCATTTTGTCTCCTGAAAACCCGATCCTTTCAGCGTGCGCGTCTTTGAGTTGTTCAATGCACTGTCCTGGCTTTTACGGCGAAAGTCCTCGATCTGTTCCTTGACGGCGGAGACAAGGAGGACGATAACGAGCGGGACAATGGTCGTCCATCGATTCGTGGGCGAGATGTTGGGAATCTGCTGCAGGATGGCAGTAAACAAGAAGAAGAGGTTGGCGTATTTCGAGAATTGTTCGTAAAGGAATTTCGGGAGGAAGGTGGCTACGTTGTACTTGGCTGTCGACACGTGATTGTCGACGTATTTGTTTGCGGCATTGGCGGGGGGGTTGTTGAGGTGTATGATTCGCGGTCCCAGAGTTGAGGGGTCTGGCTTTGAGCTCCCAAAGCCGAACTTGAAGCCGGATTGCTTCCTCTTGTGAGCTGCCGGTGGCGCCTGGCCAGCAGCGGCAGTCTGAGCATTGCGTGCGCCAGCCTCGGTGAGCGGCACGTCCATTTCAGAGTACTCGGGCTCCATTCCCAGCATGTTCTTCGCGCGTCCCACCAACCCGCCGCCCAGACTCATTATGCTATTGCGATTGCGCGCATGGGAACGCGTGGTGCCTGGCGCCTCATCGTTGCGATCGTCGTACAGGCCTCCGGCGGCGTAGGAACCTTGCATGGAACTGCCCTCGTCGTCTATGTCGGTGTAGCGCTGGTAGTTGTGCAGGTCGGAGGATTGGGAGTAGATGCGCTTGGAGCTGGTCGTCATGTAGGGTGACTGCAGAGACTCGCGCATGCCAGGCTGGTCGGTTGCGACGTGGGGTGGGCGGCTGCCACTGGCGCCGCCGCCGCCGACGAAGTCATCGTAGGACACCGAGGGGCGCGGCTGTGGCTGTGGCTGATCGGAGTCGTCGATGTCGTACCTATGCAGCAGATGGTCGTCGGTGGTCGGCGGGCGCTGGCCAGACGAGTAGGTGGGCGCTCCATCGTTCAGGTCGAGGAGAAGGTTCTCTTCACCGTGGGGGGCGTTGGCCGGACCTCCAGGAGGCCTGCCTGCCATTCCGGGCGGGAGGGTGGCTGCGGGTGAGGCTGGAGCTGGGAGAGATGTCGCGCGGCGGTATCGAAGCTTGCGGAAGCTAAAGACGGCGCATCCCAACAGTGCTGGGGCTGCGAGGCGCAAAGGCTAGGTGCTCAGGCTCCAGGCGCAGGGCGGGTGTGGAGGGAGACGGGCACGATCGCAGGGCGACTGTTCTCTCCGCAGCTGGCACAGCCCGGATCCGACTTGGCACGCGTTGCGGGCGGGCGAGCTCTCGTGTGTCGCGTTGGTGTGGCGGCGCAGGGCTGCAGAGGGTGGTTGCAGCGGGTCTGGAGAAGTTGCGAGCTGGGCTGTCAAGTGACAGATGATCTTAACGAGTCGTCGTGCCGGAGACCCTGACGGTTGCTTGACGCGCGCGATGTGCATCCGCCGCCAACTCAATCGGGAGATTGAGCGCTGGGCGCCGCGACAGGAGAGACAAAAATATCCGCGCGGCCGCTGCGGCCACCATCCCGCCAGTGCTGTGCTCGCAACTCCGCCAGCTCGCGTTCCGGAGCAGCATGGCTGTGTCCCAGCCAGCGCCGCCCTTGTCGCAGCCCCAATCGCGCTCGGACTGATAGGCGCGACAGTGCGTGCGTCTAGCGTATCGTCGCAATGCCAAAATCCACGCCAAAGAAAAGAGGCTTGTATATTACAGAAGCTACAGCGCCCGCACGTCTCCCTCACCGCGCCGCCAGCATGTCCTGCACCGCGCTCCAGTAGCGGGGCGTCACCACCGGCTGAATCTCCTCCTTTGCCAGCCACCTGAAATCGGCCAGCCCGTATTGGTTGTCCGCCAGGCTCGCCTGACCCGCCATGATACGAGCCTTCATGAAGAACACCTTCTCACCCAGCTCCTCCACGCCCTTGTCCGTGTCCTTGATAGTCTTCGGAAAGTCAAACTGGTAGTGCCCCACCGGGTGGTTACCAATGACCCAGGTGTTCATGTTGATGCCGCCACTCTGGACCAACACGCGTTCCGCCGCCTGCAGTCGTGTTAGTGCAAGTAATTGGGCCGGGCTCCAGCAAACTTACGTTGTGGAGGTTCTCGCGACCGATCAGACGGCCCTGTGGGAACTGCCATCTTCCGCTGCCATCCTTGACCAGCAGGTAGAGCGTCCTCTGCAACATTCTGTTCAAACTCTGTTGGTCGCCGTTCTTGTCCGCCTCGGTTACTCTTGACTGTGGCCGCTCGACAACGTCCACCTTCTTGCCGCCCCCCGCCGGCTCGCCCTCCTCGCCAGTGCGCTCCGTATCCTTCAGCAGAGCCTCCCGCTGGTGGTCGGGCTCGCTCTCCTGAGCGCCCAAGAGCAGCTCATCGTTCCAAGCATCCGAGCCGTGTCCGCGGTAAACGCCAATGTCGCGCGCAGGCGTAAGACGCTGCTTCTGCTTGCGCTTCCATTCAATGTCCGCAACAAGACCCTTCTTGTAGTAAAAGTATCTCGTGAACGAGAGGGCCAGGCGCTCGTTAAGACGACGTTGATAAAGGAAGAAAGCCTTCTCGAACGGATGAAGGTCGCGGGTGATGACCGGCGGTCTTGAGAGGAGGACTCCGGCGCGGACTTGGTATGCTCGCTGAGGAGCCAAGGCCGGGGAAACGGGCGGGACTGGATCCTGGTTGGTGGGGGATTGCTGCACGGCGGCGGCGGCGCTGGCGAAGTGTCTCCGGGAGATAGTCTCGCGGCACGAGATGCAGATGGAGTCCGCGGCTGGGGGGACGGGCGCATCAGTACGGGGAAGCCAATGGCTGAGGTGGTGGGCATACCGGACTTGGAGGCCAATTGCCTCGCACTCCTCTGACCGGCGTTCATATCACGGTACGGCCGCGGCGACTGACGTTGCGATGGGCGGGAGCTGGTGCCATGTCCAAAAAGTTCGGCGGAGAGGCAGCGCGCCCGAGCGGCAAGGCACGTGACAGGGGCTTGGCGGGCGCAACAAAAGTCGCCGCGTGCGCGCGACGCTGCCTTTTTCTCTCTCCACGGCATCAACCTTATCACCAGTGGCGTCTCTGCTCCATGAAACATTGGTCATTTACACGGTGCCCAGACGGAGTCGAGCAGTCTTTTCGCTAGCGGTACCTTCGTAACCTCACCAAGGCGTACTGTTAGATAGATACTGCCCACAAGCCTGCGCGCGCGCTGGAGCTCTGCTGGAGCTCTGCTGGAGCTCTGCCGGCTCGCGCGTGAAGCGCGTAGACGCGAAAAATTCGGCATGGCGCCCGCGCAGCGCTGAAGAGAACGAGCCCGGCCTTCTGTGCGTCTCGGACGATCTGATCTGTGAACCCTGAAGAGCATGCAGCTGGAGGGCAGTCTATTGCCGGATCGCGCAAGCCGGACGCGCGCGTCAGCCAACAGCAGGCGGCACGAGTCGGCCTCATGTGGCAGCTCCGGCTAGGTCACAAGCACGGCTTCGGTTACAGCCCAGGTGCCCAGCAACCGACGGCGACGGCCACTCGTACGTGACCCAGCCGTGGCTGCCTGCAGTGACAACGACGAGCCGCCAAGCTAAATTTGGGGCGTCTGAGCGCCTGCCAGATGCACATCAAAATTATGCCTGCCCTCGGCACGGGTGGTGTCATTGCTTCCATAAGACCATGGCTTCCTCCGCCCCTCTCCTCATCTTGTTCCTCGACCCGCGTGCGGCATCATGAACCTGATCTCGCGCTTCTTTAGTCCGCTCCGAGACGGCCCCAACAGTGCTCTAGGCGCCAACATCTTCGAGCCGCGGCCACCGGATGCTCCTCGCAGCAGCTTGGAGGAATTTCTGGCCGAGGCGGCCGAGTGTGTGAACAACGCAGCTGGCTGGGTGCCAGAGCCGAGATTCGCTGCCATGACGATGGCGGAGGCACCCTCTTCCCCACTTATCAAGCCCCTGGGCACCACTCTCTCCCTCCCGCCGACGCCTGAATCGCTGGCTTCGCGCCCGGCCTCAGCAACCTCCAGGCCCGGCTATGTCCAGCAGCACTCGCTGCCGAACATCGGCACTTGGAGGAGCACCACTCATTGTGCCCTGTCCAGGTCGAGCACTCCGTCGTCGCCAGAGTAAGGGGCCTGTCACGCCGAACCGTGGTTGCGAAGCCGCTGACAGATTGCAGCAAGAGTCTTGGCGGTCGATCGGGGCGCAAAGATCATGATGGTCAGGATGACAGGGAGCTCCTCTCCGACTACTACGAGAACCTTGCCAATCTGCACGAGAAGGAGGAGAACATAAATAACCTGGAAATCGACATGAAGGGGATGCAAGTTATGCAGAAGACCCGAGCATTGCTGGGCCAGCAACCGCTGTCCGTTGATTTTCAACTGTGGGACCACCATCGCCAATCGATGGACGATCAGCTGGGTAGCCTACAACGCCAGAACGACATCCTCCGAACCCACTGCATCAAGCGCGGCCTTCTTCTGCTCCCGAACCCGTCCGCGTTTAAGAGAAGCAACTCTGTGTCCACAGGGCAAGACAACGGCAGAGTGCTGCCCGAGCCCGGTGTACTCCTCACAAACAGGCATCGATCGACCACCCTGCCTGCTGCTGTCGTGGAGCAAGCCGTTTCCAACCATCGTTCGGAAAGGAAAAGAATTCCTCGCCCGGCTAAAGCTATCCTCGAATACCATTTCACCATGACCCCGCATCCATCTGATGCTGAGCTAGAAATTCTTGCTCTGAAAACGTCGTTGCCGATCAAGAGAGTCAAGACCTGGTTCATCACAAGAAGAGCCGTTTGTCAAGAACACAGTGCTTCCATTTGAGCGAACACACACAGAAACAGTTTACTCTTCAAGCAGCGTCCCACATGCGGCTTATGTGGCAAAGTCTATATAGACTGAGACAGTCGAATCCACCCCAATGGAAGCTTTCATCATCGTGGCTTAACCGACGGATTATGGAAGTCGGATCAACGAATTACGACCCACCTTTCCATGAAAAAAAAAAAAAAAACCACCAACAAACATAGCCTTCTGGCTTGACTGTAAGGACTGCAAAATTGTGTCCTACCCTGGATACAAGACTTGGAGAAATGACGGGTTTGTGGTGACATACGCTCGTTCTATTGCACCTTCAATGGTGGAACCCTGGTGTCAATCACCGCTCGAAATGGTTACACAGGCTGAGCTGAAGTGCCGAGTAGCCAGACTGGCCTGCATTCGACCAGAGCGCATTTAATGCGCTTTGTTGCCGCTCGAGGCCCCAACTTCACATCACCATGGCTGCACGATGACCCGATAGGCTTTGCTATATCTGGCAAAAGGAACTTGGCCCTTGCGCTGTAAGAATTATCTCTGAAGACTTTCTCGATGCGAAGCCGACAAACGATTTACCATGCCAAGTCATTCGCAACTTTTTAGGCATCTACAAGATGTATTTCTCGCACATATCCGCAATGTCCAGCAATCTTTCGAGCGTATGGCTACTGCGGCAAGCAATCCATGGAATGGCATTGGAACGTACCTGGGATCCATGTGGTCAACATTCTCCACTGTGGAAGAGGTTAGTAAAAAATGGGAGACGAAGAATGAGCATGGTGCGTCAGGACAATAGCCGCCAAGGCTGCATGTTTCTTGGAGCAGGTGCTTCATGAATTCGGTTCGGAGGGCTTGCGTAGGCGCCATTGAACAATCCGGACTACTATTGCGAAGCTCATGAAGGCAGAGAGAAAGGCCTTTCTACATGAGCACATGAGACCTTGCTTCACATAGAATTTCATTCCTGCCGGGCATTCGGGCCCCATCTTCTATTACTTGTACTATCTAGACATGTCGAATGATCAACACCTTATACTGCATCATCCAACAAAATGCTTGTCATGCAAAGGCTGCTGATAAACGGGAGTGTCGAGAGGGCCGACATCGCAACCCTGGCATGACGTTGCTGGGGGGTCTGTAGTGATACAAGGCCGTATGCTATGGAAGACTTAACCTGTGAGATGGTCAGAAATCAGACGGACTCAACGAGGATTGGTAATGAGCGGCCACGACTTCCATAGTCACGTGAAATGATGCCATTCAGCGGCCCATGGCGGCGGCGGGCAGCGGCGATTACAAAGGCGGCCGAACACCGGAGCATGGCGTCAGTGCTGGAGCGGGCGGACATTTTGTCTGCGCATCTCACGATATCTGCGAAGTTGTAGCTTTCTCTGCGTTCTTTGCACACCCCGAAAATGTCGGTCGCAAGGAGAGTCGCCGGACGCACCGGCGTCAGCCAGCAGCTGCTCCGCTTTGCCCGCCCGCGGCCCGCGCAATGCCGCGAGTCGCGTCTCGCCGCCGCGCCCGCATGGCCAGCTTCACGACGCCTTCACAGCCAACCGCCCCGCAACGCCCAAGCCGCCCACGCCGTGAAGCCTGAGGCCGAGCCCGCCGACTCGACGAATCCTGCGCTCGCCTTCCCGTGTCTCGACGCCCTCGAGAGCCGCTCCGCAACTCTGCAGAAGCGCTCGCTGCTTGGTCCCGAGCCCACCTACACCTCCGGCAACCATGAGAACTTCGTCTGCAAGGAGCCCATGCTGCTTGACTGGGGTGGAATCCTGCCCGAGTTCAACGTGGCCTACGAGACTTGGGGGAAGCTCAATGCCGATAAAAGCAATGCCGTTCTGCTGCACACCGGCCTGTCCGCATCCAGTCACGCTCACAGCACCGAGACCAATCCTCAGCCCGGCTGGTGGGAAAAATTCATAGGCTCCGGAAAACCTTTGGACACCGACAAGTATTTTGTCATCTGCACCAACGTCATTGGGGGCTGCTATGGCTCGACTGGCCCCTCTTCGACCGACCCGGCAAACGGCGAGCGCTATGCAACCAGGTTCCCCATACTGACAATGGAGGACATGGAGCGCGCTCAGTTCAAGCTGCTCGACCATCTCGGGATACACAAGCTCTATGCTAGCGTCGGCTCTAGCATGGGCGGCATGTTGAGCCTGGCAGCTGGAGTGCTCTTCCCCGAACGCGTTGGCCGGATTGTTTCCATCAGCGGCTGTGCTCGCAGCCATCCTTACAGCATTGCCATGCGTCACACCCAGAGACAAGGTGCGTTGTCCGAGTGCTGCCTCCCTGGCTTGTGCTAACCCCCTCCAGTGCTCATGATGGACCCCAACTGGAACCGCGGTTTCTACTACGACACTATCCCGCCTCACTCCGGCATGAAGCTTGCTCGCGAGATTGCTACAGTCACATACCGCAGCGGACCCGAGTGGGAACAGCGCTTCGGAAGGAGAAGGGCTGACTCTTCCAAGCCGCCTGCGCTGTGTGCCGACTTTCTGATCGAGACCTACCTCGACCATGCTGGAGAAAAGTGGTGTCTGCAGTATGACGCCAACAGCATGCTCTACGTTTCAAAGGCAATGGACTTGTTCGACCTTGGCTTAGAGCACCGTGTTCGCATTAACGCCTTAAGGGCTCAGAACGAAGGCAAGCTAGCAGCTTTTGCCGCCGGAAACAAGGTTCAGGCGGCGGCGACTGCCGATGCGTGCAATCTAACCCTTCCAGAGCAGCCGTATGAGGAGCAAGAGCAGTCCAATGGTTCATCGGCATCTCAGGCCCCCAGTGACACTCAGGCAACTGGGCCGCCGGAACCTCCCGCAGACCTGGTAGCCGGCCTGAAGCCCTTGGCGAATACACCTACGTTGGTCCTGGGTGTGGCGAGCGATATTCTTTTCCCTGCATGGCAGCAAAGAGAAATAGCCGAGACTCTGCGCCGTACCGGCAACAGGAACGTCACACATGTGGAATTGGGAGAAGAAAAGAGCTTGTTCGGCCACGACACATTCCTTCTGGACCTGGAACATGTGGGAGGAGCGGTCAAGGATTTCTTGGGATGAACGGCAATTACCTTGATGATGTGGTGGACGGCAATTTCCTTGAACAAGCGTGCATGGGTTGGAGTTTATGGCAAGGTTTCTCAGTTTTCGGAATGGTCAGGGGGATGGCTGGTCTGCGCATGCCTGCCACCCATCTATTCAGTATTCAAAAAGGATCACGATTCTCCCTTCAGTCTGACTTGCCTCTCAGCAGCCTTCGCACCTTGCCTCTATTAATCTTACGTGGACCCCAGCTATCACTCTCCGTTGGCTCAACCTTTCGCCTTCCCGCCAAGCATATTCAGCATCGGCTTCCGACTTGGTCACGCAAATTCATTGTTATCTGTACCAAGACACTGAGAGGGGTAACGAGCACCGGTTTCGAGTGGTGTCGCTTGCGGCTCTCCGTCTGATCGCTATCTCCTCTGAACCAAGTTACCGCTCTCTAGATTCTACGTTGACGAGGATTCTTAGGTAGCAAAAGTTTTTCCATCGATATGCGAACGCGAGGAAGCCCTCCAACGGGTTACGGCATATTTGAGACGGAATGCGGGGCACCTAGGCCTCCACAGTTCGGGCCATTAACCCGCGGTGCTGGCCCCTTCCCATTCCGTTGCTGCCTGCCTACGCCACAAACGGTCCCCTTGATGGGTCACGAACCACTGTTACAACTGGATTGGCGGTCTCCAAGCGGCCCGACCAACGTCTAAGTTTGCCGGGCCGAGTATATTTCGATTTCGAACTGACATGATCTTCTGATTTTTACTCTTTCCAATCCGTCGTTATGGTCCGAACAAGACTATGACTCTAGGATAGCGAAGGAAAGACCGCCTATCACCCTTCCCAGTGGAACGATCGTGTTACGAAGGGTTGGCTCCCTGGCACCGAGTTCGAGACACGACGTCTCTTTCGTAACCTTGAACCAGAAATCTTCGATCACACCTCGTCTTCCTGCATGACGTTTGCCATAATCGGTCGATCTGGACTGCTGCCTGGAGTCTCGAGCTATGGCCGATATTTCCACCGGGCTTCGCTACTGACCTTATCAACTAGCGTCCATTCTCAGGTAAACCAAGACACTCATGGCCAAGGCGCGAGTATGCTCCCCAGAAAAACTGGGGTCAAGATCACGAATCACAGGTGGTTTCAGGATCCAATGGCGCTCTAGACTGATACTTGCCAGTCAAAATATCTCTTCCGTCTCGTAGGATCAGCGTCCATGGTACATGACTATCAACCTTGACACAAAACCAGCCTCACCGTGACGAACCATGGACTGTCACATTTACAGGCTGTTGGTTGTTTCAGGGTGCAGCACGCCCGTCCTCCTGACCGCTGTTTAGCTAATCACGAGAATACCCAGACTTGTCATCACTGTGCATGAGAGATGCCTCGGTGGGCACGACGTCTCCAGAACCCAGTTTCCTGATCTCAAAAAGGGATGAAGGTATTTTGTCTAACCGAATACAGGTTCGCGTTAGGCTCGAATCCAGCGTACAGCACTTAGACCTCACTTGGCCAGGACGGATGTAACATGTGGTCGCCGACGATGAGTCTGAGAATGACCCCTGGGGACCTATGATGATGACCCTGCTCTGCGAAGGCAACCCGATACTCGGATCGGGCCCCTCCATCGCGGCCGCGAACCAATAGGACGCTTGGGCTTCACCTTGCTGCACCTTCAGCGATAGACGGGAGAATGGATCAAACTATCGGACGCGAGGCCGGAATCTATTGGGAGATTCGTTAGGACTGGTCTCGAAGGGCAACCACATTTTGGATCATGACGACTGTAATCCAAGGCCGGGTCATCACACGCCGTCTTCAGCCGGTTGAGCGCATAATTTGCTGATACGTAAAAGCTCTCGTCTTCCACAGCAAAGTGTCTTCAAGTCTAAGACTCCAAGAGCGCACGTCCTCACTCTATTTCTACCAAGACAATCACCTTGACACCAATCACTGAAGCTCTGCGCCACCACCAGCGCCACAGCGGTCCGAGCGCCATGGGTTACCTTGTCAAGGACTACACTTTGCAAGAATACATGTGCATGGTATTCTACTGCATCGTTGGCAGCGGTGTCCTCTTCCACTGGGTGCATGTGTGGCTCGGCAAGCCAGACTGCCGCGTCAAGGCACTCGAATCCCGAATGCGGCGGGTCGAAGAGGGCGTGGCTTCGAGTGAGGTAAACCCACACCTGCGCCAGTTATACAATGTCGTCTATTGCGCCTTGTTGCAGAACGGGGTCGCTCATTGCGCACCACAGCAAAAATCACTACCCTGCCATGGATATCCGCCCGTGGATCCGCTTGGAAGGCGAGACTCAGGCTTTTGTTCGTCAGCGACGCCCCCGCACGCTCTTGGACCCGGAAATCTTTTTTCAAACGTCAACGATGGGCCCAACTCGCTCTTTCATGCACCACCACCGTCGCAATGTCAACACGTTGATCCGTATTTCAACAACACATGCTACAACGATAGCATCGCTCCACACGACGTCTCAATCCCACCGGCAGTGCGCAATGACTCTGGTTGCTTCGACACTACATGCTGCTCTCCGATGTCCCCTCCAATGCCTGATACCCCTTATCGGCATCATAGGTGACTATATGGTAGTGCCGTCGATCCGAAGAAGCAGGCCACCGCGGAAGTCCCGAAAAGGGACCTGCCGATCTGCATCACTACTTGTGAACTCACGAAGGAGATGGCTCCGCAAAGCCCGTCTCCGCGACCAAAGAAACATCGCCGCCCGCATATGCCTCGCCTACCTCTACTTCCAACGTACCATCACCCCGCACGCCATTGGGGTGCATACGCCGCGCCTCACACTGATTGAGAAATGGATGAACCCAATTCAACAAAGACAGCTGCACCCTCAGAAGGCAAAGTGTAGGCAACGATAGGGTTGCCAAACCAAGCGAAAGTGCCGGCCGCTCCTTTCCCAAATGCCTCTCGACGCAAAAGACGCCTTTCCATCTTCTTTCCCTTTTCGGCTACTCTCAAAGTTTGCCGTTCGAACTACACTCCGACCTATCCACCTGCACGCCAGTTGCTGTCTTTCAGCTTTCTCCAAAGGGCTCCATTTGGTCTTGCCTCTCGTTAAAGCCACTATCAGCTTGCACCGTACACTGCTAGAGCGCTGTCCAGTGCTTGATCTGCAAGGAATCTCAATGGAGCGAATCCAACTTTCCATCCATTACCAGCCGACGCAGGCATTTTATTCCAGCGTTACTCAGTTCCACCTTGTCGGTCTGCGTTTGCACCCACAGCGCTCCTTTCCGCAATATACGGGTCCGACCTCCCCCCACCAGGCTTGGGCGGAATTTCAGTACGACACTCTTCAATCCAACAACCCGAGACGTGGTAACACATCATTCCTCGTACTGGCGACGCGTTGCCGTCATATCTCTCCAACACCAGCCTCTGTTCCATACCAACCGTCACTTCAGAGCCACTCTTCGACCCATACCGAGGCACATTTGCCTTCGCATTGTCGATCAGCAATTGAAATGCCTATCCAATTCTTAGTTCTACACCTCACTGTTACTTCACGCACCAAGTGATGCATCTGATCGGGCTCTACTCGTCATCTGGCCATCTTTTCCTATAGATCCAGAGTGATCATTTGCTCAACATATCCTTACCGTAGCGAATAGATGCACCTTGTGTCCATACCGTTTCTTTTTTCTCAAGATATGACCAAGAGGTCATCACCATACGGCTTTCTTACTTTTATACCCATGAAAAGCTTTGTCTTTTCGCGTTTGCATCTCTTCATCTCGAATATCACATGCTCGTTTGCTTCATGCAAAAATGTACTTTTTTTTTTGTAACAGATCATTAATATTAGAACGGGGCTCTTTGTGTTTCTCTTGGCCCATGCATGTCTCTTTCATCTAAACATTTTCCCCGTCTCCATCAATCGTTTCTGATGCCATGGTGCCTTCCTTTGAACATTCTGGCCAACGACACCCGTGATCATTCCTCCCCTTCTCCGACAATCAAGAAAACTAATGCGGTGCTTTCTCTCATCGATTAGAATCGCTCCCGCCCCGAGCGCCACTTCCCACGTCCCATACCCTCACAAAAAAGAAAAGTCAATCATTCTTCTTCTACTTCCTTCTTCCTTCCTCCCCCTCCTCCTCCTCATTCTTCTTCTCCCTCTTCCTCCCCCTCATCAAATTCACCTCGCCCCACCCGTCGGCGTCGCACCCACAGGCGGATACACACCGGCCGGCGTCCCCACGGGCGTCCCCACGGGCGTCCCCACGGGCGTCGCTACGGGCGTCCCCGCCGCACCGCCACCGCCACCCACGGACAGCACGCCGTCGGCGCACGAGAAGATGTCCGGGTCGTAGCACTGGGCGCCGCAGGCGGGCAGGGCGCGGCCGTTCTGGATGGGGCACAGCACGTTGGCGCTGCTGTCGGCGTTCACGTTGGCGACGGCGTCGCCGGGAGTGTAGGGCGCCGGGTTGTTGCAGTAGAAGGCGGCGGGGTCGTAGGCGTGGGCGCCGCAGGTGGGGAGGTTGGAGGTGGAGCCGGGGGTGGCGTAGGGTGTGGCGTAGGGAGTGGCGGGTGGGGTGTTGGCCGAGGGGGGTGTGGCGACGAGGGGCGTGCTCGCGACGGCGGGTGGGGTGTTGATGGGGGTGCCTTGCTGGGCGATGGGGGAGGCGTAGGCCGCGGTGGAGAGGAGGGCGAGGGCGAGCTGGAGTTGCATTGTGGGGTTTGGTTTTTTGTTGTTGTTGTTGTTGGATTCGGTTGTGGTTGGTGGTTGGATGGAATGGTCGACGGGGAGGAATCAGAAGCGACTGGTTGCTTTTAGGTGATTATTATGTTGGATGGAGAGATGAGGATGGATTGGCTGATGATGAGAGGATGTTGGGTCTGGTTGGGACGCAAGAGCAGCTGCCTATATACCAGTCTCCCTAGCGGCCTGAGGTCAGAAAAGCTGCCATTGTGCGGAACCCCAACAGCATTGCCCCCAAGCTCGTCGTCATCATTCAACCACGCAAGGACAGCCATCGGCCGAGCACTGCCGGGTCCAGAACGAGCAATGCGGGCTTATTGGTCGCGCATTCGTCCATAGTTTCCTTGTACTGCAAGGCGAAGAAAGGTAGGCAGGGCGATTTCCCAAAGTTGACTGACAACCCTTGACAGGTCCCCAGTATTCGGTTTTACAGGTACAGCTGTTCGGATCGCCTTACCGAAAGTTCCATGGCAGGACCAATCAGGCGCAGGCACATGCTGGCGGCTTCCTTGCTCGCCGCTGAGGCTGTGGGCACCTGGGCGGGCGGCCTTGCGTGCAGGGAACGCAGGGGAATGACGTCGGTCGCCCTTGGAGCTGGGGGGCCGCGCCTCTCGTCTTCACGTGGCGAGACAGGCCGACAGCTGTTGACGCGTCCACCCGGTACCAGAATGCTGGCGGGCGGCGAGGGCGGGAGGTAGTCGGGAAACAGTGGGTCGGCGGAGGGTGGAGGGGACTGATCGGCCAGTCGGATCGCTATTTTTAGGACCCCACCCGTTGCAAGCTCGCCGACCCGACGGGTGGCTGTGCTGGGTGTGGCATGGACTGGCATGGCATGGCGTTTTGCCATCTCGCTCGGCCGCTGTGCCTCTCTTGCCTCTCTCGTGGTGTCGGTGGCTGGGTGGCCGATGCGGCTGTTGCACGCTGCAGGCACGCAGCTGCTGCTGCGCGCGCGCCGTGGGGGCGGCTCTCGGGTGCGGCTTTTTTGCAGCCTGGTCTGCAGCTGTGACGTGCGCAATAGGGGTCCGGGAATGCCGTGCAGGCTCGCAAGGCTGTGAGGCTCTTCAAGGCTGAAAAGCCTGCGGCGTCGCCTGGCTGCGCTTGCCCCAGCATCTCTAATATGCCCCGTTCCGGCCTAGCGCTGCATTGCCGCCCCCAGCCCTCCGCCCTCCAGCGACTGCAACTCTCTCTCTTTGACCACGCGCATTGCGACCCCCTCCTCGGGCCTTCTATATCACGGCCAATACAGCATTGCGGCGCGCAGCGTCGGCGCCGCCACATTGGCCCATTCTCGCCGCACCGGCCGTATCCCGCCAGCGCCGGCCGCTGCTCACAAACACAAGCTAAATATGTCGCTGGGCGCTGGAGCAATGCGTCATCACGGTGCGTGCTGCGGGGTAGCCCAAGGACACACTGGTACTTTCGTCGGCCAGAACGCTCCCGTTCGCTGTGCTTTGCAACCGTTCCCTGGCCGTGGTCTGGCCACGCACGGCGGCGGGCTGCAGTGAGATGGGATTTGCTGGCCGAGGGCCTGCTGCAGTATGGAGTCTGACGCCCCACGAGCACATTCCGGTCTGGGGGCACGGCTGACGAGGGGCATTTGTGGAGGTGCCAGCAGCGCCGCCGTGACTGGCCATGGTGCGGCGCAAACAGGCGGCGGGGAGTCGCGCGGCAGCAGCCTGGCGAGACGAGCGAGACGAGCGGCGGCGATCGGCGCACCAAAGCCACACGAGAGGGCAAACCGACACGTGAAGATGGAGCTCGAGGACGGCCGCCGGCTACCTGGGCGGTGAGCAGTGCGACGTGCGACGCCAGCGCTGCGTGCCGCCTGGAGCTGACTGCTCGGTGTTGCCGCCGCCGCGAGCATTCGGCGGAAGCGGGCAGCTGTGCGAATGCCACCGCTGGCAAGCTGGCAAGCCGGCAGCACCTTGACGTCTGGACTACTGAGTGCTGGACGCAGCTCGGGCTCCAGTGGACCATCACGTGGCGCAGTGCGCGGAGGACGTCCAATGGCCGCTGGGGCGGGAAATCTCATCGCGGCGGCCCCTTGCAAGGCGGTACGACGATTACAACACACCCAGCTTCACCACGAGCCCCTAGCACAAGCACGACGGCGCGGATCCGGCGCGCCCGCTGGCCACGAGTTTGTCGCGCCCGCTGCCACGTAGCTGCGCCGTCGCCCAACGCCTCTCGTCTGACGGGCCCGCGCAAGCAGCAGCGGCAGCAGCAGCAGCAGCAGCTTGGAGTCGCATGGACATGGACATGGACCTGGAAGCAGCTCGCCGCACGCACGCGCGCGCACGCCCGCGAGCAGCCTCCGCATCCGCATCGAACACGCCGGGTCCCGATGCGCAGCTCTGCCGCACCAGGCCATAGCGCCGCCGCCGCGCTTAGTGCTCAGCTCGACCGCGTCCGTCCCGCCTGAGGCGCATGCGACGCCCGAGTATTTATATCATTTCCGCGCAGACCTCCCCAAGCCCGCCTGTCTCAGCCAGCGCGCCCTGTCCCTCAGACCCCAGCACTAGCAGCGGCACCGCGGTAAGCTTATACACACCCACCCCCGGCCCAGCGCACCCAGACATCTGTCAGCACTAGGGAAAGGCGCCCGCGCATTGACACCGTCTGCCAGGGCATTCCCTACGAAACATCCCATATAGGCCGACTGCGATCCCGATCCACTCGCCATTGCCCTTCTGACCCGCGCCCGAAGCCCAGCTAGACGCCCGCCCGCCTCGCCCTTCCCGCCGCCGCCCCGGAGCGAATCGCGCGTCAGCTTATCCCGCCCACTCCGAGTGACGGCTTGCCTGCCCGTCCGCAAGCTTCCCCTTCCACGGCGCGCGTCTGCGAGCGGCAAGGCAGGGTTGGAAAGCAAATAAACACCTGCGAAGCCCGGCGAGACGAGCCGCCGAGGATCTGCGGTACACTGACCTCTGAATTCTCCGGCTTCACCAGAGGCAATGCCGCCCGACAGCTCCTCGTTTACCGCGCTGAACGTCTCGAGCTCTGCCGTGCCGGAATGGATGGGCTCCTTCTCCCTGTCGGCGCCGCCGAACACCGATCTCTGGCGCAAGCCGCCCAGCAGTGATACCTCGACCGCCCCCATTCTCTACACCGCCCTGCGCAACCCCTTCGTGGCCGCCGAGGTCACCGTTTCCGCCGACTGGGAGCTCGAGTGGGATCAGGCCGGCTTGGTGATATTCGCAGGCGCGCCCCCGGGCCGCATCGGGGGCTCGCAGCAATCACCACCTCCAGCAACAGTTGCGCCCACTGGCCCGACGCCTGCCCAGTCACAGCCGCCCGCTCAGCCGCAGCCGCAGCCGCAGCAGCACGACGCCCCTCCGCCCGCCTACACGCCGCCTGCGCCTGCCTCGAAATGGGTCAAGGTCGGCCTGGAATTCAGCAACAACGAGTGCCATGCCACATCCGTGTGCGCCACATGTGATGGCGCCGACTGGGCGCTCACCTCCCTGCCCTCGCACCGCGGCCGCCGGTCGGATCTGCGTGTGAAGATGGAGCGCATCGGATACGCCTTGTGGGTGTGGTACGAGGACGACGTCAGTGGGTGGAAGAAGCTGCGCGAAGTGACGTGGTTTTTCTGGGGCGTCGAAGACAAGGCGGTGCGCGTGGGTGTTTATGCGTCCCGACCCGCCAACCTTGGTGCAACGCATTACGAACGCCGGCACGGCGGTCCTCGTGTGACACAACGAAACCTGCTCGTGGAGTTTGAGGGTTTGGAGATCTTCTAAGGCACCGTCGCCCGTTTTTTTATTATTTTTATACCGATAATCTTTCCTCTCGCGGATCTGGTCATCTGTAACACCACTCCGCCCTCTTTCGTCTTGTAAAAAGGGTCCGGAACCGTCGGCAGCGCCGCAAAATATCCCTCCCAAAATCTTTTTTTTTCTTTTGGCCGTCAACTGCCCTTTTCAACTTTTCTTGGTTTATTGCATTAGCAGATATCCCGGAGAGCGATTGACATCCATCTTTCTCAGTCAGGAGTCATCTCTATTTCTTCATATTCGGCTTCGCAAAAAGGAAAGTTGTATTCCCTTGGGGTTGTGCTCGATGCAGTCGGATGGCACTGCATCATCAGTCACAGCAAGGCGCACTGGCCGTTTTTTTTTTTGGATTTTTTCTTTCGGAGTTCATTTCGTTTCATAGTCAAAAATTTTCAGGTCTCGGTATTGGGAATCCGCAGCATAAAGATTGAAGGTCTCGAGTTGTTAATATGACGCAAACTGTAATTTCGGGCTGTCTTTCTTTTTTTTGGGGGGGATCATTATCTGCGCCGTCTTATACCTATGAGGCGACATGGTATCAGCGACGGCTTAATAATTTGGTGAGTACTGGGTGTTCGGAACTTCATCCAATGTATATTTATTATAAGGAGCTGGTTGCGTTCGCAGCAGCTCCTTGCTATTTTCTATTGACACTCATTCGAGCTTTTCGTGTCATGTCAAATGTTGCATCTTTCGAGACTGGTCACTCTCAAGGCCAATTTCGATGGTGATATGTGCAAGTTCACGTACTAAGGAAGGCGGGAACTGCTGGGAATTCGGTCAGCAGAACTTGGAGGTGTTCTATCAGCTGAGATAAGCTTGAGCGTGCATATGGTCCTACAATTTCTGATGGGCACGGTCTAGCAAGACTATCGTCAAAGCGGGAGATTTCGTCTCAGTCGACTAGCTAAACCACGATGTTCACTGCAGCACTTTACGAATGCGGTACCATCTTGGGCCGCCTGCCATCGTCCTCCTGCCTCATGATGGCACAAAATTACAAACGGCATTCTTCCAATTATTCTCACCCCGGAGGGGTTTTTTTTTTCTTTCTACAAGCTCTTCGATATAGATTCTCGTCAAGCGCCGCTAGTGCATTCCGAACGGCTTGCGCACCCACCGCTAAAGCTAACGGCACCAAAAGTAGCACAATCAATAACTTCAATCCCCGCGCTAGCGTCTCCATGGTCACTATCAACGATATCACACTGGGGTAATTAGAACCTTGGCTCCTCAGCAGCGTTGAGGTGCTTGGAGTGCTTGTCTAGATGACCTTCCCTTTACATTGTTCATTCATTGGTGGTAGGAGCCCGTCGTCTGCATATTTATGTATGACCCTCAACTGCATCGACGTCTGGGTAATTGGTCGCTTTAATCACTCATGGAGGAAATTCTAGGCTTGAGCGAAGCTTTAATTGGAGGTATGAGGTCTTGGTAACTCAACGTATTTTCATAAATAAAGCCGTGAACTGTCGACGCATGTGACCATTATGTACCCCGTCCGACCGTCCGACGATCGTCAGTCGTGCTCCTCGAAATAGCCAATTTCTCCATCCATTCTAAACCCCTAAACCCCTAGTGTTACATTCAAAGATACCCTCCGCTCTTCGTCGGCGCAAGCAAATGCAACACCAAGCCCCCCCAGACCACATTTCGAAACAATGCTGGGTTGTTTAGCGCCTTTTCTTCGTCCATGCCTTCACAAAATCCGACTTTTCCCTCACGCCCAGACCCAGCCGCTTCACCCTGCCCAAACGAGCCAGATCCTCTCCCACGCGATCAAGCACCTTCTTCTCCTCTGGGCTAAGCTCAGCGTACTCTGAAATCCCCTCGCCAAGTGGAGTTCCCTCAAAGGCGTTCGCTGAAATGCGACTGTTTGGCAGGGGCGAGTGATCGCGGCCGGTTGAAGAAGCTGGCATCTCGAGCTTGAAGCCGGCGGTGTTGAAGACGGCCTCAGCAATCCGCACTCGTATGCAGTGGGTAGGCTTCGAGCACAAATTCCACAGGAACTTGAGGTATTTCCCGGGAATGGGAGTGGCAACATCGGTTGGGGTGTAGCGCAGGCTGACGGGGAAGATCTTCGTCCTTGCTGGAACCGTCAGGAGACTCGGGCTGAATGGCAGAATGCCGCGGCCATTGGTGGTCGTGCACTCAGGGAAGACTACGATCGAAGCGTCTGGATTTTGTGCAATGAGCTTGGCGATGGGGACGAGCGTAGCGTTGGGCGGCGGAACGTCAGCAGGCGAGGATAGGGCATGCAGGATGGCTCCGAAGCAAGTAACGCGTTGGACGAGTCGTGTGGAGGGGTACGAGACGGTAAAAATCGGATCGAAAATGGCGGCGAGATAGAGAGCATCGAGGGGCGAGGTGAAGGAGGAGGCGATGATTGTGCCTCCGTGAGGTAGGCGCTTCTTATCCTGCTTCGCCAAAGACCTGCCGTGGTACACGTTAGCAGCGTCCCGATGTGACTTCTTGGCTCACGCACCCTCTCTTGACACCGTCGATCTGTAAATCTATCCACCAGATGCCGGGTATGCCCAACATCAGCCATAGCGCAGCTTTGCGGACTAGCGAGCCGACCGGAAGCCAGCTGAGCAGCAAGAAGTACACTGCGGCAGCGGTGAAGAGCAGCGGCACGCGACAGGCGAAGAGGAAGAGGTGGAGGGGTAGCGCAAGCTTGGAGGACTCGGTGGTGACGGGAAAAAAGGGGGCAACCCCGGTGCCTGCAGCAAAGGTCAGACAAGCATCAATGGTGAGAGCCCAAGGCCAGCGCACCTCTGTCGCGGTACTGCGAATACTTCTCCATTGCGAGGGTTGAGCTGGAGGAGAAGCCGGGAGTGCGAGGCGCTGTCCAGAAATCAGGCTGCTCGAGAGCTTCACGCAACTCCGTTCGGTGCCCGAAGCACACAGAGCGGGCGTTGGCAGCGCGCGAGGTGAGAGAACGTGGCCGACGGCAGTGACGTTCATGTGAAAGCCGCAGGGCTGGCCAGCTCAAGCCAGCTCCAGCTGCAGCTTGGCTGAGTCAGCGGCACCGGGGCCGGGAGCGTGGTTGCGGGCTTGGCAGCGCGTTGGGGGGAAGGAGCGACGGCCCGTGCGCATTGTTTACAAGCAAGCGACGCAAGAAGCAGCAGCTCTTCAACGCCGCAGAGCTCCACTCCACCCGCCCGCGCCGATAACAACACCCCGTTGCCCCGCTGCCCACCCCCGGCCTGCGATGAGGAGCTTATAGCTCTCGCTGTTTGTCCGCGCTTCTGTTATTCCTTCTCTCCGTCACGCCCGCCTCGTCGTCATGGACTCCCGCGAGAATTCGGTATGCTGCATGATGCGCTCGCATTCCAGCCTGTCCCAAGGTCCATTGACTCTGACCGTTACCTTTGCAGAGGCCCACCGGCATCAAGCCGCCTAGCAAGCTGCCCGCGCTGTCTACCGCTGGCCGCGGTCTGTCGGAGCTGTCCGCGGCGGACAACAACTCACGCGCTATGCCGTCGACCCTCGTTCCCACCAAGCACAAGGTTACTGGCCGTACGTCGTCGCCACAGCGCATTGTTTCCATTTTCCCGCTGATCTCAGACTCAGTTCCTGAACCCGCACACAAGCTGCCCCGGAAGACCTTGGCAGAGAAGGCTGGCGAGACCAAGTCCAAGGTTCCTGCTCCGCCGAGCTCGAAGCCCGTCAATGGCATCGTCAAGGCCACCACAGCGGCAGGTATCCGCAACGGCCCATACTCATCTTCAGTCTCAGCAGCCTCGACACGTCCTACTCGCGCCAACTCCAACACGACTTATTCCAACAGCTACAGCCAGCCACCCCGCACTGTCCGACCGCAGACGTCCATGGCACATACGCGGAGCCAGTCCCATCAGACCCCCGCGGCTCGGCCACGCACGGCCGTAGAAAGCGATGACAGCGATCCGCCATCGCTCAGTAAGCGCAAGGGTACGGCTCCTATTTCTATTACAGCTTGCGTTCCAGCAGAGGAGGTCAGGCCTAGACGGGTACGCGGGAGCTCAAGCACTCAGAGCGAGAACTTCTCGTGTCGCAAAAGATCTCGCGCTACCCAGGTGACTCCGCACGCTGCGACCGAATTTCTCTCTCAGCCTGAGCAGCATTTTCAATTTCAGCCTTATGTTCAGCCCCCTCAGCCCGAGCAAGCGGGACGCCGGAAGTCTGCCCGGGATGTATCGCTTTCAACACGATTCCAGTCCCTGACACTCACGGACGGAATCAAAGAATGCATCCCGGAAGATGAGGAACCGCCTGCTACACCATCTCTCATACCCCGTCCTGTACTTGCTCAGCTTCAGCCTCTGCCGCCTCCACCGCCCCCAGCAACCCCCACACAGTTTCGCTATCGTGCTGCGTCACCTTCCAAAGAGCCAGTCACACCTTTTTTGAGTAAAGATTCTAACACGCGTGCGCCTTTTGTAGCATGGGATACCAAGGGTCGCCTCGAGGATATGGAGGCCCTCTATACCGAGCTCAGGCATCAAATGCAGAGCACTACGACCGAGCGTGAGAACATGAAGGAAAATGTCGAGAGCTACAAGACGAAAAGTATGTCAGCTACGCTTGCGCAAATCAGCTACTCCCTTCAGGAGCTCGTCATCGCGCGCTACATCACACAACCAAAGATCTTGAAGTTAACCATTGCTCTTGCCACCGCAGTTCACGAACTCGATGCGATGCGAGTACAACTGTCAACGAAAGTTGACTCTTACAGATCCGACCTAGAGAACACAAGGCTGAAACTAACCCAATCCGAAGTCGCCCTGGACGCCGCCAAGAGAGCGCATGCGTTCGAATTGAAGGACCTTCAGAGACAGAGTGAGCATGAGTTGAAAGACATGCAATTTCAACACGAGAGGGAATCCATGAGGCTCAAGCAAGACGCCGAGCGGAAAGCGGATGAGCTGCAAAGGAAGCTGGAGGCCCAAGCCAGCGATTTGAAAAGGGAGTACGAGCAAAAGCACGCAGACTTAAAAAAGGAGCTGGAGGCAGAGTTGGAGAAGGAGAGGCAGCTCCGCGTCAAGGAGGTCTCGGAGCTGAAGACGGAGACTGAGCTTCATCGCCAGAATGCCGGAGTCGACCTGGAGCGCAGGGATCGTGAAATGAGAGAGCTCAAACGCGAGAACGAGCAGTTGCAGGCCGATCTCGAACGGAAGACTACGCTCGAGAAAAACCTCCGCGACAAGCTTTCCGAGGCCTCTACTAACACCCTGACCCTTGAGAGCGCCAACAGCGCCATGAAAGCCAAAATCAACTTCCTCGAATCAGACAGCCAAGCGCAGTCTTCGGCTTTTGGCGAGCTCCAGAAGCAGATGCAGGAAGCGATTGATGCAGCTGAGGAAGCGAAATCCAAGCTCCGTGCCGAGGAGACGCTTCGCCGCAAGCTCCACAACCAAGTCCAGGAGCTAAAGGGCAACATTCGTGTCTTCTGTCGTGTGCGTCCACCGGCGGAGACGGAGGCCCCCCAAGCTGCGGAAATTGCCTATCCGGATGCCGGGAAAGACAGCAAAGAAGTGGTCATCCAAGGTCCGCAGCAAAAGAGCGCAATGGGTACTGTCACCCAGTCTACGAATCCTTTCACCTTCGATCGTGTCTTCGGCCCCGGTTCCCAGAATGCCGAAGTTTTCGAGGAGATCTCCCAGCTGGTGCAATCTGCTCTCGACGGCTACAATGTCTGCATCTTCTGTTACGGACAGACTGGCTCGGGCAAGACCTTTACCATGTCTTCAGTCGATGGCATGATCCCTCGCGCCGTCAAGCAGATCTACGAGACGGCGCAGGGTCTGGAGGAGAAGGGCTGGAAATACAAGATGGAGGGCCAGTTCGTCGAAGTCTACAATGAAAACCTGAACGACCTGCTTGGTAAGACGGAGGAGCTCGACAAGAAGAAGCTGGAAATCAGGCACGATCCGGCCAAGAAGCAGACGACGATTACCGACGTCACCACGGTTGCTCTCGACAGCCCGGACAGAGTGCAGGAGATGCTTTCGAGCGCTTCGCGCAACCGCAGTGTCGCGGCAACCATGGCGAACAGTCGTTCGTCTCGGTCCCACTCGGTCTTCATCCTCAAGCTCAAGGGCGAGAACTCCATCACTGGCGAACGTAGCGAAGGCACGTTGAATCTTGTCGATCTTGCCGGTAGTGAGCGTTTGAGCCACTCGGGCGCCACAGGTGACCGTCTCAAGGAGACGCAGAACATCAACCGCAGCTTGAGCTGTCTTGGCGATGTTATTGGAGCACTGGGCTCTGGAAAGGAGGGAGCTCATGTGCCGTACAGGAACAGCAAGGTAAGGCCCGGTTTCGCTTCATGCGTTAGGAAAGTCACTGATGATTGCTCATAGTTGACTTATCTGCTGCAATACTCTCTTGGCGGCAACTCCAAGACGCTCATGTTCGTCATGATCAGCCCGCTGCAGCCTCATCTGCATGAGACCATTACGAGCTTGAAGTTCGCGACCAAGGTACGCCGCATCAAGTCAAGACATTGTATGAGACGGCCACGAGTCATGTGCTAACTCAGGTTTCACAGGTGCACAACACGCACATTGGCACCGCCAAGAGGCAGGCTAAGATCAAGGAATAAACCTCATCCTCGTCCAAACCCTCACCTCAGCCTCTGTTAGGGTCAATGAAGCGACCTTTGTGCCTGATGCCCGTGACGACATCGAGCATCAGGCCACTGTATATAGAGGGTCGAGGTGGACAGTTGTTCTCTTCCGTTGTTTTTCATGCTTTATATCACATCGGCCGGACCAAGCCTACCCTCGCCTTTGGCTGGGGCCGTGCCGACGCTTTTTTTTTTAACTGGAGACGACAACGGCTCGTGGGCGTTTTGGGAATTTTACTTTTGGCGGCCGTACGTCGCTCACCAGACGACGAGCTTTACCTCTGGTTCATAGCTTGAAGGTCTTGCTCCGCTCCTGTCGAATGGTAGGGAACATCTTCTGGCCTGCAAGGCTTACGGGTGTTTCTTTTTTGTTTTGTTTTCTTGGTTCCAATAGAAAGGGTGTTGTCACTGGATCACGAATGGTGGTGGGTTGGGGGTAGAAGGGTTGGTTGATGGAGGAATGAGAGATGGTTTTCTTTTTGGATGGATGAATGGTCGGATGGACGAAAGGGGATGTGGTTCTTTAAGCTTATGTCTACGTACATCATCTCTTTGATTTGGACCTAGCAAGCTCTTTCCTCCCTCCCTCCCGAATGTCTCGTGTTCAACAAAAAAGCAAGCTATCTGTTGGGATGTGTGCCAGGGGCGTTGGTGTGTGGCGTGGTAAGAGCGAGAGCGAGGCTGAGGCCTTCTACTGTGGTCGTAGAGGTGGTGGTGGAGGGCTTGTCGGGTGACTTGACCTTTGCTGAGTAGGCATGTTTATGCACGGTGGATGGTGTGTAAGCCCGGGGGTAAGAGCGAGTCTTGAGCGTGGACAGATTTGGCCACCCACGTGGTGCGAGATACGTAGATGCATCCGCTTCATTGGGCCAGCATAGTGGTATTGATGGGAAGACAGGTATGGAAACCCCCCCCTGGACGACGACGAGGTGATGCCGACTCCGAGAGATCCAAACACGACTGACTACTGGAGAATGCGGAGGAGGGAGGTGGAAGGTGGAATGATGGGGCAGCCTTGCACGTCGAGACGAATCCCATGGCGCCACATGCCCGGCCGGCGGGCGCAATGCGGCGCGACGGAAGCTCATCCACCACCCCGGGCTTACATTAAAAGTCGCACTCGTGGACGTCTAAAAGACCATTCATCAGTTGGATCCATGTTCCGGGGCGGGCAGGTGTGATCATCAATGCTCGGTACGGTTCCATGAGGCCGCATTCCGTTGCGCCATGGATGATGCCTCACTGCTCCTGACGGGGAAGCCCAATTAGGCCGCACTCTGACGCCAGTTGCCTCCCAACCGTGATGTCGAAGGGCGGTTCGTACAGCGTCGTGACTTTGAAGCGAGCGGTGCGCGGCGGTCGTTTGCGTTTCAGTCCTCCCCTTCGGCCGGGGATGCTCCATTCGAGGTCGACGAATCCTTGGACATGAAGCACGTTTCCTTCCAGGATCAGTGTCGTGTCGTCGTCTTGGGCTTGCTGTATTTCCATCGAAAGGACTTCGATGACGAGCTTTGGCGAGATCATGTTGATGTCTTCGTTGTCGTGTACCGCTTAGGACATGACTGCCAGCTTCTGGGTCACAGTGCCAGAAGGCTGGTGGAGGTGGATGGCCGCCATGGTGGTGTTGGAGTCCTGAAGCGCGAGACATGTTTCTCCTAGTCAGCATGGCTCTGGTCAGCTGGGCCCAGAGGAGTCTGCTTGCCTGGGTGGGCATTGAGGGATTGTGGCCAAAGCACATGCTTGAAGATACCGTGCGTGGTCTTGAGAAGTTTCAGGGAGATGGCGATGACGTCCGAGAAGGCTGGTTCTCACTTGGCTGTGCGTCTGCTCTCTGACATGCTTCGTAGCTACGAACACAACTGAAGTCTCGTGAATAAAAGATTAAACTTGTAATATGGCATGCATGCGTGGCAATGTATTTCACGAGCATTCGGACCAATGGTCTGGGCCAGAGTTCAGCTGTCAAAGAGAGTGCTGCGTATATACGGGAGTGAACTGTCAATGTGAATCAAATGCGTTATCAGGACAAGACTTCATTGACCAAAGCTCCGCTCAATGTGACTGACTATCAGTCTCTAACTGCTAGAGATGATGAGACGGGAGTGGTGAAGCCCATGTTGACCGGTTCACCCTGTTCTGTTTTGGAGTTGCAGCCTCTTTCGCCGCTTTCTTCTCTGCCTCTCTCTTCTCTCTCTTTGTGTCTTTCTCAATCTCCCTTTGATCCTTCACATTTTTCTTTTTGGCTTTCTTGAACCCCAGTATCTAGAATGCCGGTAATTAGCGTCTTGCTATATGGGCCTGGTCAGAAAGACACACCGTTGGAAGCTTTGCGCCGAGCACGTTCGAGGCGATGTACAAATTGAGTCGTCGACAGACCAAATACAACGTCCGCACGCAAACCATCAATCACCAGGAACTCGTTATATGGCGCATCTCTGATGAAGTTGTCTGGGCACTTTATCAATTGCCCAGGGATGTCCTCATCCAAGTTGATACCTCGCCAGCATGTATTCTTGAGAAGCCCAAGCACATTAAGGCGCCGGCCGTCCGATGTCTCATAATACGTTCCAGGCTCCGTTCCTGTCGGCAATGGGTCGGGCTTGCGGCCCCAGAATTTGAGTGACCTCCAGAACGATCGTTCTCCATCGCTTCCTCGCGACGCATAAGGCTCAAAGTCACCCAACTTGCCCCTAGACTTATTCAGAGCAAAATTCTTCGACATACACTGACAGTCGGTGCCAAATCTTGCAATAGCACTATCGAGGGATGAGCCTTTGACTGCTTGGCCGTCCTGCAGCGCGAAATCAACGTATCGGTGGTAGTCATCCTGCAACGACCGAGAATTAGATATACGATCACATGTAAGGTGGCTTTTACCTCGCGCGCATACTTTCAATGTCCCGCACTTGTAGAATTGTAACCAGGACGGTCGACCACGATCTGACATTGTCACACCAAAGGCAGCGAGCGGCAAGACCGCACGTGTAGCCTGGTCAGGTGGCACGTAGAGTTCGTTCGTGAAGCTGGTGGCCCGGCTGCTCAAGGGACGATCGGTCGGAGGAAGTGGCGCGGTAAGCTGAGATTGATTCAGGGCTGAACGGTTGCAGAAACCAACGAGGGAACCCGAGCTTTTGAAGGCGGAGTGGAGGCTCAACATATAAGGCTAGGGGCCCAGGGATGCGAGCACAGTGCACTGCTAAGGTGATTTCGGGTGCTGACGTTGGGACGGTACCTTGTTGTGAAATCAGGACCGAAAATTGAGATATTATAAACCGCGCTGCCCCGGGGTTTTAGGGCGGTTTTGACCAACAAGGAAAGTGTTTCGAGCCTTTGGCCTTGTATGACCAAGTGTCTGTCGAATGGCAGCTCGGCTCATCTGCAAGGCCAGCAGATGGGTTGACGCCCCGATACACTGCATCCCGATGATCCCATACATGAGTTTGTTGAGGGACCTTTGTTCCCCCTCTTTGAGCGCTTCATTTTCCCAACGCGTTCCCAAATGGCCGGCCCTGTACTGTACGATGCTCAGACCGGCTAACGGGCGTTCCAAGTTTTGCCCATCCTTGTCTATTGAAAGCCAACAACAACGATGATTAGCCAAAGCAGTCCGTGTTGATCCAAAAGAGGTTTAGCGCGTATATATTGAGAGGGACACATACACGGTTTCCTCTGTTGATAGAACCCCTTTGAGGGTCGTCAGTGGGTCATCTTGGCCCATTGTTGCCAGTAGTACGTCAGTTGAGAGTTGAGAGCAGCTTCTCAGGAAATCCGACGAATCGACCGAGTTTCAAGAACCAAAAGCATAGTATCTCTCTCCCTGTGCAATTCCCTGTGGCATCTCCAGCTCCGATATCAGGGTAGCACTGCGCCTTGTTCCATGTACGTCAATCGTTCCACGGCGAGTAACATCCCGCGAGGCAAAAAGAAAGCAAGACACCAAAGGTTGTGGTCACACTTGCTCGAGCTGTGAATAAAAAGAACATAGACATGTGTAGTACCATAATTTAAGCGGAGATTGCCTTATCCTGATGGACATTGAGCCAAACTTTGCAAGGAGAAGGCAAGCTTTAGACAGTGGAAGCTAGATCGAGCGTAGCCGGGATTCCGGGAAGACCAACAAGTCTTGATCAGCATGACCACTCGAACCACAAGTTAATTATAAAGCGACGGCGTAGTTTCTTTTTTTTATTTTCATTTTCCTGTGGAGCTCTTTCACTCCCGGCTGGGTGTGGGCTTGCTTTTTTTTTGGTGTTGGAAGTGGGGTCAGGGTGTGATGAATTGACAGGGCTAAAACCAAAGGGAAAGAGACGGAAAGACAACATCCAGCCTACTGCAGAGTCAAGGGTAATGACACGATTGTGCCACTCGATTCTAGGGACTTCCAAAATCGACAGATTCACCGCCGGTGGCAAGCATCATCGCTTATATGAAACTGGAGCTAGAGTGCCAAAGATAGATAGCATCATCCAACCAGTCCGGCTGACCACTGTACATGTAGCCAGTCTTTGCCTATTGTCAACCTCAACTTCCTTTCACGCCGGTGGCTTGCATTCATTCGTTTATCCTCAATTACTACCATGCAAAAACCTGGCACGTATCGAATGCTTGAGGCAACGGTGTCGTACCTCAGCATCTACCAGCCCTTTCAGTCCGTCGACAGCACCATGCAAGCACTTTCAATCCACACACAATCTGCAATCTCACGGCTTATCCGTCGAGCCTGAGGTGCAGGTGATTGCCTCATCCCGCGTCGGAAAATTCGTCCTCTTTACAGCCTCAGAACCAGTTGTAGGCCCTTCTGCCTTCACAGCCCGCCCGTCACCGCCAGGATGCATCATGTCCGAGGGAAGGAAAGGCTTACGAAGGCTGGATTGCGCAGTGGTCGGCAGGTGCTCGACCATCCGATGGTCTCCGTGGCGGTCATTGAGGGCCCGGAATAGGAATTGTCGCGTGCGCAGCCCTGAACCTATACATTTGAATGGGACCGGACGTCAGAGCTGTCACCCAGATCCGACCGTCGTTCAGGAACCACCTCGTAGCAACGAGCCGACTCGAAAGGTATGGTGTTGGCGTGCGATTGCGTGGGTCGGCGGTAGCGATCAGGGTGCGCGATGAACTGGTGAAGGGGTCATGTCAATATGGCAGCAGGCTTGCGACATGTTGGGCGGCCGTTGTGGCGACAGCGTCTTGCGTGTTGCGAAGCGACTGTCGGCGGGCGGAGAGTGACGGACGGAGAGCGAGAGCGAGCGGGTCAGGTAGCGGGCAATCAGCAGAGAAGGCACGGCCAATGAGGGCACGGGCGATGAGCTTAGTCAGGAGTGCTTGCCCCCATTGAGGTTTCGAGAGCGTGCACAAAGCGCGGGTGGCCAACAAGGTGCTCAAAACTTCGTGCCTGCACCTTCCCCTTCTTCTGCTAGCGCTGCCTCGTCCGCTCGTCGCCGTCATCAGCCTCCCAGCCTTCACCCGCAACCCTCAATCCCGCAGTCGCCGACCCTCACCACGCCCGCCGAAAAAAACCGACGGGCCAAACATGGCGCTCGACAACGACACCCGCGGCTGGATCATGACCGCCATGAGCGGCATAGGTGAGTGCCCGCTGTCCCATCCGCGTCGGCGGCCAACTGCTAACTGGGCTGTTTTGTGGGGGAAAAGCATGCGTGCTCGGAGGTAAGTGCCGACTCAACCCAACTTGCCGCGCCGCTCAGCACTGATTCAGCCCGGCAGCCTCCGTCATCTGCATCGACATCGTCGTTAGGATGTTCCCCGGGAAGAAGAACTTCAGGGTCCAAGACAGCAACACCTTCCTTTCCGCCTCTCTGAGCCTGAGCTTCGGCGTCATGGTAAGACTTTTCCCGCCCAGCCTACATCATGCCACGCTGACCATGCGAAGCTGTTTTCCTCGCTGTATAGCATGCTTCCCTCTGCCAAGAACTCGCTGCAGAAGGGCGGCCACTCACCCAAGGCTGCAGCATGGATCCTCATCGCCTGCTTCCTCGGCGGCGTCATTGGCATCCAACTGGTCTCGCGAGTCATCCATCACTTCATACCCTCCCACATCGTCGACTGTGACCATACTCATGGCGACGAGGAGTCGCCAGAGCATGACCATGACTTCGACAAGGCCTCGCCAGCTCATGAAGATGACGAAGATGAACACAATGCCCACCAACACCCTGTGCTGCCCAACAGTGCCGCAGTCAGCTTTGACGCTTCCGCGAACAGCGACATGGTGAACAGCACCGACTCTTTCCAGCCCCACAGAGACTACCCTTCCGCTCGGAGGCCGTCTTTCCCAGCCCAGTTAGCCCGCAAAGCTTCGAAAATTGTGCTGAGGGCAAAATCCCATTGCGATGAGGTCGGTCCCTGCCACGGCTTCACTGACCCCTGCGGCTCCGAATGTTTCAAGATCGTCCAAGCCAGAGGAGGCACCCGAGCTCCCATCCATACATGGCCGCGCCAGCCCGGCGTGGCCAGGAGCGTCACCGCACCGCACACCAGCAGCACGTTGCACTCTGAGCGCCAGCCCTTGCTTTCGCACACCCAGGAGAACGAGGGGCCAGACTATAGGACCCTGTCATCGACCGCCTCCCACGGACGCACAAACGGCTTCTCGAAACCACGGAGCACTCGTTCGACACACTCAACTCACGATCATCACGATCATGACGACCATCACCATCACCCTGGCCACCACGATGACGACCATCACCATGATTCGCACGAGCAAAGCCATCACCACCACCACGTTCCAACCAATGCCTTCATGTCCATCGGTCTCCAGACATCCCTCGCCATTGCCCTCCATAAGCTTCCTGAAGGTTTCATCACCTACGCCACCAACCACGCAAACCCACGGCTTGGTTTCGCCGTTTTCTTGGCTCTCTTCATCCACAACATCACCGAAGGTTTCGCCATGGCTTTGCCCCTCTATCTTGCCATCAACAGCAGATGGAAAGCCATGGTGATCAGCAGTATCCTCGGTGGCGCAAGCCAGCCTCTTGGCGCGGGTGTAGCTGCTCTGTGGTTTAGGATCGCGGGCCACACCGGCATCGGGGAGCCCGGCGAATCGGTGTATGGAGGCATGTTCGCTGTCACTGGTAAGTCTCATTCATCACAATCGTCCTTCCCCCTGCATCTTTGTAGCTGACTCTTATGTTCTCGTGTAGCTGGCGTCATGACGTCTGTAGCGCTACAACTGTTTCAAGAGAGCATAGCCTTGACCCATAGCCGCAACCTTTGTATGATATTTGCATTCGTGGGAATGGGAATCCTGGGCATCAGTTCTGCTTTGACGGCATAGTGTGGTGCGTCGGTCAGTCTTTGCATTGAGCTAGCGCGCTGTACGTTGTTAGCGGCGTATAAATGGGAGGCTGGCGATCTGGGCTATGTATTTCTTCGCTTTTGGAATTGAGGTGTCCATTTCGAGTTTATCATTACTCACTTTTGCGCCTTTGGATATGGTGGTTGTTACGCCGTGGCGGTTCTTGCCGGGCACATGGCCCTTGCATGCTTCTCCTGCATATAAACCCGCTCCTCGTTCGTCCCAGACCACGGCAATCAACTTGACTTCGGCGTTCGCCTGGGCCTTGGGTCTGGGTCTGGGTCTGTATTCACTGGGGCCCTCGGGGGATCTTTCAACACGAGGTTTCCGATGCGACTTTCGTTCCTTCGTCATACGTTGCACACATTCCGCGAAATGACAATCGATGTTGATAGTGATGTTGATGAAGTGCATCACTCTTCCCTTTCAATGTGCCTTTTTTCATACACGGTTCAGCGGAGTTGGACTTCAACAACATCACTGTCGAATGCTGAGGTTCAACTTCAGCGTGTGCGTGTGTGCGTGTGTGGAACTGACGTATCCACTGCCGACCGACAGGCACACCGAACGCAGGAATAGACTGGGTAGGTTTCCACTTCAAAAGCGAGTGTAATTCACTCTTTCATTCCAGGCAGGAAGTAAGCCTCCACGAAAGTGTGTGTTGTTCCTTCAGGAGGCAGTGCGGTAGGGTTGTGGCCGTTTATTGTGATGGGCGGTGATTGGATGGTTATTATGAGTCGTGGTTTAATTGCAGGTGAGCCCGTGGGGTCACATGGATGGTCGTGGGAGTGAATGAGCGTGGCATATGTGTGTGTCTCGTGGGGTGCGGAACTGCAAAGGGCAATGCAGGGGCACCGTTGCTGCGCGTGGGGCAGGTGGTCTGGTGCGGGGAGGCCGGGTCATGGCGGCGGCGGCGGCAGCTGTTGTGGAAGTGGGAGGTGGTGCGTAGGTGGTTTTAAAAAGTGGGGGGGAGGGGGTTTGGACAAAGGGATGGTTTGTGGAAGTCGGACGATAGTGGTTTGTCGATTTAAGACAGCAGGTTCAGAGTCTTGACTTTGGCTCGTTTAGGGTGACAGGCACTTCGAGATGATTACTTCCGGGTGGTTGGTTGCGAAGCTCAGTCTCAATAGCTCATCACTTTCAGGAAATGCTGGCGCTCGGTATCTCACTGTAATGAGGATCCGCATGGTTGGTTGCTCCGCGTCCATCAGCGTCTGATTGACGAGTGACAGGTCATTTAACTTCATACAAAATGGCTGTTGAGCGGATTCGAGATCACCCGTCAGGGATATCAGCTTCCTTCTTCACACACTGCGCAGAGTATAGCTTACGGTAGTGTGTTTTACTATCAGATTTCTTGGTGTAACAGACCGAATCGCTTGAGTAAAAGAAGGGCGGGAGGCTACGGGGGACAGGCTATATATACAAAACAAACGGGAGGAGGTGTGTTGGCTAGGCATATCGAGAAAAACGCACGTCTCTAGTCATGTGCGAGCTGTGATGGTAGTATCACGTCCAAAAGTGTCTTCAACTTCCCACGTGAGTAAGTAAGTCTGCGTTTCTGGGGTTACAAATCTGTACATGTCACATTCTTTTTGGACCTGCCGGATGGTATTTTAGCATTTATACATGGCCCAGCTTGTATCTACCTGGGCTGGGAACCTGGATCCAAGAAACTTGTCACTCTCCTCGGCGTATCTAATCGTGACTTGAAGCTGGCATCTGGCACGGCCCAATTCGCTGTTGTTCACTTACAATAACTGGTTTCCAAGCTCATTATCATGGGGATACGCTGATGGTCAGAGAGTATGGACGAGAAGTCAAACTGGAATTGTAGAGGATCCACTTCCGTACAGCTTAGGCTTCACAAATACGGCGCAGCTGATGGGTTCGTAAAGGCTCCTTTGTATTCACTCCAAGGATACCAGCGGCTGTTCTTCGTTCGGCGAGCCTGAAAAATCACGAAGTCTGTAGAACTAGGTAATGATATGGTCAGCTATGATTGTGTGACCTCAATATTCCGTACAGATTACTGTTGCTCAGGATTTGCCAATGTTCAGAGTTAGGTTCCTCAGAGACCGGATGTATTCGAACAAGACTATTCACGGGACCCCGGACCACTGGCCATCAAGTCGACCACGTGCCTCAATTGCACTTTCGAAATGGCAGACTCCGTAGCATAAACGATTATCGAATTTTTATAATTCATCCAACGCACAAGCTGGTTGCCGTTGAATTGCACACAACGGAGGACCCGGTGCCAAATCTCGAAGGAAAGCACCTTCCGCCAGCACCGATACAGCCTTTCATCATCATAAAACAGCGCTGTCCATTATCAATAAGCCATGAAAATAGTGCCGTGCATTCCTTTTAAAGGCTCTTACACCACAAGCGCTAGCCCATGTAAACTGGCAGAAAGCCGACGCCGAAGCCGCCGCAGTTCTAGGAAGTTTAATTATGGAAAGAAGTGCATTGTTTACCTAGCGTTGAAAATAAAATACACAGTGGGCACTTGTCCTATTGGGAGCCGGGTTGATTCCCTGGAAACCGCCACTGCGTTGAAGGGTTTATAAGGACTGGTAGAGATCTAAGAAGACAGTTGGGCACGAGTGAGGGAGATATGTTTCATACGTGGGAAAGTATGCACGTGTATGAAGATGGCAGTTCACATGACTGGTGATCTGGGTCTGTGCGGTACTGTTCTTTGGATGACGGATCTGACACCGTCTAGCAAAAGCGCACTCTTTCCCTTTTGAGGTATCGTAGCAGACATGACCTAAAATGGTAAGTGATGTTGGCTGCAGCACGACCTAGTGAGACCTGTTCAGGACGGTCAAGATCCTTTTGCAGCCATGGTGCGATGCTCTTACACGAAGGATCTGCACCACCTCCAGCGAGCAACGTTTCTCGATGTTCTACATTGAGTGGTTGGCCTTTGTCCGCTGCCTCATGCAGCCCTTCGGCAAAGCCACTCTCTGACAGAACACGACAGCCTACAGCTCCACCCAAAGTCCAAGCGCCCCTACATCCAGGCGAGCTTCAGGACCTCACAGCACCAGTGTCTCGAAACCCGACGCACTTCATCTGCAACGGTATTCCCCGCCGCCCGCAGACATCGAAGGCACGTCGAACAACTCACCTTCCCCTCCATCCTTGCATCCCCGTTGCAGAAAAGGGAAAAAGCGCAAAGCGCCGCATCAGCAGCAGCAGCAACAGCAGCAGCAGCATTGCCAGCGAGACGCGCTTCCACCCACCTTCTAGTCCCCTCCTCCGCCCACCCCTGCCACCGCTCCTCTTCCTCCACGTCGCCCTGCAGATCCACCGCCCTTCGACAGCTGCATATGCCCGCCTCAGAAGTTCGTTTCATCACTCACCGCGAAAACCACCCATCCACACAATCCCCAGTTCTTCAGCGCAACGCAACCCCACTTCATCACACCACACCCACATCACCCGAACAAAACCCACACCTGCACACTGCAAAGTAGTCTCAAAGCATGTATGTAGGCAAAAGAAAAAGGAAAGGAAAAAAAAGAAAACCAGCGAACAACAACGACAAACACCCCTCCTCCCACACACCAGCAAAAAAAAAAACCGGCCCGCTGGCATGGAGGGGCCCAAGGCGCGGCTCACCTTCCCGTTGCGGCAACAGATCGCTGCGGGTTTTGGGAAGAGACAGCTGGTTGCTGCGTTTCGGCCATCGGTGGTCGGAAGATCGCCTGTACAGCGCCGATGCGCATATCGAGGTTAGGGGAGCCAATAGGGGTTGAGGCCGGATTGCTGGGTTGTCGTTTGCTGCAGGTGCATGGGTTGTCGAGCTGAGCTGGCGATGCAGGCAGCTTTTGTCTCTTTTTTTTCTTTTTTTTTTGCCTGCGCGCAGCGGCGGTTGCCCGGCGCCGGAGGGAGGGAGCTGGGAGGGGGGGGCTCGGATGAATCGAAGGGCAGCATGATGGAAGCGAGAGAGCGTGGGTAAAATGCGTTGTACCCACAAAAGCCCGGTGCCTCAGGCTGCCTGCGGCCGGCGGGCGGCGGAAGTTTAGGTAAAGAGAGCAAAGAAAAAAAAAATAGACCGGATGGCGGGCTCGACGAGAGGGTGCAGAAAGCAGCAGTGGGGGAGGGGAAAAAAGGAAACATAGGGGAATGGATGGTCAATGGGCAAAAAAAGAAATCATAGTGTGGTTGTAGTCCCACTGGGCTGGTTCTTTTGTTAGATTGGGTTCTCTTCACGATGCTTGCTGTACATGTTGGCAGCTGGAGAACTTACGATCGAACCCAGGACCTTTCGCGCTCCAAGAAGTCGCTCTGGGAACCAGAGAAATTGCTGTGAAGCGAACGTCATGCCGCTAGACCATAGGACTTGAGATGATGATGTAAGCATTGACCGGTCGCCATTATCATGACAAAGTTGTTGCGTTTGGGCTGGCGGCGAACATCACGACCGAAACGAAAGGGGTTGACTGACGACACATCAATTTGGCGTTAAATTCCGGGGTCAACGAACATCACCGCGACGGATTTAGAAACGACTGAGTCGCGGCTGGCGCACAGATGGGCTGCAGCCGGGGACGTTGCGGTCGAGGTAAAACAACTGCTTCGGTCTGGTGGGTTAGGGTTCCGGATTAAAGCAGCCGTTGCGACAAGCGGCGTCATGGAGCATGGCACTCCAGCCTCGGGCTGCTGACTGATTGGCTTGCATGAGAAGGATCCGGCGGGGTGGGTGGTTATTGCATGCAAATTTCTAGTAAATTGAGGCGTCTAAGCTCTCCCATCCGCCGTGCGCAGAACGAGGCGGGTGTGTTCCCAACGCCGCGGTCGTTGCTGCATCGTCTCGCGCTCGGGACAGCCTGCGCAGGGACAGAGGGGCCCGCGGTCCGAGGACGCCAAGCTGGTGAAGGATGCTGGACGCCGCGGACATGCCCATGGCTGTTTCAAAGGCTGAGGGTCTGGGGTCGTTGTATAACGATGGCGCTGGCAGCTTTGGGACGATTCGAGTCCGTAGCGCGTACCTGGCGGAGAGGAGCGCCGGGTACCTGGAAATGAATGATTGGACCAATGCTGGATCTCGCGGCAAGCAAATAGCCGAGAGCGTGTCGCGAGCCTATCTGCGAAGCGGTGCAGGCGGATGCGGCGCGCGCACTGTGGCACGGCGGCCCCCAGGCCTGCGTAGCTTATCGACGCGAGCCTCGCTCGCCGCGCTCGTCACGGCTGCTGGCTGCTGGCTGCTGGCCACTGGCGCGCGCATTCAGGAGTTTTGATGACGGGCTGCGCGACCCCTGCTCGAATACGGCAGATTGCCCAGATGCAGGCGCGTGGCGCCGGCGCTCCGTGTGACTTGCGGGCGCGCGGCCGGCTCGTTATTGGCTTCGTGCCGCCCAGGCCTTAAAATACAGCCGCCAACGCTGATCAGCCTCTGGCCCAGCTGCAGTGCGCCGCGACGATCACGGCGCGTCCTGACTCTGCCTGCGCAGACGCAACGGCGCAACGGCGAGCGCGCTGGACGGCCAGGCGGACAGCTGGGCGCTGCAGGCGTGCAGGCGTGCAGGCGTGCTGGCGTGCTGGCGGCGCGCGCTGCGAAGGCCGAAGGCGGCCGGCTGCACGCTGGCCGGCTCGCGCGTGTCCAAACCGCGGCCGCCAAAGCGGCCGGGGCGCTCATTCGCCGGGGCGATCCAATAGCGTCGCGCATGGCAGCTCGTCGTCGCTCAATCCACAAGCTCCCCGGGCCCGCAACTTACCAGATGCCAGCCTGCGTGTGCCCGCCCTGATTGCTGCGCACCTCACTTCCGCAGAGAGGCCGCTCCCAGCCTAGACTCTCCAGCGGCAGTTGCCCCGAAGCCGCCCGTGGCCCACGCCCAAGAGTCAGCCTCTCGCCCTGCCCTGCACTCACGCTGCTGCACCCTCCCCTACCTTGCCGCTCCTAGCTGCCACCGCCGTGCTGCCCTCGCCCATCCCACGAGACCGAACGAAAGCTCACCGTTTCGTCATCGCTCGCTGCCCGCCCAGGCCCGCGCGAAGACCCAGCCGCCCGTGACTGGCGGCGACTCTCATTTCGGTTAGCGAACGACTCACGGAGTATCCCAGCCAGCCTCCCAACCCATCTAGCCTGCGCAGCGACTGCCATCACTCTTCCTCCCCCGGCTCCCCTCGACGCTCTGAAGCGAGACCATACACAAACGCCCGGCCGAAGCTGCAGCGCAGGACAGCACCCGCAGCGCGCGCGACGACAAGCCTCCGCTCCCACCGTCCTCGTCCGAAACGCCCACCGCTCCGCCCGGCTTGCTGCTTTTGGAAGCTCGCAACTCGCCCATTCACGCCTTGACGCGCCAGCCCCAAGGAGAGCGCCATCGCTCCTCCTCGTCCTCGTCCTCGTCCGCTCACGCGCCTGACAATACCGCGAGGCCTCCTCACCTAGAGGCGTCCGTTGCCCCACATGAGCCAAGACGCCGTGCGGTCGTCCGCAGATCCGTCGACTGCTGTGCAGAAGCCGGCAGCGAACGACAATGGCGAGGCGATAGCGCCGCACTCGAACGGTAACAGTACGACTCCCGCTCTCACCTCTCCGCCCATCAAGGCCCCCGGCCTCGCACGTCCCGCCCGTCGCAGCACGCTAACCGTCGTCTCAGCGACCGCAGGCGCCGCCCCTACCTCGTCGTCGAACAACGCTGCTGGATCAACGTCGGAACAAGCCGCTGGTGCCGGAAACGAGCCCAAGAGAAAGCCTTCCTTCCTCGACGTGCCACACTCGAATTCGCAGACCGGCGAGGAGGCTGCGGCAAGCGGATCGGGACTGAGCGGAGCGACCGCAAGTGAGGGGGCTGAGAGCGTAGGACGGGGCTCGAAGCGTAGCTTTTTGGGCAAGAGGCGTGCTGGGAGCACTGCGAGCAGCAAGCGCTCCCATAAGGCGCGTGCCGCGGCAAGCGAGAAGGCTCCTGAGAATGCGCAAGCAGTTGGCGCGGCTGGTTCTGCCCCTCAGGCCCAGCCCAAGAAAAAGAGCGGTGTTTCGAGGATTTTGCTGATACTCAACTGCTGCGGCGTGCCGGAGAAGGGCAATGTGGTCGGACAGGAGGAGTCCCCCGAGGCACCCAAGAAGGCTACCAAGCTACGCTCGGTTCGCAAGCAATCTGCGCCGGCCACCCCGGCAAAGAAGGACGGGAGCGCCGCAGAGTCGAGCAACGCCGACTTGAAGGAACCCATTGAAGAGAAGGCTGGCAAATCTACGGAGGCAGGAGGGCCTGTGAAGGACTTTGAGAAGCAACCGTTGTCAGGAGACGCGTCGGCGGATAAGCCCATTCTGGACGCTCCCGCGGCCTCGTCTCAAGAAAAGAGCACTCTGGATCAACCGCTTCCTCCTGTTCCCCAGGCTGACCGGCTGGATACCTCGGCCGCTGCTGAGAACGGCCCCCAAGTCAATGTCCAGGCCCCCACGCCGGTTGCGCCCTCGGAGGAACAAGCGATTACCGACAGGACTCCTGAACAAGAGGCGCGGGATGCGGATATCGAGATGACGGACGCAGGCCCATCGATACCAATCGCCGCCAACGAGGTCCCCATGACCGAGGAGAGCGGTGAGCCCGTGCAGCAGGATGCAGCTCCGACTAAGATTGACCTCCCGCCGCCCCCGCCGCTCGTGGATCGCCAGGCTCAGACTGCTCCTCCTGCTGCAACCACCCCTCAGAGCCAGGATAGCTCTCTTGCCGTTACTCCCGCAGAGCCCCCGCAAAAGTGGCTCCTGCCACCCATCAGGCCCGAGTTCAAGGGAAAGAAGTGCTTGGTCCTGGACCTGGACGAGACTCTTGTCCACAGCAGCTTCAAGGTAAACTGGCTTCTCCTTTTCGCTGCGCCGCATATGCTGACTCGGTACAGATCTTGCACCAGGCCGACTTCACGATTCCAGTGGAGATTGAGGGACAGTACCACAACGTTTACGTCATCAAGCGCCCCGGTGTCGATGCCTTTATGAAACGTGTCGGTGAGCTATACGAGGTCGTTGTTTTCACTGCTTCAGTATCAAAGGTAAGTCTGTGCATTTCCCCCCCTCTTGCCCCACCATGCTGATGCAGGCTAGTATGGCGATCCGCTCCTTGATCAACTCGATATCCACGGCGTGGTCCACCACCGTCTGTTCCGAGAGAGCTGTTATAACCACCAGGGCAACTATGTGAAGGCAAGTATCATGCGTCATTCGAGCGTCACTGCGGACTGACTTGTGCGGCAGGATCTTTCTCAAGTGGGCCGCGACCTGAAGGAGACGATCATCATTGACAACTCGCCGACTTCGTACATCTTCCACCCCCAACACGCCGTCCCGATTAGCAGTTGGTTTTCTGATGCACATGACAATGAGCTCTTGGATCTCATCCCTGTACTGGAGGACCTCGCTGGCCAACAAGTCAGCGATGTCAGCTTAGTGCTGGATGTGGCCTTGTGAGTTGTATAAAAAATGTTAGCATCAGATGCTACTGAGAGTGGCATAGGTTTGCCCAAGCGGGCGAGATACACAAGGGCTGGGTCAAGGCCCAACGCGCAAAGAAAGCGGCGCGTTGGATTCAAGATGTGCCTGTGGAGGGCCTGCCCGCTCTCGCAGAGCTTGCCTAAGCCCTCGTGGCCAGTGTCTCTCGACGAGTTCTCAGCAGTGAAACTCAGCGTCGCTCTGGTGTCCATCCTTTCCACCACCTTCCCGATACACCCTCTGGTGCACCTTATGCGGACGCATCGGCGCTTAGACTTGTACTGTTTAATCCCTGTAATCGGCATGACTGGAGAACGGCTTTGGTTCCTGGAGAACGATTTCTACGCCTTCAAAACTGCGGTCCGACACGATTGACGGCCTGCCCAGCAACCAGCTCCGCGGACACCTGTCGATACAGAATGGCCATTTGAGACCGGACACAAAAGTTTTGGAGGACGGCACAGAGCAAAACGGGCGTTACTGTTTCTTTCTTTCTGCGTTGCCTTTTTCGCTTTCGCGCGTTTCGCTGTCCTGGAAGGGGCCTTGCATACACTGATTCTCTTTTCTTTCTTGGCTAGCATTGCGGAGCATTGACCTTGGCAGACTCACAATTTTCTTACATTTCGATCCCCACTCTTCTTTTCATCGTGGCGCCTTTTACGGAAGGCCGCACACCTTCATCTTTTCTTGAAACCCGCCTTTTTCGATTCCTCCAAGCGAGAGAAAGAGATAGCCATCACCACCCGACCAACACCACTTTCCTTTGTTGCTCACTCTTTTTCTTCTTGCACACTTACAATACTTCTCGACACCAGATCGTTTTCCTTTCCTCCGTTTCTCGGCCTTGCCATCGTTCCCTGCTTTTTTTTTTTCTTTTCCTTTTATTCCCTGCTGCAGTTGTTGTTTCCTTGAACTTTTGATACCACAGGCTGTGTTGGCTTATTTGAGTGCTGCGACACCACCACATCCATCCGAAATTATAAAAAAGCTTCATTCCCTGGTTTTTTTTTCGTTTTCGTTCTACGTCAGCAAAAGAGAAGCTTTCTTTTCGCGTGCAAGCGGAGGGAGAGTGAGCAGACAAGAGGCAAATGAAGTCGTAGTAATGCACATGCATGTCACTGGGCGCAGCACGCGTGTACGCGCACACATACGCAAACGCAGAAGCCGAGAAAAGAAAGTATGCATGCACCTGTCGCCCGTTTGTCTGGCGCTTGTGCGCTCTCCAGCGGCTTGTTGGGACGTGAGGCTCGCATGGCGCATGTGTCTAGACGTAGACGGAAATGTTGCGCGTGTTGCTGCTTGTAGGACAATAGCGTAGGCATGGGGAACAGTGGCTGGACCATGATTGCATTGTTTTATACCGGGCGAATGGAATAATCAAAGAATTGATTCTACAAATGCATGCGTGCCCCGTTGCCCGGGCGGAGTGAGTGTTTGGTGTAAGACAGGCTTTCCTTGGCCGACGACAAGGTTTTACCGCATATGCAGGCACCCACGTCCAGAAATTTGGGGACGGCGGAGCTGGCAGTGGTGAGTGGGCAGGAACGCGGTCTGAAACAGACTCAAGCTATGCATGCATTTGTGCGATGCGGGAGAGCTTAATGTGCAGGGGGCGGGCCGCACGTTTGACGCATGTGCGGAGAGTGGGGATCTGGAAAAGAAGCTCTCCTGACGCTTTGCTGGCAAGGGATTGGCGGGCACTTTGTTCTGGCTCGGTCGCGGCCAACGTCATCTCCCGCGCGACCGGGGGTGGGGTGTGGCGTTGGTGGTGGTGGTGGTTGTGCTCCAAACAGCGGAGACGGAACTCGGAAAGTTACTCGTCACTTTCCTCGTGCAGTGCGGATGCCGGCCAGCCCTACGCGTGCCTTGCCGTGCCTTGCCTTGCCTTGCCTTGGGTCCCGGTTCTGCCTGGCTCGGTCTGTTCGGCTGCTGCCCTTCTGACACGGCGCATCTTCACTACTGCTTCGTGTCGTGTTGCCTGTTTGCTTGCGTTGCGATACGTGCTGTCGTCGCACATCCCGTACCCAACGATCTCCCCCACGTCACCGGTCACCACACACCCTGCACCCCGCCGTCCGTCGCGTACCCTGGTACAGCATAGCTCTTGCTTGCACTTCTTCACCGACCTCGCCCCTCGTCCCCCCCCCCTCCTCTCCCCCTCCCCCTCACAAGCCCCACGGCAACCTGCACGAAACCCCCGCCGACAAACATGACCGACGACACGCCGCCCAACGCCGCACACGACGCGCCGCACGCCATGGTCATCGACAACAACTCGGAGCGCGACGACGCGCACGACCAGCCCAGCAGCCCAGCCCGCAGCAGCAAGAGCGGCTGGGACGGCAAGCTGCGCGTCACCAAACCCTCGAAGCCCTCTCCCGTCGTCGTCAACCCCAACGTCTTCAGCGACCCGGAGCTCTCCGACGACGACGCCCCGCCGCCGGACACGATCGAGGCGGATGAAGACCTGCTGGAGGACTACGAGGAGGACGTCGACCAGATCGACCTGATCCACTGCCGCATCACGTCGATAGCGGCGCTGCGGCTGGAGCGCTTCCCGCGCGTGGAGCGCCTGTCGCTGCGCCAGAACCAGATCTCGGCGATCGACCAGTTCCCCGAGCAGCTGGGCCGGACGGTGACGGAGCTGGACCTGTACGACAATCTGATTGCGCACATCAAGGGCTTGGAGGCGTTTGTGGAGGTGGAGAATCTGGACCTGAGCTTCAACAAGATCAAGCATATCAAGAGGGTGAATCACATGAAGAAGCTGAAGGATCTGTACTTTGTGCAGAATAAGATTTCGGCGATTGAGAATCTGGAGGGGCTGGCGCAGTTGAGGAATCTGGAGCTCGGGGCGAACAGGATAAGGGTATGGTTGCGTTCCGGTCCGGTCGTGCCTCGTTGCGGTTGGTTGTTGTGTGGGTTGAGTTGTTGGGGCTGACTTGGTGTGCGCGCCGTGTAGACCATTGAGAACCTGGAGACGCTCACGAGCCTTGAGGAGCTGTGGCTGGGCAAGAACAAGATCACTGAGATCAAGGTTTGCTCTCTCCGTTCTAACCACTCCCTCCGGTTTGGACACACGTCTGACCCGCTTTCCGGCAGGGTCTCGACACGCTATCGAACCTCAAGATCCTCTCGATCCAATCCAACCGCCTCACCTCCATCACCGGGCTCGAGCAGCTCGCCAACCTCGAGGAGCTGCACATCTCGCACAACGCCCTCACGTCGACGGAGGGCGTCGAGAACAACAAGAACCTGCGCATCATCGACATCACCGGCAACCCGATCGAGCACCTGACGAACCTGGCCGGGCTGACGCTGCTCGAGGAGTTCTGGGCCAGCTACTGCCAGCTCGCCGACTTCGCCGAGATCGAGCGCGAGCTGCGCGACAAGGAGAACCTGGAGACGGTCTACTTTGAGGGCAACCCGCTGCAGACGAGGCAGCCGGCCCTGTACCGGAACAAGGTGCGCTTGGCCCTGCCGCAGGTCAAGCAGATCGACGCGAGTAAGTACTCCGATGTCTTCTGGAGGAGGGAGGCGACCGGGACGAGGAGTTTGGCGTTCATGTGATGCCTGATTTGCTTGCTCTTTGGCGTCGTTTTTCCTTTCCGTTCCTCTTTTTTTTTTTTTTTTGGTTGTCTACATTGAAAAGAGGCTTACAACACGATTTCTTTCTTCTCCGTGTCGGAAACAGCTTTCGTGAGGGTGTGATGATATATCTCTATTTTATCATACTCCGAGCAAAACGCGCACGCGTGTACGATCGACGACGACGACGACGACGACGACGACGACGGGACGACGACGATGACGATATCGGGAACGGGCGAGCCACGGCGACGGCGGGGGGCGTGGGGATTCCTACCACCACCACTACCAATGGGGCGGCGGCATTTGTTTGCAAGGAATGGGAGCTAAGTATCGAGGGATTTTTTTTGTGTTTTTTTTTTCTTCGTTCCTTGCTGATGAGTGGCTGGGTTTCGTAACGCTGGAACTGTCTTCTTCTCCTGTTTCTTTTCGGTGGCCTCCTTCGCTTGCCAAGATGATGCATTGATGGGCGTTTTCTGGGGTTCTTCACGGGCTTGCAAGGGGGTGCGGGGGAGGAGTGATGGCTGGGTCGGCGTGGGCTGGCTGGCTGGCTAGCTGGCTGGCTGGCTAGCTGGCTGGCTGGCTGGGCTTCTTGTGCGGAGCGGCGGCCCAACGTCTAGCTGAGCTTTCATATCGGTATAACCCGCGCGACGTCTTGCGGTGGGCGCGCGTAGCTAAGAAGAAGAAGGTGGGTCAGGGTCAGGGGAGGAAGGGAGAGATGAATCGCATGTCACGGCGTCTTGGGGTCATTCGCGCTCTAGAATACTCGTCATGTGTGCGATCCGTGAGGTGGGGGCCACATGCGTAGGAGTGAATGCATATAAATGAGCCTTTTTTTTTCTTCTTCTCTTTTTTCTTCGTCTTGAGAGGATCGATGTTTCCGTATCAATGCCGACAAAAAGTTGATCAGGCGCGCTGGCAACTGTAGAAGAGCCTGGAACTGTGTTGCTTCGATCGGTGCGTGGCGGAAGTCTTTCAATCGTCTTCGCTTTACTTTCCTTGCTTCCCTCTTCATTGTCGTCTCCCCTGTCTCGCAGCATCTGGAGTAGGTGTTGATGCGCTGCCTTGAGCGGTTGATGCAGGACGTCCGTTTTTTGAGCAAAGGATGCTTACCCATTTTTCGATGAGCTAGCCTTACTCACTTTTGTTTGCTTGGAGTGACCTCAACCTAAGGTTGGGGCTGCAGTCACTGAGTCTTCACGTTCTCCCTTTTCTTTTCGGCCAGTGTTGGTCATCATTGCCGTGCACCGCTAAATGCCCTCGAGAAGATCCATGGACATCATCATCATCATCGTCATCATCGTCATTCAAACATCCTGATCGTCTGTGAATGGGAGGCTATTCACAGTCACTCTTTCCTCGAGAGAACATGCACACAGAGAGAGACAAGTGCCTCACAGTCGAGTTTTTTGATGCTAGTGCCCAGGAACGCTGTCCACAAATCATAGAGTCCATCGCTCAATGTACGGCATATGAGTAATGCCGACCTTGGACTTATCCCGTGCTGTTCCTGAAAAGCGAAGCCCGGTGCATCAACTGTGCATATGCATTAGCTGTGGATGATTGCATGGTCGGCATGTCGGGCACTCTGCTGATCACACGTCTGGAACTTGCAAATGCCTAGAAGCACGTCCATATCTTCGGTCTCTTATTCTTCATTGTCGATGACATTTGATTTGGTGCATGCACTGACATCACTGCAGATTGAGTGGCGGTGTTTTCACGGCCAATGCTGGAGAACCACGACACAACTGCTCTAGGTATCGTCCTCACGCCTCAGCCGAGAGCAGATCAACACCTGAATTGCTTCATCTGTTTCAATGAATGGTTTTCAGATATGCTTCGGTCCTTGGACTGCTGCTTTATGAGATGATGTTGGTCCTCATCATGAACGGAAGTTGATGCAGTCGAGGTCCAGATTACGAACTATTGTGTGCACGGATACCAAACGAGAGGAGCGACAGTCTGTCTATCTTGTTCATATATTTCTGTGGCCACCAGTCACCACCCTCGCCATCACAAAGACTGCGACTCATGTATCTGTTCCTGGAGATCCAAGGAATTGATCTGCTTAAATGACTTCTCGGTGGGACCGACCGTGGATCCCGCCTGAACCGCTGCACGTGTATTGCGCCACTGTGAGATGGCGTGTGGCACGCTTGCGGTATGTACTTTTAAGGCGGTAGCTGTGCATGTGCATGGGATGTGAATGATCACATGGCTTCCCGTTGAAAATCGGTCAACTTGCTGTATTTTGGTTGAACTCTTTTGAATTCTCAGTCACTCCGTTCACGTTACCGGGAGTTCGGGATGATGAGTTCATGGGGAGTTTCCACTCAAGTCCCATACATTCTACAACTCGAATCCAACGTTAAAAAACACCTCGGCAGCTGGAGCACTGGATCGCGGTCTGTGGGAAGTGTATATCCTTTGCTATTCGCACCGATTGACCTCCATAATTCCATCCGCCACAGCCCCATTCGAAGCTTGAAGCCTGACAACGTACAACACTTTGGCTCCCCGGTCGAGTTAGGGCGGAAACGAACAAACAGACAGGGCCGTCAACGCTTCTGGTGGATTCTATCCCACAGCTTTGACGAATGCTGACGACCGGCGATTGCAGAAGTGAAACAGAATTACGACCCTGAAAGTGGTCCGTCGCCACTCATCGCCAGTGCAGCACGCCATCAAGCAGAGCAATCGGTGAAACCCACCATTCCCTTCCATGCTGCAGGGGTTTGGACATACCACTTCCAATCTGCAGCGCACTGTAGAATTTCCAAGGCACAGGGGAGGCCCAGTGGAGAGCTTCTTCCGAAGATGCCGTTGAGGCAAATGGACTGAACAGCCACCTGAACAAAGGGATGGAGGCGCGGGATGAGTACAACATTTAAACCCAGGGTCAGATCTGCATGCGGAGACAGTCATGCACGAGGCTTGCCAGATGCAGCGCGCGTAGCACCTGACCTGTTTGCCCAGCAGAACTTTGGCAGGCGGGACCTTCGAAAGCCATGTCACCGTGAACGTCGGGCTTTGTTACCGTAAACACAGCCACTGCAAAGTAAACAAACCGATTACGTTAGAAACAAGGAACTGAAATCTGCCTGTATTATTCATATCCGATCTATCACCCGAAGAAGGAAGACCTCGTGTGATTGAGTATTATTAATGCATACGAATTCTCAACAGCAGGAGCTGTGACTGACGCCTTGCATCAAAACACGAAAATGAGGAGGTTATATCCCGGGCAGATGTTTCACAGAGGGCAGAGGTATTGGCTCCGCACAAACAGTAGTAATGAGTCTCAATTGGTCTGGTACGTTCTTAGTACCTTTTCAACCTTCCACTATCTTCCGCAGAAGGTGGTGCGGTCAAGTAGACAACGGGAAGCAGTTAATTTATACTGAATCGGAAGGACAATGGAGATGCAGGTGTCAAAAGCAGCCGAAAGTGTGCAGTGAGAATATTGAGAAAGCAAGTGCTTCATCGAAACTTGAGGTCTCGACGAAAGAGAGGAGCGCGTTCTCACAGCAGTCAAGCTACCGTTGGTTCCTCAAGGGTGATTATCAAAATCATCACTGGAAACAAACGAGCTCAAAACATTGGGTAATGGTAAAATCTTTTTTGGAAGCAAAAGACCTCTATATCTACCTCCAAGAAGCGCCGCTTTGCTCATCATGAGGGTGAAAAAAACAAACAACAAGCCATCCCAGATAACTTAACAAGAAAAGGGGGAACAGTATTTGTACACAGACAAAGCGACTCCGTGTCAATCCAACCACGTAAATTCATGACACGCTCAACCGCTTTCGAGAGGGGAGTTTTTGTCGACACCGGCGTTTTTGACTCCATGGGAATGCATCCAGAGACCCTAAAAAAATAGAACAGTGAGAGGGAAAATAAAAAGCCCCGCTTACGTGACCGTCCAGAAACTTTATGATATGCCCCTGCTTCCTTGCGCGCGCGCGCAGCTGTCGCGTTCACCTCGTCCTTACACCATAGCATACACACATGTTTTGTTCACGGGGCCGGCCATCGGTCGTGTACTGTCGTCCTCGGATGGGTGGGGATCGGAGGGAGATGGATATTACTGGAGATCTGGGTGGTATGGCCATGGGAGCGATTCGGAGGATCAAGGATTCCGCCTCTTCCTTTACTCGAAGACAACCTTACGGACGAGCTGTCGGCGCACCCCGTTAGCAATCGACGCAAGCGGCGATTCGAAAAAAAAAAAAAGTGGAAATGAACATACCGCCCAGGTGCCGGCAGCGCCGGCGACCAGGCCGCTGGAGATGGCCATGGGCTTGAGGCCGCGGGTGCTCTTGAAGAGGGCGCCGCTCAGGGCGCCGGCGATGACGCTGTTGGTGGCGTCGTGCTTGCCGCGGTAGTAGCCGATGGTGGAGTTGAAGATGTTGTAGACCATGGCGACGATGCCGGCCGAGTTGCCGAGGAAGGGCCCGCGGCGGGTGACGGAGTTGAGGACGGCGTTGAGGCGCAGGCGCGGGGCCATCTGGGGGGTGGTCTTGTTCAGGCCTTCGGCCAGCCCCCAGGCGCCACCGAGCGTCAGGCCCGTCAGGTAGGTGGTGCCGGTGCCGTAGCACAGGTCGTCGGACCAGCCGCGCGAGGGCAGGGCGGAGCGGGCGCCGGGGAGGTCTGACAGGGCGCCCTCCTCGAGCGTCAGGTAGTCGAGCGTGTCCTTGTCCAGGCCGGCCAGCGGGTGCAGCTGCGAGGGGTCGAAGGCGGTCGACTCGTTGAGGAAGGACGACACGTCGGTGGCGGACGACGGGTCGAAGGCGGGCGGCTGCGAGTCGGCGGGCGGCGAGCCGGAGGCGGTGGTGGTGGATGCGGCCTTGCGGCCGGTCAGAGAGTCCCAGATGGTCATTGCGGCGGCGACGGTGGTGGTGATGTATGACGCGGACGAGCGATGGGGGCGGCGGAGGGCGCGCGGGGCGGGCAATGGCGCGGCGAGATGGAGCGGGGCGGGCTGGGGTCGCTCAGAGGGCCTCTGGATGGAGAGAAGGTGATGGTCTGGAGTCGCGCGCTGTCGAAGGTCGCAGCCGGGCGTCGGGGCCCCAAAATTTACTTCATCACCGCGCCAAGCCCGACCTAGCAGCCCCGGCGACAGGGATCCGCCGCCCGTTGCCGCACCAGTCCCGTGACTCCCAATTTTGCGTCCCTGCGCCCGACTCCACACCTTCGCGTTCGGCTCTCTCTGCCGCTGGCTTCACTCTCGAGCACCGCCGGCCGCAGGAACAACAGAATTGCCCCGACAGGACGTGGCGCTGAGGCTCGGCAGCAGTCGAAGGAGGCAAGGAAAAAAAAAACCTGCCGCCGGGATTGCCCGATATGGCGGAAGATACGCCTCTGCAGGCGCCCGTCTCCGTCGACTTTCTCCGCAAGCTAAGCAAAGACTTGCACAGCTACATTCCTACCGATGGAGCCATCTCGGGAGAGAGCATAGAGTAAGAAATCGGACACCCGGCGAAGCATCCACTGTACAGCCTCCCGAGATGCTGACCTGCCAAAAGCAAACTCTCTGACCTGCTAAATGCTCTTGTTGGGACCGCCTCGATCCCCTACATCCCGGCTTCCCAAAGGGCCGGCGCTTGCAATCCGCTGTGTTCTCTTCTCGAGAAGTGTCAAGCGTCGCCCGACCAAAGGATCCGCTCGCTGATTTGGACCAATCACATCTGGACTGATCTTTTTGACATCTTCCTCGAGAGATATGACAATGCGAAGCCCAAGTCCATGAGACAGGTCTTGCTACTGCTGTGCACCATTCTCCAGAAAGACCAGACCACTACCGCACACTCGGTCAAAGACGAGTCCGTCATCCGCCTATTCGACGTCCTGTTCCAGGAGGACGACACCTCCAAGGTCAAGCCTGCGCTCATCGCCCTCTCGCATTTTGTCCAGAAGGATGTCATCACCGTCGACTACACCATCGCTGCGTTTGAGCAGTGGAGTGCTGTCCGGGGGAAGTCGCTGCAACTGTTCCCTGGGCCGGGAAGCGTCCCCAAGACTTTCCTTTACGGCATCATGAGTTGGGCCAATCATCAAGACACTACTCCCACAGCTGGAAATGCAGTTTGTACCATCATGGACCATGGTCGCCGTCAGCAAGCCGCGCACTTTGCTCAGGACGATGCAAACTCGCCTCCAATCTGGGTGGACCCCCTGGAGAGCACCATCCGGAGAAACCCAGATGCCATGCTGAACTTCAAGAGCCACGTCTTCCCTGACTTGTTCAGGCCCATTCTGACCGACTACCTCCGCTTTCTGGAGCACCTGCATCTTGATAATCACATCCGGCTGAAACCAAGCCCCGATGGTGCTTCCAAGTCATCCGATGACTTGGAAGCATCTTTGCTCTTCACTTCTTTGCAAGTCGGAAAGGACATGGGCTTTGTGCAGGAAGTTGGTGCGTCGCTACTCCCTTTCGCTCCGATGATGCACAGCAAGACTAACACAAATAGACCATCGCATTTCAAAGAAGATTGAAATCCGGGGCGGCGTGGTTCTGATCCCGGACAGGCTGCTTGGAAGACTTCTTGCGCACGAACGCGCAGAGACCAGATTGGCTGCTTTCTCATTGCTTACCACTTCGGCGGCCGTGACCCGACCTCTGACCCTCGGCACTTTTGCCATTCTGAAGCGCAATCTGTCATATCTGCACGCCGACACCGATGCCAACTTCCGCGGAGAGATCATGAGCCTGACCATGTCGCTATTCGAGCGTCTGCGAGGATCTACCGGCGTCATGAGTAGGAACCTGGCCAAGGGACAAAAGACTGGAGAACAGAGTGATACCTTCGAATTGTACCACGCCCACGTCGAATTCATCCAATGGTACTTGCGATTCATTGCATCCGAGCTTCATCCCATAGCAGCGTACCAGAGGCACATCTCCGCGCTCAAGGCCTTGACTGTCGTCATGAAATCCGGGCTGGATCCATCCGTGCCTCACCAAGCATTGTCAAGGACCGCACAGGGCGAGGTCCGGTTTCCTTTCCAGATGAACGTCCTCACGCCTTTGCTTGTGCGCGAGCTCTTTGACCTCGTCATGGATCCATTCGATGACGTGCGACATGCAGCCGCATTCTTGCTCAAACTAGGAACAAACAAAACCTCGGAACTGCCCCAAAAGCCGGCCAAGGGACCGAAGATGGTACCTGTGCTCATTGGCAAGCCAGTAGACTCTACTGCTCTTGTCGAGCATGCCTTTGCTGCTTTCCTAGACAGAGCGGAGAAGGCCATGCTCCGTAGTGGCAGAGCCGATCATGCCGACGGTGTTGCTCGTGCTTATGACTTGCTCTTTGAGAGGAGAGCGGAGCCCTTGAGCCCCAACTCTCCTGCTAACAGCGTACTTTCCGAGTGGATGAAGAGCCGTCAGGGTATCGTGGAACACCTCATTTCCCTGCTGGATGAGACTATCGGCGTTGCAAGCAGCAATCTTTCTGTGGCTGTGAACACTTACCCCATGCATGGCACGCTCTCCGCTCTCAGATACATCTTCGACCAGCCTGCCTTCTATGCTTCGATGGCGACAATGGAAGGGGTGGAGTTGGAGCATTGGAAGCAACTACATAACCATGTCCTTGACAGCCTGCGCTCAGTCTGGAGCTGCGTCAGGAACATTCTCTGTGTCGATGCTCCCGAAGGCCATGTGCCAGAGGATATGGAGGAGGAGCCAGATCTGACGACAAAAGATATTCTAAGCTATTCCTGGAGGGGTCTGAAAGAAGCAAGGTGAGCCGATCCGCAGAACCAAAATAAGCCGGCTTCGCAACTGACTTTTGTTAGCACCTTGTTGCGTGTGATCGTCACCAAAGCGCCGTTCCAGTTGCCCAGCGGAAGCTCGATTCTTGAAACTACAGAATTTGAGGGCTTGGGCAAGCTCTGCTTTCTGCAACTGGCTGAACTTCGACACCGTGGCGCCTTTGCGACTGTCGCCCAGACTTTTGCCGCTTTCTGCCTTCGTTGCAGCCGGTCTTCAGATCCCGGGATCAAAAAGCTACTTGACGTGTGGTACGAGGTAAGGGATGTTCCTTATGGCGCTTCCCATATTCATGACGCTGAAGGTGCTGTAGGAAACTCTTCGCTGCATTCGTGACAAGGGCTCTATGATCACTCGTCGATCAGCGGGCTTGCCGTCTCTCATCACTGGCATTCTATCCGCAGCCCCCGAAAGCACGCTCTTTGCGCGCGTCATTGGCGACCTAAAAGCAGAGGCCGTGCAGGAAGAGCAAGACAAGAACATTGAAGGCAGCCACCTTCCGCAAGTTCACGCTCTGAACTGTTTGAAGGACGTGTTTACGAACACCAAGCTCGCGTTTGTCTCGGAGCCCTATGTCGCCGAAGGTCTCTCCCTCGCTGCAAGCAGGCTTGAGTCCAAGGTGTAAGTACTCAGGACATGTTATTCCATCCGGCAGGACTGACAAATTACCGCAGATGGGCCATTCGTAACTGCGGCCTGATGCTCTTCCGTGCTCTCATCGACCGCCTCCTCGGCAGCGGCACCACGCAGCACTGGAAGGACACCGACCGCCTCAAGATCACGCGTCTGTCATACGCAAAGTATCCGAACCTGCTCGACATCATCGTGCAGCTGCTCACGCCTAAGCGTCAAGGTGGCGCAACGGAGCTAACGAACACGGCGCTCGAGGGCGTGTTCCCCGCTTTCCAGATCCTGCAGCGAGCGAGACCGCCAGTGGAGAGGAGGACCGAGATCCAGCAGCTGGTTTTTGGTTTGACGGCGAGCTCGCACTGGCACGTCAGAGACATGGCTGCGAGGACGCTGGCGGCGTTGCTGGGCCCTGAGGAGAGGGTCGAATGGGTGCTTGCGTTGATTGAGATGCCGTTCCAGAGGCAAAACGCGTTGCATGGTTTACTATCGGCTGCGAAGTATCTTGTCAAGGATATGTGTGACGGTGATAGCAAGGGGCTTCGGGGTAAGTGTTTGGTATTAGAGCTCGGTTGGATCCACGCGCTGACGGCTTTGTAGACGATCTGGACCTGCTGGCATTTGCGCTGTTTGAACAGTACGAGCGCCTCTACGAGCGGAACATCTGCCCACTAACCAAATCCGCTTACCTTGATATCGTCACCACGATACAAAAACACCACATTGTCAACGGTGACCGAAAAGGTAAGTCCAATATCGCGTTTCATTTCCTCAAAGCCGTTCTGACAGCTTCTTCAGCCCCTCTGCCCCTCATCTGCGAAACCTTCGGCGAGGGCGGCGACATGCTCGACCACATCGCCTCCGGGGCATTCCTCCTCTTCGACCGCTTCGCCGCCGACCACAGCCACAAAAATAGCGGCAAGTCCGCCGGCGAAGCCCTCCTCCGCGGCGCCATCTCCCTCGCCGCCGCCCAGCACCTCCTGCTCCTCAGCACCCGCGTCACCGGCGAGCAGCAGCCACCCCAGGCCGCCCATGCCCTCGTCACCGACCTCTTCAAACACATCGCCGGCCGGGACCCGGACACCTGCCGCTCCACGCTCGAGTCGCTCACGTCGACCCTCTCCGCACCCGTCCTCGCCGCAACTCATGCGGGTTCGGCCGCGCACGCCTGCATCGCCGCCCTCCTCTCCGCCGCAGCTACGACGTCTTCCGACGTCGAGGTCGCCGCCGCCGTCCGCCACGCTTTCGCCGAGCTGCTGGACCGCGGCCTCGGCCTCGTTCTCCTGCCGCACGGAGGCACTGGCACCGCCCGTGCTGCTGTCATGCACCACCTCGCCCCGCTCATGCTGGGCGGCGAGTCGACCGGCCGCTTGGGCGCGGGCTCGCCCTCGCTGCACGAAGCCGCGTTGCGGCTGCTGGGTCGGTACATCGACGCCGCCTCGGGCTCGTCCTCGGGCTCGTCCTCGTCCTCGTCCTCGTCACCGACGCCCACCGCGACAGCGACGGAAGCGCAGCGCGCAGGAGACGGAGACATCGACGTGGCAAACCACCTCGACCCCGACCTGAACTTCCTCCTCCCCCTCTTCACCACCACCCTCCGCTCCGACCTCACCGAACACCAACCCTTCCCCACCCGCCGCGCCGCCATCGCCGCCTTGGATTCCCTCCGGGGGTTTTGGCGGCGACCACGACCACGCCAACGCCAGCAAACGGGAGGAGGAGGAGGAGGAGGAGCAGATGACGATGACGACGACGAACCGCAACAACAACAACAACGACAGCGTCTCGCCCTCGCCCTCGTCGCCTACGACGCCCTCAACGACGACGACGACGAGATCCGCGACGCCGCCGCGCGCGTCGCGACGCGGGTCGTCGTGCTCGGAGGGCAGCAGCAGCAGCGGCGGCGGCGCGATAATACCGACGCGTCTGCGTCTGCGTCGAATGGTGATGATGGCGATGATGAGGAGGACGATGATGACGATGACTGCGCGGACGGCGTCCCGGCCGTGGTGCCGCTCGCGGCTAGTGCGAAGGTGGCGGCGTGGCTGGGGCGGGTGGTGTGTTTGGGGGGGCAGGGGGAGGAGGAAGAGGAGGAAGGGGGGGAGAGGTCGTTTTTGTGCGGGGAGGCGGTGTGGCGGTTGTTGGAGAAGGAGAGTGGGAGTGGGAGCGGGAGGGGGGACGGGCGCGATGATTTCTGCGGTGGTGGTGGTGGTGGTTCGGCAGCTGGGAAGGGGGTGGTGGGGCGGATTGGAGGGGGTGGTGGTGGTGGTGGTGGGTTTGCCGCGAGGTTGGAGGAGGCCCGCACGGAGACGGCGGCGCTGTTTGCGCGGGAGAAGCAGAATTTGTTTTTGGATCCGGTGAGGGAGGTGGGTGTTTGGGGGGACGTGCTGGCGGGGTTGGGTTTGGCGGGCGGTGCGGTGGGGGAGGAGGTGGTGAGGGCGTTGGAGGGGTGGTGTGTGGATGGCTTGAGGGAGTTGAAGGCGTTGGCGGAGAGGGAGAGGGACGGGGCGATGGGGTGGGCGGGGAGGGGGGAGGTGTTTTTGCTGGGGTGGAGGGTCGTGGGTGCGGTGAGGGTGGTGTTGGGGTGGAAGAGGAGGGGGAGGGGGAAGGGAGAAGCGGGTGGGCGGTTGGAGAGGAAGAAGAGGGTGGGTCGGTACAGGAGTTCGGAGATTAGGAGGGTGTTGAGGGAGACGGTGGATGCGTGGGTGGAGGCGGACGTGCACGGGTTGTGGGTGATGGAGGCGGAGGAGGTGCTGAGTGAAAGTGTGGTGGCAAAGTTGGTGGATGTGAGGAGTGTTGTGGGAGCGGTTGTGGGGGAAGAGCTTACTGTTAGGTGATGGGCTGGATTGATCAGCACTGGTGGTTGTGAAAAAGAGCAGCTGTAAATCAAGTTCTGCACTTCAGACCGATCGATTGGTGCTGTTGGGTATAACTTTGTGAGGTTTCAACCATTACCCATAAATGTCACACTCGTGCTGACGAGCTTATGATAAAGTCCCGAACCCCCGATGGGGACAGTTGGTCCGCCGTCCACAATCCACGGAGCGGCGGGCTAGAACACCTCCGATTTGGCATCCCGCCACAGCCCATCACCCTTGCAGCCGAGTGGCTAGCGCGAAGCTTGACAGTGTCTCAGAGCAGGGGGTGACAGCGGGGAGGCGTCTTGATACAAGATGCAGGCCAGCTATCTGTCGTAGGAAGTACGAGTCATGACGGGAGGATCGCCAAAGGGAGCCGGCTCCTGATCAGGATCTGCGCGGAAAAAAACGTTCCTGCATGCACGACATCCATTCTTTTTTTTGATGCCCCACTTGCTTATTTGCTGCTCATGCAAGGCGGGAAACCTGATCTTCTGGTAGAGCTTCTTGCTCTATCTGGAAGGAGTAAGCGCTCGCATCTGAGTCGACATACACAAAGGACGCGGGTGTCACACTGATAAGCATTGGAGTACACGCTTGGTGGAATGCTTGGTGACGAGTGTTGGAACTCTGCATTGCGACCTCGTCGTGGACTTGGGCCGGGTCTTGGATGTTGGGCGACGAGGAAGTTGTGAAAATGACGAGCCCTCCAGTCTGCGCCATGGCTGCCTGTTGCGCGTCGAGGTGGACCGAGGGCCGTTCGTTCCTGCCTCGTGGTGAAGGAACGGGGACAGGCAACAACACCCACAGCCAGATGGCCTCCCACATCCTCACCTCACAGCTCCGCGCCCCGGGGAAGACGGCAGTGCCCACAACACACCCCACACGGCACGCCCGTGCTTATCCGAGGAGCACGCATGATGTGGAGAGCCGGTCAGCAACCTCTGGCCACGTCGGTGCCGCGAGCAATGTCCGCTCCCGAGCAGACGTTCGAAGTTTGTCTCGCCTGGCCACGACGCAGCGCCTCGGCCTGGCCTGCGGACCAAGCGAACCGACAGCGGCAGCCGCCCTCGGCGAGCTCCAACAACATCGAACGTAGTCGGTTGACCGCGGGATTTCGACCGCGGCAGTTCGGGCGACCCCCCCTTCTGCCCGAGAACGACGGCCAGGAAAGGATATGCCGGGGCGCGCGGGGAGCATCGCGCTCATGCCACGGTGGTTTCATCAAAACATCACGGCTAGGGCTGAGAGGCCAACTTCGAACGTCGCATCAAAAACATTTCCCGAACCAGAGAAAAAGACACTTCCCTCTGCCTCGCTGCCCTCTGACAAACGCTACAGGCGCGGAAGAATGTTCCCTCTCCGAAGATCGAGGGAGGCTAAGCCAAGGATCCACAGACGGATACAGTCACAAACCTCCGGAATGCATTCTCCCCCGCGGGAGATGGACACGGCATTCGAGGGGCAGAGCAAGAGCCGACATGGTACGATGCAGGAGGAACACGGAACGCGACGGCGGGTTTGACCTTTTCCTTCCGCCTCTGGCCGTGTGCCGCGGAATGAAGGAAAATAGGGGGCGGCGAATTAGAGCGTCGGAGATTCGGGAATGGAAGGCGACAGGTTGCGACGGGTTGCGACGGGTGCGGCTCTGCAGGCGGGGCCCGACCGACGACGATGTGCTGGCGGGCCGAACCGTAGGCGCGCTCGCGTGAGCGTCTCGTGAGATGTGGTGTGAGTCGATGGGGCACCGCTTTTGCGGGGTTGCCGGCTGCTTCTTCCGGGTTGCAGGTGCTGGTGCTGGTGGTGCCATGGCCTGACAGACAGACCCGGAGTGCCGACCGACCACACCATCGCCACCCCACAAGGAAAGCAGAACCCGACGGAAGCCGCAAAACGGGCGGGACGACGAGTGCCGGACGGAACAGAATGTAGTGACGGCGAAACGGAGCCGTCGTGCGGCCGGCAATGGGACCCGGCGGCGGCGGCGGGCGGTACCGGCGAGCGGTACCGGTGTCGGCCGGAAGCGGACCCGATCCTGCTGCGTCGAAACAACATGACCTGATCACGACGTGATCATTCCTTCACACACAATCCCGTCGAAAACCCGCCGGAATGCCGTCGTCGCTCGGAACTGTGTTTTCGCCCATCGCGCACCGCCCGGGACAGTCTTTCTCCTCCGGTCAGCGTTGCTGGCAAGACAAGTCCCGACCAGGGAGAATGTGTGAGCGGGAGAATGCGAAACCATCATCACGCCCCCATGACGTCAACTGCGGCCTAGCCTTCTCTGCGGTGCCGCTTCAGATGTTCGACCTCCAACTTTGCATTCCGCTCCTCGGCGCCGCTTGTGGGGGTTCCCATGTTCCCATCTGCCATCCCTTCCGAGTCTTGCCTCTAGCCGCCGTTTTCCTCCGCCCACGAGAATATGGCAATGTCTTCCGACCATCGTCTTGTCCATGTTCGCAGCAAACCCGTGTCGACTTCGCTCCAGACAGAAAGATGCAGTTCGATTTGGTCTGAAGCGGGTTCTGAGGACATTGTGGCTCTTGATGAATGAATTCAATGTCGGTTCGCGCAAAGGATTGCAATAAGTAGGGTGCTCCATGGGCTCTGAGAGGTTTGACGTGACCCTTCATAGCCCAATCCCGAAACCATAAACGCTCTTTCTAGACGTGACTCGAGCGCAGTTCCTCGTTCTCGCTTGCGTGCTCGCATTTGCGGAACCGGAAGCTCTAACACTTCTTTGTAGACAGACCGTCCAAGTCCCAACGCCAAAGGCCGACAAGCGATTAAGAAATCTACCGCTTCCCCCATGTCTGGTCGGGGTAGCTTAAAAGAAGATGTGTGAAGAAGAAAGCAAAAGCGAGCATTGCCGACTTTGAAGGCGAGTGTTTCCACCATTTCGTTAACTCAGCAAGAGGGACTCGGTGCGAATTGTGAAGTCGAAGTTCAAGCAACACATCATCTCCAAGTCGCACGAAAGGTTCGCCGACATATTCAGAGGCCTGAACTATGGATAACGTATCGATACGTGAGGGACAGAACTCCACATACCGAAGGGTGTTGGTGGAGGTGGAGACAACTCAACATCACTGACTTGGGGATGGTGGTGCGAGAATGCCATGGGGTAGACTGATCTGTTAGGGGATCACTCCAGGGCTTTGCTCGAGGGCTTGTCAAGCGGGAGGTCCTGTTAGGCAACAACTACATCATTTCAGGTACGAATGTTATCCCGAATGACTCAAACGGACGACGACGTCAACTTTGCGGCTCAGCTAACACCCAACAGAGAGAGCTTGGACGGAAGATGGAGCATCTCCCGAACACGATCATCGCATTCTCTCCAATCTGGTGAAAAAAAGACGGCAGTTGATGCCACGTGCATCGCCTCAAGCTTGATTTTTCCGATATGCAGAAGTGGATCAGATATAAAAGTCCGCTTTATCTCCGCTGCGCATTAACATCTGCAGAACACCGGCCCGAGATAACCGCTGCGGCAGTGGCGCTGATCGTCGCGCCGGCTCCACGCTCCACGATGCTGATGTCAATCTCTGACTAGTTGCCTGTGGACCACTGGACCCAACCTTTTCGCTCCACTGCCTCACCAGACGGTTTTACAACGGGCGCGACATGTCGAAGACAACAAGCTGAAAAAAGGTAAGAAAGTAATATACATGAGAGATGGAACATGCAGACAGACCGCATCTTCTTGCTGATCGCAAGCAACCACTTGTGCTTCAAGGTATTATTCGACATAGAATTTCTGCAACTGGTCCCGGCGAGCGAGATGGTGCAATGTTTTCCGGTCTTGCTAATCAATGAACGTCATTGAAGCATATCACTCCAGCAGCTCTGCAGGTTTTTCATGCTTGCCGTCCCTGGAGGTATGGGTATCTTTGGGGCTACTAAACATTTTTCTTGACCACCTGCTTCCGTTCCATTGCTCCCCCGCCATCCCCTTTGATACCCTCTTCTACTGTGTACGACGGCTGTTGCACGCATTGCATAACGCACTCGCCATGTCAAATCGAAGCGGCTCTTTGCATCTGGAGACTACCGAGGAGAAGCGCAATGTCCGAGACAAGGAAGACTTTGAGCGTGTACAGTCATCCACTGCAGAATCACGACAAAAAGCATCCGATGTAGAAATTGTGGATTGGGACGGCCCGGATGACGCTGAGAACCCGTGGGTTATCACAGCCTCCGCCGTGGGCAGCTGTCCCGTACTGACTTGAGCAGTTTCAACTGGTCAAAGAGGCGGAAGTGGTTACTCACCATCACCACATGCTTCATGTAAGTCTTTATCCACCCAAGCGGTGACCATACGAGAAGCTAATTACAAAAGTTCTATCCTCACCGGTCTGTCGGCAGGGGCGTATGGTGGAGGCAACGAGCAGATGGAAACGAGATTCAACATCAGCCAAGACACTTTTCCAACTCTTTTTTGGGCTACTACATCGTGGAATGTGGCGCTGCGTTGATGCCTCTGTTATTCGTTCCCCTCACGGAGCAGGTCGGCCGTATGCCGGGGTACTTTGTGCGTGACTCCATATCCCTCCCCAAGACCGGCTCTTCTCATGCATTACTCAGGGCTCCTACATCATGTTCTTGATCTGGATGGTTCCCTCGGCCGTCGCAAAGAACTTCGCCACGCTCATCATAACGCGCTTCTTCGACGGCGGCTTCAGCTCCGTCTCCATCAACATCGTCGGCGGCACCATCACGGACATCTGGAAGGGCGACCGGGACCGCAGCCTGCCCATGTCCATCTTCGGCCTCACGTCCGTCGTCGGCATCGCGCTGGGGGGCCCTTCATCGGCTCCGCCATCGCCGCCAACATGTACTGGCGCTGGATCTGCTACATCCAACCGATCTTCGACGCCGGCTGCCTCCCGCTCTTCTGGTTCATCCTCAACGAGACCCGCGCCGACGTCATCCTGGCCAGACGCGCCAGGAGGCTGCGGAAATCCGGCAACCGTCCGAATGCTTACGCAAAGGCCGAGCTCGAGAAAACGGACGTCCTGACGTCGCTCAAGATCTCCTTCACGCGGCCGGTGAAGATGCTGGCGACCGAGTGGGTCGTCTTCTTGTTCACGCTGTGGATCTCGTTCGCGTGGGGCATACTCTTCCTCTTCCAGTCGTCCATCGTGCAGACGCTCCAGACCAACTACGGCTTCGGCGTCATGTCGACCGGCCTCATCCAACTCGCACTAGTAAGTTCTCTTCCTTCCTCGCTTCCTCTTCTCCGCCAGTCTTCCTAACCCAACCCCTTCCCCCCCCCCCCCAAACACACAGTCCGCCGGCGCCCTCCTCGGTACCATCCTCAACCCCCTCCAAGACGCCCTCTACCTCCGTTCCGCCTCCGCGCCCCGCAACCGCAACCGCCACCGCCCCGGCCGCCCCGGCCGCCCCGGCCGCCGCCCCATCCCCTCGCGCGCCTCTACTCGTCCGTGCCCGGCTCCCTCCCTCCTCTTCGCCGCCAGCCTCTTCTGGTACGGCTGGTCTTTATCGTCCCCGACCGTCGTCCACTTCCTCGTCCCCGCCGCCGCCGTCGGCCTCCTCGGCATCTACAGCATCTACCTCGCACCTCGCCGTCGTCGTCAACTACTACCTCGCCTCGCCGACAGCGTACGAGCGGTTCGCGGCGTGCGTCGGCCCCCTCACCTCAGCTCAGCGCCCGCCAGCCTGGGCCGGAAAGTTGTTCGGCGCGTTCTTGCCCCGCGAGCGAGCGGGGCAGAGGTTGTTTGGTGGGGAGTTGGGGTTGAGCGTGGGCGGGGGGGCTTGTTGGGGTTTGTGGGGTTGGGGTTGAGCGTGGCGCCGGCGGTGTTGGTGTTGTTGTGGAAGGGGGAGGAGGTTGGGAGGAGGAGTCCGTTTGTGAGGGTGGCGGCGTTTGATGGTGGTGGTGGTGGTGGTGGTGATGATGATGATGGAGGCGATGGAAAGGGGGAGGGGGAGGGGGAGGGGAGGGGGAAGGAGTGAAAGAGACTGGGTTGTTCTTGATGATGACGATGATGATGATGATGGAAATATTAGGAGAGAGAGAGAGAGAGAGAGAGAGAGAGAGGAGATTGGTGGGTGGGTCGACGAGATGGAAAAGTAGCTTTGATGTAGAATGATACCGAGTGACCCAAACGTAATCGGTTCCACTGATTACAAGTATGTGAATATGATTCTCAGCGACCTATCGCCAAGAAATACTATGTATCCTTTTTCCAGTGAGAAAGCCAGAAGAAACAAACTCCCAAAAAACGCCCCGCTAAGCTTGGCTCTCTCTGGTACGAAGGTTACAACCAAAACACGCACTCAGCGCTGGTTAATAATAAAAAAAGAAACAGACCCTACCCGCCTCAGCATGACCTCGTCCTGTCCAAAAGAATCATCACCAATGCGACGACCCCTATCATCCGCATGGTCTCTCCCTCCCTCTCTCCCTCTCTTCCTCCTTCAATACGCCGACCGCACCCTCCTCACATCCCCCCTATACGTATCCGTCGGTCCCCCCGGCCCGTACCCCGACCCCACCACCATCCCATTACTCGCATTCCACCCCGCGGCATCCGCATCGCCCAGCCCATACCTCAACCCCGCATACCCCCCTCCGCCGCCGCCACCGCCACCGCCCGTCCTGCTCCCCAAGCTCCCCCCACCACCAGCAACCCCTACACCCGGCCCTCTGGTCCTCCCCATACTCCCCACACTCCCCATCCCCATCCCGACCCCCCTCCTCGCCTCGACATCATCACAACCGCCGACGAACCCCGCACTCCCTCCCTTACCCCCAGAACCCGCCAATGATAATCCTCCTCCTTGTTGCTGCTGCCGATTCAGCTCCTGCACCTCGTCCCAGCGCGCGCCGCCGTGGAGCACGTTCTCCGAGTAGACGAAGGGCTTGGGCCCGCCGGGGGGCCGGCCCTTGCGCACGCGCCGGCGCCGGGAAAAGTAGACGCAGCTGAGGTAGAAGGCGTGGACGTGGGAGGGGAGGATGGCGGCGAGGAAGAGGATGCTGTGGGGGGGTTTTTTTTTTTTAGCCTTAGGTTTTGCGGTTTTGGTTGGCTGCGGGATGAGTGGTTGATTGATTGGGGGAGGTTTCGTTTCGATGGCGTGGAGGATGTGGCTGGCTGGGTGGGGGCGGTATTTGCGGTCGGGGAGGGGGAGGGAGGAATGCGCAGTTGGAATTGGGGTGGGGGAGGAGAGGGGAGGAGGGGGAGGAGGAGAGGACGAAAAAGAAAAAGAAAAACTTACGCGTTTATCAAGGTGTCCATGCCGAAGCCGGTCAGGAAGATGACGGCGAGCGGGGGGAAGAAGATGTTGACGATTGTTATGAAGAGGCGGTAGCAGATGGCCATGATGGGCGATCCGGTCGATTGGGTGGGTGGGTGGGTGGGAAGATCTACGATGCGGGCGACGCGCGGGTGTGCAGGGCGATTGATGATTGACGAACGACGGGATCACGGGCGGGCGTGCGGGCGGATCTTGGCGTCTTCGTGACGGGAAAAGAAAAAAAGGTTCGAGACCGAGCCGCGACCGGGAAAGACCATGGAAACAAAATGAGCGGAGAGGTGTTGGAGAGATGGGGAAGGGGAAGACGGAGGACGGGTGCCTGGGGCAGGCAACTCGGGCCCGACGACGACTGCTCAGCTCGCGCCCGATCCCAGAACATTTTTCTGCACGGCTGCCAGGATTGTTGCGAGCTGGGCCCCTGGGAGCTTGGTCGGGCCCTGGCTGGTGACGTCAGTTGCGACTCGTGGGTTCGGGCGTTTCTCCGCCTCAGCCCTACCCTATCGATAACGAAAGTGGGATGGACTACTGGCCGTGGCTCTGTCGTTGACGGTCTGGCATTGGGTGTTGGCAGAACGGGTAAGACAAATGCTGGTTATGATTAGAGAGACACGCACCTGTTGCCATATGTAGTAATAGTATTCAACCATCTAAAGACCTGTTACAGGCTTGTCTACTGTTAACTCTAAGGGAAATCTACGCGTGTCTTAGATGCTTGGGAAAGAAAGCATTACTACTTGGTGGTTGGAACAAGTAGAGAGATTATCCATCGTCATGACCTTTAGTCACAATGAAGAGCTTCGTGTCTTAGCCGAGCCCATCTTTTCATTCTGGACCTTTTTTTTTTTTTAATAATATCAGCAGGTGCAACTGTGAGTGTGTCAAGCGTATACGCAACGTATGATGCAGAAACTAATGACTGCTGCGCTACTCACCTCTTCCCCTCGGCCCCCTCAACACAACAACAGTATTGGTACACTGCGCTTTGCCTCCCGCCGCCTTCTTCCTGCCTAAACAAAGCCGTTTCAAGAACATTCACCCGGCAGAGCTGCTAGCAGGAAACCGCTCACGGCTGCTAATTGGTCTTTCATTTTCGTTTTCCCTTTGCTCCCTTTTTCCTCGAAAAAAGCGAAGTTTTTATCTTTCTTTCTCACACAGTCACATCACATCTCCCTGACCAACCTCCTCCCACTATTTCTCCCCCACCCCCATCAACGACGTCCCTTTGCCTGCCGAGGTTTCGCTTTCGATTGGAACATCATTTCTCCATCCATCCCTTATACGCCCGCCCGGCTACCTAGGTAGGTAGGTGGACAACGTCGTCCCTATCAAATAACGCATCCACCTATCAACCCTCACATTCCAACACCCCTTCATCCCTTCACCTCTTCCCCTTCTTCTTTTTCTTATTGGCACCGCCGCCTCCACCACCAGTCTGCTGCTGCTGCTGTCCTGCCCCACCAGCTTGCTGCTTCTCCTCCGCCACCACGCCGCCCTGCGTCAGGCCCGCCTGCCTCAGCTTGCCCTTGCGGCCCTTGGGCTTGTAGTAGCTGCGGTCGCGCATCGGCAGCCACCTCTCCGCATCCACCTTCTTGCCCGGGTCAAAGTCCTTGGGCAGCCTGCTCTTGCGCACCTTCTTGTTCTTCCGTGCACCACCATCATCCTTCGGCGCCGACCGCTTCGAGCCAGCAGTGGTGGTCTGCGGGACGACCGCCGCCGTCGCCACGCCGGCGCCCTCGAGCGCGTCGACGTCGACGTCGGCGACGAGGCGCGCCACGGGCGTCAGCGCGTCGAGCTGCGCGGCCTCGATCCGGTCCGGATGCGTCGACGCGTACGAGGCGACGAGGCCGGCCGCCGCGGCGCGGTCGGCCGGGTCGGCGGCGAGGAGCGCCGAGAAGATGGTGCCGGCCTGCTCGAGGTCCGCGGGCTGCGACGACTCGAGCAGGGCGGCGCCGGCGGCGCGGAGGAGCGAGGCCGGCGGGGGCGTCGTCGCGTCGCTGTTTTTGCTTTTGCTGGCCTGCAGCCAGTAGGTTGCGGCCTTGGTGAGCTCGGTGCGGACGGAGCTGCGGCGGCCGGCGTGCGCGTAGAGGGCTGCGAGGGTGCCGACGACGCCGGGCGCGAAGCGCGTGGGGAGGACGTCTGAGTTGCCGCTGTTCTCGAGGCGGACCAGGAAGTTCTCGAGGAGGGGTGTGGCTGCGCCGTAGTTGCCCTCGTCGACGTAGATTTGTACGATGGTGAGGGCGAGGCCGATGTCGTGAGGACGCTTGTTGATGAGCGGGAGGAGCTGCTTGATGCCTGCCCTACCACGCGCGCCCTTGGCGTGCGCTGCGGCGTTCACCACGGAGAGGCTCGCAGTGAGCGGGTGGGTGGAGGCGACGGGGTCGGCGGCAATCTTGTGCAGGGTGGTGCTGGCGACGCCCTTGTGCTTGTGGGACGAGAGGTCCATGACGTAGGTATTGTGGTCGAGGATGTTGGATTGAAAGGCGAACGGCTTGTCGCTGACGGGAAGATTCGCCGACTGCTGCATGCTGCGCGAGCTCAGGTAGGGATTGGTGTCCTCGGCGGCCCTGGCCATGCCGTTGACGTGGGCGATGTGTCTCGTCGAGGGGTCCGGGATACTTTCAGATCAATCAGCGAAAACAGTCCCGCACCAAGTCTACACTGACCATACTCCTGTGATGAGACCTCTTCGGCCAGCTTCGCCGCCTCGTCGAACTTGCGTAGCTTGTGCAGCACGTAGATCTGCTGGATGATGATGGGCATGATCTCGGCCTTCTTGTCCTCCTCGGTCAGGTCCTCCGAGGCCAGACACAGGTCCTTCGCGCGCTTCAGCAGCATCTCGCCCTGCCCGAACTCGCCGCACGCGATGCTGCTGCACGCCGCGTTGTACGCCGTCTCGAATGCCTCCAGGTCTTCCCGGCCGACCTTGCCGCTGCTCCACTTCTCCGCCAGCTTGCCATGCTTGGGCTGCCACTGCAATTGCGCGTCGACGGCCAGACGATTGATGCGCAGGTCGTTGTAGTGCTCGTAGCCCTCGCCGTCCTGCGGCCGCGTCGCCAGCTCCTTGTACACATCAGCTGCGCGCGCAAAGTTCTCGCCGCGGTAGGTCGCCTGGGCGAGGACGTGCTGCGCGCCGCGTCCGGCGTTGTTGCTGGCGGCATCGGCGGCGACCTGCTCGGCTTCGGCGAGCTTGCCCGTCTTGTACAGGGCGTAGGCGTGCTCCAATGGCACTCTCTTCTTCAGAGCATCGCCGCCTTGCTCGATCTGGCGCAGGGCATCGTCGAAGCGGTCGAGCTTGAGCAGGGCAACGGCACGGACGTGCTGCGCGTCGACGTCGCTTTTCGACTTGGCGAGCTGGGCGTTCGCGGCCTTGAGAATTTCGTCGTGATCGTCGAGGTGTGTCTGGGACAGCAGGGCGGCAAGCGAGTTGCCGGTGCTGGCGGCCATTGTCGGGGAAAGGGCGAGTGGGGGTTGGAGGTTCGACGGAGGTTCAGCGGGCGGCCATGGGCGGCGTCGAAGTCGGTGATGGAGCTGTCCATGCCCGTCGGGAGATCACCGGCGACTTGGGTGGTGGGGTCCGGCCGCCGCCTGTGTGGGGTGCGCGAGGGCAGCTTCGCTAAATTTCAAGACCAGACGTCAGAGCTCGATTACTTTGGATTCTTCTATGGCATCTGTTCGGGTCTGAGAGCAAGCCAGGCTCCAGCCACGTCCCCTTTTCTAGTGCAAATCTCCGCACCATAAAGTCAAGTTCCTCATCCATCCAACGCCTGCAAATGCTGAGACGCCCATCTTTGCCTGCGCAAACCCCGAAACTCCAGACACAAACAATATCAATTACAGAGCGTCTTCAAACTCGTCTGCATCCGACTCCTCGCCTGCAGAGGGCTGAGCAGAGGACGCTGCCGGAACAGACGATATGGGAGGCGTAGGAGCTGCTGATTCATCCACTTTCACCCGCTTCGCCTCTGGAGCCCCATCACCGCTGGTGGTGGCCGTAGGTGTGCCCATGACGTCCTCAAACTCGTCGTCCTCGTCCTCCTCTTCCTCTTCATCCCGTGCGTCCTCCAGTGCCTTTCTGCCCTGCTCCTCATGCAGTCTGTCCTTCTCCTCTTGCAGTGCAATGAAGTAGGCATCGATCTCGGCCGAGTTGCCCGACTTTTCCTCCGCTGGCTCAAGCCCATTGCCCGAATCAGCCAGGGCTCCAGCATCTCCGTTTGCCTTAGCCCCGCTTGCCTCACCACCAACGGTCGAATGAGTGGCCCACACAGGGAGCTCGTTCGATGCCGCGATCTTGGCCTTGTGGGCCGCGACTCTTGCCTGCTCTGCGGCCGTGTTCTCCTCCTCGGTGGAGATGGTGATCTCCACCTTCTCCGGTCCGGTTGTGAGACCCTTGACAGCGGTCGGGCGGAGCTTCTCGTCGACCATGACCTCAGTCTTCTGCGCCGGGTTGATGTATTCGTCGCGTGGCACGGGCTTCGCGTTGGCGACGGCTTCCTCGCCAGTGACAGCGGGCACAGTCGTCATGTCAATCTGCTGCAAAATGTCCAGCAAGGGCTTGAACTGCTTGTTGAACTTGGCGGGGGTGTCATCGGCCTCGGGTTCGGCGTCTTCTTCCGTGTTGCGCGACTTTAGGGGAAAGTCGCAGCGCTTGCACAGAAAGCCACCGCGGCGCATGTCGACGTGGTCCAAAGCCTCCATGGTCGTCCATTGCGAATTGCAACGCGGGCAGAGGTAGTCTTTCTTCTCCTGGGTGGGCTTCGATATGGCCTTGATCTTCTCATCCAGCATGTGAATTCGGTACTTGACGCAGTCGACGGCGCGGCGGTAGTCGATGTAGTAGTATTCTTTGTTCGTCGGCTTCTGGGCGCCTTCGCGTGTCTCGGAACGGACGTAACTGCAGCACTGTGAGCGCGAGCTTTGGGACGCAACAAGCGACAAAGCGTAGGAGCATACACTGAAACAAGACCGCCCTCCCTCAGCTTAGCAGCGTACTTCTGGACCTTCTTATGGTTCTTGCCCTCGTCCATGACGAGCGACAAGTCGGCGGCGGAGATGCTGCGTGCTTGTCAGCGTGGCGGCGACGCGACAGACATGGGGAGGCAGGCACGTACGCGCCATGGTTGACCAGAGCGTCAATGACGATGATCTGCTCGGTGTCGTAGAAGATGCGGGTGACGGTGCGGACGAGCACTTTGGCGATCTCCATGGCCACTGGTTCAGCGGAAGGTCGGGGGAGTGAGCATCGGGCGGAGGAGGATGCACGATGCAGGCGGCAGGCGGCAGGCAGCGGGCAGCGGGCAGAAGAGCTGCTATTGTGCAGGCAGACAAAGTAATGGCCGTGGAAGCTGGGCGTGGAGAGCTTGCCCACCCGCGCCGCGGTTCAGCCGGCGGGATCTGCGCTAAATCAACACTGTCCGCTGCAGCCCTCACTACTTTTTATGTCCCAAGCCCGTCCACCCCGCCTCATGCTCTGCCGACCTCCAATATGGATTCCGAGCCCACCAAGCCTGCGGCGCAGTCTTCCGACTCTGCAAAGCCTCCAATGGACCCCAAACCTGCCGACAGCACGCCCGCATCCGCCAGCGAAACCACCGATGCTCCGTCGGGCAATGGCGACAGAAAGCAATGGCGCGACAAAGGCACCCGCGGTAACAAGCGCAAATGGCAGCAGGGCGGCAACCTCCAGCATGGTTCGCGCGGTAAGAGAAAGGATATTGGCCGAGGCGAATATATGTACGGCGCCCGCTATCCGCCGCTCTATGTCGCAGCTAATTAATCTCCAGTCGCTCCCAACCAGACAAGCGCGCTCGCAATGAGGACGAGAAAGCCAAGCGTCGCCGTTTAGAAGCCGAGGGCATCCAGTCTGTCCTCCCCAAGGCCTTCTCCAAGGAGGAGGTTGACGCCGAGGAGCGTCGTCCCAAGCGCAAGGTCGTCGTCATGATCGGATACTCGGGCAGTGGCTACAAGGGCATGCAGATGTGAGTACGACTGCTGCGTTGGAGAAGCATACATTCTAAGCCTACCGTAGCATGCCAAACCACCGAACCATCGAAGGAGACCTTTTCACCGCATTCGTCAAGGCCGGCGCCATCTCGAAAGCCAACGCCGACGACCCCAAGAAGTCTGCCCTCGTCCGCTGCGCAAGAACCGACAAGGGCGTGCATGCCGCTGGAAATGTCATTTCGCTCAAACTGATCATCGAGGACCCGGACGTCGTCGAGAAAATCAACAGCCATCTCTCTCCGCAGATCAGAGTTTGGGGCATCGAACGGACTACTGGCAGTTTCAGCGCCTACCAGGCCGTTGACTCGCGCTGGTACGAATACCTGATTCCCACCTACTCTTTGCTCCCACCCCACCCCAACAGCTACCTCGGAAGGAAGCTTGTCGAGTTGTCAGATGAGGTGGGCGATCGCGAAGGGTACGAGTCCAGGCAAGAGGAGGTTGCGGGCTGGTGGAAGGAGACTGATGAGAAACACATCAAGCCTGCTCTGGCAAAGTTGCAACCCTGGGTTAGAGAGCTTGTCGAGAAGGCACTCTGGGAGTCGGAAACTGACCCCGAGGCTCCTAACGAGAAGACCAACGAGGTCGCTGCCGAAGATGCTGCAGACATGGCCCAGCCTGTTCGTGTTGGCGGTGACAATGCACCCGATCCCATGCATATTGATGCCAGCGAAAAGACTGAAGAAGCCGCCATCATCATAAACGAGCCAGGCATCACCAAAGAAGCCGAGCCGGAGCCAATGGATAGTGATGCGACAAAGCCTGAGTCGGCCACAGCTGGGGACGACTCAGTTCAGACGACAAACGATATCCCGAACCCATCTGCCGAGGACGACATGCCCCCAACCGATCCCACGAAGCTTTCTTTGGGCCAGAAGCGCACGATAGAAGCAGCCATTAAGCAAATTAAAGGCATCTACATGGACGCCAAGAAAGCTTACCGTGTGCCCTCGAAACGCGTCGATCGCCTCCGCGATGCTCTCAATGCCTACGTCGGCACCAAGAACTACCACAACTATACCGTGAACAAGAAGTTCAAGGACCCTTCGGCCAAACGTTTGATCAAGAGTTTCAAGGCTGCTGAGGAGCCCATCATCATCAATGGAACCGAGTGGATCAGTCTCAAGGTCCATGGACAAAGTTTCATGATGCATCAGATCAGGAAAATGGTTGGTATGGCGGCGCTGATTACCCGCTGTGGCTGTCCAGTCGAGCGTATTGCGGAGACGTTTGCCGACGTCGACGTCGCGATCCCGAAAGTGCCGGGTCTAGGCCTGTTGCTTGAGCGGCCGGTGTTCGACTCGTACAACGCAAAGGCCGCGGACAAGTTTCAACGCGAGAAGGTCGAGTTCACCAAGTACGAAGCGGCTATGGAGGAGTTCAAGCAGAGGGAGATCTACGAGAGGATATTCCGTGAGGAAGAGGACAGCAACCAGTTCAACCAGTTTTTCGCACACATTGACGGTTACAGAGAGCCGTTCTTCCTCTACCTCACCTCCAAGGGCATCAAGGCATCTACTGGACCGGAGATGGAAAAGGCGAAGGACAAGAGCAGGGCCAACAAGCCGAAGGAGTTCAACGGAGACTCTGAGAGCGATGCCGAGGCTGGCGATGGCTGAACGGGACGGATGTCTCACTGCAAGCTCTGACGCCTACTGGCACAAGTTGGTCCATACATGGGCTCTATGATATTATATTTCATTTGATATAGCCTATCTGATCCTCGGGCGTGTGCCGAATAGCGACCTTTCCGGAAGCCCTCATTGACCACATCAAGTGCATATCAACTGTGAACAGCAATTACACACCATCCGTACCCGACACAAACGGTAGCTCAAGAACGTGCGCAAGTATGTACATAAGACGAGCGAGTCAATCTTCGGAAACTTCAGGACCCGCAGGTACACCCGGTACCCCTTAGAGCGCGCGTGCTGGGAAAAGGTTACCGGTTCGTCGGAAGAGGGATAGGAAGACGTGATAGGATATTGCTGGTACGTGTGTTGAGTAAGTTTCGCATTTTGGCTTTTCGGCTACGAGATCCCTACTTTGAGATCTTTGGTCATAGCAGATGCGATGACTGGTCGTTTGCCAGGGATTGATGAAAGTTTGCTGGCACAGATCGGTGACTATCAATCAATGCTTTGTCCCTCTTTTTTTTTTTGTCTCCATGTCGTGTCTGGTATCTTTTACTTTGAGTCGCTGAAGCTTGGCGCTGACGATACACCTCTCCGTCCAGCTGGGTCGAAAGAAAAAGTGGCGTTTGAATTAGCCCGTAGGGTTAATGGACAGGTGAGAAGTTTTAAAGAACAATGAACACACATCTTTCACAACAATCGAAGGTTGCGTTTGAAAAAAAAAAAAATACGGAGTTCCAAATGAGGGCTGTTATCAATCTCGGGTCGGCAAGACTTACAACAAACGTGCAGGCGGTTCCAGATGTGGGAACAAGCTTCCGAAAAGGTAAAAGCAAAAAGCAAAAATCAAGGACCGGGGGTAGGGGAAAGGAAAAGGCGCCGTCTGGCCCAGCCAGCCGCGTCAGCCTCTCATGCGTGGGAAAAAGAGAGGGTCCTGCAGCCATGGGAGAGCGACGGGTACGGAGCATCCTCCCGAAGTCCCCGGCAGCCAACGGTTGTGTCTTTTCTTGCCCTTGCGCTGCTTTCTCTCTCGTCCCGGATCAGGCCCCCTTGTCCCGCCGCGGGCGCGCGCACGCAGCAAGCCAAGCAGCCCCGCTCCACAGTCTCCCCCCACCCGATTCCACACCCGATGTGCTCCTCTCTGCCTCAAACAGATGGCATGGCAAAGAGTTGAACCGAACCCGACACCCACACACATGCAGCCGCGCGTTGCCATAACTGACTGAAAAAGACACCAACCACGACGCCGTAACATTACATCATCAGCTCATGGATCCACCCCTACCAACAACGACCGCCAGCCAACCAGCCCGCCCCATCCGCCCGACCGACTCCCGTTTCCCCTCCCCCTCCCCCCCACCACCAAGAACTGGCGGGTGTGCTGTGTGCCCGGCCGACGGTAGAAGGATCGATAAGCTTGCCGCGCACCCGCACCGGCAGCCCAGACGCTCGCCCCACCTGTTCCCTACACAGTAGTGCCCATCTCTGCTTCTTCTCTCTCTCACACTCTCTCCCCTTTTCGCCTCCCACCCACATCCCGGCCTTTCTCCGTCGAACATCCTCATCGCATTCGGTGCATGTTGATGTCACCGGCTAGCAGCGGGCAGTATGTAGACGACTCGTTACATTTTCTTCTCTATTTCAAATTCTCCAATGACGACGCGCGCGGCGCTCGCCGCCGCTGCATGTGTTGTGCTTTTTTGCTTCTTGACGGAGTCTGCTCGTCATCTTAGCGATAATTACGTGTGCTCTTGGCTTTGCTTTGCTCGAATTCCTGAACGCCTCTCGTCGCGCGCTCGTGGCGCCAGAGGGAACGACGAACGTGTATGTGTGCATGTGCGTATGTGTGCCTTCCGCACTCTATCCCATACAACTCTCCTCCTCGTCCTCCTTCGCCCTTCGCCGTCGCTCCCCTCCCCTCCCCATCCGATCGCGACCAAAACCCCTC